GATTTGGTGTTGAAATTTTAAAAATTTTAAATTTTATTTAGAAATTTTGAATCAAAACTTTTAAAAAAGGGGAGAAAGAAAGGAAACAAGGTTGCTTTTAAAAAAAAATAAATAAATTGGCATAAATTTCCACTAAAATTTAAACAAAATCTCTTTGTTTGAAGGGATAAGTGGAGCCCGTACTCGCAAATCTTAGACTTGTTTTAAATTTAACAAAAGTAGATAAGGTCAGAGTTCTTAATCCTCTTTCGATGACTTTTCTGAAATATAACTATCAGAATTTGATATTTCTGATGAGAACAAAAATGCTAACATACTATGCCAATATAAGAATAGCTTTTTTAATGAGAAAATTAAGATGTTTAATGAAATAAAATCAAAAAAGTTTTGGCTTGGCAACTAAATTAGCAGAATTACAATAAATAAGGATGACTATTCGGTTAATTTAAATAAATCTCCATCCTTAAATAGATAAACATCTCCTATTTCTGAGAGCAATCATAACACGCTGACCATTATAAAAAAAACAAAAGAAGTTACAGATCACTCTATTGATCAATCATTTAAATAAGTCAACTCTCCATTGATGTTCTACCTAACAAATATTAATTAGACTAGCATCAATAATAATAATAATAGTTCTAATATTATAAACAATAGATCATGTCAATAATCTTAGAACAATAGCCAGTATACTATCGATGTTCCAGGTAATGAATCATTTGCTCAATAATCGTCCATTAAGTTAAATGAAAAAGACCTTTTAAATCAAATAGTTGAAGCTGTGTTTAGTAAAAACATTTAATTATTGACCAAAATTGTATTATTATTGTAAAAGGAATATAGAACTGACATATTAAATTTAAAAGATATACATGGAAATACACCTTTACTATTAGCTATCAAATTGTAATAGTAATAGAATCAATTCTCTACTATTCGATTATTACTATCAAATGGCTCTGACCCTACTATCAAAGATACTGATGGGTGGAGTCCAATCGAAGAAACGGTTGCTTAAAAAGACTTATTGACTACATCATTATTATTTGATTACTTAGTTTCTAAGAAACTATTTGATATGTAATAGGAACGAAATTAAATTGATTAGGAACTATTAAAAATCAATGATTTTTATCTGGAAATGAAATGGGAATTTAAATCTAGCTTAATTCCTTTCATCTCCAAATTCACTCCAAATGACACATTCAAAATATATAAGAGAGGTAATATATGTAAGTATTCAGGTTCCTCTTTGAGATTGGACTCCACTTTTGCAGGAAAAAAGAATTACAAAAATAAAAGAAGGGATCTCACAGTATTATATAATCCATTAATGGGTTCAGTACAAAGAAAGGAAAACAGTTCAAATTGTAAATTTGTTACTATTTTAAATAGATCGAAAAAGATCTACTATTATCCTATTGTAAGATTTTAAAATTAAATTAGCAAGAAATAGATCCTGAAGAGAAGAATCAAATTCTGATGGACTTATTAAATTGCGAAAGTGTCAGTGGGGACATGAAAATAATTCAATGTGAATTAATAAAAAGCAAGAATTTCTTTGGAAATTATGTCAATTAGAAAATTAATAATTGGATTTGTTAGAAATATGAATTTCGCATTTTAACATCATAACATTTCAATAAAAAACATTAATCAAATTATTTTATGAGTCAAGATTAATATTTTAATTAATCTTTGGATTAAAATCCTACAAGTGCAAGATTTAATTTAGAGTAAATAACAAGTCAAATAGTAGGTGATTAATTATTAGTTAATTCTCCATCATTTAAATAAGACAATTAAAATTAATAAGTCAAGTAAAACATGCAAAATAGTATTAAAAATGAAGAGGATAAAAGTATTTTTGTAATTAATAAATAGAACAATAGGAATCGTGTTTACTTTATATTAATTAAGAATTTCCAATAAATTTTTAGTAGTTTCTTCCAATAATAAAAATGTTAGCTAATGGGAATGAGTTTATTTCATCTTTACAAACAGTTCTATAAAATGAGAGTGTTAAATAACTACTTAACGATAAAGGATTCCCAGTCAGAATAGAAATTCCAATCAATTTTACTATTGATGCTGTTGTGACATTTTAAGCATACAAATAAATAGATATTGAGGATCCTGAAATAAAGAAATTATTCTAAATTCCAGAAGATTACTTACTGGTTTCTAGAAGAGATGCTACCAAAGTTATGAAGAGAGGAAAAAAAAGATTATTTTTAGCCAATTTATTTTTATGATTAAATAATATTTATCATTTTTGATGATGTTAAATATTGAAAAATACTATTTAAATCAAAGTTATAATTATTTGACAAAATGAGTCAATTTATTATTATCCAGATTTAAATCTAAAAATAATGTTTTTGAAGCTTGAATGTCTTTCCATAACTTGTTTGTCACTTAATTTTTATAATGACGATGCTGCTATTTTAATTTAAAGATTGTTGCCATAATTTTCCAATGAGCCTCTATTTATTTCATGCAAATAGGATAATTAAACAAATATTCTAACCTTTTTTAAATGATAATTGTTTTTAAGATTTTCTAAATGCTCATCATTAGTAATGATATCTTTTTTTAGCAATCATTTAAAAAAGATTCTATACTTTCTATAATAGCTGCTTCTTCACCAGGGTATAACCATCTAAATTTGCCTGCTTTATAAATTTGATTAAAATTTCTTTCAATTTTAAATCTTGAAGATTCTAAATACAATGATGTATCATCTGAGGTAGCATACTTTTCTAATAACTTCTTGGGTATATTTTTTGTTATTTTTTCTGATTCTGTCCATTTAATATTGTATTGATTAATTTCAGATACATATTCTTTAACCATATTGATTTAATTTGCTAAAGAGATGTTTGTTTAAGACACACAAGAATGTAAAGTTGATTCAAAATTGTAATTTGGTATCATTATAGTAGTATTAAAATGAGTATTTTTAACACTCTATTAATTACTTTGTAATAATTCTAAGTTTTTGATATCAAAATGATTATCTGCATTTTCAATTATTTTCATTCTCTTATCTTAACGGTTGACAAATAACAGAGCTGTTTTGGCTAGAGAATTGACATGGTAGGTATTTGATCGTTTCCTCTCATGATTTTGATCAGAAACTTGTAGATTTTTCTCCTTACTTTTAGACTTTGAACATAAGCTAGTCTTTTTTGTCTTATTAATAGATTTCAAATCCCTTAATTATGATATTGTTAAGTTCAACACTTGAGGCTATTCAAATGATTAGCATAAATCTTCAGTTGATTACGAATATTTCTATACGCTATATTAATTTCTCAGAATTCTTGGTTTATGGATTATTTAGTTCATTATGAAACTTTATGAGTATTTTGGAGGGCAATTGAGTGAAGCATGTTAATTCTTTGTATAAAGATCAGGACATCTCAGTTAATCAATAAATATTTAATTACAATTCATTTTAATGAATAATGAAGAAGAATTACTTAATTTTTATAAAGATGAATTAGTGTGTTTAAAAGATTCAATCATGTCATTGCAGGAATAGAAGCAGAAATTAACTGAAGTATCAAAACCTATTATTTTTAGAAAGTTGACCAACTTGAAAAATAAAATAACATCCTCAAAGAAAATAATGATAACTTGAGCGAAATGTTTACTCAATATAAAGAATATACATCCACACAGATTAGAGATCTCGAATTATAGTTAGTTAATTTAAGTGTGGAAAGGGCTGATAGAGAATTACTTTTAGATGTATCAATGTTATTTGAAAATAGACTTTACATTAAGAAATCAGACAATTAAAAAAGGCAAATTTTGAAAAGGAATAAATTATAAAGGAATAAGAAAGTACCAAACACGTAGACATTGTATCATCATTTCAGGATTCCCCTGATAATTTAAGTTAAATAAGTTAAGATGAATAAAATCAAAGGAAGAGTGTTGAAGTCAAACAAGAATAAGTCATTTATTTAAAAAGTATGTTAATTCAATTCAAAATTAGAATAATTTCACACACCCTAAAAAAATAACAAACCTGAGATCTAATCTATAATTGATAGTATTCCCAAATCATAATACACTATACTATATGAGGAGGAAATGAAGAAAATTAAAGTAAAGTAATCTTAACATGTAGGATATATCAAATAAACAATTTGAAATGAAAATCTGGTAAGATCAAGTTATGGTACTATTTAAAGAAAAATATAAAAATGAAAAAGCTATAAATGGAAAGTTAAGAGATTTATTGAGAAATTCTTATCCAGAACAACATAGAGGCAAGATCTGGTCTTTTGTAAGAATGTTATTTAAGTTAGTTAATTGGTAATCAATTATAAATTAATAAATAACTTTATGAAAAATTGTTGTTATCTATTCCAAATCACCCATTGATCACAAATGAACTAAAGAATTTGATTAATAAGTATTTTCATTGTTATTAAGTGATCTTTAGAGAACATTTACTATTATCAATGATTTTGAAAATTCAGATAAGTTGAAAGACGACTTAAGAGAGATACTTACCATATTTCATGTATTAAATCAAGCTATCTTTTAAGATTTATAGACCAGATATGGGATATATCTAAGGAATGACGTACTTAGCATTCATGTTTCTAATTCGTATGCCTAAGCAAAAGGCCTTGAAATGTTTAGCCAATATTTTATTCAAAAGCCAATTGTTAAGGACATTCTATTAATTTAAAAGCCATTATTTAGAAGCTTACTTCTTATTATTTGATTCTTTTTTCCAAGAAAAGTTACCAGTTTTAGCAAACAAATTTAATTAGATCAATTTGCCAAAACAATCATTTTTAGTGGAATGGTTTTACACAGTTTTTTCAAGGGCATTCAATTTAATAACTTCGAGCAAAGTTTGGGATTATTTTTTATGTGAAGGAGATTTGTTCTTAATTAGGTTAACATTAGCAGTATTGTCAAATCTGGAACCAGAATTATTGAAATGTGAATATGAAGTATTTTTAATTTTTAATTTAGGATATTTTAATGCTTATAAGATAGAAGACATATTAGATCAAAATAGATGAATTGTTCAAACATTTAAACAAATTCAAGATAGAAGATAAGACTTTCCAAATCAGATTATAAAAATAATTAGATGATTTGTGAAAGTTATCATATTTAAAGGGAAAAGTATATCATTCATAATTTTATCAAAAATTCTTATAATCAGCATTTTCCTGAAATGGATCGTATTGTCTTAAAGAATTTACAAGTACTAGGGGTAATATGTGTAATGTTTGTTTATTGATGAGTTCTACTTTCTATTTCTGTTAAATGATTTAGTGTCTGATTATTATTATAGCTCTTTTAACTCGATTATTTTCTTGCCCTTAGTTTTACGTGAGTAGGAATTATCACCGAAGAACGTTGTAATTGTTATTATCTCAAAATATCAATTGAGTTTTCAGTTTCAATTGTCTAGCCAATCGAAGTTTACGAAGAAGTAATAAAAATTGAGTTTCTTTTTCTTTCTTTTTTTTCGTGTTAAATTTTTTTATACTAATATTTTTTTAATATTTGTGTTATTAGCTTTCTATTATGTGCTTATTTTTATTAGGATAGACAATCCCTTTCATTTTATTATTGTCTGACAAATCTATCTCTGATCTGTTATAAATTGTTGTTATTTATTATAAATCTTAATTCGGACTCCTCCTCTGGTTCAAGAGATTTTCTTTTTTAGTCATAGTCAATATGTTGCAAAAGAATTTCATTCTAAGATACCTTCAAATTTTTTTAAGATCTGATACAGATTTGTTTATTATTAATATTGAGAAAGAGATCTTTCAATTAGGATTAAGAACTTAGATTATTATTGAGAGAACTCAAATAATCATCATAGTTTTTAAAGTTTTCTAAAATCAATCTTTACCTTTTATCAATGTAATCTCTATTAATTTAAACTCTTTCTTTTAAACATTCCATAATATCAGGGTGATTTCCTTGAATGGCTCTAAAATCAGATTATTCCATATAATAAGCACTTGTATTATCTACAACCTCACAACAGTATTTCCTATAAGGTAAATCTTCGATTAATTCTTCCTAGCCAATTATACTACCATCTGATAATTGGCTTAACTTATTTATTATAATAAATTAATACAATTATCTTTGATTTATGAGATTATTTCGCTAAATATAACTTGTCATGTGATAAGTTTGAATTCTTTTTTTTCCCCATTAAAGTATCTTAATCAAAATGTTTATAAAGTTAGACTCTACCAGTCACTATTATAAAAAAGAATTATGGTTCATCTCCAATTTACCATAATATGGTTTTGCTATGAAAAACAATTGGTCTTAGATATTAAATGAATTTAGAAATATTAAATTTCAGAGTTCCTGGAAATATCTTCATAAAATAATCAATAGTATTTCTGGCTTATTAAATGGATTTCTGAAAGATCTATTTAAAATCATTTCTCCTCATAGTTATACAGAATGCCCTCTCTGAATAGACAATGATACTAGCAGATCTGGGCTTATCTGATGTTAATGCAACATCGCCAAAACTTTATCCTGAATAATATTAAAAAATCTACAGATCGATATATTATTACCTTCTGATATAAGAGTACTCCATCTTTAAAGTATTTTTCTCCTTACATTTTAAGTAGGTTATCAAAATTTACTGCTAACTACTTTTTTTATACCTTCACTAATTCTACCTCTTCTGATTTCTTTAATTACTCCATATCTCTATTAATATCATCTAATGGCCTAGGCCCAAATACACCAACTTCTCCTTTTAATATTATGTACATTTTGTCACCATATTCACCATAATGAAATATTGGCTATCCATAATCATACTGTTCAAATTAAAAATATTTAATTGCATTTGCAACAAATTCGCTTAATTTCATTCCTTCTGGACAATTTTGTTTAAAGAATTCAATTGTAGAGAGTGAATCAATTACTGTGGCTATCAATTCGTTATTTTCTATTTTTCCATATTCTTAATAAAGTCTCAATGCCTATGATAATTACTCCTCATTTTCTTTTTTAATTCTCGCGTGTCTTGCTGCCTAATCAAAGATGAGAGTTTTATTTTACTTAGACATTATATAATAAAAAATTAATATAAAATTTCAAGAATTTGATAGTGATTAAAGATTTCAAAAATGAAAAATCATGAAATATGAGTCAAAGAAAAAGATATAATATTATCAATGAGGATTTTTTCTAATTTTTTTCTTTTGTATTTAAGTAATATCCTTATTCTTAGAATCATTGTCAATTATTTCTGTGTCTTTTGTATTGTTATCACTATTAACTTCTGTTCTCTCTTAATTTCCATTGATAAAATTTCGTATCATATTAAATAAGCTGATTTGTCTATCCACTTAAGCTTAGAATATGTCATATCGAGCACGAAGTTCAGAATTAGAAAGTATTCGATAAGCTTCAGAAATTATTCTAAATTATGCTGATTCAGCATTCTTATCCTGGCCATATTTTGATAAATTACTGGATGATGCTGCTTAGCAAGAACGCGATATGCTTTTTTTATTTGTTCGTGTGTCGAGTTATTTGAAACACCAAGAATATTGTAATAATTCATTTATTAATTGAGTAAATGTTTATTACCTGCCAATTAAAACATAATTAGAATTGTTTCGAACTTTCTAAATGTTTTTATTGCCATTCAATATTTTCACATTCTAATACAGGATTAATGTAAATTCTCTTAAAAACTCAATAAATTTAGCATCTTGAGCTTACAGACACATAAAAAATGATAAATTTCATAAAATGTACAAAAAACTTTAGTAATTTTGGAAAATCCATTCTTGTTAGAGTTCCATTTATATAATTACTTTGAAATTTTTTTTAAAATATCCTAATTTTAGGGATAATTTTTATAACAAATATCCTTTAATTAAGATAAGTGAGAAATTCTATTATGTTTTGGAAAGAAATTGTAAACCCATCAATAGATAACTATTACAATTATTATTTGATTCCATTACATTTTTCATATTAATTTAATTTAAGTTTAATTAGATTATTATATTTTGGCTTTTTTCTAACTTTTTAGAAAAGTATGAAGAAATCGTAATTCACAATGACTCAATTATACTTAAATTATTTAAAATAATTTCTTTGTGAATGAACAGAAAAAAAGGGAAAAATTTTTAAAAAGATAGATATAATATTTTTACTTTTTGGTTCATTATGAAAAATTCGAGAATTTTTTAATTATTATTTTCCATTTTATTTCTGATATAGATTTGGATTTTGATGGAATCTTTTATCTAAATAAAGAAGATTGTAAAATATATTATTATTAATCTTTGCTAATAGATTTCTTGTTTTATTAAATATTAATATGTATGATTTGATGTAATTCACTAAACACATTGGAAAAGTAGAATTTCATATGTATTCCATATATCTTAGAAACTGATTTCACAATTAATTAATTTTGTTTGTCTTTTTAAGCAATTATAAATATTTTTAATCTCCATGAAATGGTAGAAAATATCTATAATCGAAGAAAAGTTTTGTATATAAGAAAAAGAGCACCTGAAATAATGAAATACTTTTAGGTTGTAATTATAATTTATACTCTATTTGTTATGGAGGATTAATGAGGCTAAACAAATTGATTTAAATGTGATTCATTAATCAATGAAATAATCTAATTAGAGATCATTAAATTTCTCTGAATTCAATTTTTATTTTCTTAAATTAATATAATTGTTATAATCTTTATTATTTATTAAAAATTTAGATTAATGTTAAAAGAGAAACTGCAAGAGATAAAGGATTCAAATACAAATTTATATTAACATTTGAATAATGTATTGACTAAGATATTATTGGATAATCCAAAAGTAAGAATATATGTTTAAGTATAATTGTAGAATGCTTTTGAATTATTTGAAGATTATTCATTTTAGGTAAAATCAAGTGGATTTTCATTTGATAAATATAATGAATTTGATAATGCAGAGAGAACAAAGATTTCAATGGATTAAGCTATTTAATAGAAGACATTAAAGCTAGTCAATAAAATTAATCTTGGAACTGATGAAGAACCTTAGGAAGCAACTTAAACTGGATATTTACCTAATTTAACAGAAGAAGCTTATTTATATGAATGGGCTGGTATTGGAATTGATGAAAATTATAAAATATTCAAGGCATTATCAGTAATTTATATATTAATATTTAGTTATTATCTGTTACTAAATAAGCATCTAAATTAAGATTTTGGGGTAAAATCATGGCAAGAGAAAAGGATTATTATATTGCTGAAGGAGTTGCTAATAGTCAAGTTGAAGATGGGGAATTACCACCTGAAGTTGAACCTAGAGGATCTGGAGTTAATACTAAATCTTATTGGGCATGCACTGATATCTTAAATGATAAGGATTGGGTTGAATTACCTTTGATTACACCTTAATAAATCAATGTGTCTAGATAAATTAAATATATGTTTACAGGTAATTTAGAAGCTGATGTTATTACTAATCCTTATTTCTTTGGAAAAGAAAAACATTTATTAAAAGCATAAATTGTTAGAATTACTTAATCAACTGTTCGTATTCCTAAAGGTTAATATATTTTAAGAGAAGGTGACCCAAGAGAAATAGATTAAACACCTGAATATAAATTACCAGGATTTCATGAATTAAAAACATTAAATGATTGGATGCATTTCAATACAAATATATTAAATGTATATATATATAATATTTATATATTAGTGTGGTAGATTAGTTCATTTAATACCATCTGAATTACCAGATGGTGTAGAACCAGATATTTATTAAAAATAAATAGAAGCAGCTGATCCATTTGAAAATAGATTGAAATAATTATCAAATGATAAATTACCAAATAATAAACCTGCTTGGAAAATTAGAATTGTTGGAGATACAACTGATTATAATCCTTTAGCTAAAGACACCAATAATAAAGTTAATAATGGTGTTATTATCATTAAATCTTTAGTTTGGCCAGGATTAGTCACTGTCTATTCTGTATTAATTTATTTAATCTATATCATAGAACAAAGTATTGTCATAATTATATTATGGTTATGGTTTCAAGGCAACAACCAATCATTTCTATCCAAAATAACCATAATAAGTATAAACAGAACAACCAGATCTTCCTGAATAGCCAGAACCAAATTTCCCAGCTGAAGTCCCTTAATAACAATAAGATTGATCATTATTATTATTAAATTATGGAATAAGAGGATACAACACCAATCAATATCAATATCACCGAATCTATTGCATCAAAGCATGTCTCCTATAACATTAAAGGAGAAGATAAAATAGGTCAATTTGAAGCATTGCGTCGTTACAATGACTTTCATGTTCTGAGATTGACTTTATTACAAAGATGGCCAGGATGCTATGTTCCTCCAATTCCAGCAAAATAAGCTTTGGTAAGATTATTATTTAATAGTGTAGGGAAATAATGAACAAAAAGTAGTTGAGGATCGTAAAAGATTCCTATAATATTTCCTAGAATAAGTGGCTAAGTTAAGACATATTTACTTCTCTGATGAATTTTAGACCTTTTTGAGAACAAAGAATACTGACATGGAGAAAGTAATAAGATATTTTTGATATTAATAGGCATTACAAGGATTACCAAAATAATCTATATAAGAAGTGTATGAAAAATTTAAGAAAAATTTCCCCCATTTGAATGGAAGAGAGGTGAATTCAGATTTAATTTTGAAAGTATCCAGCTTCTCCACTTACTTAAACAAAACAACTAAATAATTAGAAAGTCTTAAAGAATAAGTGAAATTATTGGCTGCAGCAAAGAAATAATATACAGATTAATTTAGTATGACAAGTCATTTATATTAGACATAATGACTTAAACCATTGGACTAGAATATGAGAAAAATATTCTAATCGAGTATGTGAATCATAAAACAGAAAATTTAATTTTCACAAATCACAATGACGTAAATGTTACCGCAAGAGAAATTGTATAATTGATATAATATTTCAGAAAGACTAAAATGCTTAGACATACAATTATGATTACCTTGTTGATTTGCTTAGAATTGAATGCAGGGAAGTAGAGGCATTTTAAGAAACCTTGAAGTAGAAAGAATTTGTAGACAATTTGAAAGCTTCGGCATAACAAAAGTTAAGAGATTAAAATAGTGAACTAGTGAAATTATAGGCTGGTAAAACCACTCTTAAGTCCATGTTTTCAAAAGGATCAAACACAGATTAAGCATAGACTTTAGAGAAGAAGATCTAAGAAGTAAATAATATATAAAATTTAACAGACACAAAATGAAATTAAATTATTGGAAGATCTTTGCATTATGATTACATCCATATTATGCTTTGATGAAATTGATAGATTCAAAAAGAACAAATAAAATAAATATTATGAAATTTTAATTAAGGTTAGCTAATTGGAATAATAACTCAATTAATTAGTAATTATTATATAAATAATTTTAGTACATCAAATTCTGGTCTGAAGTATCAAAAGGAACAGAAGCGGAAGTAGTTGTTTGAAAACATAAAAATATAAATAAACAATAAATTAAATTATATTATAAAATATAAATTTTCAACTTTTTATAATTATATCAATTTTGATTAAATCCTTAATATATATTTTAATTTTTGATATATTTAAACCCTTAGAATATTTAAAAATATTAAATAATAAAAATAAAAATGCAGTAATCACAAATTTCAAATAATGAAGAACAACAAAAATTAGAACAACAAACAGAAAAAGATGAATGCGAAATATGTCTCCAAGAAATCCAAAACAAAGGTATTTTCAAAAAATGCAATCATTACTTCTGTATAAATTGTGTTTTGAATTGGACTTTGCATAAGAAATCCTGTCCCAAATGTAGATGTAAAGTTTCAACCATAATAAAACTTTCGATAAGAAAGTATCCTCGTTCTAAAAAACAATCAATATCTAGTAAATAGTATTTATATTCCAAGAACAACTCATCTATTTATCAAATTCTGAAAGTGAGAGCAGCGATTCAGATTATATTCCAATTGATACGCTTGCTGGAAGATATGGACCCAAAGATTTTTTATGAAACATATTTTTAAATATATTATAAATTGTTTTTACCGCACTTTCAAATAGCTTTACTCATTTTATTTATCAGTTATTATAAATAATAAACAATTTATATATTTTAATTTGTTTAGTATTTCTTCCTTGATTCATCTCTTTAATATTAAATATTTATTACTTTAAGAGTAACTGATTTTGAGTATGCTATACGTTGCTATCATTCTCGAATAATTTTCGTTATTAAATTTTTTCATTAAAAATTGAATTTAAATAAAATAGCCCTAGCATTTAATCTAAGATTAAGGTTATCTTATATATTATAATTAATTATTATTGAAATTCAGAATGAATCATTCATTAGTAATATTTATTTTATACTTAGGCTTATAAATGTAAGAATTTTTTTCAAGCTATTGATTTATATGGTGCTTATCCAAGTTTGTTGATATTTGGATATCAAAAATATTCAAGTATTCTAGGAGTACTTTTTACGATTTTAGCATCCTCATTGACATTTGCTTACTTAGTTTAAGAAGTTTAGGAATTAGTCTTGAAACAACTCCCTTAAACTATTTTAAGTGAGCATCTAGTCTTAGAAACATCGGTATGATTAAAAAATATTGCTTTAGCCATTTCCATTATCATCTAAGAATTTCACTCTAGCAGTATCAGTTGGTGACATGGATTCAAATCCTTTAACAACAATTGACAAATACTTTACAATTTCAATTGAAAATTGCAAAAGAATAAGATAATTAAACACAACTACCAATAAAATAGATGTCATTAATACGTATGCTTGAAAAGTATTGAAATAGATGCATTAACTATCCCACAGAGGCATGCACCGTTGAAAACTTTGTTACAGATATGCAAAAGGAATATTTTAATAAAATTCGATTAGGAGCAGTCTAATGCATAAAGAAAGAAGTCTTAGAAAGCAACCCTCCGGTAATGATATTTTTAATTTTGAGATACTCTAAGGAATAATTTCCGGTAATACTTATTAATATATTGCCATCAAATTTTCGGCTTGCAAAAATAGTACAGAGAAACAGGATTGTGCAACTTAGGAGTAGATAAATGAAGAGTTAATCAATGGTTTTTACGTTGTTCATATAAGTGATTCTTTGGTTTAAATGAGTAATCCTCAGGATATCCAATAAAACTTTATAAAATTGTAGTTCACATAATTTTCAATCTCAACTTCGAAAACCATCTATTCTGGATTTCGGATAATAGAATCTATTACTGATAATGGTGTATTGACTAATAATATTGTGGAAAATTAATTTTTGGTTTAATAATACCTTTAGGAATCAACTTCAAGTTACAATTCCGATTATTTAGTCAATCATTTTATAATTTTAGATAACAAATATACTAGTTATTAAAGATCCTACATCAAATTACCAACTATCTTAAGTAAGATTGGAGGTCTATGGTAATTAATATTTATAATCTTTGGGTTTATTACAAAACCATTCATTTAGACTGAAATGAAGATCAATTTAGCAAATAAATTGTTTAGGTTTTAGGAGGAGGTAAATGATCTTACTTAAAGTGTAAAAAAAGACACCAGTACAAAATAAAATTTAGAGAAATATGTATAAAAACCAGGATAAAAATTACCTGATTCATTAATAAATATTCTGTAATTCTGTTTTGGATGCAATAAGAAAAGACTAAATTCATTGAATTAAGCAAATTTGAGAATCTAAGAAAATTTAGATATAGTGGAAATAATGAGAAAATTCTAACAATTGGACAATCTAAAATAGGTTTTATTGACTGCTAATTAGAAAATTTTGTTTGATCTTATTCCCACTCCAATGATAAATGGTTAATAACAAAATAAATTGAATTAAGAATAGCATCCGGATCAAAAAATAAGTATGATTTAATTATAAATAATAGAGAATTTGGGAAGGTTTATTGAAGCTTATAAATCATTTTTTTAGATTCAAGAAATGCCAGAAATGAATGAAAATATTGGATAAAAAATAGTTAAGTGTTTAGATTAAGATATGATTAAACTATTTTATGAGCATCAATCAGACTCTGAATAAAGATAGGTTTTTTAATTTTAATTTGAAGAGAGAAAATCTAAAATAATTGTTGATGGAAACTACCAAGATTTTGAATCAAAAATGAGTCTTTCTCCTTCGAATTCCAATTGTTAAGAGATTTAAGCTGTTAAAATTTTTCTTAATAACTAGTAAATTAGAAGAAATTTTGATAATTGATAAGTTTGATACATTATATATCAACAACTAAATAATATTGTAGTTTATAATAGATTTTAATGAGATCTAATATTATAATTTAATTTCTATTTTACTATATTTATCAAGTGTGAAAATAGAATTTAGATATTTTTTAAAGGTCAATTATTATATGTTAGAGAATTGTTATTTTATTAAAAATCAATAGTATTTAAGACTTTAATGATAGTCATAGATAAAAGTTTTACTAAAACTGTTTTTTCATTTTGCTTACATTTCCCAAGAAAACTTCCTTAGGAAATCTATTTTTGGATACTAAATCCATTTATTTTCCAAATGTCTAAAGGAATGGATCTTAGTTAGGTGGATTCATAGGAGGCAAGAATTTTTGTTTTTTTAAAGAATTGTCACAAAAAGTAGAGAAGTTATTTGATTAAAATTCTCGTTTTTAAAACTAACAGTGATCAGTTTCATTATTACTGTCGTCATTAATCAAATTCGGTTGGCTATTATTGCATAGTTGATCTTTGTGATGAATACTAAAGGCTCTAGGTTTTGTTGCAAAAGTTTTTCTTTCTTGTTGTTAACTAAATTATCTGGTTTTTCGAAGTTAATTTAATTAGCATTTAAGGTGTTCTTGACGTTAAATAAATTATAGTAACTATGTTTTGATTGTTAATTACCTAGCATTGTTTAACAACTAATTTAGATTGGTAAGCTGAGATAGACATTGGATGCTCATTCTAAAGGTAATTAGATTATTGAGAGAGGTTTCTTATCTATTTGTTATCTTGGTAAGGTTTATCTTACATTATAAGATGAATAAAATAGGAAATAATTAATAACTTGGAATTGGAATTAAATAATGAATTGATGATGAAATAAGAAATGATATTTATAATATTAATATGCATTTGTTGCGGAGTCGTAGTTCAAATAAAATTAAATGAAATAAAATAATAAATTATATATAATATATATAATGTCTTACAAATTCATTTTGAGCAATAAGAGTTAGTTTTCAAAGGATCGCAACGTTAATATAGATTATACTCCTGTTTTTAATATGTAAAACCAATCCTCATTGATATAGATAGTTGTAATAAAAATTGAATATTTTTCCAATTTTCAATGATGATCATTAGGCCACAACTCCTGGATTTATCATTGAATATGAGAAAGTATGAATGATTCATATATAAATTTAGCCTGCATATGAAAGCAATTTAAACTATCATTAACAATTATTTAATCAAAAAATTGAATAAATAAAAATAAAAAATAAATAATTGGTACCATTTTATATGAGTATTTTAGCTGATTCCCAAGCCAAAACATCGAGTTTAGATTTGCTCAGTTTGTAAGACTAAGTATACAGATTACTTAACTGTATTTAATAAGAAATTAAATTAATTAGCATACTTAATCAAATTCGCATAAAAAGTTGTTCTTAGCATCACCTTATATCAAGAAGATTGAGAAGATCTAAACTGATTTGAGTTAGCAACTATCAAATTACAATTCTTAATCAACAGACACAGAGGAGGCTTCATTATTAGATTAGGGTAACAGAAAGAAAATAAAACTGGAGATGTCCTAAATGATTTCAATTACTGAATGATAACAATGTATTATTGTAAAATTCATTTAATCTTATTAAAGTTTTTCCATTTAATATCCATATTCTAAATTTATTTTTTAAATCATCCACATTATTCAAGTCTCATTACTTCTCTAAAGGGAATCTCAAATTTTCATATTTTAATTTCTTTCAAAATTCTTTGATTATTTCAATAACAATCCAACCCATATAAGAAAAACACATAATATCCTATGAATTCAGATTAGATTCAATCTATTAAGGAGAGTTATATTAATCTTATTTCGAGAAATGTAGAAAACTTTAATAAAATTTAATAACTTATTGTTATTTATCAAATAGTCTTAATTAGATATATTATAATGAATGTTGGTTTAGTACAATCATGACAAAAAATAAGGATGTCTTAAGGCTTCACTGCAATTGATTCTTTTTGATGGACTGAAAACAAAGATCTTAGACAATAGATCAATTAATAAGGGATCAGTTTTCTAATTCAAAACAATATAAATAAATATCATACTTAGTTTCTTAGCCTATAAATTGGGAATGTAGAATTAACATCCCAACTCAGCTTTTTCTAATTCATTAGGAGTACCCAGAAATTTACATATTTCAACAATCTAATCAACGGTATTCTGACCAAAAAACAACTGTTTTCCCAATTCCAATTCAGCCAATATACAACCAGCTGCCCATATATCAATTTTAGTATTATAAAATATTTAACCGAATAGTAATTCTGGTGCCCTATAAGCTCTTGAACATACATAACTCAAACTCTTAGATCCATCCATTTTTTTAGCACTTCCAAAATCAGCGAGATATATGTTTCCACTTTAATACAAAATGTTTGCTGGCTTAAGATCTCTATGCATTATATTTTATGACTCCAAATATTCTAATGCTTAAAACAATTATTTCGCCACTCTTTTTATTGGAACTCTGATTGCATTTTTCAAATTCCCTTGATACAAATCCATGACCAAATGCAAATATTTGGTCTTATTTTCATAAGTATGGTAATGATCACGTAAAGGTGCAATATGTGGATGACGCATGTTTGTATGTATTTCCAACTCTCTATTTATTTATTTTGGGTCTTGGAGTACCTTTTTCATTGCATAATAACCACCATGCAACTTGTCCTCCACAATAAATATGGTACTATAACTACCCTATCCTATCTGTTCTAAGATTTAATATTTATTTGATTTGTTAATGTTCTGATTATTCAAAGTCATGTATTTAGGTATCAAGCATCTCTCCTGTGATGTGGACAATTATTGTTTATCACTGGGAGTTACCCTTCTTTTTTTTGATTTACTTTAATTGATTTACATATTTATTTATTTATTTCCTCAATAAAATTCAATTATTTTTATACATATTCTACTCAATGATTGTATATCAATTTCTAAGAGAACTCTTATTGGCATCATACTAAAAAGCTCAGAAAGATTAAGATAATTCAGATAGTGTACATAAAAAAATAAGGATGTTCCATAACACAGTATAATTTTAAATTTGACTTAATCAAAAGGTGTACTCAAAATTTGAAACTTGTGAGGATAAAAATGACTGTATCATACTATTTTAGATAGGAAAGTATAGTAGACTTTAATTTAGAGTGTGGGATAATTAAGGTCAAATTGAAAGCCATATTAATTTAGGTATGTATTATAAAAAGCAGAATATATTTGGATTTTACAAATTGAACTTTAATGTATTAAAATTATTGAGTGAATAAAAATACTCACTTAAGAAAAGAGAAATTATTACAGAAATAAAAATAAGTCAAATTATTTTTAATTGTTAATTAAAATTGCTTTGCTTGATTATGTCAATAATTTACGTGGGTTTGTTAAAGGAGGAGAGGTAAAATTAAAAATGTTGAAGAAAGCAGGCGTTCTTAGACACACCAATTTAAAATCAACTCCAATGGATTTTATTAATTTAATTGAGGTTGATTAAATTCAGTATATTATAATATTAAATTGAGTGAAAAGAATTAAATAGGGAGAGTTAAGGTATGAATAGTAATACATTTAAAAATTGAAAATAGGGGAAACAAGAAATGGAGAGATAATTTCGAAATTAAGTGAAAATAGCATTGAATCATCAATTATGGAATAAAGTATAACAGAAGGAAAAGAATTTGTAATTCCCCAAGAAATATAATTAAATTATATTAAAATGATAAAATCTTATTAAATAATAAAAAGGAGATAGATAGAGAGATTATAACTTAATTATTATTATTTAATTAATATTATTGATGCAAGTAAAGTTATCCTTTTTCGACGATGCCAAATTCTCAAATTCTTTTTGGGAGAAAACAAACATTTAGATTGAGGAGTAAAAAATTGACTTTCAATCTGTCCTGTTCGAAAAAAGTAATAAAACTGGTTTTTGGACAAGCAAAAACTATATCATTTAAGATGGCAAATTAGTAAAGTTGAGGGTATTTAATTAATAACAAACCAAAGCCAAATAAGAAAAATATTCACCATGTTGATCTGGGTGTATCAAGAATAGAGAGGATCAAGTATAAAAATGAATAGGAGTCCGATGCTTGTAATAAAGTATTCAATAATATATATAAATTTAGAAGAAGTATGGTTTTCGAATAATTCGTAATTAGAAATTCAAAGAACTGTATTCAAGATCTAAAGAACTAAATTAATAAATTTGGGATTTTCTCAAAAAGCAGTGTCTCCAACTTACATTCAAAGAAGAGTATGTTATTGAGAGGATGATAGGTAAAGGAAATTTTGCAAAAGTAATTCCATTTACTATGACAGGTGTATCTTTGTACTAAAAAGTCTGATAAACTGTAATATGCAGTTAAGGCATTTGAAAAAAGTAAGATGCTCAACTCAGAAACTGATAAATAAGCTTTAATTAAAGAAATGTCAATCATGAGGAAGTTGAATTACAAAGGCTTAATAAAAATGCATGAAGTCTTTGAAGATGATACCCATATCTTTCTAGTTCAAGACTATTTATAAGGAGGTGAATTGTATTAATAGATAAAGAAGAATTAAAAGTAGTCTGAACCCACAGTTGCTACTGTTCTGGCTACTTTATTGGATTCTTTAGATTATTTACACAAAAAGAACATACTTCATAGAGATCTCAAACCAGAAAATATGATATTGCGTAAAAAAGGAGTCTTGGAAGACGTAGTAATAGCAGATTTTGGATTGGCTGACTTTTATGATCCATTAGGTAATTATATGTTTCAGAGATGCGGAACTCCTGGATTCGTGGCTCCAGAAGTACTTTAAGATAAGATCTATGACTCGAAAGTTGATATTTTTAGTGTTGGTTGTCTGATGTTTCTTCTGATTGCCGGTAAATCACCGTTTAAGGGTTCCACTTATGATGAAGTTGTTATGAGAAATTATCATTGTAAGATTGATTATCCTTCCATTGACACTATTATTAGTAGTGCAGGTACAATATCATAAATTATTCTTAGGATTATCACTATTGAAATTATTGTTACATCCTCGACCATCATAAAGACCCTAACCTAGAGATGCCTTAAGACACGAGTGGTTTATGATCAACCTAGATAAAACAAGATATTCAGAGTTAAACAAATCATCAGAAGAATATATTTAAGATACTAAAGATACTATTAAATCAAGTAATACTGATGCAGGTAGTTGTGGATTCATGAAAAATTTTATCGGTCCTTCCAATTTCGACAAACCTGAATTTATGACTCCATAATAAAATTGCATTGGAAATAAAAAAAAAGAAAATCTTCTTTTCACTCCCCAAATTTCTGTTATGCAATAAATTTAAGAATAATTTAACGATAGTGAAGAACAAATGTCTATTAAAAATTTAGATGATGACTTTACGGATATGATATTCGATGATGAATCGCCACAATCTCATAGACTACCTTAATATCAATTGGTAGGTAAGCTTAAATAAGCTGTTGATTCAAATAATTCTTCTTATTATGCATCACCTATCATTAAAGTAACATATCTATTTGTAACTAATTTAATAGAAAACTCCAGAGAATCTTTCAAAGGATATTAATCCTAGAGTTATGACAATCAAAGAAAAAATATATGAATAATAAACCTAGCCAAAGATAGCCAGCAAAATAAAGAACAATTTGAAAAATCTTGAGCAATTATGAATTAATGACTAAATAATTAAATTTAATAATTTGTATGAATGTTTTCAAAATCTATTTTCAAATCTCACTCAAATTCTCATCAATACATAAAATTCAAAATATTATGAAATTCTTACCATAAAATCTCTAGACAAATTCTTAAATCATCTTGGATTATATTAGTCAATTTAATTTTTATTGATACATTAAAATAAAGTAAAACTAGTTTTAGTAAAAATGATGAATTTATAAAAAAGGGTATTAGAATTGTTTAAGTTGAATATAAGAAGTATATTTAATTATTTTATTATTGTTTTATCATCATGAAACTATAGCTTACAGAAAAAATGCAATAAAAATTCTATATATCCTGTTTGACTAACAAACTTAATCTTTGAAAAAGCTAAGTAAATAAGGCTATACTTTAAAATGATTTGAACTGCCGTTTTATGATTATATCAATAATTGGTATAGTATCAAAATTAATTATTATTTAACATAATCAAACTAGATTTTAATGATTATAGAATTAAATTAAGTTACTGAGTACCAAACTAATTTGAGAACAAATTGAAATCATTTAATCTAATTTTTATTTTCTATATTATAATTATAAATCTCTAGAGAATTAATTATTAATACAGAGTTGATGATTTATGAAACCAATTCTCATTTCTATAATTTGAGAGATATATAATTTTCATGATCAATCTTATTAAAGATTTAAAAATAAACCAAACTAATAAATAAAAAAGATATAGACTATAATTTAATATCATAACATAATATATTGTACAACTTAAATATGGCTGTCTAGATGTATTGAACTCTTCTAATACTTTAATTGAAATATCTAATTTCCAATTCAAAAATGAACTCTGAATTGTTGTGTAATAAAGAAACGAAAAATGCGGTGTAGTACTATCTTGACATAGGTTTTGTTTTTGTCTAAAGTGATTTGATTAATGGTACCAAAATCTAAACTCAACCTGCTGAAGAATAAAGAGAAGGGTTTAACAAAATTCTCTATAATCTATAGGATCTAAAATATCTATTGAGTATTTATTACATTTACAACTTGCTTCAGAATTTACTAAGCTAAGCTTTTTGATAATATAATCTAATAATTCTTATCTGTCTAAGAAATTATCTTTTCGTGGAGTCTTAGCCCTATATTAAAAAATATAGTGAGATTAGATTTTGTTATAGAAGAATTTAAGAAAAAAGGTTTTATTTTGAGATATTGATATATTTAATATTCGGCAAATTTGATTTATATAAAAAGATTAATTTTTAATATATATTTATTTAAAAATTTAGATTAATGTTAAAAGAGAAACTGCAAGAGATAAAGGATTCAAATACAAATTTATATTAACATTTGAATAATGTATTGACTAAGATATTATTGGATAATCCAAAAGTAAGAATATATGTTTAAGTATAATTGTAGAATGCTTTTGAATTATTTGAAGATTATTCATTTTAGGTAAAATCAAGTGGATTTTCATTTGATAAATATAATGAATTTGATAATGCAGAGAGAACAAAGATTTCAATGGATTAAGCTATTTAATAGAAGACATTAAAGCTAGTCAATAAAATTAATCTTGGAACTGATGAAGAACCTTAGGAAGCAACTTAAACTGGATATTTACCTAATTTAACAGAAGAAGCTTATTTATATGAATGGGCTGGTATTGGAATTGATGAAAATTATAAAATATTCAAGGCATTATCAGTAATTTATATATTAATATTTAGTTATTATCTGTTACTAAATAAGCATCTAAATTAAGATTTTGGGGTAAAATCATGGCAAGAGAAAAGGATTATTATATTGCTGAAGGAGTTGCTAATAGTCAAGTTGAAGATGGGGAATTACCACCTGAAGTTGAACCTAGAGGATCTGGAGTTAATACTAAATCTTATTGGGCATGCACTGATATCTTAAATGATAAGGATTGGGTTGAATTACCTTTGATTACACCTTAATAAATCAATGTGTCTAGATAAATTAAATATATGTTTACAGGTAATTTAGAAGCTGATGTTATTACTAATCCTTATTTCTTTGGAAAAGAAAAACATTTATTAAAAGCATAAATTGTTAGAATTACTTAATCAACTGTTATTATTCCTAAAGGTTAATATATTTTAAGAGAAGGTGAACCAAGAGAAATAGATTAAACACCTGAATATAAATTACCAGGATTTCATGAATTAAAAACATTAAATGATTGGATGCATTTCAATACAAATATATTAAATGTATATATATATAATATTTATATATTAGTGTGGTAGATTAGTTCATTTAATACCATCTGAATTACCAGATGGTGTAGAACCAGATATTTATTAAAAATAAATAGAAGCAGCTGATCCATTTGAAAATAGATTGAAATAATTATCAAATGATAAATTACCAAATAATAAACCTGCTTGGAAAATTAGAATTGTTGGAGATACAACTGATTATAATCCTTTAGCTAAAGACACCAATAATAAAGTTAATAATGGTGTTATTATCATTAAATCTTTAGTTTGGCCAGGATTAGTCACTGTCTATTCTGTATTAATTTATTTAATCTATATCATAGAACAAAGTATTGTCATAATTATATTATGGTTATGGTTTCAAGGCAACAACCAATCATTTCTATCCAAAATAACCATAATAAGTATAAACAGAACAACCAGATCTTCCTGAATAGCCAGAACCAAATTTCCCAGCTGAAGTCCCTTAATAACAATAAGATTGATCATTATTATTATTAAATTATGGAATAAGAGGATACACTTTATTTTATATCATTATTTCATAAATTAATTCATCTAAGATTGACTCAATAAATTCAAGTAAAAATTGAGTAGACTTTTTAAAATATTAATATTATATAATAGGCATTTTTCATATAGATTCTATCAATTTTTATGTAAATCATATAAATACGTATATTAATACATAAGTAATATCATTCCCTGTCACTATCTTAATATATTTCAAACATTAAAAATAGTAATTAAGTATAGTATTGTATCAAATTGATGTTGAGCGATGTGTCATTACTTTATTTTGGTTATTTAAATTTGTAAGTTTTCTTTTTAGCTTTCTAACCTACTTTCCTAATTCTTATCACTTTTGTAAAATCAGCTCTGCATTAAGGACATGTAAGATTCTACTCTGACCATTTTTAAATACATTAGAAACAATATGTATGTTTACAGTTTTTAATAATTCCCTTATCATATGTAAAGAAGATATTACTTGATCTGCTATAGAGGAGTAACAAATACTACAGGTTATTTCTGTAACTTCTGAAATATTAATAGCACCATCCTACTCCTAAACCTACTCTTTGCTTATGCTTTTTTCAATTTTTAATTTAGGCTAACTTGAACTTTATTTTTCATTCAATTTTTATTTACCCATTCTATTTATTAATTAAAATATTAATCTCATAAATAATAATTATATCAAATTCTTTAGGTTTATATAAATAAAATGCTAGAATTTTATGATAAATTATAAGATTAATTTAATATATTAATATCACTATTATAATGAAGCAAATTTATCAAGTAATTAAGTCAATCCAAGCTCCATTGCAAGATTCATCATGTCAGCTATTTAGTACTTGGATTTAATCAGTTTATCTTCACATTGTTATAATTGGGATTCTAATTGTTTGACCTTTTATTTATACTGATATTAACTATTGATTAGGTCATCTAATTATTTCTTTTAATTCGAATTAATCATCTAAGGTTATGCATAATTTTTACTTTTTAAGTAAGTTCTTCTTCTTAAATTTAATTTAGCTTTCCTTATAGTTCTTTTAATTCATCCAATTTCTCTTTTAATTTTACATTTTCTAAGCCAGCATTTCCTTATTCTAAGATTATTACCAATAAAATTTACTTTATTTGATGTGTTATTCATACTGTTAAACTTTTTACATCAAATAAGATTCCTTCTCTTTAAAACTTTACTCAAGTTCTTTCTTCTAATGTAACACCTATTTATATTTTTCCTTGTAATCTTTTTCTTCATCTCCAAGGACTTTAACAATTTAGTTTGTTTTACAAGCATTTAGTTCTTCCTATAATTTATTAATATCATCAAGCTTAATTAGTGATGTAAATTACCTATTCATTATATCTTTAAGTTTTATAATCCAATTATTTTTGTAACACTTTATTTTGGGCTTCCATTTTCTTTAATTATGCTTGCAACTATTTCAATTATATAGTTGATGATTATTATTAGTCAATATTTTTATCTTATTGTTCCAATTACTATTATAAATTTTCAATCTATTATTTAGATTCTTATTGTAAATTTTAATATTCTTGTTGTTGTTTCTGAAGGGCAACGTTCATCTCATTAATTCTTTATCTAAGATTTTATATTTCCATTTAAAACACTTTTTCGTTTGATGTTGAATCCCTTTAAAATTGAACTGTTTAAACAATATTTTATTGTGGTTTTTATTAACTTTTTAATTATTATAATTCTAAAGTTAATTGAGTGTTAATGGAAAGGGCTTATTCTTTTTAATTTTAGGCTTTTCTTAATTACTCGTGCAATAGACTTATTTGTTGAAGAGCTTGATTTTACTCTGGATTCTCTGCTGGCTTTGCAAATAACATTTCCTCTTTTTCTTATTAAATTTTCTAATTTATAGCTTGTAATTGCTTTATCATTCCATCACTTCTTTCTTTTTCTCCCTATAATTTCTAATATTTTTCGTTCATCTTATTTAATTCATTTTACAATTAATCAAATTTCGACCTATTTTTTTTTAATTCTCCATCATTCTAAGTGAATAATAAAGTAGATTACTAATGAGGTGTCCCTTTTCATTATTTCTATATCCTTTTATAATTTCTCATATTCAGCTTATAGTTTTATATGATCTATCCTCACAATGTTATAATCAGATTCAATCTGATTTTTAATATTAATTAGATACCTTCTTACAATTTTCGCATTCCTTTTCATCAAACAAGCTAGTCATAATTAGATATTTAATAAATTTATAAATATTTATATAAATATCATCAGCTGTATATTCTTAAATAGGACTTTATCAATAAGCTGTACTGGATTGTAAATACATTAAAAACTCATAATAATTTCCTATTAGACTGATAAAATATAGAACATTTTAAATAGATTTAATTATGTAACAATGATTATAAAATTCTTACTTAGGCAATTAAGGAATAGATAATAAATGATTCAAATGATGATTAATTGAAATAAACTTAATGACATTATCACATATAAATAATAATTCTCATTCCACTATTTCTTAATTTTAAGCATGCTAATTCATTAAATATAATGCATATTACGCTATTACTTTTTATAATTCCTCCTTAATTTCTTAAGTTTACATTTATTGATAAGCTTCTTTCCAATAATTTAACTTTACATTAATTGTTAAGAATGAATTCCAAGAATTTTCTTATGCAATTCTATTGATTGAATTATTCATTTCAATTATACTATGTACCTTGATTTCATATTTGTCGACATTAGTTTGTAAATTGAATTTATAAAGTTTATCATATAATGGTCTTATTTACTTTTTTTGGTCTATTTGTTTCTTTTAACTTTAAGAGGAATATCTCTAATATTTCTATGGTATTTCAATATATTAGTTCAATTTGGTTGGAAATGATTCACTTCTATTGGATTTGATTTTATGATCAAACAAGGATTTGGTTCCATTTGAACCTGCCTAAGTTGAAGTGTTCTATTCATCTTTCTGCATTAATGAAACCTGCTTAGACAGTATTAATTATTATGATTCATCTATTTTAGTTTCAATTTGTTATTCATATTCTTTTGGTGACATTTTTTATGGCTTTTTATCCAGAAGTTTCTTCTTCTTCTTTTCAATTGATTATCCTCTTTCTTCAGTAGATTTTTCTATTTATTATTGTGGTTGGGATTTCTTTTTCTTTCCAGAATGCTAAACTACTTCCTTTTTTTAACCTTTCATTTTATTATTCATCCCGTTAACTGGTGGCACTTGATTTAATTAAGTCTTCTCTTGGGGCTAAGGAGATGATAGTTGAGAATCAGTTGTTCCCCAAGTCTTTTTCTTATTCTTTATCAATTTTCTTATTCCTTCTCCCCAAAGGGCTGATGCCTAGAAAAATACTGAAAGAAATCTGAATGATTATAAAAACTGAATTACCTATTAATGTTAACCAATTATCTGATCACTGCTTCAAACAATTAAATCATATCCTTCTGTTTTCTGACTGAATCTACATAGATATCTGATACAGCTTAAGTTAGATTACTGTATTCCGAATTTAATATTAGGTAATCATTAATGATCATTAAGTCCAAGATATGGAGGAACACTATGACTATAGTTCCAACACATTTTTGCAACACGAACTTTTTGTTAATTACATTCAAGATTTCAGTATGAAGTAAATTAATCACCAAGCCAACCAAATATAAAGTAATTGAGGCTCTTATAAACTAAAATTAGTTCAAACTTACTTACTTCAGGGTAAAAACTGCCAAAGTTGTGATTATAAAGCGAAGATGAGATTTGTTAAGCTTATTGTAATTATTTTTGAGAAGTAAGACCATATTGTTGGAGTGAATTTTGATTTTTTGCTTTTTGATCACCTCGCAGAGATGCAAACAGTAAAATATTGATTCCAATCTAGCAAGTCTTTATCGTCACTACTCTGAGTTCTTCTAAACGCAGACGCAATGTTAAATAGAGGTTCTTGATTTTAGAACTCATAAGTATTAAATAATTACGTTTTTCTAAATTTCTTAATATAACATTATTCTCATCATTACGATTACTTCACAATGCAAGCAATAAACTGTCATCATAAATATTCATTTCCACATCAATTTTCATCTACTCACAATAAATAACTAGATCTTAGAGAAAATGGAAAAATAGAAACAACATCTACTTAAAGTTATACTCAAAATTAATATCATAATCATAGCACATATGAATAATATTATTACAAATTACCTAATGCTTACCCTGAAGATTTTAAAAACTTTAGATATTTTATATAATTCAAAAATTCTACATAGTAATAATTAATATGAATTTCTCAAATTAATTATTTTTATTAAAATGGTTCTATAGCGATCTCATTAATTCTTTAACTAATCACTCCATTTATTTTTAATCAATCTAATGACTAGTAGGACCAGTATTATTATTAATATAAATTATCAATTAAGAATTTTATAACTTTATAAACATTTTAAACATTTTCATCTTTTTCGATTCAATTAAGTTCTTAAACTTTAGGTTTTAGCTTACTTTATACAAAATAGCGTATTGCCAATAGAGTTTATAAATTTGAATGGATCTATGGAGTTAAAAATGGAAATTTAAAATAAAAACAAGATTTGAGTTTTATTTAAAGTAATTCATGAATGAATTGAATTAATTCATATTCATAAGGCTTATGGGTTAAGAAATAATATGCTTAAAAGGTTCTTTGAGGTTTCTGTTAAATTCATCAGTCAGATTTCCTCATTATAAGTTTTTTCATTAAAATTTGATTATAAATACCTGGTGTTGAAAAAAGTATTTTTAATATTTTTTTTAAGATTTTAGTATACAAATGAATACTCATACAATTACTTATCCTAAACCTTTAGTTCGCATATTGCAACATTCAAGAGCAGATACCTCGAGTGTTTCATCAAATCAATCTTACGAATCTCATTTCACAGATATCGAAAGACCTTAAAATCCAATGATCAAGAATTTCATAGACAATCAAGAAGATGATCTCGAAAGCTTCTTTGATCAACTAGAATGAACAATCTTTTCTTATGATTTGTCTTATTTTGTGTAGTATATTAACTGAATACATATTTAATTACACCATAAATGAATTTATTCTTATGGAAGCACTTAGATGTTTCAATTATATAATATTCCTTGTTTATGCTAACTTATATTTGAATTTAAAGCCGAAACAATATCAAATTTTTTAATGTTTTAAATGTAATATTAGAAACCCTCTTGTTTGGAGAAGCATGAAAAATAAATCTATATTTGCCCAATTAAGATCTTGTGATCTTTTAAATAATTTTAAGAATTTCTCCTCATGATTATCTTAAAAATATATGATAGATGATATTTATTATTTAATGGCAGCACCCAGCTACTTATTTTTACAACTACAGAAAAAGAATACTTAGTAACACAATACAGTTTCACTTAAACTCAATAAAATTTCTTGATTGCTCTAAAAATCTGTTTGAAAATATGCAAAGAGGAAAAGTTTCCATATATCACATCCATTGATCAATAATTTTATTGCTCACAAATTCTGAAACTCCAAAAGCCTAAAAACTTTGCCTGAGTGGAAGAATAAATTGGTACATATATCAACAATTCCAATATCAATTTAACAAGTACTACAAATAAAAAGTAATAATGGGGATTCTTTGAATGAATTTTGAAAAGACAGGTGCATTTATAAATGACAAACCTAATTAGAGTATAAATAATGGTAGTTTAAGTGGGAAACAATATTATATTTAATCAAATAGTACTCTTATGAATAAAAAAAGAATTTTATAATGAATAGGTAATTCTTAATATCGTATTAATTGGAAGAAAAAGGAAGAAGAGGGTAGAGAAGGTAGCTTCAATTTAAAAGAGGTTTCATGAAAGATTAACAATGTTTATCATTAAAAATCAGGAAAATCATCATCTGCTAATGGATCTATTAACCTTGCACTTTATCCTGTTAAGATATGTTTAATAACACTTTCATTTTCTGCAATTTTTCTTTCATATTCTTTTCTAAAATCAGGGAAATGATATAATAGTATTTCCTCATAAACCATGTCTATTGGATATTTAGTTACAAATACCTTTTAATTATTCTGTGGTTAACTCATACAATTCAAATTCAAATTCTTTGTCACTCACTGGTTGACGATATGGCTCATCTTCTGGAGAATGAAGATCCTCGAAATAAGGGTGAGCCAATGCTTCATCTGCTGTAATTCTTTTAGTGAAATCGATATCCAGTAGCCTTTCTAATAAATCATACCCTTGAGGAGAAATTCCTTTGATGATTTTGTCCAGTGGAACTTTCTAAAATTATCCCAAATGAACCACAGCTTCTAACATCTTTTGTTAGAAGAAAGGATCTTTATAATTCTTGATATCTTGTTTATTTGGAGTTCCCATAGTTTCAAATATTAATTTTAATTAAGATTCTGCAGATGCTCCTCTCCACAGTGCTTTGCCACGTACAATTTCAGCAAAAATGCAACCTACTGACCACATATCTACAGCCTTGGTGTATTGTTTCAATCCTAGAAGCAATTCAGGAGCTCGATAATATCTAGTTTCCACATAATCAGTCATCACATTTGGATTCTAGCCATTGAGTCCTTGACTGAGCAATGCTCTGCTCAAACCAAAATCGCAGACTTTTAACATGCAATCTTCTTTATTTAAGAGGATATTTCTTGGCTTTAAATCTCTATGTAAAATATTGGCAGAATGCATATATTTAATTCCCCTCAAGATTTGATACAGAAATAACTTATAATGATCTTCTGTTAATTTTGCATGTTCTCTTTCCAAAACTTTACGTAAGTCAGTATCTAATAATTCTGTAACCAAATAACTAAAATTATTTAATCACTTTACATGTCATTCATTGATACTCTGGATTTGGGCAAAGCAATCGTGATTAAATTAACAATCTAAGAGATATATTAAAGAATACATTTTCATGTTTAAGATTCCTCAATATTTTCAATTCTCTCAAAGTACGTTTAGCATAAAAACGGTGTTAAAAAGTCTTCTCGATTTTCTTTATTGCCACTTTCTTAGGCCCTTCAGGAGGAGCCTTCAAATCATCTGCTTGCAACACCACTCCGTAGGCTCCACTTCCCAATTGGTTTGTGGGATTGTACCTTTTATCCAATATGAAATTGTGATCCCCTACTTTAAACACATTGGCTGTGTAATTTTTTTGAGTGTACTAGGCATATTATTCTTTGATGTCCATATAATTATTACTTATAATTAAAATTATATTAATAATCAATACTAAATTTAAAATTTGCAATCCTATATTAATAAATGCAGAGAACTATCATTTTTAAATTTTAACCAATCATTATTATAACTAAAAGTGAGATTTTTGGTAAGTCTATCTACATATTGGACAATTGTTAATCTAAGCCATTGAATATCTTTCAAAAGAATTCAAACAATTAGCATGAAACATGTGCGAACAACTCAGTAAAAACACCTTCGTATTTACCATACTCTGTAAACATATTGTGCAATCAACTTCCTTCCTTTCTAGAGCCACTTTCTTTATGCTAATCCAATCCACTTTTATAATTGGTTACAATTTAGCCATCTACTCGTTATTATGTTTCATTTGCTATATCTGATTTAAATTGTTCTCCATCTGTTCTTACTTTATTTGAATATTTTCACCCAATTGATTTATTGCTTATTGTGCTTAATTACCCTATTATTAAATAGTCTTTGACATTCTTGAAGAAATCCTTGATAATTTGTAAAAAAGCAATTTCCTCCTCAATAAGTTGTTTTCTGGTCTGTATTACATTCTTATCATCCTCTCATAAAACTGCTTTCTACATCTAAATTATCGAAATAATGCCTATATTTTAATTATTGATTTGATCTTATATTATTTGTTAGCCACCATAAATTGCTTCTTCTCATAGTCCTATCTTCTACAAATAGGACATTGTTTTGTTTACGAGACCCTCTCAAAACTTTCTAAACAGGTTTTATGATATATGTGACTACAACTCAAAATCACATGTTATTGCATTCTGAATTTCTCTAAGCAAATAGGACATACACAATTTTATATATCTTCCCTTTTTAATGACTGTTCCTCAACCTAAGCCCATTCTTCTTAATTTAGAGGTTTTGGAGGTGATGGTACTAATCCTAGTTTTTAGGCTAGTGATAACTATTTTGAATTTATCTTAGGCAGTTTGAATAGTTATCTGCTTAAATGATCTTACAGTGCTGCAGCATTAATACAGAACTTATCCTATTGTTTATCCTAATTACTCTTTTATTGTTTAAACTTTTTCATATCAATAATTTATATATTATAGTTCAGTTATCAATTGCATATACTTTTTCTCTACTTCTAGTTTTTTTCTCTTTAATTATTTCTCTAATACCACTAGGAGTATAATTTATGTATTGGATTCTTTAGAGAGGAGCTCTCTAAAAACATCTCAATATTATAAAGATTGTACTAAAACAAACTAAGATTCCAGCCATAAAGTATTCTATCATACAATACTAATCTTTTTTTGTATAACACCTATTAGATAAATATAATAATAATTTTATTTATAAAGACAACAAATAAAAATCAAAACTTCTTATTATTTCCGTATACATCCTCATTATAGTCATAATATGATGAATTCTTTAGTTATGCTTCTTAATTTATTTATGATACTTGAATATTTTCAGACATTGTAAGGACTCAATTCATTAATGTCTTTTGTTTTCTTTTTTTAATTGATGATCTTATCGCATCAAATCTAACCTCCTTTTACATCAATAAAATTTATCACAACAGCAGAATTCGATATTGATTTACTTATTATCTTATAATTTTCAAATAAATTATGAAATTACTGATTCAATTGAGCACAAGCATCCATGAATAGTCAATAATAATATGTTTCCCATTATTTATTGACTAAGCTCTAAAAATAAATCATACTATGATTAAACAGATTCTTATAAATCTCTTGCCAAAGTATTTTCTTATCTATGAATTCAAAGAATACCATTTTCGTAATTTAATGGATTATAATTAACTTATTATAAGGATAAGTTTCAAAAAGTAAAATAGCAATATCTAATCTGAATTCATTGTTGTTTTGCTAAAGTTAATTAATACATTTTTTTTTCTATTTAAAATCTCTATTCTTTTATTATTAAGCATTTTGTGTTAAATTGCAATAGAGTACCAGCATTAAAGAAGTTTTAGTCTCTAATTAAATCTGAATTTATTTTTAATTTAAAATTATATTATAAATTATATAAGCTAATTAAAAATATTAAATTTGATAAATAATGTGAATTTTTGAATGGAATAAACCACTAATTTTAAATTAAAGAAGCAGACTAATAATTCAAAATTTTCATTCATGATTCATATATATTTTATAAAGATGAGGTTATTCTTTATAATCAATTATAAGTTATAGCAATAATTTCTTATTTTTAGATAAATTCAAATTAATATCTCTATTGAAATCTGTGATTGCTTTATAGAAAACAAATTCTCTTAAAGATCTTTGACCCCTCTATTAAAATGCCCTTCATGCATTCGTTAATGAAAAAGAATTCTTAATTAAATGCAATCCTATCTGCAATCTATAATTATTCAATACAGTTCTGTTTATATATTAGAATCATCAAATAAATTTGTAAAAACAGTTGAGATCCACAATGAATATCAAATTTTAGAGTTTTATTTTTTTCTTGCAAAAGAATAAAAAAATAAGGAGAATAATTTTTCTGAATTATATTATGATTTCAATTATAAAAAATATATTGTGGATTCATATATATTTTAAATTATTTTCCTATATAAATATTGAAAGAAAGAATGTAGAAATTAGAAAGTTTTATAATATTTATAATAGATTCTAATAAAACGAATAGGATTCATGTAATTGAGAAAATTCTACCTTTTTAACATTTTCTGAAAGAAAGATTATTTGATTTTCTGACAAAGTGAATTAATTATTGAAAATTTATATAATATTAATAACTACATAAGTTACTATTGCATAAGAACTTTATAAAAAACAATCCTTGTGGACTTTTAAATATAAATATCAGATTGGTTATTGTAATCACCGAACATACAGGCTTACTCACGGGTTCGTATGTGAGTAACAACAGCATGCTCTAAGGCCGATAACGAATGTTTTCATCATACAAAAGAGTGAATGAGTTTTGTATATTGGTAAGAAAAAATAAATATTTTTAATTATGGGTTCTTTCAATATTCATTTAGTTATATTTAGTTTTGATCTCAACATTGCGAAAAACAATATATATAGTTTTAATAATTAAATAAATATGGGAAATAATTATGAAGGTTAATGTAGTGTTTTGAAAAGAGATTAAATGATAGGTCTCATATTTAGAAAACTAATCAGATATAAATTTAATTAAATAAACCAATCGAATCTTCGAGTAAGAGTAGCTCAACTAAAATGATTAAAAGAATATTGTGTTGATTGAAAGCATCAGAAATTTATAATCAATTATGATCATAAAAAGTGTATTTATAATGGTTTAACATGAACAGAAGAACATAAAGCATAGGCAAAATATTATCTTATTGGAATAGATATCAAGTTCGAAAAGATCTTTGACCTATAATAAAGAGTTAAAAAGTTGCTAATAATTAAGTAATCAAATCAACAGAAAGTTGCTTTGGTGGATTAGAAAATGAATCAATTTACATAAGTATTGAAGGTAGGGATTTTAATAGATTGAAAAAATTACGCGATAGAAAAATTGTTAGGAAGCGGATTTGTTAGAAACCTGATTGAGTCATTTATTAAGGAGAATAGTAAGATAAAATTCAAATGGTTCTCCATAGGTTTTCAATACACTAAATATAAATAAAGTATGTCAAACTTAAGTATTGAAATCGCCCTGTGCAAACTTTTATTATTAGAATATATGGAGAGTACTTATATCTTTCATATTAAAACGGGTAACTCTATCAAGGCCATTTTAAAGAAGGTAAACAATATAGGATTGGTATAAAGATTTGTAGACGAGGAAAAGAGGTGATCTAATTTCACCTAATGTGATTAATTTTAGCCTTGATTGTTAACATAGAATATAAAGTTTATTGAAAAGAATATTAAAATAGTTGATAGTATAAGGATGGGATAAGAATGTGTTTGAATGAAGAACCTTAATTGATAGAAAATATTTAAATCACTTTGAAAACTTAATTGACATAAATATAATGATAGAATTGTTTATGGTTTGTAAATTGATCTCTAACTGGTTTTGGAGTGAATAATTATAAAAATGGCGGAGTAGAAATGGGATGGTCTCAAAAATGATCCCCTAATGCGAGATGAAAAATCATATTTAAGAGAGGAGATATTGATGATGGCTTATTGAAAAATGAGTTCTTTTAAGGTTAAGATGATTATTGTCATTACTCCTAAGGTTTTTATTTAAATTACAATTCAAAGTTATTCACAGAAGTACAATTTGAAAGAAACTAAATTCTTACAATTCAAAAATAATCTCATCAGTATCCTCCAAATAAAAATGAGGAATGTCAGTTTATGAACTAAGAATTCTGATAAAATATCCATTTTAAAACTAGACTTATGATTGCAAACAAATAACAGTATTCTTCCAAAAAAAGTCAAATAAAGTTAATGATATCTAAAATCTGGTTTATCATATGCTTTACCAAAATACAGAAATTTAAGGCTAAAGTGAGTAACATGAAGAGTTCATAGACAGTCTGTTGTCTCAGGTTCAATCGCCTTAATAAAGAAAATCTAGAATAATAATTAGTTAAGTAACTTCTCCTTAAAGAATGAGATGATAATTTTTATATTATTTTACTTTATTAAAATGTAACAATCAAAATTAAATAAATCATCCCTGTAACAACAATCAATAAAGGTTTATGTAAGAGTTAGACCTTTATTGAAAAAAGAGTTAGGATAAGAATGTATAATAAAGACTGACCAAGTAGTAATTTGTTCCTAAAAATTAGCAAAAATATGTAGTGATTGAACAATCTACACATATATTAAAGTAGGAATATGATTAAGTGTTTGATGAGAGAGTGTCATAGGCAGATATATTCAAATTCATATCTCCAACCATTCATAAAGCATTGTAAGGATACAATACAACTATTATGGCATATGGTCAAACAGGCAGTGGTATTTTTGTAGTTCTTAAGCAGGTAAAACACATACAATGTTTGGGAGTGACTGGGAGTATTCACTTAATATTAGTTTGGGCCATTAATCGACATTCATTGATGATTTATAAACAGATTAGAATCATGCAGGTATGATACCCAGAACTATTTATACTCTTTTTAATAATTTATAATACGGGTATTATGTTTATTGCTCATTTTTGTAAATATACAACGAAAAGATTTATGATTTATTGCAAGATCACAAGGTACCTCAAGCTTTATAGATTCATGAATCAAAAACAGAGGGAATTTATGTTGGTAAATATCATCCAAGATTTTAGAATAATTGACTGAATATGCAGTGAATAACTTATATGATTGCTTAGCATTAATGAAAAGAGGAGAGAAGAACAGGATGATCAGACAAACAACAATGAATTTAAAGTCAAGTAGAAGTCACACTATATTTCAATTATTGATTGAGACTAGCAAGGCTGATTCAGGAGGGTAGTTATTGAGATCCAAAATCAATTTATGTGATTTAGCTGGGTCAGAGAAGATCAATAAATAAGATTCAATGACCAGTGCTCACTTAAATGAATTAAAGAGCATCAATTAATCTCTCACTACTTTAGGAAAAGTAATTCAAAATTTATCTCAAAACAATAAAAACATTAACAAATTGCCAATCCCATACAGAGAATCAAAGATCACAAGATTATTGTAAGATAGTCTTGGTGGGAATACATTAACTAATATATTTGTTAATGTTGCTCCAAATATCTACAATATAGATGAGACTGCAAATTCATTAAAGTTTGCTTAACGAGCTCGAAATATTACTCAAATAGTATAAGCAAATTCGATTAATGCAACAGATCAAGAATTGGTTAATAAATTGTTGAAAGAGGTAGATAATATAATTGAATATATAGATTGACTATTTGAAACAGTTACTTAATATGAAGAGAAAAGGATTGAATAGTAATGATATGCATTTCAAATTAATGAAAATCCAAGAGGAGAATGAGAGATTGAGATAAGCAAATTTATCAGTGAATGATGTTGAGAAATTGATGTAAGAAAATAGGAAGATGAGGGAGGAGTTATAAAAGTTGTAATCTTAATCTCATGAAAACTCAGAAAGTTCTCATATGATGAAATACGGATCTGAAGAAGGATTTTCAGGATCAGAAAATGATAAACAAAATAATACCTATTAATAGACGAAGCTCTCGAATAATGGTCTGTTGATAGTGAGCAATCCAAGTATGCAGAAGACTGAAGTGACTGTTCGTTATAAGGATAGAGGAAATAAAATGTAAACCAAGTTGGGATATGTGGAAGCCAGTGACTAGATGTTATCAAGGGAAAAGAGACTAATGAGTGAGAGGAAGAGAGTGATTGAGAGATTGGAATTGTTAGAATAGTTATAATTCAGAAATAGTCTAAATTCATCCTTGCCAATAGACTCAAAAATTCCAAAACCCTCCAAGAAAAATTCTATCAATTTATTAAATAGGACAGTTGAGGAAGAAAGAACTAGTTTGCCAAAATTAAAGATTGCAGAAAGAAATCTAAAACAATGATTAAATTAATGATTAATAAATAAATTACAAAGATGTAAATATACTGTAAATACATGTTTACTTGAGTTGTGTTCTTTACGTTAAGACTGTCACCCAACAGAAGTTGCGACTAGCTAGATTAGCAAAAACTATATTTTTTTCAAAGATCTTAGGAGGACCTATCTGAAAGTTGTTTTGAGGTAATCAAGAGATGGAATCTAAACAAATATCGATAAAAGAGTATTTGACTCAAAGAAAAACCGGGGTATAAACTATTGCAATCAAATGTTACTACATCAAAATTATGATTTAGAAACAAGAGAAAAATATGATATATAGAGGAGGAATATGATTAGATTAATAATTCTAATAAAGAAATTTATTTATCCTTAAAAAGTTCTCTAAAAATGATTAGTTTTAATGATTACTATTTTGTTCTTACTTTAAATAAATTAATTAATTTTTTAAATTTCACCTTTTATTGTTTCTAAAACTTCATATATTCAATCATCTTCACATCAAAAGTTAAAGAAAGTTAATTATTCATATTTATAAATAATGAATAGAATTTCTCTGACCTACTTTTTTTCTCTCATATTTTTAACCACATTCAAATCTACCCTTTTGAAATCAATATAAGCGTGCCTCAATTCAAAGTGTTTTTTGTATTTAAACATTTATATATTTCATATTCACATAATCCTATGCAGAAATCAAAAGTTGATATGAGTTTTTCAACTAATAGTCACAATTATGGCTAATTATAAGAAATAGACAGGCCCTTTTCGGAAGATGTTTTATTAGAAACAGTGGATTCTACTTAAACTTATGCCAGGAGGGAATACAAAAGACAATATTATAATTAAATCACCTTTATAAGAGCTCTTCATCAAACTGAAGGTAGAGGATAATTTGATAGAAAATGGGAATGTCAATCTAAAAAGAATATTTTGACTACTATAATCTTCCCATTTTTCACCCGAATAGAGCAATTAAAGAATGTAACTTCAGTTGTTGGATACACAATTGTGAAACTTTATAAGGAACTATACAATTTGAATGCACAATTGAAGTGGATGAATGATATACTTATTAATTGCTAAAAGTCTGTTGGTATACTCGTAGAGTCAGAACAAATCGACAATAAATATGTATTGTTTGTTGGAATTGGAATTAATGTGAATTGGTGTACTCAAGGAGCTACATCACTTAAAGAAAACTTAGGAAAGGAAGTTGATCAAAATTAGCTATATTTATTATTGAAGGAAAGAGTCATTAAGGCTTTGTATGATTTGAATGACTTTGGTTTTGAATATTTAAGGGTTAGAATGAATAAGATTTTATACAAAAGAGGTTAATTATGTGAATTTGTAGATTCAAAAACTTTGCAGAAAGTTTATTCTGGTATTTTGGAGGGATTGAACGAGCAAGGAGACCTAGTTATAAGGGATAAAGTGAATTATTAGCGAGCCATTGTTGGGCTAAATGTTAGACTGAAAGTGTGATATTCTTTTTATCCTCATTGATGATAAAATATGCAAAAAATTTTATAATATTATTTGGAATTAATATTATAAAATTAATATTATAAATTGATACATTCAAATGATATGTAAATTAAATGATATGCAACATTATCAAATTATTAAAATATGCTATAAAAACTCGGCAAACTAAGAGCTTCATTTTCACTCCTTAATTTTAACTTCATTGCCAATCTTCCACCAGAAGTTGAGGAGTTACGGTCACATGTAGCAAAATTTGCAAATGAGGAGGTAGCTCCATTGGCAGATAAAGCCGATGAAGAAGGTAAATTCCCTCCTCATCTATGGAGGAAGATGGGAGACTTGGGACTATTGGGTGCCACTGTTAATCGTAAGCATTTATCATGATTAACTTAGCTGCTTATGGAGGGTCTGGATTATCCTATTCTGCTCACTGTATGATCCTAGAAGAAATCAGTAGAGCCTCAGGAGGAATTGGGTTGAGTTATTCAGCTCATAGTGCTTTGATAGTAGCTCAACTTGAAAGACATGGAAATGAGTTTTAGAAGAAGAAATATCTTCCTAAATTGTGTTCAGGAGAATGGGTGGGATCTCTTGCAATGAGTGAGCCTAATGCTGGATCAGATGTCGTATCAATGAAATCAACGGCAAAAAAAGTAGGAGACAAATACATCCTAAATGGAAGTAAGATGTGGATTACCAATGGTCCCATATCTGATATCCTCATTGTTTATGCAAAGACCGAACCAGAAAAGAAACAACATGGAATCACTGCTTTTATTGTTGAAGCTAATATGAAAGGGTTCTCAAAAGGAAAAAAACTTGATAAAATTGGAATGAAATGCTCCGATACAGGACCGATTTATTTTGATAACGTTGAAATACCAGCCGAGAATGTTTTAGGAGAGGTTAACTAAGGAGTCTATGTTTTAATGAGTGGATTAGATTATGAAAGATTAGTCTTGGCAGCAGGCCCAGTTGGATTGATGCAAGCTGCCTTTGATATTTCAAGAGATTATTGTAACACTAGAGAATAATTTGGTAAAAAGATTGGTTAATTTCAAATGATGTAATAAAAGCTAGCTGAAATGTACACTACTCTACAAGCAAGTAGAGCTATGCTATATAGTGTTGCTAGAGCTGTTGATTAGGGCAATATTACAAATACTGTAAATATATTCAACTCATCCTAGGATTGCGCTGCTTTGATTTATTATACTTCTGCTAATGCCACTCAAGTAGGATTAGAAGCCATCCAATGTTTAGGCGGGAATGGATACACAAAGGAGTATCCAGTAGGCAGAATCATGCTTGATTCCAAACTCTATGAGATTGCTGCAGGCACAAATGAAATTAGAAAGTGGTTAATAGGCAGACAGCTAACACAATGACCTTCAATGAAAATATTAATAAATAAATATTTTTTATGGGAAATAAACTATTAAGTAGGTAGCTGATCATGATTAATTTATATTCCCCTAAGCAGTTTTGGTTAAGGGAACCAACTTTACTGGAGTAATGAATGGAAAAGTCTTAGCCTCGTTGAATCAAGTGTCAATATATTTTTTACATAGAAAATCTCTTAAATGCCCCTAAGAATTAAAATCATTCCAGAATTACAATAGATAAAGCTTGAAGTAAAGGAAAATGGATCTGTTCATCTTATGGATATTTAAATGAAATTGGATTAATAAAATGAGGATGCTGATTTATAATCAGTGTCTCTATTATTAAAATAAAGCAAACAGATCAACCACCCCCCAGTTCAAGTTCAAAAGCACCCTGCTTGTTCCTTTAAAAAAATTGATACACAACCAAAATGTGATGAGATTGATTGGGAAGATGATCAATAGTTCTAAAAGAGAGTTAAATGATATATGTGTAATTTAAATTAACTTAATAACATATTACTCTTTAGTAAATTGAAATAATCACCATTATTTTTTCATATTTTCTATGAAATTAAAAAATTTTTCCATTTGAGGAATTTACGGAGAAGGGTTTGTCGATACAGATTTGATAGTCCTACAACTATTGTGAGTTTTTCCAAATGCTGTTGGATTATTATCTTCATCATTTTTAGATTCAACATAATGAGAGCTAACCATCTTTTTATTTGGAGTGGAGCTAATTATAATAAATAAATAGTACAAGAGTGAGTTATTTACTACCTTTAAAGAGATATTCTTTTACTTCACCTTTTGTTTGAGCTACTCATTTTCGTAATGATTAAAAATGTTATGTAATTTCATGTTGAATTTCATCCATTTACATAAATAAACCTATTCGATACTTGGTCTTAGTTGTGAATTCTTAATTAATAATGCTTAAATTAAATTAGTTAGATCTTCGTTGATGTCATTCCTTCTTGGTATTATCAATTAGTCAAATAAAATGTTTCTTATCAACTAATCTTGATTTTCTCCTAAGAATGGGAATTTACCATATAATAAAACCTACTATAAAATAAATAAGTACAAATAAAATAACTCCTAATGACCAACTATCTAACTTGAAATCAAGACAAGATTTCGATACAACTTCTGGCGGCATGTATTCAGTAGTTCCACACATTACATTTGGAACTGGTAGCTGATCAACCTTAATAGCCCAACCAAAATCACACAATTTCAAAGTACCATCTTCATGAATTAAAATATTTTCAAACTTGTTTAGATCTTAAACTTACTTTCAAATCTCTGTGAATGATGTTGTTTTAATGTAAATAATTGACTCCCTCGAGAATCTGGTGGAATACTTGAAAAACATCGTCATCATTGAAGGGTGTTTTTGGATCAATTAGATGACCTTTGCTCAGGTATTCAAGAAGTATATAAATATTCTTATTATCCTCCCAGTAGGAATACAGTCTGACGATGTTTTTGTGATTGCAAGAGGTGTGAATCTTGATTTCGTTGTATATCATGGAACTGGCATCGTATTTTTCAATATGGACCTTAGAAATCTAAGAGTAAGAGCATAGCATTACAATTTTGCAAGCATATTCTTATTTAGTATTTAGTTCTTTGACCAAAAAAACATGACCAAAGGAACCTGAACCAAGTAATTTGATTGATTAGTATGATTAACAAGGTCCGATAATAAGCATCTTATCAGTAAAAATAGATAATATTTAACAATTAATATAAAACAAAAAACAATTGATTCGAGGTTTGATCAAATAGTACTTAATATTATTTCTCATTCCTTTTGAAAAAATTAACTTGCTCAAGAGTTTCTCTAATAATTTAGCTTGTTTAATTTAATTATTTGATACTCTACAGTTGCACTTGATTTTTAAATTGAAAATTAGACAAAATAAATTTCCACAATTTATAACTTAAAGTTGATAAATATTGTGAGAGAATTTCCATTACAAAGAGTGCAGCAAAGAATTTAGAGGACCTTCTCCCTGTAATATATTATTTAATGGTATTGTTTTATTTTAATATTTTTTTTGTTTATCATTCCTTAAGGGCTAGGATTTAATGTTGAATTGATTTTGATTCAACTCATCTATCACCACCAATCTCTAAATTTCTATTCGTCGTAATAATCAGAATCATTCAAAAGACGCTTTTGTGGTGTCAAAATGGTTGGATAATTAAGGCTTCTAATTAAAGTTAGTATGAAAGCTTACTTCTTTGGATCCAAAAGTTAATTTTGAGTTTGTGCTTTTGGTGCATTTGGTTGTTAGAGATGTTCAGACTAATTCTTATTATCTGGATTCGTTGGTTCATTAGAATTAGGCTATTATTGAGAGCTTGTAGGCTCATTGTGGTGGGTTGGACAGTTTGTTAAGGGGTTCATATGTTAATTTTAATTATTAAATGTATAATAGAAACATCATTTAAAATGAGGGTAACATTAATCATTGCTGTTATATTTTTACTTAACATTCCCATTTTCAATTAATCAACCTATCAATTTTACAATTGAATCTATTTCTTCTAAGAAGATATTAACCATGTTATGTTGATAGCTGATATAGACATTTTTATTTATATTAAATATTATTAGTGAATTATTTTATGATTGTAAATATAATCACATTGTTAGTTTCTTCGCTATCATTAACATTCATAGGTTTATTGTACACAGAAATAGTCAGTTATAAATAACAAAAGGATGTTGAAATATTTATTGGCTTCTTGAATAAGTTTATAGCATAAAATTATTATAATTCCCAATCATTTGATAGATAAGTAACTAATTATTTCCTAAGTAGTTCAATTCACTTCTTGTGTAACCTCAACATGATTATTGCATTCAATCAGACTCATATAAATATTATCATCCAGATGCCATTATGAAGGACACTTACACATTTCGCGAGTCATCGGGTCTTATAAAGTAGGCACTTCAGCAACACTATTTCGACATATTGCCAAATGTGACACTTTACAAAAGAAACAAAGAGAGTATCCAGATTTCCATATTTAGTACCTCATAAATATAAATTTCCTTTATAACTAACTTTGCCATAGACTTATTATGATTAATTGCTATTCTCCTTTAAAGTGGGACAGAGTATATTATTTCCCGATTCAGAATAGGTTCATTATGTCTGTTCCAAAATTATAACCATCTCCCTCAAAGATCCTCCTTATCCCACAAAAATCAATTAATGACCAATCAACTCAATTATTTAAATGATATTAAAAATAAAGGCTTGGATGAAGATTGTTTAGTAATAGATTTAATTTAATTTAGAACAATGCCACTTTTCTTCCTAAAACTTACAGACTTTTTGAAGAGTCTGAATGCAAGCAATTTTTCAATTATTTGAATTCAACAGAGTATCAAGATAAAGTGAAAATAGAAGGTCCTTAATTTATTGTAAAGATGGGATTAGAGGTTCATAGAGGAAGAGGCATTACAATGATGTTTCCTTAAGAAACTGAGGAGTTGAAGGACAAATTTCAGAATGGTTAGGTTTGTGGATAAATTAAAACTTATAGAGTCGCCTAACAATATATAGGAAATCCTTAATTATTTAAGGGACATAAAATAGAATTTAGAGTTTATTGGATTATAGCATCCACGAATCCCTTGATTGCATATGCATATGATAAAACACTTATAAGAAGATGTATTTATCCATATGATAAATTCTCAACGCTCAAAGGAGCTCACGTTTGTAACACAGCAATAGTTAAGAAGACTTTGTAATCTATGATAAACGAATCTCAAGAATAGGATGAGAATGATGATGATGACAATGATGAAGCTACTACTATGAACAACAACAAATCTGAGAATATCAATGCGAATGGTACAGTTAACAATTCCAATTCTGAAGATCTTTATATTGATTGGAAACTTGATTACCTACAAGAACTATTGCTGAATCAGAGTAAAATCAAAAATAGAAAATGGTTAAAAAAGGAATTGTTACCTTAAATTGATAGAATGATTATTCATGCTATCAGAAGCACACAATAGACATTTGCCAAAGATAGCAAATTAGGGGAGTTCTTTGCTGCTGACTTCATTTTGACAGATGATCTTAAACTCTACATAATGGAGATCAATTACAATCCATAGACTCTCAAGACTACCGAGGCAAGACTGAAACAACATACAAAAATGGTCTAAGACATGGTTGAAATATCCAATGCCTATTTGAGAAGTAGATATATAAGATTTAGAAAGATCATTGATAAGGTCGTAGAGAAATTATCGAAAGGGAAATCAAGATTACAGGATTTAGTAAATCCGAAAATGGGCTAGGAGATTCATTAAGCGTATTATAGCAGACTGGAACCAAACATCAAGATTAGTTCAACAAATCTCTTTAGGTTGATTCTGGATGATGGTCTAGAAGGAACATCTAAATACAAAGACCTATTATAAGAAAAATGTCTGAAATGATTTTGGAGTTCGTTTATACATTTTTATGTTCATTAGTCGAGTTGTATAATAAGTGTGTTTTTTAATATATTATTTTGTTCTTTTACAGTTGAAATTAAAAATTAAAAAATAAACTACAATGTTGGTTTAACAGCAATAAAGGTAGATGCCAATGACACCCATTCCGCATAATGCTAGAAAAGTTATTGAAAACTTCAGCTATGCACTTACAGATGCAATCGGAAAGGGCTTCAGTTCTGTAGTGTACAAAGGTAGGAACGATGAAACCAATGAAATTGTTGCAATAAAGGTTATTGATAAAAAGGGACTTAAAACACCTTTGCATCATCAACTATTGAAATCAGAAGTGGAAGCATTATCGCAACTAAACTCCAATAATATCATGAGATTGTATAAGGTGTATTAAACTGAGAACAACACCTATCTAATAACAGAGTATTGTGATTCTGGTGATTTGGGATCCTTAATAACTAAATAGGGGACATAAAAAGAACCATAGTTACAAAGGTTGTTCTATGGCATAATATAGGGATATAAATAGATGAAGCAAAAGGGTAATTATAGTCTCCAATTCTAGGTATTGTGCATAGAGATCTCAAACCAGCCAATATTCTACTGAAAGGACAAGTTCCTAAGATAGCAGATTTTGGATTTGCAACTACTCCTTAGACTGTTACCACCATGCCCAATGTTAATGTAGGATCACCATTGTACATGAGTCCTCAGGCTTTTAAGAATAGATATTCTGAAAAATCTGATATTTGGGCTTTGGGTGTTAGTTTATTTGAATTACTATTTGGGTAAGTTCCATGGCAAGCAGGGACTGAAAGAGAATTGGCTTAAAGGATGGCTACTGTTCCTGTGAATTTCCCAGGATAAATTTCAGATGAATGCAGAGATTTCATTCAGAGATGTCTGGTAGTTGATGAGAACAGAAGGGCTACAATTGAAGAATTAGAAAGACATGTCTGGTTACAAAGATAAGAATTGCAAGTGATTAAAGGGAATGGATTTTAGGGTATTTTTAGAGGCAAGTCATGGCGGTTAGTAAAATCACATTCAATTTCACAATATCTAAAGTAATGGTTGTGTCACTACTACTTCTCCTCTAGGGGATGCTCATAATAAATAGTAGATCTTAATGTAACCAAGGGAGAGCAATTATGGAAAAGAAAATACATCTTCAATACCTAGATAATAGCAAGGCTGTATTTAGTAACAGCCACTTAAATCGATTAAAAGAGTCCAAGAATCAAGGAAGGAGTCCCAAGATGAATTAATCTATGAATCAAGAATACTGTAGTTAGAGAGAGGAGGAATGGAATGTAAACAAAAAGAATGATTACATTATCGTAGCTTAAATGAACTTTTGCAGATACTTATATAGAGTAGCGGCTTTAATTGATAAGTATCGAATTCGCTTTTACTCCATATTTGAGAGAGAAATTGTTGTTTCTAGTTAACAAGAACATAATGATAAAGACGAATAATCTCTAAGAATTCATTGAGGGTCATAATACTCTGAATTTAGATAAATTCTAAGAGTATATCTAGAATCCTTAGTTTGGTAAGTTGAGTGGAGCAATCAACTAATATTACCAAAAGTATACCTTGCAATTTAATACAGTCTGGTTATGTCTACAGAATCCAGAATAAAAATAACTCTTGGTTGTTGACAAAAAGTTTGATGCTGTCTTTGATGACAATTTTACTGAGTATGAATCTTTTTATATTATTCTCAACTCCATTCTCAGAAGTGCAATCAAAGAGATTTAATATTAACTCGAATAAAAGATTAACTTTCAAGATACCCAATAATTATTGCCATTGGATATCGAAGGAGGTGTAATACTATTGGATTACTTGATAACATACTTTTAATTAGCATCACTCATTCAAGAGTGTTTCGAAGATCACTATGGATTCGCTGTTGATTCTAAAATCGAATAAATTGCTGATGGCAAACCTGTACGTCTCACCTTTGGACACTACATCGAAATCAGAAATAAGATAAAATAACTTGATATTTGATACTTGGTTTTATATTATTCTATACTTAATATACAAAAAAAAGTATAATTGTTTTACATTTACTTCTTATTCTTATTATTATCATTGATATTATAAATATTTAAATAGAGATGCAATCCCAAAATAATCAATATCTCTAATTTGTTGGGAAACCACATATCACTTCAGTCATTGCAGGAGGAAGGAGAAGAGTAAATTACACATTCGAAGATAAAAGTGAACTTGTTGAGGAATATGATATCAACAATCATGAATTAATTAGTAAATTTTGAATAATAAGTAAATAACAGCTAGAAAATGGAAAAAGGTATCTAATATTAAAGAATCATAATGGGTTTATGAAGTTGGCGAAGCTCCAATCGATCAATAAAGCGAATTGAAATTATCCAATACAAATGTAAGCATTATCCTAAATAAAGCCTATATTTTTAAGGAAAGATACTCCTCAGCACTTCTAATTTAGAGTTCGTAATCTGAGTTATCCAGAAGATGTTTATCAAATGGAAATTGATGAAAAAACTCAAGAAATTGTGATCAAAACAACAAATAAAAAATATTACAAAAGATTTGCAATACCTGATATGAGGAGAGCAAATCTCAAGCTCGAATAGGGGAAGGTTACTCATGTTTACAAGAATAATACTCTTATTGTGTCTGTAATGAATCCTTATTTATTTATATTTTAGTACCCAAAACCAGATCAGATACTAGAGAGAGAATATTAGATTAGACAGGAATTTGATAAATTAAACAAGAAGAAACCTAAAGAAGGTGATTTAGAGTGTGCATAACAATGATATATATATCTAATATATTTTCATTTAAATAGTAATAAGTCATCATTTAAAATAAGTTTCAATACTGATGTAAAATAATTATTGAGATATTTTTAATCCAAAAATTATCTTATTACTTAAATCTTTTACAATTTTTTCTTAATCTTTTGATTAGAATAAGAATTCGTCATTTGCATATTAATATTAATATGATTTTTATTATTAATTGTTTATAATTCTTAATATGAATACAATTTTTCAATTCATTGAATCATAATCATCACCATCTCTCTTCTTTTTCATACGATAAATAACAAATCCTATAGCTCCAATCAATAGAACTCCACCAACAATACTCAAAATGATCCACCATAATTTGGAGCTATGATAATTATAAGATTATACCTTTCTTCAGGTTCGGGTTTAGGGTCAGGATCAGGACCAGGACCAGGAGGATCTGGCTTGACTGTTATCTTCAAATCGAAATCGACTTGAGAAGTACTGAAATCATTTCCAACCTTGATGACTATCTTTTCAGATTTTAATGGGAACTCAGCTGTTTGGATGAATGTCAATTCAGGTTCTGCATTTATGGAATATTATTCTGTGTCGCTGGTTGGTGAATTAGCATATAATTTTTCATTTCTAAAGAATAAACCGAAATTTAATGGGTTAAATGTTAAAGCATCAGCGGTGAAACTGAAACTTCCAATTGCTGTAGTTGGCTTTGTGGATTCTCCAATAGGATAAATGGCTACAATGTACTTGTCGAAGCTTGAATATGGAATTGCAGCATAACTCTTGGACACAGCCACATTTCTAACAATATTCCAATTACCATATCTATTCAACAAGAACTAGGTCTCTAATCCTGAGTAGGTCAAATAGGTTTATCCTTCCTTAGTAGCAAATTTAATCTTCAGACCATATTGAACGACGTTGCTAGTTTAAATGAAAACATTCAAGGTGTTAGCCTCAAATGCTGCTAATTCTTTGACCAACAAGTATTGTGTACTAGATATAGCGTATTGTTTAATTTTAAGTAATTCAGCTGACAAATTAACATACTCTAAGTTGACTGTTACTAAAGTTTAATCCTAGAAGTAGAAATCTTAGAAGAAGACACCTTCACCACTTGTAATAAGTACTTTGTAATGTTAGATATCATCAACTTTATTGACTGCAGTGACAAGGAAATCATTGGGGGTGAATGTTAAAAGGTCTTCATATTGAGTTTGAATTTGACTTAAATTGATTACGTATTCTTCATCTAATTCCCAATTATCATTCTCCATGTTGATCTTGGAAATAGCAAATGATTGGTTGTCCAAAACAATTAAGAAGTCATTTTGAAGTATCTATATTTTTTTGGTTAGTTTGCCTAACTTCAATACTTCACCCACAGGGAACCAACCTGTCAAACTAATACCACTGGTGGCATACACGGTGTATTGAGTTCCATCGTGACATAAACTTAGGATATAGTTCTCTGAGTAGGTAGATGCGAAACATTGATAGTCTTCACTGGGTAGATCCAAGGGAATAATATCCTTTTGGGTGTCATCATCATTTAAGAATATCAAAGCATCGTTGGCTTAGGCAATATTGTGATTGATGGATTTAATTTTGTATGGTTTGTAAAATTAAACATTAGCTTTTTCGACTGTTTATGTAAGTTATACTCCATTAGTAGCCTTATTGCATTGATCACAGGTAATTTGGAATCCTGAGATTTGGCCACTAAACCAATCAGTTCCTAATTTCTTTTCCTTTTTAGCATAATCCTTAGAGTCTATTTCAATTGAGTTTGCTTTGAATTTGGTTTTGTCTACATAAACTTTGGTTTGAGTATTGATGACTTTGATAGGCTATTTGATAGTGATAGAAGGTGAATCCTCGAAATTGAAGATCTCTAGAGATACATCGATTGAAGCAGCAAATTATGGATCATTGATGGATGGTTCAACAATTAAGACAGGATTAGTCAACATAGAGTAGACCTGAGCTTGAGTCTTGGTTTGGAGATAGACATACATTTAGGTTGAGGTTCCTTAAGTGGAGATCAATTGTGCATCTTCAACAGGGAGAGCTTAGAAAACTGCTTCATGTTGAAGTGTATTAGGTTGAATGACCAAGATGTGATTCTTAGCAGTGTCTTCATTAAGTTATTAAGTCTTAGTTTTAGCAACTACAAAGAGATAACCTGTGTCTGAACAGAAATCACCCAAAAGTGGCCAGACTAATTCAAAGTTATACAATTAGACTACTTTGGTCTAATAGATGTTATTCAATCTATCGAAATCGTATTCTACAATTTTATTAGTAATGACAAAGAATGTTTCGGCACCGATGGCCAATTCAATGTTATCAGATTCATCAATGTCAATTTGTTTTATGAAGGTGTATGATGTGTGGAAATCCAATGAGAGTGATGTGATCTTGATGAATCACAAATATAAGATTTTCTCTTAACTTTCTATTACCAAAGATCTTCTTGGGTGCCCATGTTCCCTTGTATCCTTATTCTACCAATAAATCCAAATCAACAGACTTAACAAAGTCTCCATGTTCTGTGTATGCACTGACAGTTCCGTGTTACAAGAGGAACAGATAATTCTTTAAGAACAATATGCTAACACCGTTCTCAAATGGGATTGTCTTTATATCTTTCACTTGATTATTGGTGTAGACCTTCATGTATACATTATTGTTCTCAACATAAGCGAAGTGGAATTTGGGACATTCACATTCCCACATTTAGAATGTTGATTTAGTCAATTTAGTACCAACAGTCACACTGTCAAATACTTTCTCGTAAGTGGCATCGCCATTGAAGATGGAATCATGTGTAGCCTTGAGAATGGTTAATTTGCCATCCTTATTCTATTGAGCCAAGAAGAAATATGATGATTGTGTTCCGACTAAAACATCGTGGAATTATAAATCCTTGGGTAATTCCATGGGGAATTTCAATTCCCAATAGGTTCTTAAGGTAACTGTTACTGCAGTTGTATCATCTTTCAATTCCACAACTTGCTTGTATTACTCATTTGGTCCACTGGTTAGCACATTCAATTAGAATGGCTCAGTGTCTTCTGTTATTTGAGTTGGGAATGGAGTGAGACTATCAGTGTATTTATATAGTTGTTTATCATCACTCTCAATAATCTGATATGTTAATTGAACCTTACAAGTTTAGTCAGCACTTGTTGCTATGATTTCAATCATCTTCTTTTCTTACACAGCGTCGGATCCTTTGTATTGAAGATATCCCTAAGATAAGGTGTATCTGTAAGCATGATCCAAAGTCAACACTATCATATCTGGCAAGAATGGATTAATCATAACATAATTAGTCTATTGAATCACTTGTAATTGTAACAAGTCGTTTGATTTTGCATCAATATCAAAAAGATAAGTGGCATCATCTTGTCTAACAATCACGAACTCTTATGACAAATCAACATTAGCCGGGAATGTGTAATGAATTCCCTCTGGCAATTTGTATTCTGATGTCAATACACCATTGACGATCAATTCAACAAATCCATATCCTAATACAGCTATGTTCTCTGTGTAAGTGCCGTCTCTTCTCAAGAATATGTTTCTATCGAATGCATAAGCAAAACCCATTCCAATATCAATTTATTTCTTCAATGAGAATGTACCATTTGGAACGAAGTTTACTATAAGTACTCCATATTAAGCATCCAACAAATAAATATCTCCATTTTCCAACACCTTCATATCCACGATGTTAAACTCAAAATCATAGAATTTATCCAACAAAAAACCCATTGTTACTCCATCCAATACATATCCTGTATAGGAGGGTTAGCCCATATCATTCAACAGGTAAACCTCCAATAATGAGTCTCCACTCAAAGTTCCATCTTGTGAAATCGAATATGATGGAGTTGCTCTTACCAAATACCTGAATTCCTTTCCACCCTATCCTTTTACTTTGTATTAGCCCAATAAACGGCCATGGTGGGCTTCTATTAATGCATCCTCCACCAAGTATTCAAAAGAATCTCCATTATTCACATAATATAACACATTCTTGACTTCATTCTTAACCACCTTTGAACAATCCACAATAAAGGTCTTCTCAGCGATGTATTCCAAATCATAACAATCTAATCCGTCTGTTATTTAGTTCAAAGTTATGACCTCATCAAATTTTGGAGCCTCCACATTCTGACCTGCCTCACTATTACATATATAAATCTATAATACCCTTCGGCTATTCCCAATGTTATTGAGGTCGTTCCCTTGTTTAAAAACACGAATGAATTCACCCAATATTTGTTTGACTTTAGTGCTCTTGATGATACAATCTTTTAGGCAGCTAACACTTCATAACTTTTAAATACGTTCGATATATGGAGCAGAACCTCCTGTGTTTTCTACCGGATCTATTATCTTGAACTAGTTCTGTTGGGTATCACTTAAAGAGAATGTCAACCCTGCCCCACTAAAAAATTCATCGACCAAATTCCAATTCAATCGCTCATCTTTTGTGGCATAGATAGTCAATGCATCTATCTTCTAGCTGCATTTCTAAAAACAAGGAGTTGTTAGTAAAGCAACAAAAATAAATGATGAAATCAAATTCATAAATTAAAATATCTACATTGACTCAAACTAAATTAGCTTATAATATAATAGAGTTTGATAATTGTGTAATATGTAATATTCAATACAGACTTTACAAAATAATATTCAAATTTCTATATTATAGACACTAATATACTAAATGCATATGTCCTATTCTATACCTTTTAATTTCTCCACTTTAATACCCCCCAATTCTCTAATAACTTCAAGGTTTTTATTAAAATGATTACATCATCAACTTTATTAACTGAGGTTCATTTATTATAATCATCCGAATTGAAGAAAGGAGTTTATAAATATTTATAATTTGCTTTAAAAAAAATAAAATATGCATTATCAATCATCATGAATCTCATCCAACTAAAACTAGTTTATTTGATAAAATTCTTCTTCCTACTTTAATAATTATTATTGTTTTTTATTTTCTCTACATATTTTTCTTATAAAACCCATTTTTTCATTTTTTTTTTCTTCCAAATTTACTATTAATAATTTGAATAGAAAATACCTAAATTTTAGGCCTTTTTCAATAAATAATAATAATCTTCCAAAGTCTTTCTTGGGCATCCAACTAATTCGGCTGCTTAATCTAATGTAATCCTTACTGTTCTTCCATCAACTACTCTAGTTTCTGTTTGATAAACCTATCTAATTAGAGTAAGTTGAATTTTAAACCTCCACAATTTAACTAAATTCATTGCTTCACAGACATATCTTTCCTTTGTTCTGGCCCTTGGCTATTATTGCTATTATTATTACTACATTAATTTTTATATTTATACAAATTTTATATATAACTAATATTATAATTCATTAATCTACGGCATTGTTTTTAGGACTCTTGAGTAACAATTATTTTTTCTAACGCTCGATATCTTTGGCTAACTTTTACTGTTACTAAAACAATTTCTCTTTGTCATCCTTAAATTATTGTGCCTTATCTAGTTTCTCTTATAATTTTTTATTTTTTGTTTCAACAATCTCTTTCAGCATAATCGCAGCCTTTTTTTTATGCTCCTTAATTTGCTCTTCCTTTTTCTGCTTTTCCTGCTCTTACTTCAACTTCGATAAGGATTGAGTTTCAGTAATAGATTTTAAATGCTCTTCATCCTTCTGCCTGATCTTATCTTGGAATGTCTCATTCTTATTATTTAGAATATTGCCATTCCTTGATTTAATCTAAATAAGAATTTGATAATACATTTTTTCTATGATTATTTTTCTCCTTTTCAATTTATTCTATCTTGTCTTCTGCTTATTTCATTCTCTCCTATATTGAATTTATTTTTTCTTCAACATTCTGTACTTTCAATTAGGCCTTCTCGCTTTTTTCAGACATAATTTTCTTATAGTTTTACTAATTTCAATAAATGAAATATGCATACCATAACTTTTTTCAACTTTTCCAATTTCTCCTTTTTCTTCTACTCCAACATCTATTGCTTGACTTATTGATTGACTCCTATTTCATCTAATTTCTTTTGGTATTGTTCAATTTTCTATAACTTCTCTTGATAATACGCATTTTTCTCATCTTCATTTCTCTATTTGATCTTCTTAATTTGTTTCTTCTTGGCCATCTTCAATTCATTCAATAGGATTTCTTTCTTTTCATTTAAATCTTTCCACTATTCCTCTTGTTCTTTCTAATACTTGTCCAATTGTATTTTCTTAATCAGAATCTCCTCCTGTTGTGTTTTGACAATCCCTTCTGCTATTCTAAGATTAATTGTAGTGATTACTTTTTGACAGTTGATTTCTTATTTCTATCAGTCTAAATTGTTTCTAAATTACTTTTATTGGCATCAAGTTACTCCATGACTTTGTCCTTGGATACATCATTTTGTGCTAATTCTTTCAATTTCCCTTGCTCAATCTTTTGAATTTGTAGTAATTTCTCCTTGTCTTTTTCCTTCTTCCTCAGTTCTATCTGATACAATATTGATGCTATTTACCAATAATTTCTTCTCCTTCAAAGCCTATTCCACTTACTATTGTTTCGATTTGGTTTGTTCTAGAATTGAATATTTACGTTTCTCTTATTCTTCCTTTTACTGTTCATACTATTTCAACTACTCCAATTCTCGTTCCTCCATTATAAATAGAGTCATACTTGTTTTTTCCTCATTTTGGCTAATAGTTTGTCTTCCTAAAAGGCAAGGTATTCATTTTCAACTATTGATATGGATTCACTAAATACATTGAGCACCATCAGTTGCTTTTTTCATTTTCATGTGTAAATAATATTATATAATAATAATGAAAGAACGGAAAATGGATTGATTGCAATTGGGTTTGCGTCTGAGAACTGCTGGTGTATTAAATGACTTTGGAAATTGAATTTTATAAATGCAATTTAATAAATGATGGATAATAGTTACGACTATTGGTTTTCAAAATACGATTCAGAGTCTTTCGAAAAAGATTTCGTCAAGGTTCCATACAATGAATTCCTGAATCAGTTGGTATCATGAATCAACTTTGTTTAGATTGTCAATCCTGACTTCAGTCTTCTTCCAAATGAACCTCAATTTTCATTAGATAATGGTCATAAGACCCTGTAGTAAACATTGCAAACAAATCATTAGATTATTTCAACATTCTTCTTGCCCCTCCTCGATAACTCAAGGGAGTCTTTCCTGAGATGGGTGAGAAGCGTGATTGCATTTATAGATTGTGAGAAGATGTATTCCATCATGTTTTGGAATCTGAGTTTCATTCCCAACTTCCTTGAATATCGATTGTATGCAAGCTTCGTTAGACTCTACAAATTCCTAATCAGTTTAAACTAAAATGTGATTCAGACCAAATCTCTAACCACTGAATAAATCAGGTTGTCAAACAAAATCACCATCAAGACTCTCGCTGAGAAGTATTAAGACGCCCTGTATGTCTCTTTTGAGGAATTGGTCAAGTTGTAAAGACAAATGTTGAAAGTATTAAAACCGCTTGTCAGTCAAAACCCTACTCTCCTAGGCAAGATTTACTATTTCATCTATCACATGTACGATAAACCCACAACACAATTGCGCAAAGATCTTGATTTACAATTTGGATAATTGGAGTATCTATGGGTCAAGAAAATTCTCGCTGAAAATGAATTGGCAATCAAATACATCGATGCTTATTTAAATGAAGACAAATAGCCATTGTCTAATAAGGATCAATTCTTATTCGAAGATTCAGAAATCTTAAAATAACTTGTGAGTTCAAATAAATCAGAAAATCTGTATAAAGTGGATGCTCAAGACAAATCGTTGTTAGAAAAGTCAAAGAAGATTCAATATCTGAATTAAATGGACAGTAAATGCAAGAGAAGAAATCATGATGCCAAGTCTTCATTCCTTGTTTAGAATTATAGTGTTGTTTCTGAATCCATGAAGTCATCAACTGAAAATAGGTCCAAGACTTATGCTGATGAACCACCTAAATTTAAATTAAACTCAATCTAGACTAATTCAATAGCTGATAAATCTACGTTCATTCAATTTTCAACTAATAATCCAACTAATGTTCAGAATTCAGTTCTAGGATTCTTGGCTAGTGATCTTATTCATCTTGAAAAAGAACATCAATAGGAATTCAAAAGTAATACCTTGCCCAAAAGAATTCAAATGGATGAGTCTATCAAATTAAATGATGATTTAGTAGAATTCATCTCAAAAGCCGATAGTTAAATTGTTGCGATAAGAGATGAAGATATTACTCTTGAAGATAATTACAAAAGGAAAAGATATAGGATTAAAATTAATAAGAAATTCGAAGAAAACGAATCACCTGATATTAATAGAAAACAAACATTTGCTAGTCTTAATTAACAAGAAAACAACGAAGAAGAATTAAGAAAAGTGAGAGCCAGACGACTGTTGGAAGAACAAAACCAATTTTTTTATTAGAAACTCAGATATGCCAGCAATCAAGACAATGAATTACCTACAGTTAAGGACAAGGATCTTTTTAGTAATATATAATATACATATTTAGGATATTCTTTTGAAGATTCAATGAGTGAAGACGAGGAATCTGAAGAAGAGATTAAGCTAAAACAATAATCCCTAAAATAGGCTAAAGTAGTTGTACCAAAAAATTACTCATAAAATACTCAAGGCATTATTTTCGAGAAGTTTAAACAATCTTCTGGAGATTGTATTCAAGGAGGTTCTGAAAAAAGAAAATGTTTCTTAAATAGATTATTTCATATGAATGAAAATTCACTAAGAATATCAGGAAGGTCGTTGGTGTTGGATTTTGAAGAGAGAAAATGGTAATTTGATTAATGAATAATTAAGGGAATTGTTAAAATAAGCTCATTTATCAAAGACGTTAATGAAGGAGGAGAATTACACATTAAATTTTGATGAACCAATAGCCAATATCATTCATAGGGACATTCATTTTAGATAGAATTTAAAAAACAATTATGAAAAATACTATAATTTTTGAATGCTTTTAATTATAGTACATATATGAACAATCATTCTTCTAAAAGATCAGAGATTTCCTCTGCAATTAAAACTAATTCTTAAAGTTTCTATTTGTTTTGGTTGATTTAAATTTGTTTTTAGCTAAAAGGATTACGTTACTAAAACACAGTCTTTGAGTGATCATTATTTTATTTCAAATCTCTCTTCCTTAATTCAAGTAAAGCTGCCTCATGTTTGCTTCTACTCTATTTACTGGCATTCTATCTTTAGGTTATATCATTAATATTACTCTAACTATCACTCTGATATTCTTTTAAGAGAATAGTCTTTTTTTTTTTTGATACTAACAATAATCAATAATTCCATACTTCTTGCTTCTGGCTTTGCAGTTTCATCTAATATGAACTTTTGCAATTATTCTATGGTTTCCAGGTTTTTCTTCCTTCGATCCTCTGCAATCTTTCTCATCTTGTCCATCATATGAGGAAAATCATCATAGATCTCATTTTCAAAAGCTTAAAGAGTTAAGTAATAAAATTCACAGTTTGATTCACATTGAACAACATACTCTCTAGTAGTGTGGAAAAAGATTTCGATTTCTCCAAAATATGAACCACTTATCATAGATTTGAATGAGAATAATTTTAATTGACTAGTAGTTGCTTAGACTATGAAATTGGTTTTAAAATTGACTCTTCCAATATCAATCAAATATATAGCATCTGGATTTGATTTTTCTTCCCAAATCACTCTAAAATGAATAAATCTTAATTTACTCGCTTTCTAACATAAATAATGGTTTTAACAATGGTACTATATTCACAACAAAAGCTTTATCCTCTACCAATTAAAACAATGCTTAATGTCCAAATACACCCCCATGCATAGACATCATTATTTCATATCTTAAATTCATAGGAATATCTTAAAATATTTTAGTATCACTTGCCCAAACAAATCCATTCTTACTAAAATTGTACTCCAAAGTCTCTTTTAGACAATCTCTTAATTACCTGGAAATTTTCTTTTCTAAACAAAATTCACTCATTATAGCTTTTTTCTGATTTAGTATATGTGCTTTGTAATCTATTTGGGATAAGACTGAGGACAACAAACCAATAATGCTTGAATAGAATAAAACTCCTAAAATCATCAAGATAATAGTGACGATCTTTTCTTGAGGGGAGTAGGCATGGATATCTCCGTATCCTACTGTAGTTAAGGTAGTGAAGGCATAGTACATTCCTGCGATATATTTAGTTTGAATAGATGAATTCGATAGATCATTTTAATATACCCAACTGTTGACTTCATAGTTATTGAATGCTGCAACATAATGCCAAACACAACTTGATAAATGAATAACTAATATCACCGATAGAAATAGGGAGGTCAATCTAGTCATACCATAATTGAATTAGAAAAAGTCGTTGCTTGTTATTCTGAATTATTTTGATAATTTCACCAATCCTGTCAATTTATACAGTCTTGGCAATTTTGCTAATTTCACCAGTTTAATTTCCTAACCGTCGTTCGAATTTGATGAATCAATCATGTAAGTCAAAGGCAAACAAGAAATGAAATCGAGTAAAAACCACCCTTTCAAATATTTCAGAATCACAGTTCTTTTTTATACTACCAACTTCCCCTCTTCATCATAATATCCACTAAACATATTGATCCATAAATCTATCCAAAATAATACATCAGTAACAATATCAATTTATTACCAATATGATTCTTCTTTGTTAACATAGAATGAAACTACTATGAATCAAACACATACTTCTAAATGGCAATATAATCGATGTGTATAATATAATTGCAGTGAAAATTAAATTCCAAACAAATTTAACATAGGAATCTGGATGAATAATGGGAAATTATGGACTTTGATCTTTATGCTCTGTAGACTTATTAAGAGGAAAGAGGTATTTTTATAATGCAGGTCTCAAAATCATCTAATATTTACCTGTCTCTTGTGGATATATCAAATAAATTAGATGATGTTCCATACATAATTATTTCCTAGGATAATTTATTGAGTAAATAGATTGCTCTTAATCGAATGAAGGCTCTGTGGAAAATTGACTTAATCTCTTCTGGAGTCATAGCTTGATGTTCTGGGAATATAGTTCCTTATGCTCTTCCTTTTAAAAAAAAGTTTAGAACTTTTATAGCAACTTTGGGGTCATGCTTTTATTCCTTCATTCTTTAATTTATTGTTATAATTAATTTTATGTTAATAATGATAAATTATGTAGGAACCTAATATTCTAACATGAGAGGTTTATATTATTGATTATCATAAGTATTAATTCAAAAATTATACAGATTAATTGAGAGTTCCAATTTTTCAACTTTATATTCTCACAAATTTCTTAAAAATAGAAAATATATGTATACTTTGGATTTGCAGGAATATATTAAACTTTATTCACAGCTTAGCTTAGCCAATAATAAAATCAATTTATCCATGCTAAAAAAAATAAATTCACATTCATGAATTTAATACTATTAGATACATTATTCAGAAAAACTAGTTTTTGATAAATACCTAAAAATCACTATAACATAGTACTTATTATTCTGATCATAATAAATTCTCAGAGATTTTCAAATATTATAAATTTCAAGAGAAAATAATATATCATTAAAAGATTTACTTTTTTTAATTATAATTACAATTAAGAATACATTCATGGTAAGGTGGAATGAATTTTCTGAAGCATTCTTTCACTATGCAAACTTTTATTTTTTATTTATTCATTTTAGTATAATTTCTAAAGCCAGAGGTACCACAATTTAAATTTACTTTGAGCTGCATATTGTCTCCTTTAAACAAATTAAAAGGGAGACAACTCCATCAATTTGGTTGGAAATTCAAACAAGTTTGCAGTCTACTCAGCTTAACATGGCAACTCATATGCTATAGTTTCTTTAAATGAACTTTTGTAATTTTAAGAGTTAAATTACTAGACATTTTTTTTATAATAATTATCATTGTTTTTTAAATTAATGCCAGAACTAGAAAACTTTAATCTTGATAAAGGAATCAAAAAGAAAACTCTCCACGACAAGTTCAGAAGAAAAATTTAATTTCTTTAGCTAGTACTTTGTTAAAATTAGACAATTAAAAATGCAGCCGCTCAATGTTAAATTAAGTTTGCCACAGCAAAGGTAGTGCTCAAGAAATTTCGTAATTTAGGGTTCATAAAAAATTCTGATAAAGGTATAAATGTCATCTTTTATATTAGATTATGAGAAGTAAATAGACATGCTCAGATAAATTGCTTTCATAAAATCTGAGATCAAATAGGATTAGATGTAAAAGCGAGAAAGGGAATTTCAAGCACTTAGTTAGAGAATAAAAAAAATATAACCACTTTAAGAGAATGAAGCAACCGAGATTTAAATTGACATTAACTTTTAAATAAAAATCTTCCAAGAAGAACTTCGAAATCAAGAAACAATATAATTACACTTAGTGAAATCTGTCCTATTGGAATAAATTAAATTAATGAAGAACAATTCCATTTCTGTTTCCTGAATAAAATATTTCAATCCTTTTCATATTTTATTAAAAATGTTATTTGTTATCTATATCACTGATATAAATAAATATTCTTTATCACTTTCGATAAATATTTATATGAACAGCATAATTCAACCATTTTTTGAAGATTTAAGAGAAATTAGAAATACATAAGTATTTTTAAACATTTCACATATCTCTAACAAAAGACTTTATAAAGATATTACTTATTTTATATATTTAATAAATATTGATTTAAATCCTTTAAATTCTATGTTAACAATCATAGAAAATCTTAAAACTATGTATTATTGATGTAGCAAGTAATTTAACTAATAAAACAATATTTTTAATACTTAAATGCTAGAATTAATTTAAGCAATATTAGTCAATATGACACAAAATGTCAACGTTAATACGCCAATCCTCATTTATTTTTCCATATTTATATTATGGTAGCCTTGATTGTGCTTGAGTTGAATTAACAAATAATTTGAATGAAAATAAATTCATTAAACATTTTTAATGAATTAATAAATTGGTATGAAGAATTATAATTAGGCTTGAAATTATATATTAAAATTATGAAGGTATTGAGAGATGGATAAAAAATTAAAAATAATTTAGCAATCTTTATAGACCTCTGATTCATATCTTCTTAAATATATTTGATAATTATTATTTATGTTTAGATATTTAATTATAATAAAAATGAAATATCTAATTTTTCATTTTAATTCTCTTCCTTGTGGTAATAGATGGAGAGTGATATTTCTTTTGTTACAAAACTAATATTTCAAATAAGAAACTATAATTTTTATTATGATATTAGCATATTTTCTGATATAACCAATGAATATCAAGATTACCATGATTGATTGCAAGAAGCATTCTTTTCGTTAGCTTAAAATGAGAACGGCTTTGCAAATATCCAACAACTTGAAGAAAAATCTCAATTTATTTTTTGATATATATAAATGTCTAGATGACATTAAATGGATATATTATTTTTTCCTCACATAAAGTTTCAATCATAAACTATCTCAATTCGAATTCTAGTTCTCATTTTTAAAGTAATGCATTTTATACTTAATTCATAAAAATGTGAGTATAATAATTCTTTTTAACATCGGAATTTGTAATTTGATGGAAAAAATGAATTAACCTAATTTAATCAAACTCTAAGATAAATCTTTCATCACGCTCTAAGAAATTATCTACATGAAAATCTTCAATAAAATGATGTAATTAAATAAGACCTTACCTAGGGTAATGGAGGATACAATTTTTAATATTAGCTTAGTAACTAATTTTGATCTTCCTAATTTGTTCCCATCTTCAACACCTAATGATGTGAATTTGTCAGATCTTATAACCTGAGACCTTTGAAATCTTAGTCTTTTAGTTGAAAACTGATTTGGATATAAGTATAAATGTTTTGATTCTCAGTTGCGAAGTGTATATTTGAAAATCCTATTATTATGAGCTTAAACCATAAAAGTTTGTTAAATTCCTTAAAATAATGACAATAAGAATGCTAACAAATCATAATTTTAAGTTAAAAGAATATTTCATATTTATACTCAATTTTAAGAATGAATTTTCTTTGGTATTAATTACTAAATTTAAGTTCAAGGTTTGGTTGCTTTCTTAATAAGTACCTTCATAATATATAAGCTTTTATCTTTTAAATAAGTTAGCCAGCATTAGTGATAGAGATTTCCTGAGAGTACGTAAATGTTGTATCATCATAATGTCATAAAAATATAGGATTGTTTCTCCTTAGTTTTAGGTTTAATAAGAATGAGCTGTTCACAGAGTTCTTACACTTCTATTTAATTCTAGTTGTTGCTTTGAAATTAAATATACAGTTCATTCCATTTTGAAGAGAATTGAGATTTTCTCCATATTTTAATATATATATAATTTATGTTAAATTAGGATGCAGATTTGAACATGTAACCATTTCACAATCAAATTCCTAAACCCATAGCTCTCACTGATGAAACCATAAGTCTTGAGAATGACATGTTGCTTGGCTGGGCACCCAAGTTGGATTACAGCAAATTGCTTACGCTGAACTTCAATAATTAGTTAAATGATTAAATAATCTCAGAAGCTTTACACAACAATTAACTTATTTATGTTGGATTCAGACCTCAAGATAGCGGTTAAATGCACAAGCAATACTCAACCACATCCTCATATCCATGTAAACGATCCAAAGCAATTTAAAACAAACCCTAATTCCCATTTTTGGGGATGAATCCTACTTGTAATTGTAGAATTTAATTCAATTCGATTTTTGAGAGTGGCAACTTGGATGTGGTGAAACAAGTATCAGAATTTGAGTATGATTTGTATATGAGAGTCGATGGAAATACTTAAGGACATACATCTTGGTACAATTTTGAATTGAGTGGAATGAAAAAAGGCGAGAAAATCTAATTAAATATTTGTAATTTCACTAAGTCTCACAGTCTTTACGAGCGTGGTATGAAACCATATATATGGAGATCAACCACTTAAGAGTGGTTATAAGGAGGAGAGAATGTATGTTATAGAACTTCTCAAAATAATAATAATTGCTTAAGTTTTGGCATCGTTTGCAATCAAGAGAATGAATTATTAAGGATTGCATATTGTGTTCCATATACATATTCTTAATTATTAGAGTATTGTGATGAATTGGAGAAGAGATGCAATCACGTTAAGCGTTCTATATTGTGTGAATCATTGGGAGGTGTTCAATTGCCTATGTTTACGTTCAGCAAGGTTAAAAGCAAGAACAAGAAATGCATAATCATATAGGCACGCATTCATCCTGGAGAATCAAATGGTTCTTGGGTGATGCAAGGCGTATTGGATTACTTGTCTAGTCAATAAGCCATTAAGATATTTGAGAAGTATTAACAATTGAATAATCTATTTAAGATGTGTAATAAAAGTAGTGCCGATGATGAATCCTGATGGAGTTATTCTAGGCAATTATAGGACTGGATTGGCAGGGAAGGATTTAAATAGGAAATTTAGGTAGAGTGACGAAAGAATTCTGTTCCCTACTGTTTAGGCTATGAAGAAATTAGTTAAAGATTAATACAAGAAATTTGGAAATAATTTAATAGCATTTATCGATTTACACGGACATTCCAGTATGAATAACATATAAACTAGTCAAAAAGAATGTCTTTTTGTATGGTCCAGAATACGCTCTCTGGAATTATAATTATTATGAGTGTCGTATTCTTCCCAAATTACTTAGTTAGAAAACCGAAATGTTCAGATTTTATTCTTCAATTTTCAGAATTAGTTAATCTAAGAAATCTACAGCTCGTGGAGTTTTTGCTGAATTATATGATATTGTGAATTGTTTTACAATTGAAACATCCAATGGTAATTACTACACATAAAATTAAACCTATGAATTCAATACTAAACATTGGTTAAAAATGGGTTGGATCATTGGGGAAACCCTGATAGAGATGATAGACACTCAAAGCGAAATGGATCAGATTTTTAATTTAAAAAATGAAGACCTTAGAAGATCAAATAGATTTACTAAAAATAGTTCCACCAAGAAAAGTATCTCTGATTCTTGTTAAATATCATTTCAAAACACAAAATTCTAAAAGTTGATTGAAGAATTAAAGTCGGATGCTGATAAGATGAACCAATCTTGTTCTGAAGGAAACTCTGATTCATTAGATGATGATGAGATAGAAGAGGAGTCTATTGAAAATAAGTCAGAAGAAGTAAGCAAATCTAAATCTATCCAATCAAAACCTTTGTTATCAATATTGTATTAAACTTAAAAATCTAAATTAGAATCAAAATATAGTCCTGGTCATTAAAAACCACTATTACAGTAAACTATTATGCTATCTATTGAACATTGCCAAAATAAAGTCTATCAACCCTATCAATCAGCTGCTTAAAGAATGATTCTTAAGAAGATTGCATCGCGTTCTTAACCCAAGAGGTCAACTTAAGTTAATAATTATATAAACAATTGTGCGAATCAACAATAATTTGCCACTATCGAATTCCTTGATAGCTCCCAGAACATAAATCAAAATATGCAATAGAACCCTCATTCACTCTTTCCCAGACCATCTACAACCTAATTGGAAGTAATGGATGATGAAAAATTCACCCCTATTCTAGGATTCAATCAAAGCATCTATTCTGGTTTTAAACGTCACACTAGATTGCGTAGTAATCTAACAGCACAGAAACAAAAGCAACTAAGAGATATCAAAAGATTTCAAACTAAATCACCTCCTCAAATCACTACGAATGTAAGAAATACTATCATGAATAATACTCAAACCAATTTTGAAGCTATGAAGTTGAAATTAAAAATGAGACTCTAATAGGAACCAACCAAATTATCTGATTCCTATCATACTACCAGACCTTCTATTCCTCCTTCATTTTATTCTGTCAGAAGAAATCTGATAAAAAGGCAAAAGAATTGATTATTAATTTTTATATCACTAATAGTTAATATTTAAAACAAAATTTGTTATTTGACATTATTAATTCATCTGAAATATTTAGATATTTATATAAATGCATCTGACTAAATCAAGAAAAAAACAATATATCGCTTTTTTAATCTTACTAAAAATAATATCTTTATTAAAATTAAGGGTATTGTAATTAATTCAAGTGGTGAAATAGTATAGTTTGAACTATTTATTGGGTTTATCTTATGTTTTGAAGGAGTATCACTAAAACTATATAAATGAATAGTAATAATGATCTTTTTGTGATAGCATAGGATTAATTGCCTATTTGTTGATTGGATGAAGTATATTGAGTTCTGATGAGATGCTCGATCTTTGAGAAAGTTTAATAATTCTATTATATTCTGTTCAAATTCCCTCAGAATGAGAGCATTCAAGTTATAAAAGTAAATTAAAAAAAAAACATTAATTAATTTATTAAATGTAAAATTTATACGAAATAGCAGTAAGTAGAGCTAGTGATGCCGATGAGAGGATCAATTATTGGTAAAGTAGAAATCAATAAGATTAAGGCGTGAACAAAGTGAATTCGTTGATTGGATAGAGAAGCCAAAGGAAATCTTGACAAAAATAAATGATTATTTTTATCAATGGTTTAGAGATGGGAAATTGAATTTTTGTTATAATGCATTGGATAAGCATTTGGTGTAGAGGGGAAATCAAGTGGCTTTATATTGGGAAAGCAATATGGTTCACAATAGTTTGCAATACACATTCAACGAATTGCATGATCATGTATCTCGATTGAGCGGCGTCTATCGTCAATTTGGTAAACTCTCATATCGACTAGTTCCTAGGAGTTTCAAAAGGCGATAGAGTGATAATCTATATGCCTATGATTCCCGAGGCAGTATTCGCAATGCTGGCATGTTCAAGAATAGGAGCAATTCACTCTGTGGTTTTTGGAGGGTTTTCTGCTTTGGAATTAAGTGGAAGAATCAAAGACTGTAAACCAACCTTAATAATAACTGCCTCATGTGGATTAGAAGTCAACAAGATAGTGGATTACAAGGTGATGCTCGATGAAGCAATCTAATTAGCAAACCACACTCCAATTTGTTTGATAGTCCAAAGACCAACCAAATAATGCAGCATGGTGATTGGAAGAGACTTCGATTACTACACAGCTATGAAATTTGCCAATCCCGTTGAGTGTGTCGAAGTGGAAAGCACTCATCCCCTCTACATACTCTACACTTCTGGTACCACTGGATAACCAAAAGGGTAATTATATCCAATTTAATCTCCTAGCATCTAACGTGACACTGGAGGAACTGTTGTTGCATTGTTGTGGACAATGAGACACATCTTAGGATTGAAAGCAGGCGATGTGTACTTCTCTATGGCAGACATAGGATGGGTAACTGGACATTCTTTCACTGTCTATGGTCCACTCTTATAAGGATGCTCGATTGTTTTGTATGAAGGCAAACCAGTCTAGACTCCAGATCCAGGAGCTATCTGGAGAATAATTGAGAAACATAAAGTGGTTGGATTCTACACTGCTCCTACTGCTTTGAGAGCTATGAGGAAGGAAGATCCCAATGGAGATTGGATCAGAAAATCCAATATTTCTAGTTTAAAAAGCATCTCAATGGCTGGAGAGAGATGTGACATCCCTACCTATAATTGGATTCAAAGCAATACTGGTGTATTAATTAATGATCATTATTGGCAAACTGAAACTGGATGGATCATCTCTTGTAATTTCATGGATCTACACACCTTCCCTTCCAAACCTGGCAGTGCCACTAAACCTTCTCCTGGATTTGTCATTAAAATCATGGATAATGAAAATAAAGAGCTTGAAACTGGCTAAATGGGAAGAATCTGTGTCAGATTGCCCATGCCCCCAAGTTTCATGCAGACTCTATACAACAATGACGAAGCCTTCATCCAAAAGTATCTCGCTGATACTCCAGGATATTATACTGCTGGAGATGCTGGCTACTTTGATTAGGATGGATATCTCCATATCATGACTAGAATTGATGACATCATCAATACAGCTGGACATAGATTAAGCACTGCTGCCATGGAGGAGGTTCTTCTTAAACACAAGGATATTGTTGAAGCTGCAGTTGTTGCCAAGTTGGATGACTTAAGAGGTGAAATCCCTGTTGGACTTATTGTCATTAAATAGGGACATGATGTTCAAGCATCCATTTTAGAAAAAGAACTTGTTACTATGATTCGACATGATATTGGACCCTTAGCTTGTTTCTAAAGTGCTATTATCGTAGAAAAGTTGCCTAAAACTAGAAGTGGAAAAGTACTTAGAGGCACTCTTAAGGCCATTGTCAATGGATTGCAATATAAGGTATTCATTTATGTAAATATTTATAAGATGCCTGCCACTATTGAAGATGACTCTGTCTTAGATAAAATCAAATTGAACTGTCTCAATTATGGAAAAGGAATGGGATAATATTGTAATTTAGACTTTGGAAATAAAGACATCTATGTCGAAGAGTGAATTATTTATCAATACATATAATTTTATTATTAATTTTTCTTAACTGATATTATGAAACGTTATTTCAAAGACACTCAGAAAACAACTGCAGAATCCAATCCACCTATGAGCTAACGCTTAAAAAGAGTCAACTCTCTTGGTATTTTGGAATCTCCCTTTAGGACTAATAATCAAAAAATAATGCTTACGTAATCTTCAATTAACAAATTGAAAAATGATAAATTTCAAAAATTTACATCATAATTAATATCAATAAGATCTCAACTCTAAAAAAATAATCTCGAAAATCTAGATTAATAATCTTACCTTTAGTCTTGTTATATGAGCAATCTCTCAAGTTAGCAATCAATTAAATCATGTCTAAATTCAATCAACAATAATAATCCAACCAATATGGATACCAACAGACGTTCAAGTATTTCAATTAATCGAAATCGAATTCATAATTCCACTCATTCTGTTAATAAATTCAAAAAATCGAATTTCAGATTTATTGAACATATTCAAAATGGTAGAGGTAGAAAAATGTATGAAAATGGGTTCACCTATGAAGGCGAATGGGAAGATGGTCTAAGGTCTGGAAATGGAACACTTAAAGACACTAATTAAAAGATCATTTATTAAGGAGAATGGCTATAAGATCACTTTGAGGGTAAAGGAAGGTTCATCAATTAAGATTTTTAAGAGGATTAATTTAATTTAAACAATTTTAAATCATTTTAATTAGTTCAACATTAATTCACTATTTATGAGGGGGAATTTAGAAATGGATAATTCTTTGGTAAAGGTGTTATGTAATTCAATTGTGGAGGAGAGCTCTATAAGTTCGTTGGCCGATTTTCATAAGACACTTTTCACGGAGTTGGAACCCTATTGCTAGATGATGAAATTATATTGTAAGGAAAATGGATCTACGGTTGCATCGTATGATAATTAATATATGATTATTAGTTATGTTCTATAACATAATTTTGAATTGAATTATCCCTTTGAATTTAATATATGCTGAAGGTTCTAAAGAAGACACTTTTGTATAATCCCAAAATCATATACTGTTAAGTAATTACTTAATTCCTTAAAGTTATAATAAATTAGATTTTAAAAAATAATTAATTCTCAATAGTTAACAGTAATTATTGTTTAATTATGAAAAATCTCAAAGAACCATGAAGAATTAAAACAAGCTATTCTAATTACATACCCTTTATATATCAACTCTTATAAAATAGTTTTATAGTTCTAATATTTAATTTTCTTCCTTGAGTTGATACTGAATTTAATCCAAATTGATAGTGCTGAAAATTGGTTATAAGAGTATTAATTTGATTATATTTGTAAGCATCAAATAATGATACAAAATAATTTAATTATTATAATAATAATCGTAAAATTATTATATGAAATCATTCTATCTCTAAAAGCCAACCTAAGTTAGGGGCAATTCAGAGCCTAAGAAGTAGGAAAAAATGTAAAGTCACTTGAAAATGTCAGTATCTTAAAAGATGCATGAAACCCAAACGAAATGGAATGGGTTAATTGCTAGAACAGTCACTCTCGAATAAAACTTATTAAGATTGCGGGATTCAGTGAATTAAACACTTCGCGGTGGTAGTAAAGAATCAACTTCATCGAAATCAACAGCGGAACAATTACACAAACCACCAACATTAGTGAATATGACAAGCAGGATCGCATCACCGATGTTGAAAAAGGTTTCCCCTCAGGATTGTATGACAATGTCAAGAATATAGACATATAAGACAGTGCAATCTTGGTTTCCCAAGTCAAGGTTCCAAACATTTGAAGGGATTCCTCAATTTCGAATAGGCAAATTGCTAGGAAGAGGCCAATTTTCAGATGTTCATTTGTGCATGTATTATCAGAACTTAAAATAAGCGACAAATTGAGTAGTACAGTCTATGCTTTGAAGGTGATCAAGAAGGAGAAAATCTAGGATGAATAGTTATAGAAACAGATGATCCAGGAAATCAAGGTGCAAATGAAACTGAATCACCCAAATATAGTTAAGTTGTATAATTGCTACTCTGACGAATACAATTTGTACTTGTTAATGGAATATTGCAATGAGGGCGAACTCTTTAAAGTCCAAAGAAAACAGCCTGGATACAAGTTCCCAGAAGTAAATGTGCCTTCAATACTTAGAACAAAGCATCTTACTATATAAACTAAATCTTACAATGCATTTAGTATATGCATGTCAACAAAGTCATGCATCGAGATCTGAAGACCGAGAATATCATGTTATCATTCAATCAAATTAAAATTGGGGATTTTGGTTGTGTTTGTTCGAATCAAGACAGAAGATAAACCTTTTGTGGTACAATAGAATTCATGGCACCTGAAGTGATTCAGATGAAGGGCTATGATTCTAGAGTGGATGCATGGCAAATAGCTGTGCTTGCTTACGAATTGGTGTATGGGTAGACTCCATTTGTGCTTTTGGGAAATAAAGATCAGAAAGGCATTATGGATAACATACTAAAAGTATTCAGTTTAATTATCATTCCTTTAGCATCGTTTAACGATTCCACACACCTTTTCAGCAGAATTAACTTTCTTTGTCAAAGGAGGTCTTCAATCTGACCCTAACAAAAGATTGACTATTGAATAAATGCTCAAACATCCTTGGATAACTAAACATAAATTACCATAAACTAAATGTGAATACAATATCTGAAAATATAAATAATTAATAAAATAATAATATCACCAATTTAAATTAAACATCATATTTTTATTCTATACTGGAATGCTAATGATATTAGTATCTTAAAAGAACGAACACTTGTATCCTTTTCCCTTGTTCTCCTCTTCCTATTACTGCTGTTGCCAATATTAGATATTCACACTTATCTAATCTAAACAAGTCTATCTAAAATTCTCACTAGAAAGAATCAAATATTATCTTTATACTTTTTCAAGAATTCTCCAAAGGCATCGAATAAAGGCCACACAATAGCCTTTAAAAAGCCTTCTTGAGACTTGGTTACACTTTGACTCCTGTCGCACATAGGTGTCACCTGAATACCAACTTAAGCTTCCAAATCCCCTTACAAAAAGAACTCCTCAATAATTCTACGACTCCAAATCTTATGCAAATTCAACTATTTTGCTCCATGTCCAACATCTATACATTAATTTTCATCTTACCTGCACATTTAATTGCTATCGAGAGTATGAGTAATTTAGTTTGCTCATCCGATTGGCTGTCTGAACCTAAAGCTAAAAAGTTCTTGAATTTATTTAATAATGGAAAATGCTTTTGTAGGTCAGTGTCCAATATTAGATTTAAACAGTATTTTCTGAATCCTTTATAATCAACATCATTGATGTTTTTTAGGATATTAGCCTTTTCATCTTTCAATACATGAAACATCAGAGATGCATGATAACTCTCCAATACACTTTGATCATTATCTACTTAATGGTTTCATCTTTACATATTAATGCTTATTTGGATTGAGAAGCAACCAAAAAGCCGTTATTCAATCCAGGATGTCCCACATCATGTGATAATGCTGATATAATCAAGCAACATTATTCAAATGGAGTGACCTCAAGGCCATTCTCTAAAAAGAAGGATGCTGAGTTAGCCACATCCATAGCATGAATAGAATTGTGATATGGGTTTTGCATATAAAATGATTCAATTCTGTGACAGAACTCAATTTGCACAGACTTCTCCTTAATTTTGAGTACCTAATTGATGCTAACATATAGATAAGATTGATTACTTGTATTTTTGAAAGATAAAGGAACTAAAACTAATAAATTTATTTTGGTCATTGACTTCAAAGAAATCAAAATTAAAGTTATTTAAACACTCCTTCATTTGATTATGATTGGAATCTATGAAATATTGATGCTCTTGTATATTGGTTTCACCTTATAATAATTAAAAATTAAATTCGTGCTCAGTGAAATGATTAAGAATGAAACTACATTACAAATTAAATTTACTTCTTGGCCTCAGGTGAAAAAGATTCAGATCCTCTGGAATCAATATTCTTAGTGCTTCTCAGATAGGAGGGTAACCACAAATGTTCTTTTCTGCCACTCACTATTTTTAATAAATCATTTAGGTCATCCAAAGTTAAAAAGTTATCGTCATCTTCTTTAATTTCATCCCTATTCATACTATGACCAACAGTGCGAGCAAAGGATAATGATTCATTAATAGAATTCAACCTTAAAGGTCTTCTGCTTGGTGATTTCTTACTAGGAGTTTCTTCGATTTCTTAGATGGAACTCTTATCGTCGTCATCATCAGGCAAATTACGTACAGTTAAGACTCTGGAAGGATTACTCAATTATTTCTGCAAGAGCTTCTCTTCTAAACAGATATGCTCAGTTTTGTCCAATAATTTCTAATATTTTAATAATCGCAATTTTTTTAATAATTCTTCTTAACGAGATTATTATTAATCTTCAATTATTATGGTTTTATATGACATCTCTGTTTCTCTCTTTAATTTTGTAGCTTCTCCATCAAATTCCTTAATCTTCCTATCATATTCTTCCTGAATTTACAATTGATTATTAAAGATTGCCCACATTGTTGTTAATCCTCCAATCCAACTTAGTATCCCAATATCATCGAATTTCTATGACAATATTAGTTGTAATCCAATGTACAATGTCAGAGTCACTGCCAATATGGCTATTTTGTTGTTAGATAACCTAAATTTGATGACAATTATGATCATCTAAAAACTTAACAAAACAAAATCTAGCCTCAACTATTCAATAGCAATTTCTGAGACTAATGCCCAAATTAATCTAGATGTTAGAATTTTACTTAATAAAAACCATTTTAGAGTGAAGATTTGCAATTATTAAGGATTTGATGAGTAAATGATGTTTAGCAAATATATCAGTACAAGTGTAGTATGCAGCATTAATGTTGTTTGAGCCAATCCTTCAAAGAGAAATAAAGTTGCTATGAGAAGAGCTTCACTTTTGTTGAAATGAGTTTAATGTGATGGCTTGCTAAAAAGTTCTTAGAACTTGGCTAACAGTCGGTCTTATTATCTTAGTTATTAATCATAAATGTTATAAGGCATTAATTAATTATCATTATTTTGTTCTATATCGTTAACCAATTTCCTATATTCTCTCCTCCAGCAAATCTCTCTTTTTCACCAATCCAATCCTTCTTTGATATTGAATCAAACGAGATGACTTTAAGTCAACCTGTTATGGACTGACATCCACTACTACATCCGAGTGAATTTGAGGACTTGCCAATCTTGAATTATAGAACTCTTTAAATCGTACTTCAATCATATGTCTTCTACTTCCATAAATTTGTTTCACTTAATTTGAAGAAAGCATGCTTTTTAATTCCTATTAAGCAGAAGGCTGTTTCTTGTGCTTATCCAATATACGCTTGATATTGTCCATCATCGCATCCAATTTCGGATTCTCCGGCAATGGTATGTAGTCCAATATCATAGGAGATGATTCGGTAGTCAGATTTTTCAGACGAGTCGATCTGCTCGTCAGTGGTTTCTACTGCACTTTAGATTACATATCATCCTTAATACCCTAAACTATTCTTTGACATCGAGTTAGCTTTGTAGATTTTTGTAACATAATAATATTAAATGAACAACCTTTTTTTAGATCACTTCACTCTCTTAAAGGGATTAATAACACAATTTAAAAATCAATCATATCAATTCAGTTTTATGACTAAATTCTTATTGTATCAAACAACTTACATAAATATGTTAATATATTGCTAAATTTCAATTGTTTATAATCCCAATAAAACCATCGAATTATTTAATCAATATAAAATGTTCAGGAGGAAATAATTTAATTCGATTATATTTCATGTGATGGATACCCCTGATTTCAAAATAATTAAAAATATCAATATATTTCATATTCTTATGCAATATTTTTTCAACTTAATTTATCTTATCTATTTAACTCAGTCCACCATTCACGATAGAATCTTAAAAACGGACTCAACAACAACATAGCAACTACATAATAAAATTATATAGCTTTCACTAGCTATTGATCTCTTGATATAAATTTCGCCAAAGGTGTTAGTATAATTATGGCTATTATATAGTAATTATTATTATTACTCGTAATTGCTTTGAGATGCAAGGTACCAGCCCAAAACTTATTTTTAGATTTTAATTTTTCTTTTCCCTTCAACAAAAATATGTTTACGATCCCTGCCAAAATCATTAGGAATCCTGAAATTCCTGCAAATAAAGCTTATGACTTTGTTATCTCTCCTTAATCAGGCCATAAATAATCGTATATTATACGACCTCCTAATGCTGTAACACTTCCAATGTGCAATACTCTAAATACATATTTTACCCAAAACTCAGTATTATACATGATAAATTAATTGATATTTTATATAATTTTGTATTAGATTAATAGTTATCCTATATTAATATCAATTCTTAAAGAACATCATATAGTTATGTATTCATTTCCAAAAAATCTTTATATCAGAATCAAAACAAGAATTTTATAAAAAGATTCCAATTTATAGTTGTTCAATTAAAATTAAATATAAGAAGAGAAAAATAAACAAAATTTTATGAATTAAATAGAATAAAGTGTGGAGAGAATTAAGTAAAGAGAAAAATACTGTAAATATAATTTCTAAAAATGTTATTCTATAAAATATCCTAAATTATTGGAATAGTTATTTAGTCTAATAAATATATTGAATAAATGATCTAATGATGTATATTTACATAAAGCATTTATTTTCAGAATTATTTAATCAATTATTAACCATTCATTACTTCTTAATACATATTATAAAAAATAGAGGATTTATTATTTAGTAAATCTTTGGTAACTCCAGATTCAATTATTTGGCCATTATCAATGACAAGTATTCTAAATAAACATAATAAGTACTTATCACACTTCAAAATTGTATTAATGCGATGAGCAATTGCAATTACTGTACAATCTCTGAAAGCAATTGCAATAGCTTTTTGGATTTTCTCCTCAGTCTCCATATCTATATTGGCTGTTGCCTCATCAATTAAGATAATTTTAGCTTTTTTGAGGATGGCTCTTGCTATGCAAATCAACTATTTCTCTCCTGCACTTAAATTATCGCCACTTTCATTTATCATTGTATCCAAACCATTTCTTTCATTGAAAAGTTTCTCTAAGCAACAATCATTTAACACTGTTTTAATCTCATCATCATGGCACTATCCTGCAGGATCTAGGTTTTATCGTATAGTTCCATGAAAAATGACAGCATCCTATTAAATAGATGTAATGGATGTTCTGAGTTTCTCCAAAGAAATTTAGGATATGTCAATGCCATCAATTATCACTTGACCTTCATAAGCCTCCAACATTCTAATTAGACTAAGTGTAATTGTAGATTTTCCTGCTCCTGTTCTACCAACAATTCCAATTTTTTCATTTTAATTTATAGTATATGAAAATTCCTTCAACGCAAATGGTAAATTCGGTCTGTATCTAACAGATAATTCCTTAAATTCTATCTTCCCAGTATTTGGCCAATTCCTAGGTGGTTCATTTTGATTTTGCTTTTCTTAAGGTATTTTTGTAAAATCTAGACATCTTTCAAATGAAATCATATTATTTTCTACCAATCCCAATGAATCAATCATTTGCTAAGTATTAATATCTAGGTTTGATACATAAGTTAAAATTAACCCAGCAAATGAAGCATTATTAGAATAAAGTATACAATATATAATAGCGAACATATTAACAGTTAAACTTAAGAATCCTAATATTTGATTAAACCAGCAACTAGCATGAGTGGAAACAAATACAATTTATCTATTTCTATCTAATTTTTGACAGAAATTATTCAAGAATAAAAAGGATTTTTAAAAGGCTCGTATAGTTGATAGACCTTGTAATGATTCTACAAAATAACTCAATATTGGACTTTTGCTAATCAATTCTAGTCTTTGCATTTCCCTACTAGCTTTCATGTAAATTCTTTAAATCTTGATACCTATATAGAAGAACAAAAGTAATGGTATTATTATCAACCTGGTTGTAGCTATTAAGCCAATTATGGATGAACTCACAATTTAACTTATTTTAGTCGATGCAAAACTCAAATTCATATTGATTTCTATATCTAAAGAATTGATATCCTTAGTTAATCTGTTCATGATTCTACCTGTAGGTACCCTTTCAAAGAATTCACATTGAGGAGCCATAAGTAAACTTTTAATTATTTGATTATGAATTATGGTTGTGGATTTGACACTTGAATTAGCAATAGACGCTGCTCTTCCATACGCCAAAACTGCTTAGAATACTCCAACACAGAAATAGACAATCATATAAGTCTTTGGACTGTAATCTTAGTTATATAAATCATCTGACCAATGTGCGATCCAAAGAGTAGAGAATAACTAAGCAATGATCCACATTAACATTACTATAAATAAGAGCAAATAATTTTTATAACCTCCATTATATAGAAAATATTTCTGATAAACAGAAATATTAATATCACCAGATTATCGATCTTCCTTCAAAATTAAATCCTCGGGATCTTTGAATTCCTTCTACTTTTTGGTTGCAGAAGATGTATTCATATTTGAGACATCATTTTTAGTTTAATCTTTTTAGTTGTCATTTTCTATATGTTCTTCTGCTTTATCTTTAAACTTTTATTCTATTTCTAAAAACTTTTAGTTATATTTCATATATTGATAATCCCCTGAATCTATAATCTCCCCATTTTAAAGAAGATAGATCATATCTGTATACTGACAAAAGCTCAAAGCATGAGTGGATAACACTCTTGTTTTCTCCTTTAAATAATTGAGAAAACATTCCTTCATTATAAAATTACCAACATGTATGTCAACAGCACTTAATGGATCATCTAATAAGTATATAGAGGCATCACAATAGATTGCTCTTGCTAAGCTTATTCTTGCTTTCTAACCTCCTGATAGATTGATTCCCTTTTCTCCAATAGTAGTCGCATCTCCATCTATTAAGATTTCTAGATCTTGATTTAAGCATGAATAATAGATAGCATTGTCATAAGATGCTTAATGAAACTCTTTACCAAATAAAATATTCTCCTTGACACTCCCATTCTATATCCAAGCCTTCTATCCAACATACGCTATATTCCCATATGTTTAAATGTATGGTTATTAGTCCTTCTCTTTGTAAACCATCTCTCCTATAAGAGCTTAGATTAGAGAAGACTTGCCACTGCCAATATCTCCAATCAAAGAAACGAACTAACCTGGCTGAATGATTAAGGAGATATTCTTGAGGACTGGGAAACTTTCCTTTTGAATTTGACTTCTGTTCCAATGAAAATTACCTTGTTCTATTTTTATGGCAATGTTAGGATCTCTATAATCTAGTTACTCTATGCATTTATTCATGATTTCATCAGTCTACAAAAATGCTGATACTCTTTTTAATGATAGCAATGCTTCTTGTAATGAATTATATGAAATTGGTAATATTTATAAATTGGATGCCAACATCAATAGCAAACTGATTATGGGGAATACTTTACTAGGAGTTAATTCATTTCCCAAATAAACATAAACTCCAAAGCTCAAACTTAATATCAATTAAGGAGTAAGCCAACCGAAAAATACATTAAAGGAGAAATGATCCAATCTCTTCTTTATACATATTCTTTCTGCCTCTCTCAGTTACTCTATTTTAGTTTAAAATATCGATTCGTATGCATTTATTTTTATGAATTTAATTTATTAGAAAACCTCATTGGTCTGTTTGATCCTATCATCCTTGCTTTTGAGTACGGCTTTCTGAGACAATAGCAACTATTTCCCAAGGAAATTATTCGCAATAAAAGTTAAAATTATTATGATAATACCAACAAATACAGTATTTCCAATTTCTCGATAGATGTATATCAACGTAATCACTATGATATAAATTATTCTTACATGCTTATATTGGAATGATTGAGACATTCAATAGATTATTGGATGCATATACCATTTTTTATGCATCTACTTAAATTAAATTTGTTATTTCTCCTACTGTACGTTAAGTGTTGCTCAGAGTTGATAATTTTAAGCATTTATTCATAACCTACATACTCACTATTGCCATAGCATCTTGTCCAGCTAATATCTTTAATATAAAACTATATTACTAACATCAATTTTGAGTGAGTTTATGATAGTATTCCTATAATTCTTACTGCAAAAATAATGCAAATCAGAATTAATCCATCTGATGTTTTTTTGTCAGTTTTAGAAACATATGTCAACACATATTGGATTATCAATGGTATTAAAAGTTGACTACCCAATTGGATGAGTTGTATGCAATATATTTTAAAGAACCTTTCTAATAATTACCACAAATTTACTAACAAAAAACTTTAACAGCTATATTGTTAAACTAGAGTGTAAGTTTTATTTTTAGAGTTCTGAAAATTATTCATGCAGAGACTCCGATGATTATTAGGTAAAATATTCTTCCAATTCTTCTTCATTTAACTAATGGGATTAAGCATTCTAAAATATTATATTTGAAAACTTTCATCAGTGAATAAATGTTTAAGTAAAACAATTTCCCAAACCAACTCTCCTAATCCTCTCTGTCTGTTGTAATTATGAGATTTTGCTACTCAGTTTTATAAATTTTAAGTTCATTATTCATTTATTAAATTATTTTTGCTTTTAATAATCATTTTATTTTTACTCAAATTTAAATCTTCAAAGATATAATTTTGCTTAATAAATTTAACATTTAACCCTTTCAACCATTAATATTGAAAAATTTAAGTATTTTGGTACATATGTGAATTTTCTTCAGCAATATTCTCCAAAACTCTATTTTCACACAGAATCAATAATTATCCATTATAAATCCTTTAAAAAAGGGATGGTATTAGATATTTATTTGTTTAATTAAATTAAAATGAATAAATACACATGCTTTTTTATAAACCAAAATATTGAAGACATCTATCAAAAGAATCATTAAATGTCACAAAGAATAAGTTAATTTAAACTATTTTCCTATACTGTAACAATTGGATTGGTAATTAAAATCAGTATGATGATAAACTAAGGTATTATTGACAAAATATATCCTCATATTGCCATGTTAATTACTCTAACAATTTATAATCTAATAAAATTCGAAAGCAGTTAAAAAATACGAATGGCTCAGATTTCAATAAACACTTTATTTACATTGTATGTCCTTTAATATGAAGTTTTTACTGACATTATTGCGTAAAACTACAATGGTGGGAATCAAATGGCAGCGAATATATTAAACAGTATAATGGGTGAATTCCCAGAGGCGGCATTTGGAACATTAGTTGCTTTGGCAATGAGATTATATTATTTCGTTTCTTATGGAGAATTAAAGAATATTAATGTTATGGCAATAAATGCTTCCATTCATTTTGTATGGATATATTACTTATATAACTTTAATAAAGCCAAAAGATCACAGTTCATTTTAACTTTAGTTGACAACAAATGGGAAAAAATATTTTAATAAATATTTCATAACAACAAGAAATTTGTTTTGCTGCATTATGATGAAGAAGAGTTTAAAATTAAGAAGGTCTTGTAAACTATCCTACCTTAAAGCACATCTTTGCAAGCATTTTTAGAATATATTCGCGAGGTTAAATGCAATAATCAACCAATTCAGAATTTCTTTTTTTAATAAATTAATAAACATAAAAAAAATTAGTAAGATGTAATTAATTAATAAATTCTTCTCAAATATGAAAGGAAATTGATTTAATTTCATTTTTCGCTCTTTTTTGGAGACAAACCTATCATTCTTCTAGTCAATGAGGATTAAACAAAATCTAGCATTGATGTCATATCTCAATCTACAGTAATACTTAAAATACTCAAGAACTTAGTCAATATCATAGATTCAAATAAGTAGTACAACAAAAGGAAATTCTTTTAGTTATCTTAGTTTATAAAAATAAAATATTTGATCGGGAAAATTAATTCAAGAAAGAAGTCAATTTAAAAGATTAATCTGAATAATTTTGTCAATAAAATAGCAAATAGATATAAGCGATATATAATTGTGTAAACTTATGGCATGCAATGTGAAGTTATGATTTTAGAAGATGTTTTTCATCTTTTCTTGCTTGTTGTTTTTGGTAACACTAGTAAAAAGAATATCTAAGCTCAAATATTCAGAGATTTTGATTGTAAAGTTCATTTAGTATTTGAAGGATACTTTAGATAGGATATTATTAATATCCATTATCAAAAATTCTAATTCTACTTTGCTCTTATAATTAGTAACTGTTCTATACAAGAAAATTGTAACAAATTTATTTATTTTAGGTATTAAAATTGAGTTAAATGAGGAAGTTTTGTACCCTTTTACCAATAATTAACATAAGATTTCTTGATTATATTCTTGTTAATTTATTACCTTTATAAATTCTTTAGTTCATTATTTTTTGTATTTATAGTTCCTATTTTTAAGAATAATTAAAATGTTATCCGAAATTATCAACTAGAAATAATAATACATAAAATCTGATACAATAACTTTGAGTGATTTTGGGATTCAAACAATAGGATATTCTAATACATTTAAGAACATGTATATGATTTGGCTGATTATAATAGAACAAAGTTACATCTCACAGGAAACAAAATAGTGAAATTAGATGGATTAGAATAATTTACGAACCTACAATACTTAAATTTGTCCAACAACCAGATTGAAAGTATTAAGGAATTCTAACATGTTCCATAGTCAATATAGTGCTTGTTTGTAGCAGGAAATCCATTTACAGCCAACTTGAATTATGGTTATTCTTTGATGTGCATTCTTATGAATTTGTAATAGTTGGACAATGACAAAATAAACAGACAGCTGACTTAAGAATACTAGATTAAGATGCAGACTTATGGTTTTCCTGTGTTAGCATACTTTGTGCATTTTAACAATAAATAATTAACTCCTATATTTAACAATAGATCAATAACTTACATATAGAAACTTTTGATGATAATAGATTTATTAGTAAATGAAAATAAAGAAGAAATACAAGGTTTAAGTCAATAATTACAGAACCCATAATTTCAAAAATCAATAGCAGATACTATTTTGAAGCATATCTGTAAATTCGAAAGAGATTAATTCAAAAATAATAACATTAATGCTTTCTTTGCTAATCAAGCCATGTAATCCTAAAACACAGATCTCTAGAAATTTGCAGATGATGAAGGATATTACCAATAAGAAATTCTTCAGGCCTTCATTTCTTATGAAGATGTGCAATAGTTCCCAACCTTCTCTTTAAATTAGGCTTATAATCTCGGGATCCTGGATTTCATTTATCAAAGTACTTTGACTCAAAACACTACATTTAGACCTTAAGAAGACAGAGTAAAATAATATATAGAACCCCCACAATCTAATTTTTCATTAATTAACAAAAGCAATGGCAGCATTTAGAAAAGCATACTTAAACCTACTAGTTATTCAGTGTCTACTTAATCAAAATTTGATGAGTGCACTTAAGAATATCTTAACAATTATAAAAAATAATATCCATTTTTGAAGGGATTGGAATAACTAAAGAAAAGTTTACAGAAACATTATTTCTAAGAATTCAAGTAGAAATTGAAAAGGAAAATAAATAGAATACATCAATAATGCATAGCTGGTACATTTAAATTGGATTACTTTAAGAAATTATATTAAAGATACTTAATCAAGATAGCTTTGTAATAGATAAAGAAAAAATCGAAAATATCTAATATGGTAAACATTCTGCAATTGTAGAGAAACCATTAGTAATTGTTATCTATCAAGCACATTAAGAGTGTTGTGTATGTATAAAAGAATATGGCAAAATTGTAAAGATAGACATATTTAAAACGAGCCGTATTTAGACATCTGAATCCAAAGGTAAGGTATGGAAAGATGGCTAAAAAGCTGTAATTAAAGTTGCTAATCTTAAAAGTAAATGGTGTTTTGAGAGAAGCTTTGAAATAAATGAAGATCACAGCTTTAGCATTTAAAGTAGAGATAAGGAAGGATTTGGCATTTAAAGTAACATTAAAGAAGGAAAAGAAATAGGAATCGCGTGCTTTAGAGAATTTTAGAAAACTAAGAGAGTTGGGTAATACTTAATATTGATAAATAATTAAATAATGTATTCAATTACAGCTCGTTTTAATTAAATCGTGTTCTTCACGTCGTGGACCTTAGGTATATTAGTCATACTAGAGAAGTCGTGTTGTCTTTGCTCAATTAGGGAACAGCATATTTCTTTAAGACTGGAAAGCCAACAGTAGATCTCAAGATTTTGAGTGCAGATAAATTGTATTGCAGATCAACTGATTATATTGTTTAGCCATCATTACAAGGCAACTTATTACAATGGTGGAGCAACCGATTGGGATTAGGTGACCTTTAAATTTTCCTTGGAAGCAGGTTTTTCATACACGTAATATCATTAGATTTCGAGCCAGTGTATAATTGGAATTTGAAGCAATTATTTTTATATGTGAATGTGCATCATGAGCATTAGGTGAAAGGAGTAAAGAGTTTATATCAACTTTGTAGTACGAATCAGATTGTGTGATTTATGATAAAATCATTTCTAGACCAGATGACCCCAGCAGTTGGAGTACTTCATCTAAGGTAATGTAAAATCGCATCTTAGCTCCTTTTGAAAAATCAAAGAGCCGAATATCCACTCAAAGATATTCATAAATAATTGCGCAATGCAACAGTGAATTTTGAAGTCTGGATAGAGGTTATGCCATACGTTGGGTATATAAGGAGGGAGAAACTGGGTGATTTCGAATATAAAATGCCTTAATAGTATAATTGAGATGTGTAATTTATATTTTTAACAATCACATTTTTTTGAATGTCTTGTATTGATTAGAGCTTTGCACAATTTTAACAAACAGCTTAGTTCTTTAATCCAGATATTGGGAACAATGGAACTTTGAGAATGCCTTAAAAAATAAAAAAAAGAGAAATCTCGATGCCATCTTATTACTTTGATGACTTTAAGGGGTTTCTCAAGCAACCAATTAAAATAACCTCCAATATCACCCAAAGGCGCAACACACATACAACAACTACAACTCAAGACAGTAGTCAAATGAGTCAGTCCATTAAGTAACCCAATAAAAGCTTGAAATAATTGACATAGGCCAATAATTAGGACTATTCCAAAATAATCAATATTATTAGCTAATTCAACAATTCTAACAAATTGAAGCACGCATAGAGTGCAAATTCTATGAAATACAAACTAATAATCCCTTTAAAGGAAAAATCTATGAATGTGAATATGACAAGAGACAGCAGGACTAACTCAAGATGTAGTGTAGTATCTGCATAAGGCGAAAGAAAACGTAGTATAAAAGTAAATGATCCATATGGACTAATTAATAATAAAATTATGAGCAAAACAAATTCGAAATAATTCTTAAAACAAAAGGCTTAAGATAAATTAGTAGACAAGTTATTCTCATAAAGATCAGATAGCGTTTAATGATTATTTATCTATAGATGCATATTATCAGTCTTTTTAAATTAGTTATTTAATTAAAAGTTTTAGAATATCATTTCTACCATTTACATTTTACAAATAAAATAATAATATATAAACTGACAGATCAAAAAAGGAGTATCCAAGTTGGAAATGAATATTTAAAATTAGTAATAAAGAAATAGAGTCAGAAAATATAAAGAAATGAACAAATCATAATATTATGTTTTATCATTCTAGATTGAATTCTACTGATGATATTGAAAATTTAATACTAAATATTCTATGGCTTTTGATACATTTCAAAAAGAAGATTAAACCAAGTTTATAATGCACAACACAATTATAAGTTTAAACCTATTACAACCCTCAATCTTTAAATAATTTAATAGTACTTTCTTTGTTTCTAATAATAATAATATTTAGAAAAGAAGCAAGAAGAAATATTATATTATATATATTTAATAATTGATTCACATAGGGGGAGATAGACAAGTTTAATTTAAAATTAATCTTTACATCTAATTATGCTAATTTGGTAAAAAAGTGGAGTAAATTTCTTTGGCCCTGAAATGGCATTTGCTAGCTTTATCTGCATCTCCTTATGCTTGATAGACAACTGCTATATTATTAAGTATTTATGCTCTTTAAACACAGTTATATCTAATTAGATTTGGATATTTACTGAAAACATTATAATGCTTATATAAAGTAATTGAGTGATTATTACACATCTGGTACTAATCCATATGTCAGTCCTAAAAGATTGAAAACTTCAACAAATTTGAGATTCTTATAATCCTTATAGATTTTATGTTTAATGTTGACTGCCTTCATCAGAAATTCAATAGCTTCATCTGTTTGTTTTTAAATATAACTGCATTCTCCTAAAGCAACATAGGCTTCAGCTATTGATTCGTGATCTTCTGGAAGGAATTCCTTAAGCATGGCTATCGCACCATAAATTAATTTTTTTGAGAGATCAAAATTCCCTAAATATAAATTCTGAATTACTTGTCCAAGCATGCAATTTAGCCATCCAAAGCAAAATGTGAGCTATATCAGACTTCCACTCCAATTTTTCATAATGTTTGAGAGCTTCATAAAATGTGGATTGAGCAGTTTAATAGGTTTGATTAAGAAAGTGTAGTTTTCCTAATTCAATGAGAATTTTTCCTACTAAGTTTGGTTCTAAAATCTTGAATTGTTTCTGAATGGATTTTAACTATTTAATAGCGTTCTTGAAATCGCCTAATTATTTATAAAATTTTGTCAATAAACACATAGTTCTAACAGTCTATACTGCTTAGGTGAGCATATAATTGCAATCATGATCATTTTCAATTATCTCCTTTTAGAGCTAAGAATTTATTGACTTTAAACTTTTAATATAGGTTTGAAGATCACCAGAATTCGCTTAATTTTCTATTTCATCCAATTATTGAGAAATGGTTTTGGGAGTTTAAAGTTCCTCCTTGATTGGAATAGTATTATAGGTTTAATCAGGAGATAATTCAAAGTTCATTACAATAGGTTTAACTATCTCACTTCTGACTTTAGGAGGAGAGGCGCTGAATGTTTTAGAAATCTTTGAAATTTATTATTGATCCCGTTATGAAGCAAGAACGATTTCATTTAAGTCCTTAACTTAATCATTTTATTAAATCATCGGTTGTTTAACTATCGAATTACTCATTGACGATAATCTAGAACTTTATTTAGAGTTGTTGTCTAACTAATTTGACCAATTTCCTTACTTGATTCTAGGTATTGGCTCTAGTTTTGACCTCGACAATATAGCCTTTCATCACATCCTCTCTGATTCTCTATAATAATCCATTTAGTTAATCATCTCTTCTAAGTGTTTCTTGATCAATTCGTTCATAGCCTGTTGACATTAATAAATAATAATAATTATACATAAGTATGATTTGCAATGTTTAAAAATATCAAATATCACAAAGTAAAAAATGAATTCGTAAATCAAGATATGATTCCTTACAAATTTGTAAAATTTCCAATAGAATAATTGTATCTACCTCCATGTTATCGCTAGTGCTTTCTTTCTGTGATCTAGTTTTGCTCAGTCATGAGAACTTATTTTCCAATACAGGTTTTAGTCATAAGTGTCCTGGGAGTAGTACTACCTCCAGCCTTTGTAGTTTCAGGCACATTTATTTATTGCAAACTTAAATGGCTCTGAAAATTGATTCTGCTCAACCAGACATGAGATTAAATCATTCCTAACGAATATCGGTGTTCAGGTCTAAATTCCAGCATTTTCTTAAGCAAATGCAGCCCTTCAGCTTTAATACGGATATTCTGGAAGTTGATTTCCCCCTTCTCATTCATTTGAAAAATTTAATCCGTATTCTTACCCTAAAAGGGTCTTCTTCCAGTTATAAGAGTATAAAATAGTACTCCTAAACTGAATACATCGACCTTATAATCATATGGCTAACCCACCAAAATCTCCGGAGCTGCATATCCAGGGGTTCCACATTATTTATATAAGTAATTGCCATCAAAACTATAAAAGTCTGCCAATCCAAAATCAGAAATGACTAAATCTTCAACATTATCTTGATTTCTCAATATGATGTTCTCTGGTTTTATGTCTCTATGTATGACTCCTTATGAATGAATGAAGCCTAGCCCACTCACTAATTGAGATATCACAGAATGCACTTTCCTTTCAGACAAATGACCCACTTTTGTAATATACTCATGCAAGTCTCCTCCCCTCAGGTATTCCTGCACTACAAAGATATAACTCACAGTCTCAAATGTCTCAATTAAGGTCATTACTTATTTATGTTTCATCAATCTAAGAATTTTAAGTTCCTTTTCTAGAGATTATAAATGTTTTTGGCTTTTGAAAATTTGATTCTTATCAAAACACTTGATAGCAAACAATTCATTGGTTTTAGCATTTTCTGACAAAAACACCTAACATTTATTATAATATCACTTACATTTGCAAAAGTGCCATTGGCCATCAATTTTCTCACTTTATATTTTAATACAAAGTCTATTTAAATGCATTATTTCTTCAACACTTTAAAAAGCCCAATTACATCTCCATAAAGTTCCAATTATGCCAATCCTTTTAGTATTCTTACTCCTACATCATTACAACCATCTCTAATCAAGTATATTATAGCATTTTCGATATTGGCAATATGTTATTGCTGTTTCATAAAATAATTCGTACATCTCCCTATATTATGATCAAGTATGAGAGTTTCACCTTCACAATTACTTTACTCAATTGTTCACCTAATTTTGCTTGAAACATTCCTTCCAAGCTCACATTACTAAAGTGCTCCACTTTACATTTATCCCAAAATGAAGTTGAGCTACTGTGAAATAGAGATTTGAATTAAGTGGTTTTATTGATCATTTTATTAATTATTGATCATTTATTAATTTTCACCTTCTTTTCATATCATTATCCAAATACCTTATCTTATCTAATTTATTACTAGTAAACTCATTCTGTAAAAGATTTATATATATTTATTATTCTCAGATATTTTATATTCTCTTTTTTTCAGTTCATCAGTATTCTTGATGTGAATCACAGAAATCCATATCTAATATCTGCAATTTCACTTCAATTGATATCTATAATAATTATATTAAACTAAATTTATTTAGCTTATGGATTCAGTATCAGCTGGTTACACATTTATTGCTATATTAGGTATTGCAAAACTAGATATTTTTGGATAACTTGTATTCCTCAGAATCAATAGACAAGCCAATTATAAAACCATCTTTGGAGGATGTGCTTCTATTGCAGTTATGAGTGTAATGATTCTCATTTTCATTACAAATTTTATTTCTTTCATTCAAAAAGAGCAATTGAAAGTTGTCTCTATATCTGAATATGAAGATGTCATTGACACTATTTCATTTCAAGATTCACAGTTTCTTTTCGCCATTAAAATCGAATAGCTTAATTTTATTTAAAGACCATACTTTAATATCACTATGAAATAAAAGTAATGCTTAATGCCCATCTAAGACTCTACTTTAGAAACACAGAAGGTGATGTGAAGAAAGAAACAATAGACATTCAATTAGTTCCATGTACTTTAGATCGTTACACGTAAATATTTTCAGAATACAATATCAATTTTACTTAGTAATTTTAATAACTTCATCTGTCAGACTTCTTATGTCCAAGGTACTTATATAAATATATGATAGCATAAATACTAACATCTTGATTGGAGGTACCTACTCAAGTAAGATTAATATCCTATAAAACATTAGGCAATTATTTTGATTTCATAGAACTATCTATTATTTAGTGCTAAAATAATTCACAGAATTTGTGGAATCCAATTTGTGATAATCCCATTGATACTAGTTATAAGGTTAGATTATATACAGTAAATTAAGTATCAATTTTATTTTCATTAAGAATATTAACCCCTATAAGCCAAAAGATTCTTATATTTAGCCATTTTTGGACGATTCTTTATCATTTACTATTAATCTAAACTCAACTAAGTTTGCCAACATTTACTTTACCAAATATGAATTTCAAAATGACGAAAGTCTTCTACCAATAAGGTACATAAATATTTGATTTTATTCAATAGTATGATTGAGGAAAGGACTTTTTTTGTTTTAGATTCTTCGGATATTCAATAAGATACTACAGAAATAGATGAAAATTCATTAGCCAAATTGCAATTACGCAAGAAACCCTTTAAAACTAGATTTTTACGGCAATATTAAAAATTAGATGAATTACTTTCCAATATTGGTGGAATTCTTTAAATTATGACCTTTTTTATTGGATTGCTAGTGACTATCTATAATAGAGTTAATTGTATATAAATTGATTAATATAACAGACATGGTTGAGTTGTCCAATAGAATTTATGACTTTAGTATTGATGATTCATATACAAAAAAGATTTATTCAGACAATCTATAAATTCTAACAGAATAACAGAAAAATGAAAGATTGGGAGGACTTGACTCTAAGATATAAACTTCAAATCAAAGAATAATGACAGAGAATGATCAATGTGATAATTGTATTGAATCATATAAGGAGGAATAGAAGAATTTTTAAAAGGAAAGTTGTTCCATAAGATTAAACTTTACAACTGGTTTAGATTACTTTTCGAATTAGTTATAAAAAATGTTCGAGAAAAAGAAACCGATTGCATTAGATGTTTAAATCTTTTTGAATTATATTACATGTAATTTTCTATTTAAGGAGGTTCCAAAAGTTAGATTAATGAATAAAGCATAGTAAGACATTTACCTCTAAATTAGCGAATAAATAATTTCTTAATCAGATATTTATTCAATATTGTCTCGGTTGAATGAAATAGATAAATTAAAAGAGGTAATGTTGACTCCAAAACAATTGGTGATGTTTAATTTCACTCCAAAGAAGTTAATTACATTGGAAGATGAAGATCTGAAAATAGATAGAAACATGGTGGAATCTTAGCATAAGTCATCGAAAGATAAGTAATATTAGTTTTATAATATCAAGATAGATCGAATTTCTCATTTATGCTAAAATGATGCTGAAGTTGAAAAGGTAAAATAAAAACGAAAAGAACACAAGATCTATTAGGTCAAATAAAAGGGCAAGTTTTCTGCCATAGCCACTTGATAATTATGTGTACTAGCAAATCTATAGTGTAAAATAATTAGTAAATGATATAGGCTTATGATGAGATCTTCCTGAATAAGAACCATCAGGAAACTCTGAATTCCTAGTTAATATCCATGTTAGGAGCAGAGATGGAAATGATATATAAGGTTGGCAAAATAATAGATTAAAATGTTAGACCAATTACGAAGAGTCATAAAAAACTAATATCATCTGATAATTAATAGAAGGGTCTCATCAGAGAAGAAGATGATTTTAAGGAGGAATGAGATCAGCTAAGTTAAATGATAGGTGACTAATTATTATGAATACTTAATTAAAACAAATATATTCTGCCGAAAAAGTACAAAGGTTTGAATTATTATTTCTGTATCATGACAAAGAGATGAAAGGATTCATTAGTTCTAAGGGTAAATTAGAGTAGATAATTAGATTTGCCATTCATATTGAGAGCAGCAGGTTTGCTAATATCTGATAAAGAGATAAAGGATCTATAAGTGAAGGAAAAGATAAGCAAGGATGATTTATTCAAGCTGTTGATACAGCTGAAGGACAAGAGACCTGTAAAACAGGAGATTGAAGCAAGTGTGAAGGTATTTGATGAAAACAACACAGGGTTTATTGATACGAAAGAATTGATGGGAATTGTGTAATAGATAGGAGACGAATAGGTTGAGAAGGACTTCTAGTTAATATTAAATAGTGTAAAAGGGGAAGGAGAATTAGGTTGCGATTGACTCTTTAGTTAATCTATTGATGAAAGAATGAGTTATCAAAAATTGATTAAAAAATATATATAGTTGATCATTCCCTTCTGTGAATAGAGAATCCATTGGATGGATCTACTAAAATTTCATTTCCTTCTTCATAGTGAGAACCCTCGAATTAGTTTAATGTTTATTCATAACGCTGATCCGGATTGATTTCTAGCATGTTAAAAATATCAAATACCTTCTTCTACATTCAATTCTGGATAAAAAGATTAAGGCAAATCATGGAAGCAAATGCCTGGAGCAGGTTCAATAGATTTGAGATACCCATATATTTTCTCTACGATTCTTTGGAGTTCTTCCTTTTTGTTCTTGTTTTCTACATTTTGTTTGATTGGGAAATGTAATTTGTAGTCTGGAGCATAATATTCATAATAGATTTCAGAAGTGGGAATAGGAGCATCAATTTTTTTGTTTAAACATAATCCAGTTTCATATGCCCAACATCTAGCTACATTTTAAATTGTATATCCTCCTCCTCCTAATACCAAGATGGGAACATTGTATTTAATCATGAATTCAACACAAGCACCATGTCCTTTGGTTGATAAATTATATCCTCCCAATCTATCATGACATAGTGAATCAGCTCCACATTACAGGACTACAGCCTCTGGTCTATAGATATCCATAACTTAGGTGATGATTTTCTGGAATATTTCTGTGAAGGTCTCATCATTCATACCAATTTTCAAAGGGATATTGAGAGCATGATATCGACCTAATCCTTCTCCATAACTATCAATATCTCCTGAGCCTGGAAAGAAATCATCTCCATATTGATGGAATGAACAAGTCATCACTCTATTTGTGAGAAGAAATGCTTCTTCAACTCCATCTCCATGATGAACATCAATATCAACATACAAAACTCTCTGATGGACTCTCAACAATTCCAATATGGCTATAACAATGTCATTCACATAACAGAACCCACTGGCCTCTCTTTTCTTGGCATGATGCAAACCTCCTGAATAATTAATGGCTATTTCTGCATCCTATGAAATCAACACATGAGCAGCATCAATTGATCCTCCTGCAGACAATTGGCAAAAATCATATAGACCTGGAAAGCTGGGGTTATCAGTGGAATCTCCTACTCTAAAACTATTTGGTTATGGATAATTATTATTTGTTTCAATGGGTTCATGAGTGTGAGGTGTATTATAATCTAATAAATCAAACTCGTTGTAGATGTGACTTGTAAAGTGAGTGATATTTGGCTGTTGATTATAGTGTTGATACTCATTCACAATTTGGCTTCTAACACTTGTGAATTGACTCAAATATTGCAAGTATTCTGGTTCATGAAATTTCTCCATCTCTTTCAATGAAGCCTGCCTATTCATATACACATCCAGGTTTCGGTATAATCTAACACTTATTTATAATACATTACCCATAATTCACAATTAAATTATGCGCCATTGCAATTCTTTTCGGCTTCATTGGATGCTCTTTACCATAATGATATCTCCCTATTTGGGGATGATAAAAATAAGCCACTCTTTTATTAGTCTCATTTTGCATTGCTATAAAATAAATTATTAAGAGACTACATATATGTATATATATATAATATTCAAAGTAGGTACTTATTAACAAGATATTCTAACTTTTGTATGTCAGTTGGTTTAGAAATACGTTCTTTCATTCCACATTAACTTGCTATCAGTACATCTTCATCTCCAGAGTAAGCTGAATACATTGTTATTATGCAAATTTCATTCAAATTCTGCGCTTTCAATAATTAAGTTATCTAGATATTAAAAACTTCTTACCTCTTAAGAAGCTTCTGAAACCCAGATTTTTCCCGGGCATTTCTATGTCCATAAAAATTAATCGATACGTCTTGCAACATTTCTACGACAATCTCTCTTTGACTAAGTCGATTGCTGAATTCCCATTATAGGCACTGTCGGTCTTCAACTTGAACTTTTTTAGTAAGACTTATAAGGCAAAATGGTTGCAACCTATATCATCAACTATCAAGATTTTGCTACAATCACATTGTGAAAGCTAAGCAAATTGTCGTTTGTCTATTTCAAATTCATTCGAGTAATTCTATATTTGATTTGATAGTCTAAAACTCACTTTTGTGTACTTTTCATACACAGAATCAATCTCAAAAATCTGATCTTTGTATAGATATTTGGCTAACTACTATGAAATTCTTAAACCCAACCCAAGTTTATTAGAATTATATTGAAGTGAATCTTGAAACAACAATTCTGCCTACTCCTCAATTCTTTAGATGATTTCTTCTGATATACCCTATCCATCATCCTCTATTGATAGTTTATAGTAAAGAGGATTTGTCTGAGTAATCATTTTGATAGTGCCTCCTCGATTTGTAAATTTGACTGAGTTATCTAATAAATTAATGAAAATTCTTATCAGTCTTTCTTTATCTGTATAGATTGAGATCTGATTCACATTTTCAATGATGAGATTGATGTTTTTTTAGACGCATTCGAAATTGAAGAGCTCAAAGAGTTGTTGATAGACTTCCTACAACTTGAAACAGGATTTGTTTAAGATCAAGGAGGAACATTAAATTTAAGCATAATCTAAGATATCATTGAGTTGGAATTGCAATCTCTTAGTCGATACAATAGCTGGATCCAAATGAGATTCAATCAAACTTTAAGACAATTCATCCTTCAAGGCATACAATTAAGATACTGTTCCATTGATAGGGGTTCTTAATTCGTGACATAGGGAGTTTAGCAAGGCCTGTTGGAACTTGTATTTGTGATTAAGCAATTTATATTCTTCTCGCTTGGTGATGTTCTCCAAAATGAATAAATAAACCACTGACTCCCATTAGACAAAACCTTCCAATTAAAATATTTTGAGCTTCAAACTCTTATATTTGGCTTTAGCACTAGATGTATTCATATTATCCATTCTGATTATGTATTGGAAGTTATCTCGAGACATGGAGGTTAATTGACTTTGATGGATTTTTTTAAAATTCTAAAAAATGGATTTGAGATTTTTTCCAATATTGCCATCACTATCTCCTTTAAATTGGGATGCATTGTTGTTGTATTATGAAAAAACATCAGGGATGTGTTCATCAATGTATTTTTTTTATGGACTAATTGAAGGCTATTTAAGAAATGTCAGTTTACTGGGTGATTTTTGGGGTTTTCTAACTTTTTTTGAGGATCGAAACTCGCAGAAGTCCCCACTTTTATAATATGTTAATATTACCTTTGTATTGCTTAATCTAGGAATTGAATAATGTCATCTGAGTTTGATAACCCTAACAATTGAGTTACTCTTTGGTTTGAGTCTAAAACTTTTAAGGATGAATCTACAAACAATATACCAAAAGGTAAGTTATTCATAATTGAGACTATTTCTGAATACTTTGTGCTGGGATTTTTCTCAAGTTTTAATGGTTCTAAATTACAATTGGAATCTGATAAAACAGGTGTGGATAAATTATTTGGTTATTTTTTCACTATGATTCTTTAATCCATAAAATTTTTGTTAACTCCAATATTTTTATGTTCTTATTGAGGAGATTCTATCCCTACGTCTAGGGCTTTGAGGATGATACTTTCATTTAAATCACACTTGAGATAGTCCCTTCTACTTTCACTTGATAATAATTAATCTTATTCAAATTAGGTTTATTTAAATTTGGACTCTTGTTAAACGGAGGTTTAAGTGAATTGTGAACATTTCTCCTAAGCTATTTAATTTATCATATAATGATTAATTGGTTATAAGAAGATGATGATGAGCAGAGAATGTAAATCATAGTTTTGTTGTGTAAATGTAGCCCTGATGGTTATGTATAATAGTTAAAAATGGACTATTAGTCTGGTCGATAGGTTGTGAGAGTATATGTTAATTAGGATAAGGGTGGTGTATGCAAAATAGGAAGCGTTGGCCAAGTTTATATTTTGTTAAAACGGAAGTTCAGAATTTATTAAACATAGTCCCAAGAGGACAACTTTTACATAAATCATTGAAATTTTCCAATAATTCAAGATGAAAAGTATCATCCCGATACTGAGTGATATAACATTCAGGCAAATGGTTATCAAATTGCTATCTTGCCAAATAAATGCTATATCAATGAAGTCCTTAATTATTAATTAGAGTATCAATAATTTTAAAAGTATTTCCATTTATTAATAAATATAATCATAATAAATATTTATCAAGTAATTGTTTAAATTATTTTTGCTCAATTGGCTTAGGCAATACTTCTTTGATGCCGCAATTCCTCATAATGTCGTTGTTTTCATTTCCATTGTAGGCAGAACACATCACAATTGCACATTAATCATTCAAATTCTCCTATTTCAGAATCTCATTGATCTATTGAGTATGATATATATTAGATTACATCCTTCGACGCCTAAAAGCCATTCTTCACCGGCATTTCTATATCCATGAAAATCAACTTGTAAGTCTTGCAACATGGCGATATCAACTTCTATTTAACTATTTCGATTGCTTATTAACCATTATAGGCACTATCCATCTTCATCTTGTGTTACGATAATAGTGCTTCAATGGCATTGTGGTTGAATCTTACATCATCCACAATTAATATTTGTATGCAATTGCAACTTATTGTAAAGTTGAACCCTTAGAAAGATGGAAACATTTACTAGCTTACTTATTTTTGATGATTTTCTACTTTGAATGATATTTTAGTATGCACATTCTCAGTGCTATTTATAACCAATTCATTATCCACACATAGATATTTGGCTATTTGTTAAGAGATCTTCAATCCTAGACCTAATTTAGTTTATTAAACCAGGAAAGAGTCATATTATTTTAAATCACAGTTTCTTCTGATCTGACTTAAAGTCTTCTCCCCCATTCCAACACCATTATCCTCTACTGAAAAAATAATTTATGATTGTTGTTATAAAACTGCCACACTTATGGAACCATGCTAATTGGTAAATTTGATTGAATTATCTATCAAATTGATTAGGATTCTAAGTATTCTCTCCTTGTCACTACAAACCGTGTAATTAGCATTAGTAATTAATTTGAAAGCTAACTATTTTTCTTGACATTCTTGATCAAACAACTCTTTCAAAATTTCAAAGATCTCATTTGTATCAAATTGAGTAATACTCAAATTGAAGTTTTTGCAATCTATTTAAGCATAATCCAGTATATCATTCAATTAAAACATGAGTTTTTTGGCTGAAATTATTGCTGGCTGTAAATTTTTAACTCTGATCTCAGGTGCAATCAATGTAGATAGCACATTTAATTGTGACAATGTACTGTTCATTGGCGTCCTTAGTTCATGACACAATGAATTCAAAAGTGCCTATTGATACTTGTATCTGATGTTCAACTGCCGTAATTCTTCTTTATTTGATACATTCTCAATCAAAAACAGATAGTTTATTTTATTATTTATTTCAACCTCGTACACCTTAATTCTTAAGTAGCACTTCAGAGCCCCAACTTCCTAAACGATCTTAATTATCTGTGTGTTTTAGCCAATTGATTAAACAGAGTTATCCACATTATTTGCAAGAGAGGGAGACTTTGAGTTGAATTTCGAGAACAACATATTCAGATTTTTAAATCTAGTCTTAGTTGTCTTCACTTCGTCTCTGATGTGGTTGTTAGTATTTGAACTACAACCATAGTTATTATTGAGGTTTGGATTTGTGCCTCCATCTGGAATCATCGAGTTTTAGTCATTTAACCCTTTTGATATTATGGACACTTGTGGAGCTTTTGGGAACCTTCTACCCTAACGGTTACTATAATTGGAACCTACTTACTTTATGGATTTACTCTCCCATGATTCAGAACTTGATATAAATATTGATAATACCAATCTAATAGTGAATCTAAATTAAAAATGATGTTTTTTCCATCATTATCTGACACTTTTAAAAACTATAAAAATTTTTAATTATTAATCACCATTTCAAATAGATTATTCATAAGTCCTATTCCAAAAGGCAATAAATCCCAAATCTAGGGTATTTCTAATTTAGAAGGAGACGGTTCCAATTCTTTCAATGTGCAGGTGTTCCGAACATTCTCCTTGTGTTACATAAAGGGATTTTTGAGTTCCATTTGTTTCAATTCTTTCAAATTATGTTGGAGACGCAAACTCCCCAAAACGCTGCTGTATTCTAAATCCAAATCAGATGACTCCTTGATTATTTATGGATTCTAATCTAGGTTGCTTTTGGTGATATCCAAAGATTGTTTCTGAATTGGAATCAGGCCATCTTCCTTCTTCTAATACAACATCAAATGATTCAAAGGTTACCAGAAAAAGCAAGTCAGCAATTCAGTAATACACAGTGAATCCTTGGTTTATAAGAAGGTTCTGATCAAAAAGTACAATAAGATTGAGTGTTTCATAAATTTATGCCATTTTAATACATCGTCAAATTGTGTAGCAAGAATCAATATAAATGTCCATAATTGCAGTGTATTTATTTAGGGCATATCCTTGTATATGGACTCCATATTAAGCACACACAACAGTACTGCTCCTATATTGTTGGCGTATATATTCTGTTTTTTAAATGCCTCCATACCAAATAATAAAACTGAAATTGTTAAAGAAATTGAGTTTATAATTGTGTATACCACTTAGCTTTCCTCATTTATGATTAGGTCCACAAGAAAAAAAGTGTTTTTTATTGAAAATTGCACATATAGGTAACTTTTATAAATTAGCATTTTTTAAAATAATTATATTATATTCTCCAGAATCTCTATTGTTGATACATAATAAAACGAGTAAATCACGTAGTTTTCAACAACACATATTAATACCACAAATTAGTAAATTTGTAATTGTTGATGTTGTAATGTATGAGAAAGGTCAATTGCAAAATTATGGATTGCTGGCAGAGATTGTATGTATCCAATTAGTATTTTGGAATATAAATGATTGGCCACAAATTTAAGACATGAGCCATATAGAGAATCAATTGATAAAGGTCTTTCAATTTATATTTTCAAGGGAACTTATTAATTAAAGAATATCAACTTATAAAATATTAATTTATGATTAAAAAGTCTTTGGGGTTTGTGTAATTAATTGATTAAAATACCCAATCTTTACAATAATTTTATGTAGCTTACGTAGGTAAAAATAATGTTAGAATTATAAAGTTACTGAGACAGAATCTTTTCAGAAATTGATTATTAAACAATGGAAATAATAATTAAATAAGTTGCTTCACATATATATAGATTCTATATAAAATGAATATTGGTTGGATTGGTACCGGAGTAATGGGTGTATCTATGTGCAAGCATATTCTGAAGGCTGGTCACAAATTACGCATATACAACAGAACAGTAGCAAAGGCGTAACCTGTAATAGAAGCAGGAGCAGAATTTGTTCAACCACGTGAATTGGCAGAAAACTCAGATATTGTGTTTTTGATGTTAGGATATCCAAAGGATGTTGAAGAGGTAGTTTTGGGAGAACATGGAATATTAAATCACATGAAAAAGGGTGCAGTTTTAGTTGATCACACTACTTCATCACCTGAATTGGCAGAGAGAATCTTCAAGGCTGCGAATGAGAAAGGAATAGAATCAATTGATGCCCCAGTAAGTGGAGGAGACATAGGAGCCAGAGAGGGACGACTGGTGGTGATGTGTGGAGGAGAATAGAAGGCTTTGGATAGAATAAATGATGTATTGAAGGTTTATAGTGCGAATGTGTAATTGATGGGAGGTCCTGGATTGGGTTAACATACTAAGATGGTCAATTAGATAGTGTTGGCTGGTAATATGATTGGAACTGTGGAAGGTTTGTTGTATGGACACAAATGTGGGTTGAGTCTGGAATAGTTGATTAATACAATAAAGAGTGGAGCAGCTAATTCGACAGCTTGGAGTGTTTTGGGACTGAGAATGGTGAAGGGAGACTTCGAGCCTGGATTTTATGTTGAGCATTATATTAAAGATTTAAGCATAGCAATTAATGAGGCCAATAGGATGAACTTGAGTTTACCAGGATTGGCTTTGGTGAAACAGTTGTATCATGCTTTGGTTGCCCAAGGGGGAGCACGTAATGGAACGTAGGCATTGCTATTGGCATTGGAGACATTGAATAATCATAAAATTAGATGATTGATTAATTTAATATAAATTCTGTTATGCCAAAACTCTATACCTTCAAGGACCCCAATTTCAACCCTCTTTAGAATTATGTGGTGGATAAAACCTTAGGATAAGGAACCTTTGGAAAAGTGAAGATGGGTATTCACAAATGCACTAATGAGAAAGTATTAACTCACTTCAATTAACAAAGGTAGCAATCAAGATTCTGGAGAAGGAGAAAATAGAAAATGAGGCTGATTATGTGAGGATTCAACGTGAAATTCACATCCTACGCAAAATACGTCACCCCAATATCATTTAATTATATGAGGTATGTGAATAAGTTATAAGAGATAATTGAGAGTGAAATAAAATTATATCTCATAACTGAATATGCCCCAGGAGGTGAGTTATTTGAACATATCGTTTCGAAATCTCGACTTGAAGAGCGTGAGGCTGGTCGCATATTCTTTTAACTTCTCAATGCCATAGAATACATACATCAATTAGGCATTGTGCACAGAGATCTGAAACCAGAGAACATCCTGTTGGATTCCAATAAGCAAGTCAAGGTGGTCGATTTCGGATTATCGAATCTCTATCAACCAAATTAAAAATTGCACACTCCCTGTGGCAGTCCTTGTTATGCTGCACCTGAGATGGTCAGTGGTTTACCCTATGAAGGATTGAAAACTGATATCTGGTCATGTGGCATCATCTTGTACGCAATGATTTGTGGGTATTTTACTTCCCTTAACTTTAGTTGTGTCCCATTCGAAGATCAAAATACCAAATAACTCTACGAAAAGATCAAACACTCAGATTACAAACTACCCAAAAGTGTCTCTCCCCAAGCAGCTGATCTCCTTCGAAAAATTCTCCAGAAAGACCCCTCCAAAAGAATCACCATACCTGAAATTAGATAACATGATTTTATTCTATTCGCTGGTAAAATGACCATCCCTGAAGGAGTAAACACTAAGTATTATCAATAGAGTATCTAGATTGGACAATTTCAAAATAGACGTTGATTACACTATTCTTCAATAATTGCTCCAATATAACATCTCGGAAGAAGAAGCTGTCTAAATGATCAAAAACAACAAACACAATTGCATCACCACTTGTTACTATCTCCTCAAACTCAAACAACAAAGAGAAAAGCAAATCAAACCTGAAATCAAACCCGAGGTCCCTTCTAAACCAATTTCTATTGAAAAATAGAATATATTTAATAAAACTCCCATAATCGAACAACAAAAATCCTCCCCCCTAGTCAAATAAAAACTATACTCGCAACAATAGCCCATTCAACCTTATAATTAGGATGTCTAACAATAAATCTTACTGCATCTCCTCTAAAATCAATAATAGCAACACCAACTATTACTCTAATAACAAGCATAACCCAAAGAAGTTAAATAGCCATAAGTCTCTAAAGTGGCCGAAACAGGAGGCTCATCATCCATGGAAATGTTCCTAAACAAAGCTTTTTCAGATAGAAATCAAAATAAATCACAAACGTATTTGTCCATATAACCATTTACATAGAAAAGGCAAAACCAAATCCTAAGATCCTGTTCCTCATAGGGATACTTCAGCTCCAAAAAAACCCAGTTTGCCTTCCAAAAATCAGAAATCTATCTCCCAAAAACCTTCCAGTCAATCTAAAGGGTAATTGGCTCAATTACTTGCAGTGAAACAATCCAAATATTTAGGCAATACGTATTAATCTATTTGTATTCCATAGAGATTCTACTACTTATGTCAGACACAAAAGCAACTTGAAATTTAAACAAGGTAGTACTGAAAGATCAGATCGCCATAGTAGTAATAGTTAGAGATCCGAAATCACCTATTTAAAAAGAAGTGTGGAAAATAGAAGTAGCTAACACATTAAAAATGATCGTAAAACTAGAATGATTAGTACCTATGCATACAATGACACATAAAAACCTATTCAAACTCAACCTAATGAAAGAATTTATGTAAATAATATTAACATGACAATATAGACTGATCTAAGCAAAGAATAATCGAATGTTCTTCAATCTTAGTAGTAGAGATTAACTCACATGGATAATTTGGCTTTAGGCATTCAAATCTATAAACATAACGTTCAGAATAGATTTCTAATTAAACAATAATAAAAAAGAAAAAGCAAATAGTAGTAATGATGTTATCAATCATTTTAAAACTAAATTTACTTTTTCAGCTTTTGACTATTTTGATATATTTCGAAGGCTGAAAATAAAGTATTTATTATTGGAATTATAATTTTATATTTCTTTATTTGTTTAAAAATATCAAACTTTGATATGTGTTGCTACTGCATTGTCTAATTTTTCAAAGAACTCCTATGAATCATACGACAAATGCTCTTCATTTATCTCATATTCAAGATATGCACCCTAATCTATTCCTCACAAATCATACTTTCTATTAATAATAATTGGCAACTTCTGAATTGATTTAGTCAGCTGGAGCAGAACTCTATTCTAAAGCACATTTGCTTGGAGTTTGGCACTAAAGTTTATATTGTTCTTTATCATACATTATTCTGATATCCTGGATGAGTTGGAGTGACAAATGGTAGACTTGTATTGAACACTTTGCCACAGGATTAACAGGATAAGTACGATCCTGCAATCTTCTATGCCAATGACTCAGACAATTTGAATCTGATAGCCAAATTGACACCATCCAATAATCGATCGAGTCTAAGAATTATTTATTCATATATGTACTTCTCTGCTTCATTTGCATTATTAGGGTATCCAAATAACAATGCACCATTAGTTTAAGTGGATTACAATTGAACTTATTCAGCCAATCTTGCAACACTGTCCTAACCATCAATAAAGTACTTACTTCTCCTGTTTTCTTCTAAGCATCTATAATAGAATATTGAATAAATTGTCTAAGAGTATATTTAATTCAATACTTCTCAACTAAATTTCTTACAAATGGATTTGATTGCAAAAATACAATCTTTGGATATTGAGGCATTTTAGCTGTGTATTTGAATTAGTCATATATGACTGACTCTGTGAAGAATTAATGAAGTTATTGAGCTCTTTGGATTGCCAATCTTGAGTTGCCAAAAAATTATTGATTCATTATTATTATTAATAAAATTATATTATATCAACTAATCTCTAAATATTCATTATTTAAATCAAGCTTCGATACTTTCTACATAACACTTCATATAATCAATAGGTTAGTAAAATAACTTTGCTATTTTTAGTTTCATCATTCCAGAATTTTCAACTGTCTGAATATCTTTAATTAAGTAAATTTTAAGTAATATTTTTATTCGAAGTAAGAAAGATAGTATGAAGATGTTTAATTCTATATGCAAACTATTTTTATATTTTAATAAAATTTATTAGCAAAGTTATATAAAATAAATCAAATTAAAAGAATGGATCGAATCAAGGAATTTTACAAATAAATTTTATATTATAACTAATTTACCTTCATTTTCACTGAAGTGATAATTACTCTAAACCTTGTGTGAAAGTATATTTAAATTTTATGAATTATTAAAGAGAGGCGATTTAAAATTTAACCTTATATTTTGCCCGAATAAGTAAATGTTTAAATAATACAATTAATTTACAAGATTTATCAATAGGATCGCATATAATGCCTAATTATATACAAATCAATTTTATGTATTATATTATTTTTTATTAATCCCTTAAATAATGAATTTTTCGGTCTAGACCTCTATTTTAAATCGATGTTTTCGCTCAAAGTTAGGAAAGTTTAAAATGAGAACTCAGATCTTAATTATTAATGGTATTATTTTGGCAATTATCATTCCTTCAATCATATTGACTTAGACAATAAACTTATATTATGTATAGTAAATATTGAGCAATTCTGAAAAGGATATTATGCTCAAGGAGATGTTTAACCATTTATCGAATTCAGCTGATTCTATAAATAGATAACTCAACTCTTTATTTACAAGAAGTATTATTTCATAAATCATAATAGCTTAAATTACTCTGACTAATCTGAATTAATTATATTGGCTTTAATTGAGAAATAATATTTGGATCAAAAAACCAATCTCTCGTCCTTGTGACCCAGAATCAGCACATTTGCCTCCTGAGCATTCCTATTCTCTTCCGTGTTATTAGTATCTTGCACTTAATTAAAATGATTTTGAGCCTTTAGAAGATTTAACTGAATAAACATTAAGAAATCATACCAATTTTTTTGGTTCAAATGCTTTTGGTATCATGGGCCTTGATGACCCCTATATCCCTAATTAATTTTACTTTGTTTCTTCAATAGACCTTTATGAATTTAGTTACATCTACCCTCAAGATTTTAGATTAGAAAATTTTCATCCCAAAGAGAGACTATGGTACCAACAACATTTCGAAAATTTAAAGAAGGACAAGCGAAACAACACTCAATTAAGTGATGTGTATAAATATTTTGGATCCGAACCTAAGTATTCAATGACTATGACACAATCTATGTTAAATTCTAATTGGGATGTTCAAGGTCTCTTTTGTTCAGACATCATATTTTAGAATAGCATGATCCGAATTGAAACCATCAATATTATGATAGCAGATCAAAAAGGACAGTTGCTATTAACCAATTATAAAAACAAGGAAATATCTAATTCATCAGAACTCAAAAACTTTGCAGACTCAGAAATCACAGGATTCAACTCCGAAGATTGGAACTGCCTCATCAATTATTACAATAAACATACTATCTAGTCTACTTGTCATTTATCAACTCAGGATATCTTATGTCGATACAATACAGTTTATGAGAAGGATGTCGTCATAACAATTCAAAAGCTTAGAAATATCAATTATTATCTAATTCTCTTTTATGATTTGCAAATTGAGAATGACATTGCTGAATAAATGAGGGATCTCAATTTAATATTTAATAGAGAAAGTCAGTAGATAACAATGATTACATTACTAATTTCTTTATTACTAATATTGGTCTCAGTTGTTTTGATTTATCTAATATTTTAGCCAATATATTAGGTGATTGATCTATCATCTTTGTTTCTCAAGAAAAGAGAGTAATGTAGTAATACAAGATCATTTCAATTTAAAAATTAAATACAAGATAGGATTCTAAAAAGAAAAGTAGAATCTCAGAATTGCAGTAAATTATATGAATAAAGTAGGCAATGTTTTAATATAGTTCAAAATTCAATTTGATTCCTTATTCGATAGAGTCTTAACGCAGACAATGACGATAAATCCTTAATGTAAAATACTTTAACAATTTAAATATCCTCGAAACAATACGTTGTATGTTTTGAAGATGGATAAATTACTAAATGAAGGATTGTTAAAAGATGATTACTATGGATATAATAAGTAAAATGTAAATGTGAAATCTTTTCTAAAAAAATCCTTCAATGAAACTAATTGATTTTCAATTATGCACTATAAATTAAATTTAATCTCAATTTTAATGTATATTAATTCAAATCAACCCTTTGATTGATTCATATGATCCAAATACTATAGCCAAGACAGTAAATATAGACATTACAAAATATTCTAATTTCAATCTCAGACTAGCTTCCTAATTCTTGAAACAAATCCAATGGGCTAATAATGGTATTAAAAACTATATAAATCTAAAATCCATATTACTTAACAAAATGAACCGAAAAAGCTTCCAATTAGATTAATAAATTATGAAAGATCAGGTATCTTGTATGATATTATGTAGATTGTCAACATTAAAAGTCCTCTGATAATTAAAGAACTTTTGTCTAACACAAATACACTCTCATTTTCATCTTCAGCCTAGTCAAATTTCTGATAAGCAAGTTATGATATATGCTATTCGATAATTTAGACAGCAGGAAATAGTTGAAGTGCATATGTCATTAAAATACAAATTCCATAAGCAATCATAGTGATTGATCTTAGATAGAGGTTCTAAATATTAAAGATGATTATTTAATTAAGATTGTCCTTATAACCCCAAATGGCAAAGGTTGTAATTAAGATTGCAATTAAAAAACATATATACAATGATAATTCTTAGTATCTCTGAAATGGTTGCTTATTTATCATATCATTTCTGATGGGCAGAATTGTCAAATTACATTAGAGTGTTAAACATGCTATCCCAATGAATGAAAATGTGTCTACATATATTATAATAATACTTTTTAAATTTATACTGGGTCCGTATGAAATTCCTTCATGATATACAATTGTCAAACAATCAATGAATATTATGATAAATGTAAGTAGATTAACATAAAAACCTACTTTGCTTACTTGATGAAAGTATTTCATCTTCCTTATCAAAGACAAAGGAATGATCAATATCAATGTTAAGGAGAAAATAGTGAATTTCGATAAGGGAATATTGATTTAATTCAGAACAACATCTGTCGATTGATATAAGAAGATTAGGTAGGCACAACAAACTCCAATCTATGAGAGAATGATCATTATATTAGTTATCTATGGCCAAACCCATTTCAAAGTTAATTCAACTATATCTCCAAAAAGCAATTTCCTATTTGAGTAATAATCTGCCACTTCGATTAAGAATGTATTAGATCATAAATGTAAATAAAAATACTTTATAGTGCAAAAGAGTACTGGTATTGTTATTAAAATTGAACCTAACCATCCTACTTTGTTAGCTGCAAAAGGAAAGGTAATTGCACCAATCCCAATTATTGATTTAATAAAATTGAAAAATGCTTATCTTTCATCTTAAACAGGATGGGTTTTTGATTTTTAATCCATAGGCTCAATATCCACATCTCTATCACTAATATTCATTATTATTAATTTATATTTAAATTATAGTTTTTATTAATTGCAAATAATTGGAATCTTCTCCTTCCTCAAAGTATTCCCAAAACTGGATGACCTTAAGAGGTGGTCCAAAAACGAATTTTTTATTATTGTTTTTATTCTAATAAGAGAAAAATAAATATTAGAAATACAGAAATAAATTAGTGAATATCTTTTAATAAATAATTATATTTCTTAATAAATGGCACGAAGAGGATAGTAACCACCACCCTAATAAGCTCCCCCTGCTTAGAAGAATCAACCAGGAAAATTCAACCCAGCTGAATTTGTTAAACCTGGTTTGACCGAAGAGGAAGTCTTGGAAATCAAGGAAGCATTTGACTTATTTGACACAGACGGGTATTTAATTGTATCATTATCAAGCACCTAATCCATTGATCCAAAGGAATTAAAAGCTGCAATGACTTCTTTGGGATTTGAAGCAAAAAATCAAACCATTTACTAAATGATTAGTGATTTAGATACAGATGGAAGCGGTTAAATTGATTTTGCAGAATTCTTGAAATTGATGACTGCCAGAATTAGTGAAAGAGATTCTAAAGCCGATATCTAAGTATATTATATCTTAAATCATAATAGAAAGTCTTTAATTTATTCGATTCTGAAAGAGCAGGAGTCGTCACCTTAAAGGACCTTAGAAAGGTAGCAAAAGAATTGGGAGAAACCATGGACGACTCAGAATTGCAAGAAATGATTGATAGAGCTGACTCAGATGGAGATGCTTAAGTGACATTTGAAGACTTCTACAACATTATGACAAAAAAGACCTTTGCATGAATTCAATATCACATAAAACATAAAAACATATTCAATATATATTATAAGTACTCAGGTTCCAAAAAACTTATTTTCTTTCAGTCTAAAAGAGCCCAAAAATACTTCAAAAATTAACTAAAGAACTGATATTTATAAATATCTATTTTTTAATATTCACCCTTGAAATTATATTGAATCCTCTATGTTAAACATAAATGGACATAAAAAATCAATGTTATTCTTGGATAAAAGTTGATAAAAAATGAAAATTCAAATCCTCTAATCTTTACTTTAAAATTATCACAATCATACCTAAATCAATTGAGGCACCTTTAATTTGATAGTAATCAAAGACTAGGCAGTTATGTCAATATCTTTTAGGAATGAAAGATCGTTTATAGCATTTTTACGATTGGATAGTTATTATCCAAAAGTAAGAATTCTAATTGATAGAAAATGAAATAAATGCAATATAAAGAAGATAAAATATATAAAATCTCATGACTTTTTTGTTTTTTTGGAACTTATGATATGGCTGCTGATCATTTTATCTGGTTCATCAGCCGTAGCGTAGTAAGTACTTATTCCATCAATATATTTTAATGGGTCTTCAATTTTAGAACTATGTATCAAATCGATAAATAGTTATTTTTTAATGAACCTCTTAAAATTGGTTTTAGATTAGGGATCTGCTTTGCATACTTCCCTTAAATCTGAAATTTTAGTTGATAATTGCTTTTCTGTTTTGGTTCCTTTCTCTTTTTTTTATCTTTAATTGCAAAAGTTCTAGACTCCTTTTGTTTTAGTGATATTGTTTTGTTCAATGTATTTATAGAAATGATTGCCTATTAACTTAGGTAAGTTTTTATAATCCACTCTAGATTAATCATTCTCCTAATTGTTGGTCAATTATTGAGTATGAGGCATCTAATTTTAGTTAATCAATTAATCAAAGTCCTTGATTTCAATGGCTAATGGTTGAAAACTCATTTGTTCATATTGAGGATTTGAATCCTAATTTTCATTCATAATGTGATGAAAAGGATTATACTCATTATCGAAAGCTTCTTGCATAGCCATCTCTAGAGATAATATTCAAAAATATATTTATGAAATTATGAAATTCTATCAGGACGGCTTTATATTATTTAATCGCTAATAAATTTATATATTAAAAAATAAGGAAAAAAATACTTATAAAATATAAGTTATTATTAATTAATTTAATATTAATATCAACTATTCTTTGAATTTTTATAACAGAATTATCAACAATATTTTGCATCGCTTTACTCTATCAGTCAACTCTACTAGAGATTTGATAGTTTAGTTAACTTGAAAAGTCAATCAAATTTAATTACTGATTCCTAATAAGCATAAAATAATATGATATATGTTTTTAATTTTAATAAATATTATTTTTGATTTGAGATGAACTTCAATGTCCTTCGGAATTGTAACAACATGTATTATATTAGCTCTTGCAAAAATCGATATCTTTGGATAAAATATAACTCTAAACATGAATAAGAATGCTAATTACACAACAGCCTTTGGTGGGATTGCATCAATTTTGATTATTATTTTACTTAGTCTCATTTTCTTTTCGAACATTGTTGAATTTTTTGGCAAAGACAATGTTTTCTATGATAGTGAAATATAATTCTCCAACGATCCAGGTTTAATGGAAATGATGGAAGACAACTCTATGTTTGCTTTATCTATCGATTAAGTCAATTTTACAACAAACCCTTACTTCAATATTACTGTTGAATAAAAGTATTTAAGTTCGTTTGTCATTTTTAGGATTTACTTAAGAAGTATAAATGGCACTCTCACAAAGCTAACCGTAGAAGTTGCGATGTAACCATGTACATTAGAGAGGTTTAATAATATATTTCTGCAGCAAGGATTAGATTTTACTGAGTAGTTTAATTTTTTAGGAATGAGTAAAATGTTATGTCCTAAGTATTTTTATATTAGTTAAACCTAAGATCTAACTTTACTTTTTAGATGTAAGGAACTTATTCAAGTGAGACTTTTAAATTCATAAAAATTACAGTTAAAGATTGCAAAGCATAAAATCAAACTAGTGATAGTCTTTGGAATCCAACTTGTAGTTCTTCTGCAGAAAAGGCCAAATATCTAGCCTCAACTGGACAGTTTAAATTATAAATCTTTTAAATTAACACTGTAGTCAATCCATTGAAACCCAATTAATATAAAAGCATATATATAGATAGTGATATGTATTTTTCATTTGTGCCTTACAAATTGGCTAGATTGGCTAATGTTTACTATCGATAGTTCGTTGTCAATAAAGACCAAAGCATTATGCCATACGAGTATGATATTTATACATTTTCCTTAGAGACATAGAATAAGAGAAGATCATAGTCAGAAAGGCTGAAGATTTCCGAGATCTCACCGAACTGGGTAGAGATACAGATGATAATTATGCTATTGTATATTTAAGGCGAAGTCCTTTCACTGAAACTATAAACAGGAAATACTAAAAGTTAGGTGAGTTGCTTTCTTACCTGGGAGGGTTCATGCAGATCATGAAGGTTATTTTTGGATTTGTAATTGCATTTTATAATAGAACATCAATGTTAATTGAATTGGCTAATAAACTTTACGATTTCCAAGATGGTAATCAGTTGAAACAGTACCGCACAATTAAAACATTGAAGTACACTGAATAAATAGGGTCACCTGTTGAAAAATAAGAATCCAATCCCATAAATCAAATAAATAGTTCATAAGAGCTCTATAAAGTTGAATGGAAACATTACATAAAATAATTAGTGAAAAAATCAAAACCAATTACTTTTAATTTGAGAATTTTCATAAATTAATTGACATTTGGCTATCTTTTAAAAAATAAAAATTCAGACTTTTTAGAGAAGGCAATGTAAGTCATTATCTCAATTTTAGGAATAAAATCAATAGTGAATTAGATTTGCACAGTATCCTTTATCAATTACAGGAGATAAACAAGCTTAAATCAGTGTTATTAAGAAAATCCTAAATAATTTTATTTAATTTTTCTCCGAAGCCCATAGTCACTTTAGGCAAGGAATAGGTTGTTCCATCTCGGTATTCAGTTGAGGATTTGGAGACTGGGCAATCGTATATCAAGGCCAAAGAAGATACTCTTAACGAAGATTTGTTTTTAAGAATTGAAGAAGTAATATATTGTAAAGACCTTAGGCTTACAAGGAAATAGCAGAGGAGGTTGAAAGATCAAACGCAAACATCTGCCAAATGAATATCAATTTAAAGTTAACTTAGCTTATAGGATCAGACATAAAGAGCATTTTAAAACCTATTTAGAACTAACGCAGAAATGGCATAAAATCTACTGAAATATAAAACAATAATAATAATTAAGAAGATTTTCACTAAAGCGATTGAATTTTATACTGGTGTATATCTCATAATAATTTCAATAAGAATATTAATATTATTATTAAAAATACGAATAATTAAATTGATGTCAATCAAATTTTATTTCAAATGATTTTGTTTTTATTTTGGAATTCAATCTGAGTATGTTCAGAATTAATGTTTTGTTATCATTATTAATTAAATAAATAATTAATGATAAACTCCTTACAGAAAGGTTTGGAAAAAATCGATATTTTTGGATAAACAATTACATTAAATATGAATAAGAATGCAAACTACACAACTTCATTTGGTGGATGCTCCTCCATTCTCATTATCTGTCTACTTAGCATAATATTTTTTTCAAACATATCAGATTTTTTTAGCAGAGCCAATGTATTTTATAATTCTTAGACTACTTTTTCGAATGACCCTGATTTTATGGAAATGAACGATTAGAATGCTATGTTTGCTTTATCAATTGACCAAAGCAATTTCACCTCTAACCCCTTCTTTAACATTTCAGTAGAGCAAAGGTAAGAATTTATTGAGTTAGAATATATACAAGATCATTGGATGGATCTCTAGAGAAATAGACTATTCAAATTCCTCTATAACCTTGCACTTTGGATAGATTCAACAATGTTGGATAGGAGTAGGGGTTGGACGTTGATTTTAATGATGAGTTTAATTATTTGTCAATGAATAAATGGTTATGCCCAGCGTAAAAAAAATTTATTTTAATAGTCCGAATTATACTTTGCAGTTGGAAGGCACATATTCAAGTGAAGTATTCAAATTCATCAAGATTGTTGTAACTGGGTGTAAAAATAATACAAATTCATCGTTTTGGAATCCGCAATGCGCAAATGATGAACAGAAGAACAACTATTTAAAAAGCGAAGGCTAGTTTAAATTACAGGTGTTTCAAATAAATTCTATGGTTAATCCCTAACAAGCAAAAAACTATAAGACTATGTATTTAGATAGTGATATGTACTTTTCTTTTGTACCTTACAAATTGGCCAGACTAGCAAATGTCTATTTCAGATAGTATGTAGTCAACAATGATCAAAGTTTATTGCCTTATGAGTATTCATATTCATTCTAAATTTATAGAGACATTGAAACTGAGAATTTGATAATAAGAAAGGCAGAAGATTTCAGAGATCTAACCGAACTCGGGAGAGACACTGACACTAATTTTGCAACTCTGTATTTAAGAAGAAGTCCATTTACAGAAATAATCAACAGGAATTATCAAAAAGTCGGGGATCTCTTATCATATCTTGGAGGATTCATGTAGATATTTAAAGTTGTCTTTGGTTTCTTCATTGCCTTTTACAATAGAACATCTATGCTTATTGAACTATCAAATAAACTTTATGATTTTAAAGAAGTGACAAATAGATCATTTCTGAGAAAAGTTGCACTTACTTAGAAGACTGAATAAAGAGGGTCTATTCCTGAAGAATTAACTAATAAACTTTAAAACTTACAGAATTCTGAGTTAAATAAGGGAGATTGGAAATAATTCATTAATAAATTAATGGAACGGACATCTCCAATAAGGTTAAATGTAAAAATATTGATTCATCAAATGAGTTGTGGTTATTTTTTGAATAATAACAATTCTGAATTCTTCACTAAAGCTATGTAAATTACAATGTATATTTTTAAGGTTAAAAATCAATAGCGAATTAGATTTGCACAATATTCTCCATTAGTTATAAGAGATAACAAAACTAAAGAATGTTCTATTATAAAAACCTCAAATTATTTTATTCAATTTCACTCCAAAACCAATCATTGCTTTGGGATAGGACCACAATGTCCCTACAAGATTAGAAGTGGCTGAAGATATGAATAAATAATCTGAAATCAAGACTAATAATCTTGATTAACTCAACGAAGAACTTTTTACATCTCTATAAGAAGTATACAAATATCCCCATATTTTAGGCCTATAAGACAGTGAGTGAAGAAATGGAAGATAGTCCTTATGTAAATCCTTGCTAAAAAAACATAAATTTCAAATTAACCAAATAAATAGATTCAGAATTAGGAAAACTTCTTAAAAACTCAAAAGGTAGTTTTTATAAAGTACATGAAACCAACAACATCAACGAAAATTAAGAGGAAGATTCATGAATTCTAAATGAATATTTAGTCATCTACTTTGATAATTATCCACCTATAATTATTTATTAGAGTTTTCTTTGTAGAATTCTAGCAAATCTGTTTTTACTGATATTTCAACAATTCTCTTTAAGGTTTTTGATTTTTAGACTTACTCAAATAACATAACAGAATAACTTATAATTGAGAAGATGTTTAGAAAAGAAGATTATGTCTTAAATAATTTTAATAATATTATTATTGAATAATAACTAAGTGTTGTCCTTCATTATTAAATGAAGTTAAAATGATAATATTTTCACCTTGATTTTTTTTATAATGAGATACATGAGCTTTAAAATTATTATCCATTTGGTTTGTAATCTCTAATTTAATTGAAATCCAATATTGTTAAAATTCTATTAATAGTCCTTTCACAATTACCATTTCTAATCGTAAAAGGATTATGAAATTCTTTTTAATCTATACTCCTATTTTAATCGATATACAAGTCATCCATGAATTGAATTCATTACTTATAACAATTGCATTACAAACAAATTCAGCATAATTATGTTAATTTTGAGAATACATGGAAAAAGTAGCTTTTAATGATGTAATATCTTTTATTATTTAAATTTGGACTTAATAAAGAAGAAGATGCAATTCTATATATACTATATTTTTTTTAGAACAAAGAATTTTCTTGAAAATTAAACTAATTTTTCTAAACTATACAAATAATCAATAACTTTAGGCTTTGTAATAGATTTTTAGCCTTTTAAAAGATTTTATTATACTTAATTCTAATTTCATTATCATCTTCAAACTGTGGTTACTTAGAACAAACAAGAAGGAATTGAATTCTTATTAGAATGAAATTAGCAATAATAAGGAAGAAAAATTGATTTATAAAACTAATCAATTACGAAAGAGACAACATCCTTAAGGCTTAACACCGTTATTGAAGTAACATGGATTAGATCTATAGAGAACTGTATTCTGACTCTTGATGCCATCGATCATCAGAAATTCATAATCTGGAACTCTCCCAGTTTTCACACAAGGCAAGGATGTTATCATTTCTCCATACATTTTTAACTATGTTAGAGACTATAGATTACTCTTTTAAAGTCTTTCAACATATCACATGGTAATGTAGATTTGAGCATATTCAATGCAACAAACAATGGAACAAAACTTAGGTCCACCAGGGATAGCTCATTTCCGTTTATGTACTTTTTGTCCTTTAACCATTCTTCGATCCATTTGAAATGTTTCATTAGCCATTCTTTTTATCTAACAAATTTCTATAATTTTAATATTGAGAATTACTTCTTATTCAGTAGAGAAAATGAAAGAATAAAGATTTCGAATAATCTCATTGGAAAATTCGAACTTGGCTCTGTCTATAGCTTTCTCTAGAGGATCATCTGGCATCAATTTAGGAGGAGTGATTTCGTCAATATATTCCATAATTACTGCCGATTCTGATAAAACAACTAATAATTATGAATAATAAATACTTTCTTCTCCTATGATTAGAATGGGTACGCTCCCTAGAGGACTAATTCTAAGAAACCATTCTGGTTTATTGTGAGTTTCAATGAATTTGATTTCGAATTTCACATTTTTGTGTCTCATAACTGTTAGGACTTTCATACAGTAAGGACATATTTTATGGGCAACTAAAGTATGTTTGAATCTTTTATCCATCCAATAGATTATTAGTGTGTAATTTATTCTAAAATTTTATTAATTAATTTTAGATAATTCTTAATTCTTTAAAATGCGAGAAACTTAATAAGATGAGTTTAATATGATATATTGAATGATTTTTTGTAGTTAATTGTTTGCATTGATGCACAATCAAAAATTTACAATTGTTTGAATTATTATATATGTAATTTTGAGAACTCCATATTTTAAATTAGAATACACACTGAGAAATTAGAATCTTTAAGTCGGCATTATTTAATGAAGATTATAGAAATGAAATCAATATAGTTGAGGGATGGATTTACAAAGGTTACTCTTTTTATGTTCAATAGGATTCAAATTTGTAATTTAAGTTTGTGTAAGCAATCCAAAATTAAATTATTATAATTTATTTGATGACAACAATAATTATTTTCTTTAATTGTTATAATAGAAACAAAATGAATAAACTGACTTTTATGATAATATTTTTAAAAGAAGTATTTGTGTAAGGCATGTCCAAGAATTGATGGAATTTGGGACGGAGAAGGAAGATGACATGGAAATTTAACATTTAAATGGAGAATACGCTTTAAGGATTTTGGTGATAACTTAATTGAATATATAAATAAATTAATTTTTGTTATATGAATAGATTCAAAAGAGTGTTTAAAGACAACTTGCCAACGATTATTATGACTCTATTGGTAATGTTTCAAAATATCTTTGGAAATGGCACAATATTAATAGCAATATTGATAGTATTAGTTTAGGGTTTAAGAATTATATTATGTTTCATCACTTAAATCAAAGAATATATCCAATATTTTGATTTGATATAGTAATGGAGTTTGCTTTTAGCAATTTATTTTGGATCCAATCAAAGCTCTATGTCAGTCTTAGCATTATGCAATGTTAAATAGTTCTTTAATACAAAAATAAATTTATAAACCATATAACTTAAGAAGCTATTGATTATTCATCACATAGTTTCTGACTTACTTCTATTTATATTGTGTTCAATAAACTCCATGACGGAAGCCCATCTATCGATTGTAGCAATTTCAATTCATTGGCTAATTTTAATTTCTAATTCTAAACCTAAAAAAATTAAAAAGATCACAGACAGTTATACTCAAGGGGAAATCCCAGACAAAATAGTAATAGACAGTGCAGGTCACACGAACAATCATTCCAGAATCAAATTTCAAGACAAACCAAGTCATAATGACAGTCCTAGAGACAATAAATTGGAGATTTTAAGCATCTTCCCTTAAGGAATAGGATTGTTCAAAGTATGTAATAAGTAATTAGAATTGGAGTATCATAATGAAAATATGTTAAAGTTGTCAGCTGCATAATCATCCGATGAGATCTTATAGAAATTGTTTAGCCTTGAATAACAATAAATAACAGATATGTAATAAAAATAGTAATAAGAATAAAAAAACTCAATGAGTTCATTCTCTACTTTCTAATAAACCCCAATTCCTTGTAATTTCATTCATAATGCTTTTCGTAATCAAAGGAGATCCCAAACTAATCAGTTATAATCATCTCAAAGGATTGAAATACTCAGGCAGAATTCTGTCTTGAATTCTCTCGAACATAAAACAGTTTTGTTAAAAAAATGTGATACTTTACATGAGGAATCAGTAAGAATTTATGATTATTCATTAGATTTTGGAATCAGAGATTAGAGTGTTAGCACATTAAATGAGTAAGTCTGAATTCTAAAGTCAGATGAAATGTTAAAATGAATTTATTTAAGAACATATTGTCGTTTATGGATACTAAAAAGCTTAAGATGGAAATAAAAAAAGGACAATCGAAGTCAAGTTGTACAATGCATTGATCAGTGAAACCCCCTACATATTGATATTGACTCGGGACATAACTCACCGAGATTATATTTAAGCTTTATAAGATTATAGCAAGTAGAAATCAACAACCTTATCATTCGTGAGTCATGAATACAGGACACCTTTGAATTGTATCATAGAGATGTTGGAATTAGGAATTGATGAAGAATAGAAGCATTAGTCATAAACAGTGATAATGGAAAAAGAATGCAGGAGAGTTATGAAAGTTAATTATCCAATTAAAATCACTAAATAAATAAAAATTGCTTTGGACAATGCAAAATATTTATTGAATTTGAGTGATGATCTTTTGGATTTAGCTTAAATAAAAGTTGGAAAATTTAAGATTAATAAAGCCAAATTTAATTTTAATTTATTACTTGAAAGTTGTGTTGATTTATTTTAGGTTACAGCAGAAAAAAAATAAATCAAACTATTCATAAATTATGAAAGCAAGGCTCCAACGTATATTTACTCAGATTCCAGCAGATTAAAACAAATCATGATCAATCTTCTAGGCAATGCATTCAAATTTACAGACGATGGTTCTGTTACTATAAAAGTTTCATTGGTTAATCAGAAACTGGATGTTTCAGTCATTGACACTGGAATTGGAATGACAGAAGAAGATTAAGCCAAAATATTTCAGGCTTTTGGTAAAGGAAATAGTGAAGAACATAAAAAGATGAATAAATCAGGAGTTGGTTTAGGATTATTAATTAGCAATCAAATCCTGTAAAACTTGAATTAAGATTTGCAAAGTGGTCTCAAATTTAAGTCCTAATATAAGAAAGGTACATTGATAAAATCAATTCTAGGTTCAATATTCTATTTTCAAATAGGATTTTAAGATCTAAACGAAATTTAATCTTTGAACAGCTTGGAAGAACGTAATTAAGAAAGTGAAGAGTCCATTATTATGCAACAATAATAAGAGGAAAGCATTCACAAAGTTTATGTTCATAATCACATCTCAATATTTAAACGATCAACTAAGGCCATTATGACTTTACAGATTTTGATTGTAGATGACACTTGCATGAATATAGAAATGATGAGGTTAAAACTTGATAGATTGTAAAATAATAATAATATTATAAGAGGATTTGATTCGGTAGATTCAGCATATAATGGTTATTCTGCAATAGAGAAATGTGAAAAAAAATGGTAAATCAACCACGACTTCTATAAATTGATTTTTATGGATTTGGAAATGCCCAGTATCAATGGAATTTAGACAACGAAAAAATTGTTAGAATTATCCTAAAAATTCGGAACAAATGTCACAATTATAGGATGTTCTGCTTATGAAAGTAATGAATAGAAAAATGAGTGTTTACAAGCAGGTATGAAAGATTACTTAACAAAACCCATTTAATTAAATGATCTCTAAAGAGTATTGTAGTAGTATTTATGATAATATAATTCACTTTGTTATTTATATATATAAAAATACAAATAACAATCAATATTCATCTTCTTCTGATATTTGAGATAAGTTATTCTTAGATACATTATCCAATTTATCAAATAACTATTACCATTAATACATTATTTACGTTCTTCCAATCTAACATCTCTTTTAATTTTGCCTATTTTTATTCCTCACAAATTATATCAATCTATTTTAGATCATTACTCATCTTCTCAAATCTATTATTCAATTCATCTGTCAAAGCAGTCAAATCTATTTTCTATAGATTATTTAGGAGATACTTATCTTTCAGACCTTTATTCACAAAGTTGAGATAGTAACTATTCCTACTCTCTCATAGTATTGATTTGATTTGTCATCTCTTCATTCTACTAAACTAACTTTTTTATTTGAGTTTCCATTCTATAAATCTACTTTTCAACTTTTTTCTTCTAAGCTACACATCCCATTTTTATTAAAATATTAATTTATTTTTTTGACTGTTTTTGATATTTAGCATTCTTAATCATCAAATTAAATCTGAATTCACACTCAATCCATTACTTAATTCTCATATTGATTTCTTATCAATTATAAATAAATAAAAAAAATATAAGAATTCTCTTAAAATAATTTGGAACTTTAATTATAGTTAAATAATTATTCATATTAATTTGATGCTATTATTTATAAAATTCAAGTTCTTTATCTTTACAATTAAGAGGAACCATAAAAAATCCATTTGGAAGCTATTTATTTCTAATAAAAACAATAAATCTCCATTACTGAATTCTAATTTTATATTCTAAGAAAAAAAATAATTAATAATGAATAAACCAATTTATAGGGAATATCAAAATCATAGAGGGGACAATGAGGATCCAAATACTACAAAAATGGTTTAAATTACAGACGACAACAGTTTAAATCGGATTAATGATACTCTAAAAGATTCTATAAATGAAAACAATAAATATGGAGTACAAAATATATTCTCACCATCCGACAGCATAAAAGATAAAAAGGAATTGAAAGATGAGTCTTCCTCAGATCCTAAAAATACATAATTTGCTATTTAAAATATCACTGAATCAGATAAACTTATCGAGATCAATACTACGGATCATGGGGATAAAGAAGAATTTTCTAGGTTTTAAAAGGGTATGTTAAGCTTATAAACCATTAAATACTAGAAGAAGAGGATTTAGTCTAGAAACCCTAAATACGTATAAAAGGAAAAAAAGAAAAAAGAAATTAATTGGGATTCCGATGCTATGAGGAGATGGAAGGTTAGTGTCAATATAGTACTTTTTGTTTTGAGTTTGCTTCGTGGAATCAAGCACAGGAGATAAGAAGGAAATAAAATCACTTAAAGTTAAGATGTAGAGAGAAATTAAAATATTAAATCTAACTTTAGGCTAAAAAAATTTGGACTAACAATTCTTAAGTTGTTTGTTGGTCTCTCTTTGGCATTGCTTATTAGCGTGTTAATTTTTCCCTTTATATTAATTTCTGATTTATTTTTGAGGATATACACTTATATAAACTTATATGTGAGATATGCTCTATCTCATGAGTACTTGTTCTATAAATTCATTTTACTGATTCAATTATATATGTACGTGATAGCAATTGCTATTGCTATAATAACTAATCTCTATCAGTCCATCATCACATCAGTAGAATTGATATACAACATCGTTGGAACCGTATAAAACAATATTTCAGATCTTTCTAGCTTATTATTTTAAACTATTCAAAATCCATTCTCAAAACAAAAATGAGTATATTTGTTATATTTACCACTTATAAACCAATAAACAATATGTGATTACAACTGAAAATATTTAGATGTTATATGAGTACACAATATTTATAATTTCAATTCTTCAGTCTTTTTCTAACTGTTATCTTAATTTTTAATCTTGATTTTCTCTATTTTTTTAGGCAATTGGCAATATATTGTGTTTGACATGTTATAACCAATCAGATATTGACTCTCCCTTATTGAAATTCTAGAGTATCCAAGGATGACTCAATAATTCAACTGCTGAAGCTCTCATTGATATTTTTTTCTATAAACAACGAGTCAGAAAATCTTTCAATTCTGGAGAGAATTAATTTCCTGAGAGTTCAGGTTGTGCTTCATTGACAACTGCGTCTAGCATTTCAAAATAAGTCTTAGCACTTGAGAAGGGATACTTGCCCATTGCCAATTCATACAATACAATCCCAAAACTCCAAATATCGCTTAAATGGTTATATTTTTTAGCCCCTATTCTCTCTGGACTCATATAGGCTTGGGTTCCACAATTGGTAGTACAAAATGCAGATTATTCGAGATCTCTTGAAATACCAAAATCAGTTAGCTTTACATATCCTTGGGAATTGAGTAGAATGTTGTCTGGCTTAATGTCTCTATGGATTTGATTGGATATTAGATGTAGATAACTTAATCCATTCAAAATTTGTTAACTTATTTTAGCCAGAATGGGTTCACTTATGATTGGCCCATTGATTTGTGCTGCTCTATATATTCTCAGGATGTCTCCCAAAGATCCAGCATCCATCAATTCTAATACTACTTTAACACTGCCTTCGTCAAAGTATGCTCCATACAAATTAACTAGAAATTAACAATAATAGCCTGAGTTGTTCTCGGCATTCATTTTATTATGCAAGAGTATTTTGATGTCATTCATTAACTAGTATCGTTTCTCTCGGTCGTAGGCATTGATGGACTTTGATAGTTCTTTTAATTTACTTTGATGGCCACTCTAATGCCAAGAGGTTTATAGATGGCTTCGCTCACTGTTCCGGCTGCTCCTCTTCCTAAATGCTTATTCACAATTTGAATGTAATCGGCATTGATGGGTTGAAGCTGCGACTGTCCTTGGACTTGAAGACCATCTTTTGAAACTTTGATGTTTTCTTTAAGGAATCGGAGACCATCGGGACCAATTTCTGAATAGACACTCCCAGCTTAGACAGAGTCTTCGTCTGTGTCTAGACAGAGATTCTTTTTTTGAAATGTCTTCTTCTTCATTAGAGTAAGTTTGAAATAAATAAATTAATTTAAAAATAAATTTAAATAATGGACCAAGATTTATTGAGACCCTAATATGAGAGTGAAAAGAGAAAGCACAAATTAAAGAGATTGATTTAAGCACCTAATTCATATTTCATGGATGTCAAATGTCCATAGTGTTCAACTAATAACACTGTATTTTCCCATGCTAGAGGAATTGTCACATGCATGTAAAGAATGTCAATAATATGTTAGCAAATGCTCCAGTCAATTGGGTAGATCAACCGGAGGAAAATTACAACTTGTTCTTGGAGCAAAATACAAAACAAAAAAATGATAGTATATCACAGTATAATAAATAACACATCGCCACATTTCAATATTCTCACAGCTGCTTTGTTGTTTAGTTTTTATTTTTAGCCATATATTTGTATGTGTCATTTTTATTATTGTAAAATAGATGCAATTTCTTATATATATTATTTATAATATTCATCTCATTGTTTCCACAATAGAGAGAGAATCTAAGAAATTAATCCTATTTGATGATATCTATATTAAAAGAGGAGTAAGAATCACTAAAATGAGTATGTTTAAAGTAAAAGGGGTTTATACTTATACTTATCAGAATTAGAATCTATGTTACTATGTTATATATATATATATAAATTGTCATGCTGTGTAGAAATAGAGACAATTGAGGCAAGCAAAAGCAACAAGATTTTAAGTTTAGCACATACTGATTTTCTGAACTTTACGATTAAAATCATATGAAGATCCAAAATTCTCAAAATATTTTGGTGGAATCTGCCTCACAACTGTCTTCTTATTAAAATTCAATTCATATTGTGAATTGCATTCACCTATTGTGATATTAATGAATTATCATACCCAATCTGTCCACAATGTGAAAAGTACTATTAAAATTACCAGTCACAAAGCTATTTGAATCAAGGGTTGATTGAATTGAAAACTTATCAAAAATGCATTCGTTCTCATATAGATCACATAGTTTAGATTTCAGTGGTTCAAATACCTAGACGGTAGCAACAGGTTTATTGGTCATAGCAATATCCCACACTTTGACAGTCAAGAAATCTCTTGAAAATATATATTTGCCATTTCGACTGAAACAAGCATCTGATATAGAAGTGACTATTTCAGTGAAGAAATTCTTTTTGGCTGGATCTTCTGGTTCTGCCATAGAAATAGCTGTGTTGTCACAAATTCCTGATTTTCTCATATCACATAATTTGATGATTCCCTTGCTTGTAGTATACAAAAATTAATTATCTAAGGTTGGATGAAAAGCTGATGATGTTATCACTTCACTCAACTCATCCAAATTCTCAGGCTTCAAATCTACTGCCACAAATGCTTTTGATGGTTATTCTATACTCCATAAATACACTTTTAGGTCGTCGGATGTTAAAACAAATTCTTCATTGTTTGAAGCAGTCAATGAATTTATATGATAGTTGTGTAGATTAGGAAACACTTTCCTCACACTTTCCTAATCTAATTAAGTGTTTACCTTGGAATCAATCCACTTTCAACCACTTACAATTTAGGCATTGCCAAATCCTTACCACTTGGTTTGATAACTTTTGTCACATTTTTTTCACTGACTTTCCACAACTTCACCGTTTTATCATTTGTTGATAAAACATACATATTTTTGCCTTGAGCTCTCAGCCATTAAATTTGATTAATCTTCTCCTCAATATCAGTACTCTTGAGGAAATCGAATTCTCTCGTATGTGATTACAATTCTGTTAGATATCTAAGCAATCATTAAAATTAATACTAATATTCTGCCTTCTCCCTCTTTTTGTTCTATGGTACTTCAAATATTATCAATCGACCAGCTCTGTCTCCTAATCCTAACAATCTTCCAGTCCTTTCAAATTGAACTGCAGATATGATATCCTCATCACTAACGTTATCCGAAGATGCCTTGTCACCGAACACCTACATGAATTTCCAATCTTATTTCTTCATTTTTCTTTTAAATAATTAAATATTAGAATTATCACTGCCAGAAACCTTAATTATATGATGAAGTCATTTAATTATTAAAAACGACTTCTGAAGCCAATTATTAAGTATAATTATTTACTTAACTCATTGTATTATTAAAAAGATTCTATATAAATAAATGATTTCAAAAAACTACCAGACAAAGAGAACTGACTCCTGAATGTAATAATTATTTGTATTTTGTTTTTATTATGTACATAATTCGTTTGCAAATAGCATAAGCAAAATCAATTGCTTAAAGTATACATAATATCAAAATGAGTGTCGTCACTCTCTAAAACCCTTTAGCTGTAATAATCCAAATCATTAAAAAATGAATTTTCTTCAGGTTCAGGTTATTGATACTTTGTTGGTCCTTTATTTTCTTATAGCTGAGGACACTTAAGTGCAGTTATCATAGAAGGGTAGCCACTACCAAAAAGTCTCTAGTCCTATTAATAATCCAAATCATTAAAAAATGAATTTTCTTCAGGTTATTACTAATCTGGTAGCACTTATTATCCTCTTTATAGCTGATTCACTTTGGGTGGTCGATAATTCATTTACTCTAAGAAAATAATATATAAATATAATATAATTAAATGTTTAGAATTACATTCAATCAATCAAACCATTTAGATATAAACGATAGGGGTTTTATTTTTATCATCTATTTTCTTCTCATAATTATTATTAATTATGAGAAGAAGATGTGATCACTTTGTTAGTTTCTTCCCTGTCGTTAACATTTATAGGTTTATTGTACACAGAGATGGTCAAATGTAATAACAAAAGGATATTTATTGGTCTCTTGAATAAGTATATATTATAAAAGTATTATAATTCCGAATCATTCGATAGATAAGTAACTAATTATTTCCTAAGTAGTTCAATTCACTTCTTCTGTAATCTCAACATGATTATTGCATTCAATCAGACTCATATAAATATTATCATCCAGATGCCTTATGAAGGACATTTACACATCAAAATTTATCAACTCTAATGTCTTCTTACTTAGTGTAATTTAAGCTTAAACAATTTTAAATATTTATAGTTAGTCTGTATTAGGATTTATTAAATAAAAAAATTCTTCGATAAAATTCATAATACTTTTTGAAATCCATTTATGTTGATAAATTGATAGAAATATAGTCTGTTCTAAAGAGATAATCTTAAATTTTAACCATATTTGTTGACATCTTTGTTAATATTTTCTAAATAGATAGAACAGAATTGCAGTATTCTTTATTGATTCCATATTTTACATTTTTATATTTTGAAATATTATGATTTTGATAATTTACTCTACTCATAAATTTCTAATTTTGAAAGAGTTAAATTTTAAATATAAATTATCTTATTATTAAAATCTAAAAGCAATTGAAGAATTGATTTTTTAATATAGGAAATTTGTTTAAAATAAATAAAAAAATTATACATTGTGATGGAGAAAATAAATTAATGTAAAAATAGATTGCTAGTAGAATGAGACTTAAGAGTTTGTGATATCTTTGCTCAGTCCCCAAGCCTTGGAATGAATCATAAATCTACGTATAAATCGTCATTTGGTGGTTTTACCTCCATAACAACAATAATTCTTGTGTTTCTATTTTTTTCAACAAATTTTGTCGATTATTTGGCTGGAAAAAATATAATTACTAAGTAAACTTAAATTTATGATGACGACCTAACAAATCTGCAATTGAATGATTAAGATTTTATAATGGCATTAGGAATTGATCAGACTAACTTTTTGGATCAACCATACTTCACGATAAATCTCTAATAAAGGTATAACAATTGAGGATTATGAAGGGAATATGAAAGACTCCCAAATGGAACACTTATTAAAAACATTACCTAACTTCCTTTGGTTCCATGCACTTTAGAGCGTTTCTAATAAATTTTTGATCGCTATGGAAAGAACTTTTCAGATGATTTCGAGAGACTTTAACTTAAGAACTTGCTTTGTCCATAGTAATGTATTTGAATATAATGATAGAACATAAATAAATTTGAATATCGGAGGAACATATACATGTATATTAGAAATTTTATTAAAGCAAACAATTTTAACTTTCTCAAAATCGAAGTTACACCATGCAATTAAAGTTCTTCAACTGATAGAACATGTGCATCAGATGATGAAATAAAACAGCAATTAGAAGAAGCTGGGAATTTCAAGGTATAGGTATATTCTGTCAACAAGGTAGTGTATGTAATCTTAAAATAGGTAATAAATCCCAATAAAATTGGATCGGACTATGTATCTATCTATTTGGATGATCAAAGTTACTTATCGTTTGTGCCTAAAAAGATAAGCAAATATGCAAACATTTACTTTAGATAATATTAATTTTAAAATAGTCTTGATCTTTATCCATTTAAGTAAGAACATCATTGTGAATTTGAAGTGAGGATCAGAATCTGAATTTTGTTTCGATAGATAATACAGAGACCAAAGAAATAACTGATTTGGGAAGGGATTCCGATACTATTTATGCAGCATTCTATTTTCGTAAAAGTCCAATCACTATTTTGGTTGAGAGAAAGAATTAAAATGTTACTGATTTGCTCTCTAAATTGGGGGGTTTACTATAGATATCCTTAATAGTTATGGGATTCATCATATCAGCGTATAATAAAATAACAAGTTAGCGTTTGTTTTAAATTAAGTAGTGTTTGTCGAATTGTCGAATAAGATTTATGAGTTTAGTCCTGATGTTGAAGAGTAGACTAAATAGCATTAATAAAATCTAAAATTAATAGATAATGCTTATGAAGAGAAACAGTTCAAACAAGAATACTATGTGAATAGAGAAGGTTAATAATAAAAGATTCCCAATAGTGAAATTAAACACAAAAGCAAAATCCTAAGACTTTTCGGTAAAAGCCAACCTGATAAACATATTATGCTGATTGATCGTCCAACGACTGAAAATAATGAGTGTGTTAATCAAGGCTTGAATGATAATGAAGATAAAAGTAATTAAAATACATAGCTGGCAATAAAAGACCATAATATTCTGGCTTAAAGGCTTAATTGTGTAAGTGGATTGGATTACTTTAAAAAATAAATCAATCTTATCTTAAATCGATCATAACCATTAAGGTTTAATATGAAGATCTTTGTGAATTAGTTGTGTCTGAGAAAGGCTTTCTCGAACTCCCTTTCTGTCCTATTTTATAATCAAGCAGTGTATAATAATAAATAATTTAATATTAGTGATAAAATCAATGAGCAGTTGGATGTGTTCAACATCTTGACTAAATTGAATGAGATTGACAAACTTAAAGAAATACTACTTACAAATTCTTAGTAATTATTATTTGATTTTGCATCAAAACCAATTATTTCAATGATAGAGGAGAAGGAGATGCCTATTTCAAGAACTTTCCTTGAAAACAGGGCGAGACACACGTAAATGTTTGGTATTATAATTTAGAAATGTACCTTATTAAGGGAAAAGATCCAGGAAAAGTTAGGTAATATAAACTGGTAATAAATCCTTTTTTCGGACGCAAAGTATTGATAGGGATAATAGAATTTACAATAGAATTTATAGGGTATTTGAATAAATGGAGATAGGCTTATGATCTGATATTGTAATAGAGTGCAGATTAACACCCTCAACATGAAGTGAACAGGAAATTGATTAAGAAACTTGGAGATGAAATGTAGACCATTTTCAAATTGTCTAAATTGCTTGATTTTGATGGAATCAGGAGACTGAGAGCCAATTCAAATATAGATCTAATATGCAGGAACACTCAAAATGTTCCTGAAGAGATGATGAACAAATGATTGATCTTTTATTTATATTATTAATGAAAACACTAAAATGGGGTATTATTATCTGCAATAGTAAGGATTGGAACGGGTCGACGTATTTGGTTAAATAGTATTTCTTCGTATGAATAAACAAGCCTATTTTCGAACCAAGATAGGAGGTACAATATCATTGGCAGTGTTATTTTTAATGATATATTTCTACTCTTAAAGTTTACGATCTTTTTTCCTTAAAGAACAACTAAGAGTTATCTCAGCCAATTAATATGAAGACGAAGTCTAGTCAATCTAATTAGACCAATCCGATTTCATGTTTGCTTTTAAAATAGAGTAAAATAATTTTACTACATCACCTTTCTTTAATTTAACACTGGAATAAAAGTAAATTGATGAAAATGATATTCAAGAAAATATTAAAGATTACCAAATGGCCAATAAAACAAAATATCAACCATCATACCTCTGGTGCCTTGTACAAGTGAGAGATTTCAATCCACTTTCTCTAGATATGGGATTGATTTTGTAGAGAATTTCAATAGTTTTGGAATTGGTGATTTTTTATGTCCCGAGTAAAATGTATAACAAATATACTAGGTACAATAACACAATATTTGTTGGAGGCACTTACACAAGTAAACATTATAAACCATCATTTAGGCAGTGATTTCCAATTTTTGACCCTAACCATATCACATTGCGAAAGTAATGAATAAATTTCATGTGCGTCAAAAGAAACAGTAGATTAATATTTTTCAAGTACTGGTTCATTTAAACTACAAATTTACACTATCAATTAAGTATAGTCATCTATTAAATATTGTAGATAATTAATCCGTACAAATAAAGATATGGATCAGCATTTTTGGATGATCAGATATATTTCACATTTGTACCCAATCAACTCAATCGAAAAGCTAACATATACTTTAGGAAATATGAGTTCATTAATGATGAAAGTCTATTGCCGTTCAGGTATCAATCCTAATTATCAAGTGATATATAAGAAGATACAGTTTTCCTAATTGATCAATCTGACATTAAGGAGATGTCAGACATTGGCACCACTCTTGATGCATCATATGCAACCTTCAATTTTCGATTAAATCCATTCAAGACTAAATTCACTCGAAGTTTCTAAAAAATTGATGAGCTTTTATCCAATCTAGGTGGTATCTAGTAGATATTCTTCTTCTTCATTGGATTACTTGTTGGTATTTACAATAGAATACAATGTATTATTATCTAACTTAAATAGTTTTGGTTGAATTGGCTAACAAATTATTTGAATTTTAATTGGATTCATCTATTTAGAATAGATAATACCAGGAAAATCTTGAATTGATTGATGAATTCATCTAACATAGAGAAAATCATCTCCACGTAAATTCTAATGCAGAAATAGATGAAATAGACAATTAATAGGTCGAGGACAAACTCTCACCTGATATCTCGCAAAGATATAATTTACTGAATTTATTTTTAAATACTGGAGGCATGGTATAAAAACCTACTAATCAAACAAAATCAAGCAAAGAAACCAGCAAGCAACATTACATTCTGGCTGAAAAATTGAAGTTCATATCTGGGCTGGATTACTTCCAAAAACAAATAATAAAAATAATAGAACGGCAGAAACCGATTTTTTTAGATTTTCAGATTTTATGCAATTATATTAGTTGTGGCAAACTATTTAAAAATTAACCAAAAGTTATTCTGATGAACAAAGCTTTGTAATTGATTTAAGTATTATCATTATAGTGACAACATAATTGACTAATTAGATGTACATCATATATTATTGAAGTTGAACGAATTAGAAAAACTCAAAGAAACTATTTTGAATTATAAATAATTGATGATGTTCAATTTTACTCCCAAACCTTTAATAAATCTTGATAGCATTACCAAGGAACCTTCAAGACAGCTCATTGAACAAATAGTGAAGTCTCCTGAGGCTATGGGTATGATTAATAATCTACAAAAATAGATAAGACTGATTCTGATACTATTGAAATGATTAATTATAAGAAAATGAGCAGAAATTAACCAAATCTTTTTGGGGATTACTTAATTTACTCAAAAATATTCAATGTACTTTCTTTTATTATAAATTTAGGCATATGATGATATATTACAATCTAGTGATACGGTATATTCAAATAAAGCATTGATTCAAAAACTTGGACCTGAGTTATAGATAGTGTTTAAGTTGTCCAAGTTGATAGATATACAACATAAAATTTATCATAAACAAAAACATCCTACTAGGAGAGGAGCTGTGTAGTAGGAAGAGGAAGATCTCTGTGTAAAAATGTTTGATTAACAGAGCCAATAGAATTGAAAATTAATGATATTAACTAAATCAAAATTATTAAAATATCTATGGAACAGGTTTTTCACTTATTATTTTACAACCAGCTTTGTGAAGTAGTGATACAGCTGGATAAATGGGTCCTCGTTTCAATTTTTCATCTTTGAAAGCACAACCCATGTTTTCTCCATTCAAACTGAACATTAAAGTCCCTGAATCCATGTTTAAGCAAATTCCCAAAGTGCCCTTATCTTTGAATGGCTTTCCAAAAGCAGTACCATTTTATTTTTGATTATGACGTATCTACTTTTAGATAACAATTTTCTACTTGTGCTGATCCATAGAAAGCCCAGCCAAACTCATAATCACAGAAGGATGAATTAAAATTAAAGTCCCTTTGAGTTGTCACACCAATTTTTAAATAGTTTTCAGTCCTGTCGTCTGCTTCGATCTCCCAATATACAATCCCTGACTCAAAGCCATAGTTAGCAACCACAGATTTAAAAATATATCCTTATTCTTAAAGAAAGACTTTCTAATCTCCATCTGTTAGGATTATATTAGAACCGCACCTTGCTTTATCCCATCTTAAGATGATAGGAGCATTTCCGATGGTGATTTAATTATAGGGATTCATTATATTCTATCTATCCTCGTCACTTAAAAGTTATTCTCTGTTACTAAATGGATTTGATATTAAAAATTCTCTTGCTCTTTTATATATCTCTTACTTATTATTAATTTCTTTCACTTTACTCAAAAATTAGCAACACTAATCACTACACTAATATGAGATGACAAATTACTTAATTAGAATTATTATTTATATTCTCTTATGGAATGATGTTCCCACAACATTAGTAATTTACACACTATTTGATTAAACCGCACTCAAACTCATGCTAATCAATTTGATTGATACAAATAGCCTTTTAACATTTTATACCTAAATATTCTTACACATTACATCTCAAAAGCAGATCATTATAATTTGATTATAATATTTATGATAAATTAGTAATTGTCTATTGTTAACAGCAATTATCTCTACTTTAACCGCTAATGAGTTATATCGACAAATTACTTCGATTGTTTAAACCATTTTTCAATGCATAAACGACAATAAATAGAATCACAATTAGCACATTGTCTTGGTACTCTTGGCACACATGAGCAGAAAGCGCAATCAAAAAGATCTGTATTATAGTTTATAATTCTCCTCCTATCAAAGCCATTATCAAAATTTATAGACATTATAATTCAATGAGAATAAATTATTAATGAAATGTTCAATTTTAAATCTGTCATCTAGAAAATTCTAATTACATGTTATTAGACTTTATCATCTAAATATGTAATATCATTAAATATTTATATAAAGAAATATTTTAAGTCTTGTTATTCTTACTAAATTAAGCGCCAATTAAAAGCAGAACAAGATATAGTATATTATTGAAATATTATGACTTTGATGAACATTTAAATGAGTTAGATATAAATTAATGTAATTTATGATCCCATCTCTTTACTATTAACACTTATGATCGAATTCCTTATCTATTATTTCATTGATTTTGAATGATGAATTTGAAAACTAATATTTCAATATTTTGATATCTCTCAAAATTTCAAAGCTCAATTCAATGATTTACTACAATTTGGTGCTCTTTGAATTAATTTATAATAATCCTTAGAGCATTATTCGTAATATAATATATAAGTATGTTTAATATTGAATTTGATTAGGATATTGAATTAAGAGCTGTCTAAAATGAAGATTTTGAACAATAGTATCTTGATCATTGCTTAAGGGAATCGAGAAATTAACCCAATACTACCTACCCTCGTATAAGCAGAAGCATTAGTTCAAAAAGTATTGAAGCTGAATGTCTTCATAAAATACCAGAAACCCCATTTGATGAGATTATTACATCTGCTTAAAGTTCAGAACTTCTTAGTCGTAGGTTTTGCTAACATAATGAAAGAAGGGGAAGCGTTCCTACAGGGACTAGTTTGATGTGCAGTTTTTATATTAGGAGATTCATTGAAAAAATTTCTTAAAGTAGGAAGAGAATATTGAGTATGAATGAGATCCATTTTAATTTGATAGAAGATAGAGCTGCTGATATGTATAAATTATTATAAGTAGGTAAAATTTATTCAATTACTAACATCAATGCAAAAAGCAAGGATCGTCTTTAGGCAGAATGAAGGCTTTCCTTAGGAAAGATACTGGAATTAGGAATAAAAGTATCCTTGAATAGATGAAATCGAGAGTTAAAATAATCAAGAAAAACTGTTTCGATCTAATTACTACTGTAGTAAACAAGATTCCAATAATATAACCGGAATCACGTTTTAAAATGATTTGGGACTTCTTTGCTTCTTTTTTTAGAATTATTTTAGTATTGCTCATTCCATTGGAAATAGCATTTGAACCTGGGATATTGTTTCTGCATTATATATATTTGACTGCTTTAATCATTGTAATTCTGCAGATTGACTTTCTCATAAGAATAAACACTTTATCATATAGGAATGGAGCTGCAATTCAAAATAGATGGGATTTATTGATATATCAATTGAAATAGGAATTTTTGACCGATTTTTCTACATCATTTGTGCTTATAATTTTTATGATTGTACCAGAAATCAATAACAAAATTAATTTATTTTTACTTGTTGTTTTAGCTTAATATAAATATATTTACGAGACTTTTGCTAAGAGTGATCAAATTTCTTATTTAACAAGACCCTTAAGAGGAGTAATAGGCTTGATAAAATTTATATTGACATTATTGTTTATTCTCCATCTTTTTAGTTGTATTTGGTTTTGGTTTAGTCAAATAAGTATGGAGGATTCTTGGATAAGATTTAATGGTTTAGATCTGAAATCATGGGAGTTGTAATACTTGGAAGCGTTGTATTTTGCAGTAGTTACTATGTTAACAATTGGGTATGGAGACAATGTTCCAAAAAACTCTATAGAGAAGATTGTGACGATAATCTTCATCTTAGGGGCATGTAATAATCACAATAATATCGTAGGTTTGTGGTTCTCTTATAGCGTCAATTTCATTGGAGGAATAATCAACGATATCACTTAAAATTAAGTTGAGAGAAATAGAAAAATGAGAGTTATCAATAAATATATGGATCAAAGAAGGATTCCATTTAATATGAAACACAAGTAATGAGTACTTTCATTTTTAGAATAAAAGAGTATTTGACATTCAGATGGAAAGAAGATGATGAAGTTGATCTGGAGATTGAATAAACTCTATTAGAATAGTTGTCTGATGAACTTAAGGAAGAATTGGATAAGGAAGTGCACAAAATATTTATTAAGAAATCAGCATTTCTTTCAAATTTTGGAGAGGATTTTAAGGATGCTCTATCAAAGTCAATCAAAAGAAAAATTATTCCACCACAAAACACATTTTCAATTGATTTTGATGGTTAATAACATTTGTGTTTTGTAGAATAGGGAATTTTACTTTATTAACATCCTGATAGAAAGCAAAGATCAAAAATGAATTCCTAAATACAGCAAGAATAGTTTTTTTGTGTGAGAGAATTTATAATTCAAAGTCCAAATATTGAGTTCTTCAAATCTAACGGCTATGTCAGTTTGTTAATACTTTCTAAAAAGGATTTTATGGACACAATAAAGAATTACCCTGAGGACTTCTAAAAGTTTTGTGAATTAAAAGAATAAATGAATTTAAATCTCTATCCTCCTTAAATAGAGAATGGAGTATTTTGTCCAGCTTGTCTGTTATTTAATCATAACTTGAAAAGTTGTCCTCAAATTTAATACATTCCTGATAGGGAAGTTATCTTAAAAAAGTATTTGTTACCAGGAGAATAGAAACGGAAATATCAAAGTAGAGAAAACTCTAAGAGATTTTAAAGTGATTAAACTATAAGAAGAGCAAGATTTGAGAAGGATTTGATTTAGTAATTTGCTCAGGTATTCTAAACTGAAAATATTAATTTGATTTAAGAATAATAAAAAATTCAATTAGTTTATGAATAAGAATCAATGAGTTCAAGTGCTGAGAATAGTGCTTGCTTTAAAGTTCAGAATGATGGCAGGTTTTAAGCAGCAGTATCAAAATCAAAGAGAATTATAAGTGAACCACAAAGTTAAGGGTCTAGTACTCCAAAAATAAATGGTGTTAGGTCCAATCTCCATCAAGCATTGTAAAATAGAAAATAATCAATATTTAATTTAAATATATCTTCAGGATTGGGGAGAAGTCCAAAGGGGATGCTTCTTTGTTAGCCAGACTATATCAAGGAAGGAAAGGAGAGTGAGGAGAGTAGTAATAGTAGTGATGATAGTGAGAACAAAGAAGAGAAACAGGAAAAGAATGGATTGACAGTTTCAGATTTCAATGATAATATGATAGAGAATATAACCAATTTATACCATCAACTTTAGAGGGAATTGGAACTCAATGAAAACGATCAAACTATTTAGAAGGCTTACTTTTAGATCGAACCTCTTTATTGGTAATTTAATTAGCAGAGATTGTATGACTTTGAAGTTATGACATCGTATGATTGTTTCTTTAAAAATGATAATTTTAATGAAATCATAAAACATAGTCATAATAATAATTCGAATTGGTAATTACTATTTCTTGAAAAATTACAAAAATATATGCTTTATCCATTTGTTTTTATTTAAAAATACCTCAATAAAAAAAGGAATGTGATCAATCCTCAAAAAATAAAACATGACTCTTCCAAGAGATTGAATAATAGACTGAAAACTTTGAAAAATAGTTTGAAATTGAAAAAGAAATCAGTGATAGTCAAACCAATTTAGAAATTAGGGTAAATAGTTCCAGAAATATGAACCCAAATTTAAATTGTAATAATTGATTTTTATATATATTTATATATTTTCTACAAATTTGGTTGAGAGTATTTATTATTATTATTTTTGGGCAACAATTATGCTTCAAAATTAAAAATTATTATCTTGTAAAGGATTGTTAATTTAATTGATTTAATTTTAATGAAAAATCTGAAACCCGAAGATAATTATAGTAACAGCTTAGATAGGGAGTTAAGGGCAGAGTAAAACGAAGACTTTGAACAATAGTACTTAGAATATTGTCTCAAAGAATCACGACCTAGCAGTGTTTTTCAAAATGGAATGTTTTCTATGAGTAGAACAGATAAAACTCCTGATATAACATACACTCCTAAACCTGAACAAGATTTTCTCTAAAACGATGTGATTTCATTATCAGAGCTGCCGACTCAAATCAATAGATCCTCCAAAGATACAGGTTCAAGTCTTATGACTTTTTTTTTCATAAGACGGTTCTTAGAAAAAGTTGGATAAAAAAGACGATAATTGGAGACATTAAATGAGAGTATTTTAAATTTAATAAGTGATAAAGCCTCAGAAAAGTAAAGTTTAAAATTTACATAGTTCAAATGTGATTGCCTATGCCAAGTAGTTCAAGCGCAAAGAACTTTCATTTATTTCAGTATAAAGAATATTGACCAAATAAATTATTAAAAAACGAGCATTTGAGGAATTGAAGGAAACTCTTCAATAAATATAAACTTCATTATTTAAGCAGTTATTGTTGTTACTCTCTTGTATACCATTGATTCAGCCAGAAAGTAAGTTTAAGATGTATTGGGACTTTTTTGTTACATTCATGAGAGGGATATTGGTGTTTTTGGTACCGTTGGAAATTTCATTTCATTCAAAAATTTTGGTATCTGAAGATCGGATATTTTCAACACTACTATTTATAATATTATAATTGGATTATATTGTAAATATCAACACTATCACCTACAAAACAGGCAAAGCAATATAAGACCGTTGGGAAATAATCAAGTTGCAAACTAATAGATCCACTCTAATAGATCAAGGCATAACCATTATTCTGCTAGTCAATACTTACATGCCTTCAGGAAATTATGATTTAATTTTGATCCTACTTTTAAGTTAACTCAAATATGTCTATGAATCTTTTCTAAAAGTGGATTAAATCTCATATCTCACAAGACCCTAAAGAGGTAGAATAGGATTGCTAAAGTTTTTGCTATCTTTAATTTATATAGCTCATTTATTCAGTTGTATATGGTTTTGGTTCAGCAGTATAGATGATGAGGATTCCTGGATTATCTCTAAGAGATTAGGGAATCTTAGATGGTCATCATAGTATTTGGAAGCCTTTTACTTTGCAATAGTTACAATGCTAACAATCGGATATGGAGACAATGTGCCTCAAAATTAAATAGAGAAAATAGTCACAATCATTTTTATTTTGTGTGCTTGCTTGTGGTTTTCTTATAGTGTAAACTTTATTGGAGGCATTATTGATGATATCACTCAAAATTAAGTCGAGAGAAACAAAAAGATGAGAGTGATAAACAAGTATATGAGAGAACGTGAGATCCCTTATGCATTATAATATTAGTAATTGATATTATTAATTAAATATTAGAATAAAGGAATACTTGACTTATCGATGGAAAGAAGATGATGAGATAGATTTGGAAATGGAATAGGCATTGCTAGGATAATTGTCAGATGAATTAAAAGAAGAATTAGATAAATAGGCATATAAAATATTCAACTTGAAATGTGAGTTTTTGCAGAAGTACTTCAGTGCTGAATTTCGAAATGCTCTCTTTAAATCAATAAAAAGAAAAATTATACAACCTTAAAATACATTTTCAATTGAATTTGATGGAGAATATCATTTATGTTACATTGAATAAGGAATTCTATTGTATTAACACTCTGATGGAAAACAAAGATCGAAGATTAATTCTCACATTAGTCATGGAAGATTTATATGTGTCAAAGAGTTTTTACTCCATAGTCAAGAAAAAGAATTATTCAAAGCAGCTGGATATGTCAGTTTATTAATGCTATCAAAATCTGACTTCCTGGAAACATTAAGAGATTTCCCAGAAGATTTTCAAAAGTATTGTTAATTGAGAGATTAATTAATTCTTAATTTGGATTAATAATTAATCAAGGAAGGTCAATTTTGTCCTGTCTGTAATAAAATTGATCATCAATTAAATCAATGTCCTTAAGTGCAATTGATTCCCAATAAAGAATTAGTGCTTAAGAGACATGCCTACAATTAATATTAAGAGAGAAAGTATCATAAACGTAGAACTATTGAAAAACCAATAATGACCAGAGCAGAAATGTTGTTTGTTTAAGAATGTGCTAGGATCTTTGCTTTGGATAATCCTTAACTCATTCAGAATCAATAAAAGTGCTAAAATATTGTGGATTAGGATCTTGAACCTAATATAGTATTTCTGGGCAATGAAGATTAATTACCTTCCGTGAAAGTGTTTCCAGTTACTGAAGAATTTCTTGTTACTTCAGGTCATCAGAGAGCAGTTAAATGTATCGATTTAGAAATCTAATCTGATGTTAGAATAGAAAAGCAAAGTAAATTCACTTAAAAATATAATTCCAAAAGAATCTATAAATCAGGGTCTATTTATGACCATAAATTCTTGAGATAGAATACAAAGAGTCCGTCTTTATTATCTAATCTAAATGAACCTTCAATTGAATCTTATCCTGGTGAAACAATTATCAGCAATGAAGTTGAGGAATATAGAAATTAAATTAAGGAATTTGAATAAGTCCATGCAGAGAACATCAAAATAATCTATAATAAGATGCAAAAGTATATTGATGACCCATAACTTGTTAAACAAATAAAGGAAATCACTTATCTTTACATTCAATTGTATTATGAATCTGAACCAAATTTAGACTCCATTTATCACTATGATTATTATTTCCCTTCGCATAATATCACTTCAATAATAGAGCAGATTAATAAAAATAAGTAGAATTGGCAACAATTAATTCTAAATAGACTTTAAATGTTCATGTTTTATCCGTTTTAATTTATCCTTAAATTTTTGAAACATAAAAGAACGAAAGCATATGTTTCTATAATAAATAAATTTGAATCCATATAAAGAGTGAGACACAAGATGATGCTTTTAAGAGTTACAAAAAGTCAGCTTAAAAGAAACAAGGTGCTTCCAGAAGTTTAAATTAAAAATTGTAAATTGTAAAAAAAATAATGATATTGTTAATTCGTAATCTATCAATAAGTTTGTTAATTATTATTAATAATAAAATTATTTAAATTTAGTATATTTTTATGGTTGATTGTATATATCTAATGTTGAATGGATTTGATTATTCAAAACTATCTTAAATTATAAAATACCTACTATCAGATTGTATTTTTGTAATTAGAAATAAATAACGTTACAATTAAAATTATAATAAAGATTTCTTTTCTTACGGTAATGGAATCATTTTGATGTCTAAATTGCGAGTAATAATTACGATATTTGTATTGATTACCTCAGTATGATTAGATTTAATGAGAAAAATAATTATAAAATAGAGGATGAAATTTTGTGAAATATTATTATATTGTTTGTGTATCTAATAGATTAATTAAAAAAGATATTGTGAAGGAAATGCATGAAATTATTCCATACGGGATATGGATATGAGAGGAATAATTAATCATTTATAATATATTAGTAAATTAAACAAATAATAGAGATATATGAAAATTAAGGATATTCAAAAGGCCCTTAAAAAATATTAGCCCAAATTGGACTAGGATTATTAATAAAAATTATAAATTGCCAAATACACAAATTTGTCTGATATTGAAAAAAGCAATTTTATACAAAATTAAGGTATTTTGGATTTGTATTTAGGTTTCGAACAATAAAATGTGTGCTTTTTATTTAATGGTAGTATGTAGAACAGCTTTGATAACAATAAGATCATGTATTACACAATAAACTGTATAGACAATAAAATAGATCAGAAGTATTAAATCACAATATTTTATTAGTACATATACTATTGTATATATAATGTCATAGCATGATGGACTATCATAGTTGATCAGATTTCGAAAGTTAATGAGGTAGCTCCCAAGCAAATATTACATTTAATTAAAGTGCTTTTATATATATCAACCAAGCTTTAAAATAAAAGCAAACCTATTGATCTAACGATAGAGATCAAGGAGAGAGAAAATTTTGTATAAGAAAACTAAATATATATACGAGTAATCTTAAATTCATTTTAAGAGTAAAGGAACTATTATAGATACCAAATTTTTAAGGCAGTTGGATGAATACATTCCCAAAATAAATTTAGAGCTTCGAACAAATCGAACCAGTTCAATTAATAAAATAATCATCATCTTCCTTTGGTTCATCTTTGAATAGCTAAAAGTTAAATCAATTCCAAATCCCTGTAGTAATTGATCATTTGTTGTCCTACTTTGTAGTCAATTAAGATAGATTTTTGATACCAGATATTTTTAGAAAATAAGGTTTAATAACTGAAGAAGACTAACTATAACAACAGTTAATTAATGAGAACTATGAATGTTTGAAGATTGTAGAAGATGTGCGGATAATCTGTAGTCTCATAAAGAGGTTTTTTCTAGAGTTACCTGATCCGTTGATTCCTGAACACATTTACAAATGGATCTGTGAGCATATCGAATGTAAGTTGCTATTAAAACATAATTAGAAACAACTCCCCAAACAGAGATTGATTTATTAAAAGAAGTATTTGATTAATTACCCAATTTAAATAAATAGTTGCTGATCGTAATGGTCAACTTTTTAATTTGTGTAGGGAATTATTCTGAGTTCAATCGAATGAATATGAATAATTTGGCAATTTTATTTGCTCCTTGTTTCATGAGAGTTTAGGTAAATTAGACATAATCAATTGAATAAATTAAACTTTAGCTGAAATTTCTGAAAATCCTATTTGATAATTATGACAAGATATTTCCAAATGTTTCATTCAAATTATATTTGCAATACTGCCAAACTTAAATTTTCTCATCCATCAGTAGCAATGGTTCTATAGGGGGAGAAACAAGTGGAAACAAAAATCAAAGGCTGTCTTCATCAGAAGAAGATATCCTTCCAGAATTCTAACAAAAGTAGAAATGATGGGTTTTATAATAAATAACACGATATATTAATTTGTTTAAATTCAAATTTATTACGATGTTCAAAAATTAAAATAAATTAATTAAAAATTAAAAAGTTTAGGTCATACCAGGACTCGAACCTGGGTCACTGGATTCAAAGTCCAAGGTGCTAACCACTACACCATACGACCTAAGCTGATTAGTAAAACTAAAGAATATTTATAACAGGTATGACTATTAATTATAATACATCTAGCCGCGCTTTAAATAAATAATTTAAATAAAATGATCTATGTGAAAAGATTAGTCGAGAAAGCCATCCTCCCCAAAAAGGGATCCCTCAAAGCAGCTGGCTATGATCTATTTAGTGCTGAGGATTCCGTTGTACCTGCAAAAGGAAAACAAGTAATTAAAACCGGAATCTCAATGGCCTTACTTGAAGGCACTTATGGTAGAATAGGTATGTATGTTCTTATGATTACAGCTCCACGTTCTGGATTGGCAGCCAAAAATTTTATAGATGTTGGGGCTGGTGTAATTGATGAAGATTACAGAGGAGAAATATGTGTGTTATTATTTAATTTCGGAGACAACGATTTCAAAGTAAATTACGGAGATAGAATTGCTTAAATGGTCATTGAATATGTTGTTCAAACTGATATTTAAGAAACTGATAATCTGACTGAAACTCAAAGAGGAGAGGGAGGGTTTGGATCAACTGGAGTCAAACTAATTTAAAATACTAACAATTAATCTCAACAATTAAAATAGAAATTATAAAATATTCAACAATTGAATCATGATCAACCAGAGCCTTGGTAAGAATTGACCATTTTGGATTTATACAGTTTGTTTTCAAATGGACATATTAATAGTAAATAAAAACAGCAATTGGGTGAGATTACAATGAAAGGAGACAAGAAAGTGTATGAATTATTTAAAAAGAATGAGGGAAAGAATGAATAAATAATAATCTAATAGTTACATAATTTGATTGAAGAATGATGCATATAAAATAGTTATCATATTTTAAAATTATCACAAATTATCTTTCTCATTTCAATTTTTTGTTGCTGTTTATTCAATACCATGAAATTCAAGAGTTTTAATTTGGCTTCCTTGCTTAATTGATTATTAATTAATTATAGATTTGAAATATCCTACTTCAGTGCTTGGATCTATTATTTTAGATTATTAATTTGAGAGTCCTCAGACTTATATTGTAATCATACCTTGACCTCTTATTCTAAATTGCATATAGGTTTTGGAAGATAGCTTTCTTTAATGGATAAGTTAATGATAGTAGTTGGTATAGAGAGAGATGAATTAATGGATGATCTTAATTTTTGTTTTGATTTGATCGACTTTTGTTTTGAGTAGTTTTGAATATTATCTAAACAGAGTTCGATTTAATTGAAATTCTCCTGGAGATACTTGTCTTATTGCAGTTTCAATTCAATTTTAATTGATGAAATGCAGGATTTGATTGTGTCTTGAAAATTTAATTTAATCATCTTCAGTCTGACATTCGGCATCTTAGGTGAGATTCTCTAGTTTGATTTGATCTTGAGATAAGCTTTGTCGAAACATCAACTGCTAATAGATTTTGAGAGGTTGTTGAGATGTAAATGTGATGGTTTCTAACTTTGAGAATATATTATTCCAGAGTATGCGTATATTGCCATATTAATGAATTTATTGAAGTTCTTATTGTAATAACTAAACTTGTTGTTTTAACATTTATATTTCTATAGACTCTTGAGGCATAATTTTAATATTCTATTCGTTAAAAATATTTATAAATTTTGTCACTATTCATAATCTTCATAATTGAATTATAAAGATATTAATCTCATTTAGTTAAACAGAAATTGTTTAATTTATATTTATATATAAAGTCATCATTTTACTTCAGTGTTTTGATTGAATTTATAATTTATAACTATAAATTTGCCAATATTAATGATATTAGGCACAGAAGTAAACGAGTTTGTGACAAATCGTCAATAGTCTAAAATACACTACCTGTCTTAGGAGAATAAACTTCTACAAGAGTATATTGCTGACTTAGAGAATGCATTGAAGTTGAATAAATAGGCCATGTCATTGGCTTTGGATAGCAAGCGATCTCAAGTAATTGTTCGATATTAATTTCAATACAGCAAACAAAAGATGGAAGCAGCACTTCTTCAAGTGAATAATTTCAGAATTCAGAATTGGTCAAACATTTAAATGAGGAGAATAAGAAATTAATGGAGGCCTTAACAAAACAACAAAAAGTGAGCAGCTAACTACAAACCAAAATACTCCTATCTGAATAGATAGCTGAGGAACAATCAAATTATTATAAAGACTTGATTAGTGATTTAGAATATAAGTTAATTGAATTGAAACGCAATATTCACGATAAGGAATACGCTATATAAGAGTTAGAAAGAATGAAGCCGATCTAGGAGAAGGAGGGCTAATTAGTTAAATTGGTTGAAGTAGTAACTCCTTCCGAATAGAATCTAAAATTGCATGAGGAGTTGGAAAGTGTGAGAGGAGTCTTGCAGAAAATTACAGCGGAAGCTTAGAGTGTTTCAGAGAGCAATAATGCATTAAGGGAAGTAAATTATCATCTGAAAAGGGAAATATTCAAAATGAGAATAGTACTGAGAAGTTAAGTGAACTATTAAAATATGAAGGGTATCAAATCTACATAATCTAGATTTCGTGTACAATGAGTATCTTGAAAAAACAGATAACAATCTTGAATTGAATAGGGAGTTGTAAAATCACAGAGGCAGACTAGAGTAAATGCATTAAGACCTGTATGGAACAACAAGTCTCGGCTATGGGTTTTCTCCAGAGCCATAACAGTTGAAATATTTGAGCAAAAATGAAAGGATGATTTATTAAGAGAAATTACATAAAATGGAGATGATGGTTAAAGGATTCAAAGAACTATTTGAAAAAGAAAAAAACAGTAATTTAAATGTGAGCAAATTGTATAATGAATTAATCAAGAGGTACGAATAAATTCAAGACACCAATGAATTATTAATACGATCAAACCAATTAAAAGATTAAAGGAATGATCAATTAATGGCAGAACTGTAATTTTATAAGAAATAAAACTAAAACTTTATGGAACAACTCAAAACTAGAAAATAATTCAACTCTGTACAATTAAATCAAGAGTAAGATATAGCTGTTGGCATCTTCAGTCCCAGATTCAATTAAAATAATGAACGAGTCAATACTTAACCATCCTATTTTGTCAGATAATCTTAACAGGTATCAAATGCTGATGTGAAATTTGATGACACAGAACCAAAGGAAAATATCTCAGTTCAACTAAGCAATTCTAATCAGAAAACTCAGAATCAGAAATAAAATCAATAGGTTGTCCCCTAAATGAAAATGAAGAAATTGCAATTAAAAGAGTTAGAAATCAATACTGATGAGAACTTTGAGCAAGCACCCTATTGTTAGACTGCCAGAGCTGATTCAAAACCAATTACTAGAAATCAAATGCAATCTTAGAAAGCTTAGTACTATGATATGACAAGGGAAGAATGCGTTAACTTCATTATGTCAATGTCAAGTGAATTCTTTTAGCATTTCGACGTATGATATCATCTTAACTCTAGATAAGTAATATAAAGAAAAAATAGTTAATTAAATAAATGGAAGATCCTCTGTCATAAAACAAAAGAGTAAAACGATCTTATAGTAATCCTTTTTCTTACTTTTCAAATGAAACTCAAGTCGCTTTTTCGAAACCTCCTTAATAATCTGTTGTAGCTATAGTAATTAATTTATTTTAATTTTATATAGACCAAAAATGAAATTTAATAATTATTAGTTGAATTAACAAGCAAAAAGAAGTAGTAATCCGAGCAATTTGATTTATTCAGTGTTGATGTTTCTTAAATTGACGGAAATAAGAACAAAAAATAAATTCTTGATTAAGATATTAGCTTTATTTCAAATATCGATTAATAGGATTGAGCATTTTTATTTCTATGTTTGTGTGAATAAAAATCATTTATTAAATTATTTGTCTAATCAAAATGAAAACTTTAAATAATTAAATTAAATAAGAATATTTATCAAGCAAAATATGCATTTGTAATTAATTTTGATATAACTAAATGTCTGAAATTTACATAAGACATAATTATGCATTCATATGTGACTCCTTATTATTGGGATAGCACTATAAATAGTAATCCATTCCTTGGGTTCTTTTTGTATTTTACAAGTAACAATATTTTTTATTGCGATTAAGTATTTATAATTATAAATAAATAAAAGAAATTATAAATTGCCACGTTATGGAGATTGCAAGTTCCTAATACAGAGATATCACTCAACAATTTCTATCTAAAGTACACATTAAACTTGTTGCATTGAAAAGGGAATAGCCAAATTGTAATAAGGATCTTATTTTAATTAGAATTTCTACTCACAGCCAAACTTGCCAAAGAGAAGGTCGATGCAGCCAATGAAAGACTTTAGGAATTTCATACAAGTATGGTTTTCATCTTATTCTTAAGCATCTCAATCCACAGGACTTTTTAATGACTAAGACTACAAATTGAATTCTATACTTTCTCAAGTCAAAGACGACATTAGTTAAATACATATCCATCTAAATCAGCTTAAAACGCAATTAAATAATGATTTAAATTAATCAATCTTCGATTTTGTTTAGCAAAAAGCAATGAAAACTTCAGATTCATTTAAAAAAGTATTTCATTTGAGAGATTAATTTATAGTTGGTATAGAGTCACACTTAACGGATCAAGTAATAGGAAGAGAAAAGGAATAGATTGAATGGGGAAAGAGATAGAGTAATCAAGAGAGTTGGATTTAATCAGAAATATTAAAAATTGAATGAAACTGAGGAAGAGGCTAATCATTAATCAATTTAAATGTTTGATCAAAAGTAGAATGAGGAAAAACTGGTTTCTATGCAAAAAATTGAATCTATGTTAAATGATATTGCCGGAGTGTTCCAAAGAGTTGGAACTATGGTTAGATTATAGGAGACGATGATTGAAAGAATTGATAAATATACAGATGAGGCATAGGTGAATGTTAGTAAGGGACGTAAGGAATTGTAGGAATCACATAAGCGAATAAGCTCGAATAGAGGGTTAATCTTAAAGGTGTTTTTAATTTTGTTTATTTTTGCTTTTATCTATATTGTATTTATTTTGTGAACTAAATACATTATATTGAGTATACTAAAATTAATTATATAATCAAATCAAGTATTTATATTACATTCATACTATTATCAAATAAACTTAGAGCATTGTGGTTTAGAAATTAGTGTTTATAGATTGTTTTGATATACATATTTATTTATATAAATTTTATACTCTTTTTTTTTAATTTAAAATAAAGATTTAAATTATTTTTCATTATGGCAGAGGTCGAACAATTATCAGAAGAACTCACTACTTTAAAAAGAGTAGTTTAAACATCATTACATAGAGGTTAATTGTCAAAGGGAGTACATGAAGTATGCAAAGCCATTGAAAGCAAATAAGTTTGAATTATCATACTATGCATTATAGGCTAAGTTTGTAGTTTTGGCTGATGATTGCTCTGAGGAATCCTATAAAAAATTAGTAGTTGCTTTGGCTAAATAATTCTAAATTCCAGTTTGGAAAGTAGAAAAAGGTGCCTTATTAGGTGAATGGATTGGAATTTCAAAGTTTTTAACAAAAACCAAGAAAATCAAATCAAGAAAATGTTCATCTGTTGCAGTCAAAGATTTCGCAATTGAAGTAAGTGAAGGTGAAAAACAATTTGTAGAAGATAAAATCAAAGGATTATGAGAATATTTATCTGTACAACATATAAAAAGTATAATAATGGATCATTAAAAACACTCCTTTCAATATTCTAGTAATTGATACAGAATTATAAAGTAGTAATAGATATATAACTTCATTAATATAATAAAACATATATATATATTTATTTATTTTTATTAATGAATAATATTTTCAGAATAAAACACCCTTCTCTTAGATATTAAGTGGTCTAGCTGAATTTGGATTTGTATATCTTCTAATGAAATCTTACAAAATCAATTCAGAATCTTTAAAATCTGTTGCAGCATGATCATTAGCTTGTCTATGAACTCTGCACAAGGTCTCTTTGTAATCTTCATACCACCAGACGAATTTCTTGATGTCTATATAGTAATTCACTTATATTCATACCTTCATGTTCCAATAAGAATTCATTCTCCTTTACTAATTCCTAAGCTCTCAATTGAACATATTCATCAAACAAATTCACCTTTGTCAATTCAGATTTATATTCAAAGTATATTCTTCCAAAAATGAAACATTAGACCACTGGAAACAAGTATCTAAATGTTCTAAATCTTATGTTTTGTGTAATAACATTGTAATTGTAGGCATAAAGGAACTATCATAATATTAATGACATCTCTATACTAAATTCATTCCGAAGGCCATAGCCTAATAGCCAAACTTATTATATTCAATCACTGGATAGGTCATATCATCTTCCCATTCAGCTAAAGGAGAAATAACACTATAAATGTACGATCTTAAGAACTCAAGCAAAATGCATTGAATGGGACTTTTGGCTAAGTCCAACCAGCAGTTTCTATCAACTCAACCATCTTCTTAATTGATCTATATCTCTTCAAACGAGCTTCTCTGTAATAATATTTATCATTTCAAACCTAAAAGGGTGGAAGATTCTAGTTTCTCAATCCAAGTAAACTGATGATTGTGAAATAATTATCCATTTAATTAATTATTGAAAATTAAGATAAATATAATGCATTAATTATTATTATCAAATATATTCCAGACATCAATTCATAACCTTATAATAATTACATAAATTAATTTAATTGCTATATGAATATTATTTTTATATTTATTTTAGCTGTTCTTGGCTATCATTATTTTCATTACTTCCACCTCTACAATTACGAAATAATTTTGGTCGGTAAGATATTATACATTAATACCAAAATTAAGAATAAGTAATTCCTACACCAACTAATCCAAAGCTTCGCCATATGCTTTTCAGCTGATTTACTATTTAGATCAATCATCCTTGAATATCAAGACAGGGATTTACCAAAATTGATAAACTCAATCATAGCTCACTTCTTTATTACACTCTTCTAATGGAAATATGACTTTTGTTTTTAATACGACCTTTTTTATAATCTAAGCTAAGCCAAAATACTCACTTGGGCATTTAAAAACAGATATCTCTAATCGTAGGAAAGGAATGAAATAGAATTATTCATATAATTGTTGCTGGCTTCAAGTTATTAGAATTTACTTCTTGGATCTGGTAAAAATGTCCTTACAACCTTTGTTTCAATGATGTTTAATTACTTTTACCAGCCCTATTTCTTCCAGTATTAACCAAACAATTATGGTCTTACAGCATACAGAAATAAACATTATTTATCCTAGTTTATTTTTTATGGTATGAAATTATTTTGAAATTTATGTTTATGAATTGGATATATATATACATTATTTATGACTCTTGTCATTTAATCAAGGTTTTGAAATTTTAATAGCTAAAAGCTGTAATTTTTCTTAATTTCTAGAAATTTAAAATGAATTATGAATATTTGATTTTTCAGTTTCTTAGATTATAATATTAGAAAGCTCTTAAGAATGTTGATTGGTAATTTTAATAAATGATATAAAAAATAAGCGAAATCTTCAAATTTGATTCTGAATTCCTTCGATTTCTAAAGAAAAGTAGTCTTTCCAAAGACAATTAAGTATTCGACTAAGAAGAAATAGAGTTTTTATTATAATTCATGACTAAGGATAAGAACCTGAGGGAGTTTTTTGAGTTCTACTCGAACTCTGACATGCAGACCTATAATATTAAAATGAAAATGCTCATTATCACTCATTAGTTTATTCATTCAAACGAAGAATTCTCCAAATTATTTACTTCTTTAAGATTAACAAATTTTAGTTTACTCAAACACAGTCATAGAAATTATGAAGCCTGGTTACTCACAAATATATAAATTCCATTTTTATCTTATTTATAAAAATTGGCCATCAGCTTCAAGGAAATAAAAAGTTACAAAACAAGTCTTTTTAGAAAATCAAATTATTCGAAGTATAATTCACTCATAACCCTAGTCTCATGATAGATAGTTTTAAGATGGTGAATTTAGTCAATATGGCTCTTTCTCTTGTGCCTAATTTGAAGATTGCCCTTAAAAACTATCCACAAGATAGACTATTATAAAAGTTAACCTTTAATATTTATTAAGAAATTCAAGGTTATTAAAAAAATCTAATAAATGCAATTATTATATTATTGAATGAGAACTCAAAAAATTAAAGTGTTGACTTATATGAATTCTTAAGAGAGGTAACAAATTTATGTGTAAATTAAAGTTGAAAGTAATTGAATAGAAAATGATATCATACCACCAATTTCGAAGTCAGTATGACCCAAAGGCAGTCCTGAAGTCTCCCTCGTAGATTTAGATATTTTTTGAGAATCAGACTAAATGTTCAACTTAGTAAAATGCTTGTAAGGCCAAAACTAAAAGAGAATTCCATCACACAACCTCAAGGTCAAGATAATCAACAGGCGAGGAAGCCACAACTCCGAAGAGTTAAAGGCTTCTATATTACTGCAATCATAAATATTCGTCTTGTGCATAACTTCTACTGAAAGATTAGGAGATGGTTATTCAAGAGGAGTCAGAAAAATAGATAGATTAAACTTTATAATAATAATGAAAAAGCTTATTTTATATGTAATTGATTTTAAATAATATAAAAATATAATCAATCTATCAGCCTTAGCTAATTTAAATAGATTGCATACTATCTCCAGGATATGGTACGATCGAATTTAACTTTGACTTCGTTAATTTAATATTTTTAAAAGATGGTATCAATTTTTTGGAAGATAAGTTATTTCTTAACTGAATTAGCCAAATTTTTTTTTGAGCATTTTTGAATTTGGTAGCTGCATTTATAGCAGCACTTTAATATTAAACTTTTTTGAGCTTCAAGAATTTATTTATAAATTAATAAGGGTAATATAAATATTTTGAGAATTTGCTTAAGATTTCTTTTTGCCAAGCATGTTGATTTTTATTGGCCATTTCTATTGTGGTAATGGAATTTGATTGTGGAAAATAATAATCATAATTAAATAAGGATTCAAATCCCTCAAGAGTGATTGCATTATATTTCCAATAAATATATTGAAGTGAATTTAAACCCTAGTTGATAGAAGCGGATTTATCCTCTGAAAACCTTTAAATTTTAGTATACAGAGATTTGATATTCTCTTTCATATAAAAGTTAAAGTTGTTGATATTTTTGATATGGTCACTCTCCTACTCTATTAAGGTAGTTTCAATAATTTCTTCTGTAATTTCATTCATTGAGAATAATATTGAAGGGGACTTAGTGTTTTTTCTTTAAAGTTATTTTGAGAACAATGTTCCCTTTCTATTTATTCTTTAGCTTTGAGTCAATAAAGAATTGGGTTTGTGATTTTCAATTTTTTCTTTATGTTTTTCCTCTTCAAATTCTACTTTTTAAATTGCCTTGTTCAATATAGGTTTGTGAGTACTTTAGTACATCTCATTAATCTAAAAGATATTAACTGAGTTAATAGGATCTAATGCATTCTGTGTTTCCACGTTTCCTTACTAAGATTCTGTTTCTTAGTCATAAACTATTTGCAATTTTAATTATTCATTGATTAGGTTTTGATTCTCTGCTTAAAAGTAGATTGCGCATTCCTAAACATATTACATTTCCGCTCTAGTTTAGATTGGTTTATCAAGAGTCTGACGTAAATAGGATACTCTTTATTACTCTTGATTCATCTAATATTTTTTAACTATGACTTCTTTATTCAGAACCAATTATATTTAACAGCAACTCTTTAAAGAATGATCAAAATTATTGCAAGCAGGACAGAAACTACCAAATTGAATTTGACAGCCTTCATTTTCTGATGAATATGAATCCTTTAATTAGCAGTACTTTTGGAAATCCTCTGGGAAATCTTGCAATGTTTCTAAGAAATCTTGTTTTGATAACACAAGCAAACTGACATAACTTTGAGCTTTGAAGATTTCATATTCTGGGGTTTGCATAAGAAATTCCTTCACACAAAAGAATTGCCCTTAATGAACTGAAGCATTCATTTTGGATCTTTGTTTTCTATCCTTATGTTGATATAGCAAAACACCTTATTCAACGAAACAAAGGTGTTATTGACCATTGATTTCACTTTAAAAAGTATGTTATGGTTCTATAATCTTACGCTTAATTGATTTAAATAGAGCATTTCGGAATTCCAAGGAAAATTGTTTTTACAATAACTCTGACTTTTGGATAAATACTTTATAGGCTTGTTTCTCCAGCTCTTCCTTTAGTTCATCAGATAATTACTCCAACAAGATCTACTCCACTTGCAAATCAACCTCATCATCCTCTTTCCATCTATACGTTAGGTATTCTTTGACTCTAAGTGAATTATTAATAGCAAAATTACTGATGCTACAGACTATATGGAATCTGTCTTTATGTCATGTATTTATTGATGACTCTCATCTTTTGACTTCTCTCCACTTAATTCTGCGTGATGTCATTCATGATTGCCCCTATAAAATTTACACTGTATGAGAACCACAAACCTTATAAATTTAATTTAATAACTTACAAGCACCCAATATAAATATTATTGTAACAATTTTCTCTATTGAATTTTTAGGCACATTGTCTCCATATCCTATAGTTAACATTGTCACAATTGCAAAGTAAATTGATTCTAAATATTAGAGTTGCCAAGTCTACCCATCTAAGTCTTTAGTTACAATCCACGAATTAGATTTGTCAATGCTACTGAACCAAAACCAAATGCAACTGAATATGTGCATAATATAAAATAAACTAGTTATAAATTTGATTAATCCTATTATTCCTCTCTATGGTCTTGTAAAGTAGGAGATCTAATCCGTTTTTGATAAAGCCCCATAAATATGCTTATATTGGGTTAACAAAATGAGTAAAAACAAATCATAACCATCTTGGGCGTTCGAGTTGAATATAAAAACCACTATTATTATTATTAATGAGCAATCTGTAAACCAAGACTTAGTTAGCTAACGAATTATGATTCCCCATCGATCTGTTATAGCCTTTCCATTTTCATAACAGAGAGTGTTGATCCTAATAAATAGATCCAATTGCAAGATGAATAGTATTGTTAATGTCAGCCCTACATAATTCTAAAAGAGAATCTAAGTGTGAAAAGAAATTTCCAAAGGCACTAGAACTACGAGTATCACTCTAAATAGTGAAGCAAAAATGTCCCAATAAAGTTTAAAATCGTTTTCAGGTTGTACTAGAGGTATTTTATTGGCAATATTTGTAATTTGTCTGATAAATTTTTACTTACTCTCTTCTAAATTTTTCTTCACACTCTCCCATTTCCTTTCTTTTATTTCTATTTTCGTTTGCACAAGTCTATTTAGCTAATTAATGGTCAATCCTTTTTGAACTTTTGTTTATTTATAAGCTAGCAAACTGGCTCTACAAAATTATAAATAATATTTTTACTTGTCTGAGGCCTTATCATCTATAAGATTTAAATGAGTAATGTTCAAATTCTACAATCTTTTTCTTTAAAAGGTAAGTTTTTCCAAAAAACGTCTTATAAAAAAGAATTGCATTATACTAGAACCTGTGCTGATTGGTTTTTCTTATTTTACATACTTAGGTGCAATGGCATGATTTTATTACACCTCGGAAGTGATAATATTATTCAGATTAGTTTGGGATGTTACCTTTGGTGTTCTGAAATCGTAGCCATCATTGCTTTTTTCACTTTTTGTTTGACTGTGAATATGGTGATTGTTATTGATTGATAATTATCTATGAGTATCTCTTAGACAATGATCTAAATATTCTTGTTCGAAGTCATAATTTTGTACAGCTCTGAGTTCTAAATCCAAATCAATATTGAATTTATGATTCTGTTCAATTTTTTACATTTAATAATAAATCTTCAATTCATAGAAACTACAAGAAAATCGCATATTGAAGAACACTATTATTGTAGACAAGTCTGTATAATCTAATTGTCAAGTCAATAAACAACTTGTGATTTTGATTTTAAATGGATTTAAGAAAAGCGAATAGTTATTTTGAATTGAAACAACAAATTTTATATCTTAATTAAGCCTTTACATAAAATACATTTTCATTAATTTTGATTGAAGAAAAAAATAATAAAGTACATCATTGTTTGTTCCAAATTGTTTCAAATTTCAGATTTATCCAAAGGAGTTTATTAAATTTTATATTTATAATATATCTTTAATAGCATTTTATAATTAGTAAGCCTCTATAACTTCGTTTTATTTTATTTGAAACATAATTATTGTAAATATTATATTTTTTTGTTTAATGTCATAATTGTTAGATTCGGTTTTACGGCAATAACGATAAAGGAAGTAAGTAGCTTTATTATTAAGAGTCAAACTGTAAAAGGAATTTTGAAATTCCGTTAAGACTATGGCATCCCGCAATCTGATAACAATAGCGAAGACGCATCCTTTGAGCCTAACTTTACTTCCAATAGAAAAATCGAATTGTAACAGCCAGAAAAATAGTCTTTTAAAGGTGATTGTTTGAGTCCTGATCCTGATGATGACGATGACAGTTTAGCTATACTACAAATTGAAACAAAATAAAAAGTTAATTTATGGGTTCATGGGGGATTAAGGATTATGTTTTATATAACCAAATTTAGTAAGCAAATGAAAACCTATTCAACAGAAGTAAAGTTCAAATCTTTAACCAACAACATTCTCAATTTGATATCAGACTCTGCTAGTGATGCTGATATTTTACTTCACAAATTAAATAAAGTTGAATAAGTAATGTAATCTTTTAAATGGTTTATAAATTAAGTACCAGTACTTGATCCTGATTCTGTCATAAAGGTGCTTTGGGATATATTTGTTTTAACCCAAATAATCATTAATATTTTCTATATCCCCATGAAATTAGGGTTTGACTTTGAAAGGGAAGATTTATTGACAAGCATATTCTTGGAAACCTTGCCTTCTTTGACATTTGTATTGGATATAGTTTTGACATTCTTCACCGCCTATTATAGTTAAGGATAAATACATAGAGATAAGCAATAAATACTTAAACACTATGTAAACACAAATTTTGCCTGGGATTTAATGATTGTAATACCATTTATCTTATCTTCCTATTCAGTACCTTACACAGAATATATCTTACTACTCAGAGTGACAAAAGTTAAATCGATGATTGAATCAATCGAAGAAGTTACAAATCCTTCAAATAATATTTAAACACTTTTAGAACTATTCAAATCAATTTTCTTAGTTTCCTTTGTATCCCATTTTTGTGCCTGTTTGTGGAATCTGATTGGAGAAAATGAATTAGAATCAGGATTAAATTCTTGGTTAGTTGCCAAAGATATAACAGAAGCCAATTGGTCGACTAAATACATCCATGCCTTTTATTTTAGTACAATAACAACTTTGACTATCGGCTATGGTGATATTGTTCCTCAGACAGATCTAGAAAGAATATATGTTATAATAATGGCAATGGTAATTTGTGGATTGTTTGGTTATACTATATCTAGTATTGGCAATATTTTAAAATAATTTACTGAGAAAGAATAACAATTTAAATAGTAAATGATGCATATCAATAGCTTTTTAAAAAAGAAGAAAATAAATAAGTAGTTGATGTTGCAAGTTAGAAAATATTTTGAATATTATCTAAAAATGGAATAACAGTATAATGAATTTGGTGAAAAAATGATGAGCAATCTTGATAAGAAATTAAAAGAATAAGTCGCAATAGATATGTATTGTGAAATGCTAAAAAAGTCAAGACTCATCAGATAGACTTTATCCTTAAAGAGTGTGCATAAATTATGTTCATATGTACATGAAATTAAAGTCCCTCCAGAAGAGATTGTTGCTAATTAAAATGAATAAGCCAATAAATTAATTTTCCTATAAAGAGGTGAATTAAGTCTGATATGTATCTATATGTTCTTAGTTCATTAGGTGATCAAAAATTAAGGGAAACTACTTTGACAAAAATAGATAAGGGAAAGTTTGTTGGAGAAAAGGAGTTTATTACATAAGCAAGATATGAATATACAATTAGATCGGTTAAGTTTTGTCAAATTGCCTTTGTAAAGTAATTAATTAAAAGAATATTCTAGTTATGATGATTTTTTAAGGATTATTAGAGAAGATTCATTAGAGGAAGAAAATTATTGTATGTTGAGAGATTAGATGTTATTTACAGAGGAAAAATAAAACTATGGCGAAGTTTGTTACATATGTAAATGGACACACTAATTTAAAAAGTAAATTGATTATTTTATTTAGATGTCCATTAGTGTTTGTTCATTTTAATTAGGATAGAATAAGAAAGAAATTTATGATAACAGAAGATATGGATAGATTATATCATAAAAGGAGGTCCGATAAGAAAAATCATGAAAGAAATATAATAAGGGAACATGCATTAGCTTTGATTGTAAATGAGAATATGGTTGCAATTGATGATTTAACCGATCAATACTTAAATATGTTAGGATTTAATATGGATGATGATGAAGGTGAACGAATACTTAAATCAATAAAGACTCAAAAATCTAGTAAATCCTTAATAAGAGGATTAACAGGTTTGGAGTAAATGGATGGTGAATCTTCAGAAAATGGTGAAGATCCTGATGGAGTATTAAGTTAATCCAAAATTCAAAAATCATCTCGTTATATTCAGTTATAAAGCATAGAGCAAAAGAAAGTTAAGTTTTCTGATGTTTCTGAACCTGAACCTAAAAATTTAAGAGCATAAAACTCATTCAAAAGAAAAGCAGACAATAGACAAAGGACTTTTAAGAGATTAACCCAACTCTCCAATAATAGATTCACTAATATTTCTATAATTAGTTCTGAACAACATTATCAAAATCAATCTGGTTCTCACTAAAACTCAATTGTGCAAAGATTAAGAAAGAATAATAATAATTCTAATTCATTTACAAACTTTGATTAAGAAATGTAATATAAAACTTAATCTAAATTGGAAATTGTTGCCAGTAATGTTGTTAATTAATTGGATGAGGTCCTCTCTCATAAGTAAGGTGAGAACAAATAGCAAAGAGTTGATTTTGAATTAGATAGATATTTTATAACTACTTATTACTTCACTAACTCCAATCTGGATAAGGTTCTATAAAAACTCAAAAAGCCAAAAAAGGTATCAAGATCCGATCATCTTTAAAGCATTATTAGTAAGTCTAAAATAAAACCAAGCCTCTATAGTCCTAGGTCAAATTGATGTATTTTTATGTCCTTATTTTTCCACTAATTTCTCAAACAAAAATAACAATAAAATACAACAACTTAACTTCCATTCTTAAAATAAAATATTGTTTAATTATGATAACTTATTTTACATTTATTCTAATTATTTTTCTTTAATACAAAATAAATGTAAGTCTATCCTTTACGCATAAAGGAAGAACAGTTCCAGTAACAAAATTGGAGCAGTCAAAGATAATTAACTGACATGGGATCTCAGATCGGCATATTACAATCAAATAGTGTTTTATTAAAACAAATCGAACCCTCTAAAAGAATAATTAGAGCTAAAACTGTAAAAAATTTGTAAGATAAATCTGTGACATTTAGTATTTAAATGACAAGCTTAACCATGTCTCAACTTCAAGAATCGAGAGTGACCAAAAACCAAGAATTAAGAAAGATAATTAAAAAGGTTGGGATGGCTCAAAAATTTATAAATTAACTTCGAAATTATGCATATCAATTAAAGAATTAAAGATCTAAATATTAATATCGCAAGAGAGGTTTCCTTCCATTTTTCCCTGATGATATCGTATATTTAGTTTGGGGATTGGGAATCAATTTATGTACTGATGTAGCTGCCATTCTATATCCAATACAAGTCGCCTTTGAATATGAAGTACATTTTTACAGCTATAATAGAGGGATTTGGCCATCAATTGACATTCATCTTACAGATGATCTTTTGGGTTGATTTATTGATGAATTTTATTATTTGCCACATTAACAAGCAATTAGATTTATTGCATAATCTGAAGGATATAGCTAATTATTACATCACCACTTGGTTCGTCATTGATCTACTATCGATATTGCCTGATTTAGATTTAGACAGTTTGAAACCTATAAAATTATTACGGTTATTAAGGTTTTTTTTCTATGAAAGGAGAGTTGAATACAACCAATCAATAGAGTTGCTTAAAAAGTAACAGTCTCTAAGAGATGAGTTAATAGTAAGAGATGAGTACAATTTGGATTTAAGAATAAAGAAGTTAATGAAAATATTTTTGGAGATGATCATTTTGAATCACTTATTCGCCTGTCTTTGGATATGGATATGCAAATTTAATGTTAATTAAAATTGGATGGAACGATAAGATATTAAAAATGCTAACGATTACACTAAATTGATAGATGCATTCTTTTGGGCCTATTAAACAATTACAGTTATTGGATATGGTGATCTTGAGGCTCATAATTTTGATGAATATCTACTTAGTGTAATTTGGATGTTAATTGGTGTTGGTTATTATTCCTTCACTATTGGTAACATTACTTTTATATTGATCTAATCAAATCCCAATCAGGAGTTTGATGATTAATTGTTGAATTTGGAAGACATTACTATAAATATGTCTGAAAGAATTTAGAATGATTGGATCAGATTTACGAAGTTTAACATCTAAAGAAATCCCTTCTGGGCAGAGGAATCTAAAAGAATCATTTCAGAACTTCCTCATCAATTAGCATTATATACTGTTGCTGCAGTCCATAAGGATATTTTGAGAACTATTCCCTTCATGTCGAATGATATCAATTTCTCAGGGTCCATTCTGCCTTTTAGCACTTTGGTCTGCTATTAAAAATATGAAACTGTCTATCACATTGGTCAAAGTGCAAATGATTTCTTCTTTCTTATTAAAGGAGACATTAGATTGTGTGACAATAATGGGGAAACCTTAGTTAGAGTTATGGAAGGTACTTGCTTTGGAGAAATCGAATGCATTGAAAGCAGTTTAAGACGTTGGAGTGCTCATGCTATACAAGAAAGTGTTGTTTTAATGTGTTCATCTGATAACTTTTCTTAATTCCTTGAAAAAGAGTCGCCTTAGTTTTTTGAGTTGCAATAGATGTATAAAAGAAGGAAGATACTTATTATTGAATAAGCAAGAATTAAAAGATGTAATCAAATCTCTTATCATACTAGAAAAACAATAAAAATTGAAGAGAGGATCTGCTATTAATGATGGTCATCAATCTAATATGAAAAGAGAATCTACTTAGCATCTCGAGGAACTACGATTTAAAATTGATTTACGAGAGTATCCAAGTGTCTAATAAGATTTAATGCTCTAAATTGTAGGATAAAAATAAGCTAGAAATAAAATTATTAGAGAGAAGCTTATCAATGTATATAAACTATATCATATAGGCCATAAATAAAATAAGATATTATGTTTAAAGATCATCAAAAATTAGGAGAATTTCCTTACATGATCCAGATTATAAGATAATTCGTAATTTGATAAATAATAGGATCAAAGATTGTACTTGGGAGAAAGTAATTTAGAAAAAAGTGGGATAAAAATTATTGAAAAACTTTGAAAAGGTTCGAGAGGATGAAAACTTAATCAAGGCTTTTCTGTTAAAGAGTAAACAAGAATCAACTGAAAGACTCTCAAGAAAAAAATTAATTCATATTATTAGAAATATTTTAAAATTTCAAAAGAAGGAATTTAAGAATAATAAGATTGATATATTTTACAACAAATTTCATTAAATAATCTATGAAAATGCTAAGAATGAAAAGTAAGAAGAGAGAAGGAAACAAAAACAGAAACTTGAAAGCATTAAAAAATGTGGAGCTATGGGAGATTAAATACAAAATTTAAGTTAATAATTAAAAAAATTAGTTAATCTATAAACGTCTTTATCGATGGCTAAATTTGAAATCAATTAATAAGAATATGAGATTGATTGTCTGATTGCAGACATTAAAAATGAGCTATTGTAGGTTAAAATAGGGGATTGAACTTAAATTTACTTGGTTTGACTAAATGTTTTAAAATATTAATATTTATAATGAAATTATTAACATTACTATATAACAAAATTAATGAGTTAATTTTTCAAACATAGAAGTCATTTATACTTTTTACTTAACACCAAATTTCTTGATACTTTTCTTTTATATCAGTGTCTGAATTTTTAAAGTTTTCTTTCAATATTATTGAGTTATCATGATTTTAATAAAATATGTTGACATTATTCTTTGGAATAACCAAATGAATCCATTAATCATCCTAGTATTTGACTGATATTTTACTAACTTATAGAATAATATTACTCCTTAGTTTGGTTGTCATATCTATAAACGGTTGGACAATAAAAAGAGTCTACTTATGGTTTATGATAGTTTAATGGGGCCAATGCCTGAACATTAGTTTATTTGGCTTTTTCCTTATTGTAATTGATCATTTCATTGACAAAACTTTCTTTCGTATTTAAGATGGCACGATAGGTTGTATCATAAAATTTATAATTATATTCTGATTATATATTCCATCAGGTCTGTTATTCCTTTAATTCTTCCATTTTGAACTTACTCCAAAATTCCATATTGTTGATCAGTGTTATTCAAATGTCTTATGAGGGGTTTCTCATTAGACATTTGTGGAATGGATTGTAAATTCTAAGCTGAAGTATCGAAGTTAATAGTGAAACAAGCAAAAATAGTTAATATAACCACAAATGAAAATCCTAATTTGCCCAAACCTCTATTCTTAGAAATAGAAATTGGAGCTTCTTCTTCAAGGACAAATTATTTGCATCCACAATTAATACAAATTAGACTAGATTACTAGGATTGTAAATGTGAATTGAGCTTCTAGACTTCTTCTAATTGTTATTGTAAATAACTAACTTATTCAGTTAATTCCTGGAGACAATTAGATTATTTATTGAAGTCCTCTTCTAATTTTTAGAGGTAGGCCTTCTTCCTATCTCTAGAATTTTAGGCAGATATTCTATTTCGAATCATCTGCAAAGTTTTTTTATCTGTTGTTTCATTCGAAAGCTTTTTATCATCCTAATTAGTTTTGTTAGGAATCTGGCCTTTTCTTGCCTTCTTTATTTTCTTTTCGACGCCTTTGATACATGAAGTGTTATACCTTCCTGTGAGTGGGAGGACTAAGAACCTGTGGATCCAGAAAAGAGAGCAGGAACAATATTGGATGATTCTGTAGAACTTTCTAAATCCACTTATTATTGATAAAGTTTCTAGAATATATTCGATTGGTCATTCTCTTCTTAATATTTCTGTTACAACTCTACTATTAGTTATGAAAGTGGCTTCTCTTTGATTTATGTTAACATATTACAATATTATATTATTTATTATAAAGCAAGGAAAACCATTAGACCTTATTACGCGGTTGTTTATATTTTCTCTAATATAAGGAATTTAAATTTTAATAAATATGAATAGATTAAATAAGTTTGCATTTAGCAAAAAGCTAAATAAAATTATTCAGACTGAAGCTGATAGGGAAAGGATAAGAAAAAATGTTGGAGAATCTGGAACATACGAAGAGAATGGGAAGGCTTATTATTATAGGGATGGCAAAATAAACAAGTTAGATTATGTAAAGAATGAAGAATTGAAATTGCAAGCCAAATTAGATCCTTACATACAAGACAAGGAGACAAAATAATAATTGCCCTATTTTGTGATAAGTGGACGTAATAGCATTTCTAATATTTCAGTTTTGGCTGTCTTCTTGGGATCTGTATTTTTGAGATCACTAAAGAAACCAAAGAAGCAAACAGAAGAAGTCGATAATTCCAATTACGAAGCCAACTATTAATAGGCTGTAAAAGAGTAGGAGGAGTATGATGAGATGATCAAACAGGAGAAATTGAAAAAGTTTAGGGAGTAAGAGAATAATGATATGAATAAAGACATGAAAAAAAGAGATTTTAAGTGAGTATATAATTTTATAAATGAATGGCACTAATATAATATTTTCAGCCTTAAATTCATAACCAGAGAATCTTCAAATTGAATTATAAGCAGAACATCATAATGAATATGAAAAGGAGTATTTGGAGGCAGATTTAGTAACAAGAATAAAAACTAGAAATCCCAGTACAAATAATTTCACAATTAAATCAACAACAAATATAGACACTCGCAGGAATTGTGAAGTAATACTTTACACATTACTAAGCCATTAATCAATCAAGATGAAGATAAGAAAACAAATACATCCAAAAAGACAGGCACTAATTTCATGAAATATTTTTATCTGAAACGATTCATTTAACGCATCAGAAACAGCAGAACTAAGTTGTCTATTGTCAATGAAAATCATATCAAATTAATTAACGATAATTCGAGTGACAGGTATTATCAATTTTATTTAGTTAAGTGATGATGTAAATTCTTAAGCTAAACAATCATCCGCATTTTCAAATACGAAATGTGACCAAATTGTTTCGTGACAATACACTCTCCTTCTATGAACATCCATTCATCCTGTGGATAAGAGAAAAATATTAATTAAGTAGGAAGACTATTTATGAAATTTTATCCAAAATGCCATAAATACATCCTGAATCACTGAAGAAAATCGTTTGGGATTACTGGACCATTCTTTTTAGGTTGCTCCTATTAATATTGATTCCATTAGAAATTGCCTACAATCCACAAATCTTATTTGACAAACTGATGGGCCTCACTCTTACTATCATCATTATCTTAATTATTGACAACGTATTAAGAATGAATACCATTTGTTACTCTAGTGGATAGGCAGTTTATGATAGATGGCAAATAATATAAAATAATCTAAATCTACAAACAATGTCAGACTTCGCGTTAATATTTTTATTAATCTACTTTATTAATAATTAAGGTAATTAATTTTAATATTTAATGCTTTTAATATCACTTACGCAGCACTTTTAAATCAATTAAACATTATAGAAAAGCGAAGAATCTCAATATTTCACAAAAAAATAAAAAGCATTTATCAATTTATTTAAATTGCTAATCTACTTGATCTATGTACTTCACTTGTTTTCTTGTATATGGTTCTTCAATAGTTCATTAAATTACGGTAATTCCTGGATTACCTTGAAAGAATTAGATCATCAATAATGGCAACTCTAATATTTAGAAGCCTTCTATTTTGCCATTGTCACCATGCTCACTATTGGATATGGTGATAATGTGCCTAAAACTTGGAATGAAAAAATTGTTGCAATATTCTTTATCCTGAGTGCTTGTCTATGGTTTTCCTACAGTATTAATGCCATTGGAACAATAATAAAAGAAATCAATCAGCATTTCATGGAAAGAAGCAGAAAGATTAGAGTTATCAATAGATATATGCATCAAAGGAATATCCCTTTCTCCTTGCAATACAGAATTAGGGAATATTTGACTTTTAGATGGAAGGAGGAAGCAGAGATTGATTTGTAATAAGAAGAAACCTTATTAAATGAGCTATCTGAAGAATTGAAATAGGATTTAAAAAAATAAGCTAATAATGTATTTTTCAAACATTGTGATTTTCTATTTAAGAATTTCAGTTTGGAGTTATAAAATTCCCTATCTCCTTTTATTAAAAGAAAAATAATACAACCTTAGAATACATTCTCCATTTACACTCTTAGCGATGTCTATTAACCTCATCTGTGCTTTGTAGAATAGGGTTAATTGCAATATCAAAATGTTCTTAATGTTTCATTGAAGAGTGTTTAGAATCAAGGATAGTTTTTGGAAGTTTCAGAATTCATCGAAGAAAATGATAATGCCTAAACTTTTAAAGCAATTGGGTATGTGAGTTTACTTGTTTTAAGCAAGGTAAATTTATTAATTAATATTTTCAGTCTGATTTTACAACAGTAATTAGATAATACCCCAAAGATTATTAAAAGTATTGTAATTTAAAAGATTAATTTATTCTTTAAGTTAATAGTAAAAATTTAATATTCGAATAATATTGTGCAGCCTGCAATATTAATACTCATGGTTTGAAAGAGTGTCCAAACTTATTTATAAGCATTGATAGAGAATTAATAATCAAAAGACATTAATATTCATAAGATTAGCAGAGAAGATTTAATAAGAGATCTAAAAAAAGAGGAAAGACATCCTTTTCAACTAGGTGTGATAGAGAGATCATAGAATAATTTGCAATTTACTTTTAAAATGAATAACCAAAATTAGTTTAGAATTAGTTATCAAAATAATTGATTCAAGAATAGGAATTTGACGAGGCTAAATCTGATATTAATGACTAGTCTCCAATAAATAAGACATTTCATTTTAAGAGATAGGAATCTATTTAATTACCTAGATGCTCTTTGTAAAGTGGAGAAGCAATTTCAATTTAGAGGTAAATAAATATCAACGACTCTATTGCTTCAAGTGATAATTATTCAATCTAAAATTTGAAATTGTCAACCAGGTAATAATGCATGCTTACTGCCAATAAGTTTATGAGTGCAAAACTATCAAAATACAAAAAGATGTGTAATTAATAAAATCCAAAAATTGCTTTGATTGATACTGATGAATCATTAAAGATTGACATTTAGGATTGTATTTATTAGAATATTGAATTATTGTACCATAAAATCTTCAATGAAGGTGCTTCAATACCTTTAGATAGATCAGTATAGGATCTTTAAATTTTATACTTTTCACTTAAAGCATAATAGGGCGTTGAGTAATTTGAGGTTGTCAAAAATTTTAGTTTTTACATGGTTCATCATAATATCGAAAACATTATATTATAAACAGAGCAGAAATTTCATGCTTTGCTTTTGAAGCCTATCAATTAACTTATTAGATTTATGTACTATCCATATGAGTTTATTGTGAAATTTTAAAAGATCAAAACGTAGAGATTGAAATTGTTGAACATTTACAAGAAACGATCTATTAAGACTTTGAAATAGAAACAATCAAAAATCAATGATTTGGTAAGGAAATGGGAGACTCCTAGAAAGTCCTATCGTTTGAGTGTGATAATACCAAATAATGAATAATGAATGATTATATTGTTTTATTGTTACATGAAAGAGTATTGAATAATATTAATTATAAATAAAATGTATTAAGGTAGGATGGATGACAATCAATGGATCAACGATGATCACATGGATCAGGTATGAGTATGTGTTAAAATAAAAGCCTGAAGATATTGGGTTTGACAAGGAGGAAATAGAAAGAGTGGATTTATTTGTGAATAAACCATTCGATATTCCCAATTTTCCTAAGAATGAATAAATAAAGCAGGCGGGAATCTCTTCGCATATGTTTGTCATCATAACTAGATAAAATAACATATATCGATGGAGACCAGAGAAGGATGATTATTGTGTGTAGATGGAATTGCCAGAAGCTCAACAAAGTGGTTTGACAGGAAAATTGCTAGGAGGGAAAAAAAATGAAAGGAAAGACATTATATTGGAGAAATTATTTTTATTTGGGCCACATGCTTTGATAGTATCAGACAATGGGGAAAGCTTTTACATAAATTTCAAATCAGATAAGATCCGATCAATGGAATAATTAAGGGGGAAACAGATCAAATGCATAGGTTGGGATGATCAATGCGATGAAACTGACACTCATGAAATGTTACTAGCAACAAAGGATTCAAAAATCTATATATATAGAATTGATTGTAGACAAGCAGAGGTAAGAGAGGAAGAAGCAAAATTGATGGTCACCATTCCAAATGAGAGATAAATCAATCAGATAGAACAATTCACAGTGATGTATGATAATAATAAATACGCTTGTGTTGTTGTTTCAACTAACTTTAGTTTGTTCTTCTTTTATGGATTAAATAGTCTTAGCATTTTATTTACTAAATACAAAGATCCTCAAAGTGTTGCCAGAGCAGAATCATAGCCATCTCGTTATCATACTAGTTTATTGGCTGTATCTCAGAGGAAAAACTCATTTCTGTTTACAAATGGCAAATCATTAAATTTATTCACTCTTCCTGAGAAGGATTTGAATGAATCAATATTACAATAAGCAAAACAATTGAAATCAGTTAACAATTATTCAGAGATGCCAGTTCAAATTGGATTAACAGACTTTCATTACTTTATTTTAAGTGCTGATGCTTTGACCATTTTCAGCAAAATCACTTAATAGGAAGTCTAAAAATATGAACTCAGAGGTATGGGTAGAATAATGGGTATGTAATATGAGAGAGATGGCAAAGTCTTTTGGATCTATTCTGAAAGGACATTTTGTAAGATTGAAACTGAAGATGAAGATAAGGAAGCATGGAAATTGTTGATGGATTAAAAAATGTACATTGAAGCTTATGAAATATCGAACAAGTATAATTCAGAATATACCAAATATATTGCTGGTTTATGTGGAGATCAACTATTCACTTAGAAAAGATATAATGAAGCTGCATCCTATTACTAAAAATCATCAAAAAACTTTGAAGAAATATTTCTGAAATTTTTGAATTGCGATGACATGAAAGCTAGAATTGGATTAGAATAGTATCTAAAACATCTAATCAATAATTTGAAAGGAGAAATTGAGAGAACTCTTGTATTGGGATGGCTTGCAGAATTATTGATATATAGATTAAATGAATAAGAGAAGTTAATACACGAAACCAGGAATTATGAGAATGATGCTTAGAGAGACAAAGATATTAAAGAGAAGAAATAATAATTAAACTAATTAAATGAAGATCTAGATCATTTCCTCAAAACATATAAGTTAGAATTGGATTAGAATATAGTTTATTAAATTATGGTGAGTCATGGCAGATTACAAAATTGTGTTGAATATGCTAAACTAAATAATAATTATGAGATGATCATTTAACATTATATTAATGAAGAAAACTATAAGGAAGCTATTAAAAATTTGAATAACGTGAAAGAAAAGAGTTCAATGGAAATCATCTAAAAATATTCATTCATTCTTATGAAACATGAACCAGAATAAACATTAGATATTTTATAAAAGAATATTAAGAAATTTGATTAAACTAAAATTATTGGTGGTCTTATGAACATTCCCGTAGAAAAAAGGGAATTTGGAATAAGATTCTTAGAGCATTTAGTAAATAAATTAGATTGTGCTGATAAAAGTATACACAATATCTTGATATTCTTCTTAACTTAACCATTATAGAAAGACAAACTTAATTATTATTTGTAGGAATAAGAAGCATTATTAAAAAAGACTGAAAAGGTAAATTTTGATTTAGATTTTGCATTAAGACTATTCAAATAGGCAAGTTGTATAGATGCTCAAATCACTATTTATGGAATGATGTCTCTTTATACTGAATCAGTTACATTAGCGTTAGATTATGGTATGATTGAGAAGGCTAAAGAATATGCTCAAAAACCAGAGGATGATGATGAGAAAAAGAAGAAATTATGGATGATGATTGCTGAAAGATTGTTATCCTAAAATTAAGATATTGATAAGGTCATTGAACTTACAAAAAATAGTTAATAAATTAAAATTGAAGATCTTTTGCCTCATTTTAATGAAAACATCAAGATTGAGCAATTCAAAGATGAGATTTGTAATTCTCTAAAAAAGTATAATGAAGAAATTGAAAAATTAAAGGATGAAATGAAAAAGCTATCTGCTAACTCAGATTAATTAAAGAATGAATTGAAAATGACAAAAAATAAGTTCTTAATTATTGATACGTAACAAAAATGTGATCATTGTGCTAAACAACTATTCAATGATACATTTTATATTTTCCCATGTAATCATGGATTTCATAAAGTAATATTATATAAAATAAATAGGATTGTATAGTTACAAAGATTAAATCATTGCCTCAGCATTAAACAAATATTCCATCGATAGAGACATATGACATGACGATGTAATCTATTTTAGTAAAATCAAATCCTACTCAGAATGCAAACAAAAAATAATAAGGTAATTGATTAGTTTATCATCAGATGGGTAATCCTTCTTTTAAATAATGAATATCTTCGGAGGAGCAAAATAAGAATAGAGACCATAATCAACATTAACTCCAGATGAAGAGAAATTATTGAGAGAAACAAAAGAAAAGTTCGATAAAATTGTTGCTAGTGAATGTATATTTTGTGGACCTAAGGTTGTTGACTCCATTCAATTTGGATTTGAATTGGATGCAAGAGAGAAAGATACATGGAGTATATGAATAAAATTATATAATAAATAATTATTAAATAAATGTTTATTGTTTGAATACTCAAAAATTTACATGAACTAAAATGAATAGTCAAATTAAATGGCTTCTCCCTTTAAGGGCATGAATTAACAATTTTAATCAGAGATTCTGGAAATTCAGAATTCATCCGATTTTCTTAAAGCATGCAGCACTTTTCTGATTGATTTTGTTACACTAAAGAAGACTCCTAAATCTTGATATTTCGGTTTACTTTAGTACTAACCTCCTAAATTTCTGATATTTATAATGATTTTCCAATTATTGTTTGCTCTTTGAATTTTCCATGGGCTTTTTATTTAATCATTTCAACATTTAATATATTGATACAATGAATGCTCCATCTAATATTCCAAAATTCTCATTAAAATCGAAAACTAAAGTTCCTTTCGTTTTGACAAAGTATCTAGCCGAATTTTTCAAGTATATAAATTCCTTCAATATTTTAATCAAATTCAACAACATTTTCTTTAATTAAAAACTTTATATTATTACTATTTTTTTTTATAAAAATTTCACAACAGCATTATGAGATTAGTGTAGACTAACTTAAAAAAAATCTGCATAGACAATTTGAGATTCTATTGATAAAAAGACTTAAATTGTAGCCAATCATACCATTAAATCTCCTTCTAAGGCTATTCAGATTGTATTTTGATCTAATATCATTAATTTTGATGTCTGATTTATTTATAATAAAAATTGATATTTAGAAGTACTTAAATTGATTATAAAATGTAAAAGGCTAATAAATGAGGTACCCTTAATACTCCATAACGCAATTCGCCTCAAGAAATATAACTTCTACAATTTTTTTTCATTTTATTAGATCATTTAAAAGATGTGTATCTGACTAAATTAATCTCACTCATACTCCTAGTATGTTAATAAAGCAATCTATATTGATTATAAATCCTTTTACTTAGTAATTTATCATTTATTAAATGTGTTAATTAGCTTATTTACTACTTTGGCTATCATACAATAATCTATTCATTTTTGATTTATAAGCAAAATTTTTAATATTATTATTTTAGTTTATGTATTTTTTGAATACTTTTTTAATTCTCTATAAAATTTACTCATATTATATGACCGTCAATTTAAATAAGTTTTCTTATTTCAATTTATGTATAATTTGAAATTCAAAGATACTGATTTAGCGGTTCTCAAATGGCTTGATATCTATCTATCTACAAAATTGATTTATTTTTAACTCAACTTAAATCTCTTATTATTCCATTTAGTTTCTAGATTAGCAATGGAACAGTGATCCAAAAAAATTCTGATGCTTCTGTCTTATGGTTTGATTGGATTAGAGGAGATTTAATAATATTTAAATTAGTGTGCTATTATTCATAAAATGATTATATATGTTCTAATAGTAAATGAATAATTAACTGCTTTGCTGTTGTAAATAAAAATGTTATATTATTTATTATGGCATTCTTTTGAATATTGTTATATTGACTAAGTTAGATTATTTTTCAATTAAATTAATGAATACCGAATAAATCGTGATATCCTTTTTCTTAATACATACCTTACTGTCTGTTGTTGTTTATTGTTTAGAACTTGATATTTTTAAACTAATAATCGAAGGATTGCTAATGGCTCTGATACTACTATTTTTTATATTTAGGACGGAGAAGAAACTAGTTTTCATTATTTAAACTCTTTTATCCTTCAACATATTCATAATAGGGCTTGTTTAAATAAATTCCTCATACATTTTTATACATTTTGTTGGATGGTTCATTGTAACTCGAAAATTCTTGAAAATTCATAAAGCTGTACGGTTTCTGTACTCAATAATTATAGTAATCGGCTCGGCATATTAAATTTGGAGACTTTGGAATAGCAATACTTATCAAGCAATCATACACATGCAAGGAGTATTGAGCTTCTCTGCTTGTTATTGTTATTACGAATATCAAATTCATATAAAATAGAACAACACAGAAACGTTTCAAAGCTCTCAAAAAGTCATAAGTGAAGATTTTCATAGATTTTTAACTACTCGAAGATCAATGAATACTTTATGCTCTGATTTTGTTGTATTGGATATCATTCCCCATGGTGTGGTGTTGTTGACCTGTAAATATGAATTCCAACACATAAATGAAAAGGCCATAGATTAAATATATGGTTTGACTGGGATCAAACCAAATGAAGATAATGTTGTAGATCTAATAAATTCAGTTTTAAAAGGGTACTCAATTATATTCATATAAAAGTTTATTAAGCAAAAAAAATTCACCCAAAAACAAGTCTGAAAATCAGGTTTCTAAATTGATCAGCCCCTAGAACATAATAAATATTGACTCTTCTGAAGATGTCAAACCCACTCCATTGGAACATATCATCAGCAATCAAAAAGGATCTTCAATAATGACTGTAACATTTGCTAACTATTATTAGAGTAAATTGATTACGACATATCAATCCTAGGGGAAGATGAGAAGTGTTAAATTCTAAATTCAAAAACAAGAACTACCAAATATTGTAATAATTTTAATCTTAGATGTTACATCCAAAATTGAAAGACAAAATCAAGAAAAAAAATACAAATTCCAACATTAACTCTTGAACTCCTTTTCTCATGAACTCAGAACTCCTCTCAATTGTTCATAACAATTATTGGAAAGTCTGATTGTAAAACAATAGGATGAAGAGTAATTAAAGAGTTTATATCAGATCTTTCATTAGAATGATCTACTGCTATGTTAAATCAATGATATACTAGATTATGCTTCCATGGAAACTGATAACTTTCACTCTTTTTATTCTGTATTTACTCTTGATCAACTATTCAATTAATGTCATGAAATGTATGAATAAGGATGTAAAATGAAAAATATTAATTTAAATATCAAAAACACTTTTTATCCTCCAATTCGTAATGATTGCATGAGAATCAAATAAGTGTTAGTTAATCTTATTAACAATTCAATCAAATTCTGTTCATTAAATGGAATAATAACTATTCAAGCAAAAGAAAAAATTAAGAATGACAAGAGAATGGCCAAGCTCAAAGTCAAAGACAATGGTGTTGGATTCAGTTCATCATAATTAGCATTAATAAATCATGTTCTAGAGTAGAATAATGACTATTTTGATGCTACTACTTCAATGTGTATTGGATTGGGTTTAAAAGTAGCCAATAAACAAGTGAAATCATTTATCAAAGGATATAATAGATTGAAGATTTCGTCTATTTAAAATACAAAAACTAGTGTCTCATTTTACATTGAAGATTAAATTGATGAATAGGATCTGGATTGTCAATCGAGAGCATCCAGAACTCTGTATGGCAATTTGTCGACTATGACCAATTCAGAATATAAATTTATATCCGCTTTGAAATGTAAATGTCCTAAGATATTGGTTGTTGATGACATTCCTTTTAATCATTAAGCCTTACAAATCATGTTGAGTGCTTTTAATTAAACATGTGATCATGCCTTTGATGGGTTAGAAGCGTTCCAATGTGTACATAAACGACTTCAAACAAATAAGTGTCATCCTTATTATTAATTAATTTTAATGGACATCGAAATGCCCAAAATGAATGGATTTGATTCGGCCATTCAAATTACTGAATTACTAGAAAAAAACAAATATCAAACTAAAATTGTTATGTGCACAGCATATGATAATTTGGAAAGTAGATAAATTGCTAAATAATGTATGATAGATGATTATTTACCAAAACCTATTTAGAGGAGCAATTTGCTTAATATTCTAAATATATTTATTAAATGATATTGTATCTATTAATTTCTAATTTTATAATAAAAAAGGCCTTTCATCATATCTAAATTCTAAATTAATTAAATTAATAATGATTAAACATAAATTAATAATATTTTAGATTATATGCAATTCTACAGCAGCGATACTGATCAGTGCATTTTTCAAAGAATACATATCCTTATCAATATATGGTTCCATTTTAATATTTACGATACTATTTAGTATTTTGAAATCATCGAAGCTCCAATAAGCCATACAATTTATACTAATACTTCTAATTTAAGAAAACTCCAAATATAATTAAATGGAATTTTAACATTTTCAGTATTAACTGAGTTGGATTTATTTGGCTTATCAACTGATCTCAGACAATCCGAATTTCGAATTACCCATTTTATTGGAATTACTATTTTCATCCATAATTAAGATAATTATTTCCTTCGAAACCTACAATTCCACTTTTTATTACAACAGCACCACTGCCTTCATCTATGCTCTGGGTCTCATTATCTACTTCTATTAAAAAAGCAAGGAATCATTCATCAAATCATTAGACTTAGAATTAGTTACTCCCAAAATTAATGAATTTCAAAGAATATTCACAAACAAAACATAAACTCCAAGAAATCATGAAATATAAATTTTTGACCACTTGCCAATTGGTTTGGTTGTATTGACACAAGATCATGATTTCCAATATATGAACAAACGAGCAAAAACCCTATTGGAAAGAGCTTCAAATACTCAAATTACAGAAGACAACGTCGTAATTATAATAAAAGAACTACTAAAGAGGTACGAATTCAATACATATTGAAGATGCATAAATGAAAAAATAACTAGTGTAGGAAACCTATCCAGACCCAGTTAAACGAGAATCCACCAATTATTATCCAAATTCAATAATAAACAAAGAGTGAGTCTGCCCCATTTAGATGATCACTTTATAAAATAAATTGATCCAATCAATAGTATATTGCATTAGTATAATGATTTTGTTCCATACTCATAATAATTCATGGATGTAATATATTATATATTTAAAGAACAAAGATAGAATTCAATTCAATTATAAAGGCAAAAAACGATGCTTTCGATTTCATTTTATGAAGCATCACTATTAAATTGTAATCAATCTATTAGATGAGACCTCTAAAATTGGAAAATTAGACTAAAAAAGCAAACATATTTTTTAGAATTAATTACTAAATTCGTTCTCGCATGAATTAAAAACACCATTAAATTGTATTTAATAACTGCTTGAAGTTATTATGTTGAAAGTTAATACAGAGTTATAAGAAAATATTTTAAAACCAATAAAGTGGTAAACTGATTTATTACTATGTTAAATAAATGATATTCTTGATTATGCATCATTGGAAATCAATGATTTCAATTGGGATTATTCATTGTTCTACTTGGAAGACTTATTTTAAGAGTGCATTTCAATATATTTCTAGGCTTGTAAGCAAAAAAATATAGAACTAAAAATAGAATCGAGTTGTTAAAATAAGCATATGATTAATAATGATTATAAAAGATTGAAGCAGGTGATTGTCAATCTTTTAAATAACTCAATTAAATTTACTTAATAGAGTGGAGAAATAGTTTTAAAAGTATAAGAGTTAAAACATAATATGTATTTAATTTAAGTAATTGATTCTGGACTAGGTCTATCACAAGAATAACTTTGCTAATTACAAATTAATATTGAATAAGACAATTTGGAAAATGAATACAATTAATTTCATGTTGGCCTAGGATTAAAAGTAGCAAATAGATTAATTACAGGATTGTCATCCTTAAAAAAAGGCTTAAAAATAAATTCAACTCTTAATAAAGGGACCATAATCTCCTTTACAATAGAGGATTTCTTAGAAGATAACAAGAGTTAAGCATCAGAAACTCAATTAAAAGATTTTTAACTGAGTAGATAGTTAAGTCAACTAACAACGAGAGAGTTTAAATTTATCAAATAAATAATTTGTAAATGTAATAAAATTTTGATTGTTGATGATATCCCTTTCAATCACCATGCTTTAAAAATGATCTTAAATGAATTAAATTGTCAAGCAGACAGTGTTTACGATGGGTAATAAGCGATTGATCTTGTTTAATAGAGAATGAAGAACAATAAATGTCATCCATTTTATTCGTTAATTCTTATGGATATCGAGATGCCCAAATTGAATGGGTTTGAAGCATCTCTTAAAATTAGGTAGATTCTTGGGGATTCGACTGATTAGACTACAATAGTGATGTGTTCAGCTTATGATAATTAAGAGTGTGTCAAGATGAGTTAGAGGTGTTAAATGAGTGATGTATTGCCAAAACCAATTACCAAAGGAAGCTTGCAGTATATCTTAGAAAAATATTTAAGATGATATTATTTGAAATACTAACATAATTAGACTGTAAGCTTCATATTTATTTGTTTATTAAAAATTATTATACAGTTTAATTCAATTATGGATAATTCATTCTTGATATCAATAGCTTTACTTATAAGCGGAATTCTAATCTTGATATAAATTATAGTTTTCAACTCGGACATGAATAGATTACAATTGACAATAACCATTAGCTAAATAATTGCAAGCAGTGTCTTCCTAATTAAACCTTATCTAAGAAGCAAGATGGTTTTTCTCATTTCTTTTATCAACGCATAACAAATTTTATAGTAGACAAATTTTGCCTTCTTATTTATTGTGTTAACTCAGATCTTAAGTTGTGAATTGGAAATAGAGAAGGAATTAAACATTGCTTTTAGGGTGTTACTTATAATCTCATAAATATTAAGGGTAATATTGTTTTGGGAAAACGACATATTTAAGGGAGCTCAGTTGATTTTTTCAATGCTTTTTTCCTGTATTTTGTGGCTGAAATCCTACTTGCAATAGAGAAAAAAGAAAAAAAGCATTATCTAAACATCTCGTGATCACAATAATAATGTATATTAGAATTCTCAGACTAACTTGATAGTATCATTAAAATAATTAGATAGTGAATTAGGAATCCTTGATAATCTGCCCATTGGAATCATGATACTAGATTTACAACAAAGTATTAAGTATTTAAATACATTTGCAAAACAATATTTTAAGAACTTTGATTGTGAAAAACATGATGAAATTAGTCTTCAATTAAAACATTAATTAATTAAGTAATATTTCTATTTCAATTAGAATGTTGCTTGATCATATAGGAGGACCTGAAGATTTAAATAATGTTAATGATAATTAAAAATCAAACAGGCCTTTCTTATCAAGCATTAAAATAGATGACCCCGTTTAAATCATTTTAGACTAAAAGGAGGAGTAGTTTAATCTAGTTTATAAATATAAGGAGGTTAACAAAAATGGAAGTATTAAATTTAAAGTAGTTAAAATAATACTTATACAGTAATTCTTTAAATCTGAAGAAGTTACAATTGTGTTGATTTAAAATGTGTCCAGCAAAGAAAAGAAAAAAGAATTAACCTAATTTATTAAATTTTAAAATAGCATTCTAAATTCATTTTCACATGAATTAAGAACACCATTAAATAGTTCATTATAATTATTAGAAGCATTATCAACAAAATTGAGTGATTAAATGAATCAAGAGTATGTTTAGCCTATATTAAATTCTAATAGGTTACTGCTTTTTTAAATTAATGATATCCTCGATTATGCAGCCATGTAATCAAATTAATTCATTCATCATTATTCTTTATTCAACATTTAGGAGGTTGCTGATTATATAAAATTGTTGTACTCTTCAGCTTGCTCTCTTAAAGGGATAATTTTAACTTGTAAAATTAAATTAGAAAATTATTTCGTTAATAATGATAAACAACGAATCATACAGGTTCTCATAAATTTATTAAATAATTCACTAAAGTTTTCTCCTTCGAATACTCATATAAGGGTTTAATTTAAAAAGAAAAACAAAAGTTCTCAAAAATATATTAAAGTCAAAGTCAAAGATTAAGGATTTGGAATATCAGAGTAAAAATTAAGTTTTATTTTTCGAGAATTGCACTCAGTATCTTCTGAAGAAAGTGGCTACTGGATGACTCAAAATTAATTGTCGTCAGGTATAGGATTGAAAATGTCCAATCGCTTAATTCAAGGATTGGCATATTCTGAACCTAGAAAAAATACATTCTCTATAAAATCTGCACTTTAGTAATATACATGCATATCCTTTTATATTTCAGATATGATCATAATAAAAGAGGAAAACGAATCATTTTCAAATGCTCAAAGTGATGATGCGCTTTTTATTTCAGTGCACAAGAGCTTGGATTATAAATTGATTCAGAACATCAATCGCAAGTCTTGCAATTGTTCAGAAATATTACTTGTTGATGATGTGCCATTTAATGTCCAAGCCTTAAAAACTATTTTATTGCAAAAGAAGATTAAGAGTGATTCTGCTTATAATGGAATTGAGGCTATGGATTTAGTTATCAAGAAGTATCAGTAAAATATATGTCATCCTACCTATTAATTGATAGTAATGGATATAGAGATGCCTCTACTAAATGGCTTATAAGCAACTTAAAAGGTATAAATAACATTTAGAATAAGATAATATCATTTTTTAATTCCCTAAATATATAACCTCCAGCAATAGTAGCTTGTACTGCTTATGATTCAAATAAAGAAGAATTTTCCATCTTTTCGGATACATTACCAAAACCCATTGATCAATAGAAGCTAAGAACTATTTTAAAAAAGTATTTAAATAATTTTTTTTGATAAATGTGAGTTTACTTAACACTTTTTTTATTTTCAATTGCTCAAAAATAGAATTCATCATTTTTTTTTTACTTAAAAATACAACAATTATGATATATTTTCATTATTGAGTAATGTGTTTTGAATAACACAATTTATAATTTTTTAATAAATTTTTATAATATGTTTATTTAAATACATGATTTAGGTAAATTTCAAGGAAGATATGCTAACTATAATAATAAAATCCTTTACTACTACTAATTAATCTTAGTAGAAATAAGGCTAAAATGAATAGATTTAATATGGTAGAATCCAAAGAAAGTTAATCTATAGATAATTTTGCTTTTAATATTCAGTTTGAAGATTTAATTCTATTGGAGCAGCCATATATCACATATATATTACTTCTCCTAAAGTCTCACTTCAATACTGTCGATAAAATTAAATGGGGAATTGACGAGAAAGAAAAAGAAGAAGAAAGAAAGAGCAAATAGGGTAATGTTTTTGAGCATCTTTCAGCTATTGGTAAAGAAGCGTCTGGGATCAAAAAGAAATTGTAGTGTTATAGAAATATCTTAAGAATCCACTTTTATTCAAAAGACTTTGCAAAATATAATTGCCAAATATTGATTTAAAACTAAAAAAAAAAAAGAAATTAAGAAAATAAAAAAGCTTTGAAATATGAAGAATGGTTCAATCAATATTATTATTAATGAGAAGTGAAGATTAAAAATATTATTTGTGTTAGTAGATCTATCTTTAGAGTTCCAAAAAGAGTTATAAGAAGATATTATAAAAATGATAAAGAATAAAGTCAATCCACAACTTAAAGAATTAATACATATCATAAATACAATAATTTGTCTAATCAAACATAACAATTGCATAATGCTCTAGAAAATTATCTAATATTCCTTAATGTTTTCTCATCAGTTCAAAAAAAGAAGTTTTTAAGGGCTATAAAAAATCTACCTAATCAAAAGTAGAGATTCATAACTTACAGAGATCCGTGATGGTTTTAGTAATAAAAATTTGTTTTCTTGTAAAATAGTATTGTAGTAGGAGTTACTTTTAGAAGATTCTTTAGGCTTCTAAATTAGAAAACTGTAACTGTAACAAAAATTTCAATTCAATCTATAGAATAGTCTTAATAAATTAATTAAAGGCTTCTCTCCAATAGAACTATATTACAATCCTCAACTAAGTGTAAATATTTACTCATGATTTCAAATTTATATATAAAATATATAGAGACAAACCTGGGAATTGTTTTATATAAATGACTAAAGTATATCAATTGATACGAATTCCATTTTTCCATTCTCCATAAGATGTCTTACCATTTGGTAGTCTTAGTAATGCCTTCCCATGTTATTTATCGTTTTACCACTCTCCTTCATATATTCGGCCATCTGGAAACTTCAAAATGCCTTAACCATGTTTTTGATCATTCACAAAATCTCCTTCATATATTTTTCCATCAGGCCATACATATTTCCCTTTTCCGTTTCTATTGAAGAATATGATTTACTTTTTATTGTTTTTCCAATACCCTTGATAATATTTGCTGTCTGGCCAGTTGTATTTTCCATATCCATCAATGTTATTACTTCTAAATTCCCCTTCATAGATAGCACCATCAATCCACACAAATTTACCCAATCCATCCTTCTTCCCATTTTTATAGAACCCTTCGAAATAACTACTTTATACTTATTATCATACCTTCCATCCGGCCATTTTTCGCTTCCTTTCCCATGCTATAAATCATGTTCCCATTAACCAGTATAGGTTGCCCCATCTTCATGAATATAAGTACCTAACCCATGCGCTTCATCATTCTCCCATTGCCCTTCATAAACCTCCCCATTTGAATGTATCAATCTCCCTCTTCCATGTGCATTGCCTTAGTTGAAATAACCTTCATATTTAGATCCATCCTTGAATATTGTCATTATAAAATACATCACATATGAGAATGCCTTTGCCATGTCTTAAATCATTTATCCACTCCCCAAAATACATTGACCCATTTTCTAATTTGCTTGGTGCTTTAAGAACTTTCTAATGAGCAAGTTAATCATTTATATCGTCAATTCCAAATTCAAATGGATGTAGCTACCTCTAACCCACATTAATCACACTTGCGGAATACCTACCTAAAAAACAGTGGCTACGTTCTTAACTATTCATTAACACTATCATTGTATTTTTGTAATTGCATTTTCCAAACTCTTTAACGAGCTTACCAGCCACGGATCCAGGACTACATTTTAATGATCTTTTGTTCCTAACTCTTTAGTGGTTCTAAACTTTGCCATCTTGGTTTTTAGTTGCCTCTAACCTCAATCTAATTTATTAGGTCATGTTTCCAACAGGTACAATTATTCCCCATAATAAAAAAATATTTAAAATGTATTGGCATTTAGCTGAAGCTCCGTATGAACCAAAGAACTTATCATGCTAAAAATCTTAGTTCATGTAGACTACTGAACATAGTTAATAGTGTTTTATTGCATAATAGTATTGCCAACATGATTTTTTATATTTCAATTACAGCATCTTGAGTTATTGTTGGTTGAATGGATCTATAATGGTAAATTAGTATATGAAATAGACAACTTTAATAGTCTCTGGCTTTGTGGGCTATTTAGTTTATAATGGGATAAGTGAGGTGATAAAAGAATATTTAATTCCTTCATTGGAAGCTGTGAAAGTGCGTTTTGAAATTTCTGAGATTATGGCTGGAGTCACACTTTTGGCTTTTGGAAATGGAGCAGGAGATGTTCTTACGGCCTTAGTGGCTTCATCGTATCCTGGAGGCATAGATTACAATATAGGCGCCACAATGGGAGCAGGATTTGTAAATTAAGAACAAAAATTATATTGTTTAGTTCTTGTGTAGTATAGGCGTATATTTGATTACAAAGACATCTAAATCTCAAATAAAGATGGAGCCTGTGCATTTCTGGAGGAATGTTGGATTTCAAATAATTTCCATATTTGTTATCATGGTATTTGGAGTGATAGGTCAGATTTCCTACTTTTCCAGTATCTCACTTACAGTTTTGTATTTGATTTTGGTGTCTTTGGTTTACTATTAGGAGAGAGACAAAATATTAAAAAGCAGAAAAGATAGTTTAGGAGAGAGAGTTTAGACTGTTAATGAGGCGAAATACGATTTAGAGATTGCATAGAAATTTGATGATATGAAATTAATTTATTTATGGGATAAAAAATCAGAAATGGAATAAGCAGCAAAACCAGTAAAGTGGGCAACGCCATTGATTAGACTAAATTATGTCTCTGGAGATGCAAGAGTTAAGATGCTTGCTAAGAAATTCAGATCAGCAGTTAAGCTTACTATGGCCAATTTAGAAACCCAAAAATAAAAATGGGAAAGATTATCAATGCATGAAAAAGTTAGGGCTGTAATCATATATCCATTGTAAATGATACTAAAATTCACATTGCCAAAACCTCAAGAAGATCAATTCGATAAAAATTAAGCCATAAGTAATTCAATATATTTAAGATTTACTTATTTTAGTTTTCCCTATACCTGGATCAGTTTTCTTGGTTTCTGTTGTGTTTGGTTTCCCTCCTTGGTGGGTTTACTTTTTGGCCTTGATGTTTGGATTTGGAATGTCAATCTTCATTAACACAACTACTCCTTCCTAAAGAACTCCTCCCAACTATTTTTTTTATATTCAACTATATTGTATTTTAGGTTCCTTAGTGTGGATATTCTTTTTATCTGGATTACTGATAGACTTCCTCTAATTTTGGGCAATTATCACAGAATTGAATAAGACATTTTTGGGATTCAGCTTAATCGCTATGGGGAATGTACTCCCTGATTGCATCACTTTAGTTTCATTAGCAGAAGAAGGTTATGGTAATAAATAACCTTATTAATAGCAATCATGGCATTAAATGGAATTTATTGTAATTGATTTAGCTAATACTATAGTTGGACAAATGTTCACCAATTTGATTGGCTTCAGCGTTGCGTTTCTTAAGCAAAACTTTGTTAATTCAGGCCCCATCAAGTTCAATCTATTCAGTATTATAGACATAGAATAAAACGCTTTTAAATTAATGGTTATATTAGCTGCTTTCCTTAATCTCTTATTTACATTAATAATGGTCGTTCGTAATCATTATATAATAACAAAATCCATTGCTAAGTTACTAACTATATTTTATAGCATTTTTTTTATTTTGTCTTCTTCATCTGCATTTTATCATGCATGGGTAAAGAAATGATAATATAATATTTATATTAATGGAATTAAATTTATAATTATTTCATATAATTGATTATAAATTGTTGAATAAATTCATCATTGTTATTGTTATTATTATTAGAGAAACTTTTGATATTAGCTTCTAAAATGATGAGGAAATCTATCTTAGTTTTATTCGTAATGCCATTTTTATAGCTAATGTAATATTGTTAATTATTTAAGTCTTTTTTCTAATATTTAGTGTTCCTTCTTATATCCTTCACTTTTCTTCAAAATTACATTCATTTCATTGATTAAATTTTGATTATCTTTATTAAATTATTCCTAAGCATATTAAAATCTAATACATATTTATCTCCTCCTTGAGATAAATTCTATTCAAAATTGTAATCACTAATAACACATAAGCTTCTATCCACCTCCTATTAATTTTAGTCATAATCTGTCAAAATCCACTCTTAGTCTCCTTAATTTTCTCCTTGATATATTTATTTACTGTAAAGTAAATAGGGTTTACCTTATCTAAAAACAGCAGAAATAAATTATTTTTTATCTTAGTCAATTTCTTTTCCGAGACCATGAAAATGATCAAAAAAGAATTCTCCTTCATATATTTTTTATTCTGAATTCTCATACAAAATTCCAATCCCATGCTTAAGAGATTTCTTATAGTAACCGACATAGTTATCCTTATTCGGAAATTAATGATTAGCGAATCCCTCTAATTAATCATAACTCCAATTTCCTTGGACTATGGCTCCATCAAAATAATAACATCTTCCAATTCCATGAAAATTGCCTTAACTTAACTGCCCTACATACTCAAAGTCTGATCTAAAATAGATGATCTTGCTTATACGTTCTGTAAATGCCAGTGATAAATTCACCACCTTTCCATTCTCCAAGATAGAAATCCCCAAAACTAGAAGTGTAATAACCAAACCCTTCACATTTCCCTTTTTTCCATTAACCATGATAATAAGTGTTATCGTGATATATTGCTAATCCGTAGCCTTCAAGTAAATTGTCTTCAAAATTTCCGAAGGCCATCCTAATTCCAGACTTTGCTTCTTCAAACACTTAAATTCCTAAACCTTTCCTCCTTCCACCAACTAACTTACCATAGTAATATGCTCCAGCACCTTATGCATTTTCCTCAAAGTCGAAACAATCAATATTTTCGAAATTAAATCCTTGGTCATCAATATCCAAGTCAGTATAGATTCTAAGGTTTTTGAGGCTTTCTAGCTCATTACTTTTTAAGGCGTCGAGTTCGCCCCTGTTAAATTACGGTCTTGGGATATCAAATTTGTAATCCAGAGGATTATTTGAACTAACTGCTTGACCCATAGCTTATTATAAAAAAATAAAATTTATTTGGTATTTCTCATTTTTAATGAAATAAATAGCTAGATAATCATAAAAATAGAAATGCTAGATTGATATGAATCTTAAAGTGAAGTAATTATTAGAATAATAATATTAAATAATTATATAATATGCACATATACCTATTGATGCTTACCATGGCATTGGTGAATGGAACAGGTAATGAAATTCAACAATCTTATTAGTGAAATAAATTGGGTTAAATGAAGTAGTCGATGATGCAATCGAAGCCTATGATTTTAAGGTATATAGATTATAATTGCACAATCCAGAAAAGTTGTAGAATCGTACTTTGATAGTATAATTGCTACCATAGATTGGAAATCCTAAGGTAGCTGTAGATTGTGATACGTAATTATGAATATTCCTAAAGTAGGGAACCAAAGCTATTAGATTATTACGAATGGCAAACAGGATCTTGGTTCCTGTAATAACTCTCAATTTCCTACTAAGAAAGACAAGCAGTTAATTGCACAGATAATCAATTCTATATTGGTGTTTCTAGTGAAGTTGTATCAGGCTATTCTTTGGTTACATATGTTTTGGATGGTATCCAATAGTTGGAATACAACATTCCACTCAGGTAAAACTAAATTTCATAATAGCGGTGAATTAGTAGAGAAGGAGATCCTTCAATTTAAATTGAAACCAAACTAATCAACCGAATAAATTACTTTGCAGATTACAGCTAATTAAGCAGAAAAATTCTTAAAGTAATGTAGTAAGGAGGATTGCTAGATCACTTTGAGTGATTATGAAGCCAATAACACTGATACAGCCATGCATCTGACTTAATCATCGCTTACTTTTGTTCATAATGATTGCTAAGATTGCTATTATTTAATTGGATTGAAAAGTGATTCTAAAACACAATTTCGTATTTTGGCTAAACATCAGGAATAGCATGTTGTTTTGAGAGAGGGACAATAAGAACAATTTCATGTTGAAGAAGGATTCTATATTTATTATTTGTACAATATTCCCAATGATACTAATATAAAAAGTGTAAAATTCTAAATCACTCAATACAATGGAACATGTACGTTGTATGGCAGCTCATCAGAACAGTATCCCAATTTTGATAAATTTGAAATGAAGAGTTTATCCTAATTGAAAGCTAGCAATGCTAAAACTTTCTATTTGAGTGTTTATGGTAATACTTAATGCCATTATGGTATTTACACTTAAGTGGAAAGATATTAAACCATTAATCAAACCTATTTCATCTAATTGCAAAGTGGAGTACCTCAAAAATACTTATCTGGGGATCAATACAGTTTCTTTTATATTTAATTAACCTAGAAACAAAATTTTACAATTTCATTATAAAACATTGAAGGCAACTTCATTATGTATGTTAAGTCCAATCTAAAAAATAAAGAAATACCTGATAGCAATAGTTATCAATGGAAAGACTAAAAGCAAATAGAAATTAACATTGATGATCCTAACTATGCAACTTAATATTATATTGGTGTCCAGAATTTGAATGATCACGGAGAATTTATCATCCAATATACTTTGCATGGAGATATTGAATTTTATCAAGTTGGGTAATAGATTATAGGCACTGTAGCAGAAAAAAAGTTTCGATATTATAAATTACCTATGCAGTCTAGAAATCTCATAATTACTAAAGATATCTACTCAGGCAATGATGTATTTGATTTAGACATGTTCATATCATTAGATCAGAAAAATACACATCCAAGCCTCAAACATTACAATATCTATCTTATTGGAAAGAATTTAACTATTCCCGATACTGATTTGTAATGCCCTTAGAATACAACTAAGATTAACGAAAAGAATCTGTGTTACATCTATATAGCCGTGACCTCATCATCAGGAACAATCTTCTACACCATATCTACAAAATATAATAATAGTTTAATTCAACTCCATGAAGGATATCCCTAAACTGTCACTTTTGACTAAGAAACTCTATTCTATTATATCCTCAAGAATAAAGAACTCTCATTGCAGTGGTATTCCTATGGAGGAAGTCAAGCAAATATTGAGCCTTACTTTGGTAACAAAGATAATTCTGATCTGAGATATGAAACATTCAAAGCACATTCCTATTTCACCTAATTTTAAAGTTTTACAATCCCTGAAACTGAGAAGTATTAGGTTTTATACATCCGTGTTTAACCTATAGAGCCTCATTATTAAAATGACACCTATACGATTGGTGTCTATGAAGAAGTTAAACTATTGACTCTATCAGACCCTATTATCGACGTTATTTAAAAAGGTTAAACCAAATATTACAAACTCAGTTTAACATAAGATGTTAAGTCGATACAAGTTAATATTCATGTCAAAGGAGGTGGTGAATTTGTTAATGCTAGAATATCTAAAGGGAAAGACTAAAGACCCAGCCTATCTGAATTTAATCAATAGTGGTCACATATTTTTAGAACAACTTACATTCTATAAGAGGTGAATAATCGATATTTGGCAAAGGATGATTATATCATAGGCGTGTTTGGGGAAGAAGAATGTGAATTTTAAATTAATTACAATACTGACGATGCAAAATTTGTCAATGCTTTCCTTGGCTATCCATTTGATGTTCTATTCCATGAAGACATACCTCATTATTACATTTTTAGAGATGATCCAAATGATAAGGAATATAAAATCATTGTGTTTGCGTTCCAAGGTAAATTGTAAGTCAGGGCAAAAGCATTGGAGTCTATTGATGATGAAACTATTATTAGTATTAATGATCATTTGTTTATTGATGAAATTGTTGATAAACAAAAATCATTTAAAGTGAAGACTTGCGAAAAAGTGGGTTGCGTTTATTCAATTGAAATTACAGCCGTCTAAGGGAATAGTAAAGGTTTGATTGAATTTAGTGGTCAAAAGTATTAGACTACCCTATACGACAATCTTCAATGGAGAGAAGTTTTGAGTGAGTCAGAGTCTTCTCAATATCGCTTTTATTCAAATGTTGATGTTCAAATCAGTGTCTCATTGATAAGCGGGGACATTAGATTATATTTGAAGGAAGGTTAAGAACTTCTGCATAATGATGAAGCAGATCTGACATCCAGAATTTAATAGGACACCTTAATTCTATTCGAAAAAAAGAAAACCTTAGAATCATTGATTACAATAAAAGTTGAATCATTGGTACCTGTTTCTGTCTTTATGATCAGTGCAGTTAGAATTGAGAAATAGACTTACACTATTCATTTGGGTCAGATGATGACTTATTAAATAAAAGCTCAGGAGACTATAAAACTCTAATATCAATCAGTCACTCAAACATCTAATAATCAATAGAAGTTTGTAACTCTACAAATCTAAAATATTCATCAATCCATTGAAAATCTATATTTTGATATTACTCATACTTCCATCAAACCTATTAATTATTTTAATAAATACCCGAAAGCTATCTCATATCACCTGTATGATTAATTTGGTTTGTATGAAATTTCCATCAAGGCCTTACATAATTAGACTTTTATTGGAGTAATAATTACAAATGGTGAGTTAAATGCTTTAATTGATAGCATATCACAATATTAGTTAACTAAGATGGGATAACCAAACTATTATGAAGTCTTTTTGTAATAAAAATCAAAACTCTTCTTGGAAGTATTTACTTGCTCTGGATCTATATTAGTATAAGGAACAAAAAATGAAACTAATCTTGCCAAATAAATATTTGAAATCTAAGTGATGAATTCATCGAAAGATCATATTCAATCGATTCTATAACTTGATGAAGGTAAATATTATTTTCTAGTGAAATTGATATCAAGTCATACACAAGATGACAACAAAAATAAAATTTCATCATATTTTATCAAATAACAGACTTTTGATTAAGGAGAAGTTATCCCATAAACATCATTTGAAATTAGTGATAAATCTGTAGATTGGTACAAAGTTGATGATAATTTGATCATCCATATCCCAAATCTTATATAAGTAAAACAGGATATTTAAGCAATCCATATTTATTTTATTGTAAGGATGCAATAAGCAATTGGCGAAAAGAGTCTTGCCTGCATGTTTGAATCCAATTATGTCAACAATAAGACGAATGTTTATGGTAAATACACTTAGGTTGTTGAATAAAGCAATACGAGTAACTTTACTACTGTCACTTTTACGACCAAAGACCAATAAGCGAAGTATTTGAGTGTGGTTGGGAAAGTGCAATTATAAATAGAGTATTAGACTGAAGAACTCACATATCCTTTGCCAATAATAGAGATGAACTATACTAACAATTTACAGGAATCCACTCAATAATGGATCTTATTGGGTATATTTCTGACGATCTTGTTCGTTACAGGGTTTTTCATATACTTTAATATAAAAAAATAAGTGCATCATTAGAACCATAACACACTCAATATTGAAATGAATTATTAAACATTTAATAATTGATGAAATAAACCCACTTTAAGAATCTTTCCCTCTTGGTCCTAGTTCTGTATGGTCTTAACTACGCAGTTGACTTGCTCACTACATAATTTCAAAACGTAATTCTTGCTTCCAATCCTAGATATATTATCTGAAACTCCTAGTCTTGTTGATAATCGTTAAGAAACTCTTAGAGTTGCCAATCTCTAGATATGTATCGTAAATCACTGGATATGTAATGAATCTCTACATTCCCAAGATTATGAGGTAACATTAACATCAATAAGCAAGAATGCCTATTTACACAATATTCAGCGAAATCTATAAAGTAAGACGTCAAGACATGATTCACCCATTGAACTATTACGAAACATTCAATAAATTCTTTACTAGACAAATCAAACCAAGAAAAATAGAATATGGAATGGTCAGTCCTGCTGATTCAAAGATCTTATCCATAAGCAAAGTCACAAAGAATGAATGTTTACTAGTTAAAAGGGTTACATACCAAATTGGATAATTTTTAACGGGCATCAAGGGATATGAGATGGAATTCAAGAAAAAATAGGAGTCATCAAATCTATGGTCTTGTATCTTTTATCTTGCTCCGGGAGACTATCATCGTTACCATTGTCCAGTAGATTTCATCGCAAGAAGTAGGTTGCACATTCCAGGAAAATTAGCACCTGTTAAGGAAAGCAGTCTTAGATAAGTATTGTTATTTTACTTAAATAGGGATTATATGAAGGTAATGAAAGAGTGGTTCTTGAAGGAGAGTGGGAATAAGGATTGATGTATATTATATTCATTGGGGCAACTAATGTTGGCTCAATGAAGGTTAATTTCGATTCAGATTTGATTACTAATACTAACACATAACATAAAAGTGGATATAGAAATTACTCTAATCTTCCTGTTAATGCTCCATATTAATCGTGTGGGAAAGGAGTGCATATTAAGAAGGGTTAAGAGATTGGAAGATTTGAGATGGGTACGATTTATACTGATTAATTAAAGGATCTACAGTTGTAATAATTTTTGAAAGTACATCTATTAATTGGAATGCGAAGGCTTAGTAAAAAGTCTATTTTGGGCAATCCGTTGCTACCTATTGACATACATAAATGTATTAAGTTCATTATTATAATAAATCTTCAATAAATTCTAATCATTGTTTATATTCTTCTATATTTTTATAGATATATTATGCAACGCAAGAGGAGAAAGTTTTTACAGTGATTCTCCTTCTAAATTGATTAATCCACATACGATAATTAATATAATGAGTCTTAAATTCTTATGAAATATGATTCAAATCGTTTCTTCAGAAGTGATATAAAAAATAAGATAATATATACATGTAAAATAACCAAAAACAATTAATCTATAAGAGTTGCTATTAGAACCTTTTTATAATCGAAGAAGGCATTAACATGTATTGTTTTAATGATTGCTCCTAATCGTTCTATATAAAAAGCAAGAATTAATAAATTTTTTAAAATATTATTGACGGAGTATGGTATATTGATTGAACTTGGTTTGTGTTTTTTGATGTTATTATTTTTTTTATGAATAACAATCAGTATCTCCCAGTCAACATTAATGCTCAACCATTTGGATTTCCATTGTGCATGCCCCAATTTATGAATTCCCAATAAATCTTTTTTCCCTTTATGTACTACCAGATTCCCTACTTTTAACCCTTTCAAGCATAGCAAACTACACCACAACCCCCTTAGCCAAATGAAAAAGAACAAACATGGGCTTGTTCTTAGTTTGTGTCAGTTAGTGGTACACGAATAAGACTGAACCTAAAATTGCTCAAAGAGCTGCCTTAAACAACTCCATCCACCATTCTCGATGAAAATGAATCTGAATTAAATAGCAAACAGATTGACAAACATTTCAAAATCATTAAATAGAGCAAGCATATCAAGAGACATATTTCCACTCGTAATGTTCAAGTGACTACAGATTAGAATAATTAACCCTTTAAGCTCTTTTTTAGGAAAAACGACGGCTTCATTCACATAGGAAAGGGGCATTAGACTGAGATGGTGTAGAGAAAATTCAATTTCAATATGATGAGAATGAAATTACAATAGTTTTAAGTTTGGAATCAAGAGAATATGCCTTTATGTAAGAATTCGATTATGTTAAGATGATGAAATAAAATAGCTTTTGAATTTGACAGATGATAAAACACTGTAATTATTATAGTCATACAAAAACATCAAGTTACTTCACAAGAAACTGATGAGCAGTGATCCAATAACATATGAAGAAGTCTAAAATCTACTAATAACAAAATATAAATAATGAAATAAATAGACAATCATATATTCTTTTATTTAGTCAAAAAATCAACAACTTCATTTTTAATCTTAGATTCTTCAAAATTAAATAAAAAGCAAAGAAATGTTGAGTCATTAGCTTAACATCTATCGGAGAGATTAACTTAATACTTAATATAAAATAGTTCATTTATTTATAGATTTATACTCTTCACTCAGATCTTTATTAATTATATACAATGGCAAACACTTTCTAATAAAACAATAACATAACAACCTTAGTATAAGTTAAATTCTTGTTTATTCTTAAAGTTTGTAAATTAAATTTATTTTATAATATATCTTAATCATAAAATTATAAATTATTTAAAGTAACATTTAATTTTTATTTTGTCAAGCTTCTATATACAATATAAAATGAAACAACAAATTTCAGTTTAATTGCTTTAATCTTAATTAATTTGGATCATCAATTATTAGAATTACAGAGTAGAATTGATTTCCTTGTACTTAAACAAGCTTGTATGTTATATTATACACAAACTAAATTGTAATTAATGAGTCTGCGTTTGGCAATTAATATTATATGCAAATGAGTTCATATGATGTAATCAACTAAGCTAAAATTCAAGTTGCTTTTAGAAAAGCATTATCATGATAAGTTGTCTTATTTTTTTTTCATAAGCGAATCAAATGTATGGTTATCTTTTAATTTAAATAATATATGGCTGTTGTGCGGGTTGTTGTTTTTGTTGTTTGAGTTTGGCCTTTAATTTACATCAAATTTAAAAGTGAATGGGAGAATGACTAACTTCTTAGCAAATTACAAACTATGGAAGTTGCTTTGTGATAGGAACCTTAGAGTTTTTAAAGTTCTTGAGAGAGAGTGTTGAAGATGTGAGAATTTAGAATGGTTATGAAAGTGAGGATAGAAATGTAAGTCTTTAGGGAGTGTAAAGATTATTGGGAATACATAAATTAGTTAAATAATCATTCATCTTCGCATTTTACAAATTAACTTACCTACTTGCTAAATAATCCTCTTTTATTTGTTTAGTGAGATTTCTAAGTGTGTTACGACTTATGAGATTTAGCATCTGGTGCAACAACACTTTCTTCTATTAGAGGATTCCCAACAGGACTCTCATCTTCACCCTTATGTTTTTCATCATCGTCTTATCTTACTCTGGTTGGAAACTTGACCATTTTTTTATCTTCATTTTATTTCTTAAATGCTCCCTTAGCTGGTTATTTGTTAGGATCGTACTTGTACTTATTCTCGAGTTCATGATCCTGCTCTTCTCCCACTTGTTAAGCACAACAAGATGATCCCATTTTAATTAATTAATATAAATCAAATAATACTCTCCAAATATTATTAAATTAAATTCATTGAATTGTTGCAATTGTCTCTATGCATCACCTATCCTGTATTCAATACAAATAAATATTCTAAGTAACCTCCCCTTTTCTACAATCCAATAAGCAAATCGTCCTTCATTAATTTAATCAACTAATTCTAGTAGAAGAAGTCATTCAACTCATATTCAATTGAGATCAACCATTTCATTGTTCCTGAAGGAGGAATAAGCATGTCATACTATGATTAATACACCAGAACATTCTTGTAACTGAGCAAATGCTGTATACTAAATATTCATTAACTGCTTACATTTCATTATCGAAAGGTTCAAAAAAGTTGTATTTAAATTAATCAAACACATTTTATGAGCGAGCCAAAAACTCAGTCTCAAAAGGGATGTAATAGAGTGAATCTGGATCATTTAGAATCTATTCCAACTTGTCTTCATCCTCTGAATATTGCTTCTACTCCAATACGTTATATAGAGAGACATTCCCAGTCGAATAGTAGAGTTACTTCAGGAATTTAGCATTCTCATGTTAATAGTTGCCGTTGTAAATATCATCACTCAACCTTATTATGGCTTTCTCAAAATATATTAACTCTTAATAATCAATTACACCCATGTGAAAAGCGAAATTGGGTATCTCTGTCACTATACTAATCGTGTCTAAGAATGGATCCAACAGTCCAACACACTTTATAGTACTGCTTCTATTTGCTATTGCCAAAGCAAATCTAGCTCCAAAATCTGTGGAAAATAGAATCACATTATTATAAGTCAGTCCGCATAATTTATTAAATGCCTTCATTGCTATCTCATAATCAATCGCAACATCTTCATAAGTTAGGTTTCTTGTTGTATTTGTTCTGCCATAACCAGTTCCTGCTGGCAAATCCAAAAAAAGTAGATTACTAAACTTGTTCCATTGCCCAGAATGAGGTCCTATTTCCAAGTAATTTGATACTTGACTTGATATCCCAGGCCCTCCATTTATGTACACTATGTTATTTTGACCTCTTCCTTAGTAATAGATAAAACTTATTGCACCATTAGGAACATGCAAATAACCATATTTAGTTTACGCATCATGGTTCGTACAATGCTATCTAGGAAGTGTAGATTCTTCAGGTTAAATTTTCATACTTTCTAGGTCTTGTAATATTAATCGAGCATAACATGAAACTATTAAAATCAAGCAGAACATAATTATATTAATCAAACAAAAGGATTGTTTCTCAACTAATCATACTTGCTCGGCTATTGAGTATTATAGAGGTTCCTTATGTCTTAAGCATCATTTGCAAATGGATTGTTTTAGTACTTTGAGTTTGAAGGTTAGTTTGTTGTATTAAATTGGTGATATTATTAGTTATTATTAATATTTCCTTAATTTGCAGGGAATTAAATATTATTAAATCCTTAATACATTTGCTGGTTGTTATTATTAACATTATTGTCAAATCCGAAATTTTATGTATTATTTTATTAGTTTTGATTCAGAAATTGATATTATTATTATTATTATTATTATTTTGGTTGCTATTATTAATTTGCTTATTATTATTATGAAAAATTTGGTTAATAATTAACTTAATTAGCTAATTACTATTATATTTAAGGTTATTATTAAGAGAAATTCATATTTGATTAATTAAATTAACCATTTTATCGACCAGGAAGAGGAGGTTTACTACTTGCTTAATTATATTATTATTATTATTATTATTATTATTATTATTATTATTATTATTATTATTATTATTATTATTATTATTATTATTATTATTATTATTATTATTATTATTATTATGGTTATGGTTATGGTTATTATCCCCAAATTTATTATTGGTTATTAGATCCAAAAGCATTGTTTCCCAAGTTTAGTAATTAATTATTTTACTATTACTAATTAACTTATTAATTTGCTTGTTATTATTATTATTATGATTATATTTATGCCTACTTCTAAGCTTATGACCATGACTATTAATTTACTGTATTGTATTAAGGATTATGTGTATTAAATTACTAGTGAGTTTATTGTTATAAAGATTATTATTGTATTGGATTATATGACATAAATTATTAATTATCTGCCATTGATGAATAGGTTAGTAAATCAAAATCATTTAAGTTATTGTTCTTTGGCTTGAAGCTTGGAGATTGATCCTCATTTTATTATAATTTTTTAGGTTATATTTCTAATTAGTTAGTTTAGTAGGTGTGATGGCTAGGAACACCAGAAAAAGTAGAGAAATGATTAAATGAATTCCAATCAAATTGACCTCCCTTATCTGGTGAAATAAGATTTGCTTCTTTTTAAGTTTATTTTGACTCTATGCTAAATTACCTATTATTTCTTTGAATTCCTTATTGTTAGGTAGAATGAAATTGTTTCATTTCATCTTTTACCTGTTAACCTTGAGTCCCATTTTCACTAAAAAATGTGTTAGTTTTTACAACTCTAAAAGGTACGCCACTCATGAGACATTATGTATATCGAGTTTTCGGATCAGCCTGACCCTATTTTACCCAGGTTCTTTTTACATACTTTTCTTGAACAAAGAGTTTAATTTCTTCTGGAGAAGCAGAAGGTTGGATTTTATTATTTTTTTGTAATCTGTTTTCCCAATACCTAGGTTTAATTACAATTAACTTACTCATTTTAGTCGTTTCCTAAAGCATCCATCAAATCAACGTTTTCTTAAGTCCAACAATCTAGTTTAGTCGATCTCACTCTAGTTATATTCTATCCTAAGGCTCTGTGCTAACCTAAGCGAATTTATATTATTGAATTACCTGAGCAATTATAGCACACAAAAACTCCAAAATCCAGAGATGCCCAAGTAGGCGATTTCGATGAGCAATCCGCACATGTAAAGTTGCATTACTTTTTAAGTATTTTCAAGAAAGCTGCTTCTTATTACTTCGTTGACAGTACTCCTTAGTGACTCATAAATTAATTATAAAATTATTTTGATTAAAATAATATTCTTGTATTTTATGTTTGCCAACTATATAAATTAATTGTAAAAATCGATTTGCAAAATCATTCTTTCTGAACTCATTCAATACATTTAAAACCCTCCATTTTTATTTATTTTACAAATTAAAGTAAAATAGGTATTTTGATATGAAAAGAATCAAAAATTAGAAAACCGCTTAAAATATTTTTGGATTTATGAAGCATACCCTTATTTTAATATCATTTTATAAATAAAATCTTAAATATTGTATTTTCTGTATAATTGTTAGATCAATTATTCATAATTAACCTAGACGAATTCAAAATAATCGATATTTTGAGTTTATCCAATCTGTTTTCATTCTTCCTTATGGTTGTTGAAACAATGAGAAGAGCGTATTATTTTTTCTTGATTAATTATTCAGATTTCTGATTGTTTCTTTTGGGAGCAGTCTATTCAAAAATGATTCGTCATATTATATTTGACTTTAAGATATAGCCTTGCCTTTAAAGGATGTTACAGAAGAAGAGAAGTTTCCGAAGTTTTGCCTTTGGGACAGCACGTATTTCATATTGTTAATATCAGCTGGTACGAAATGTGACTTAGTGTATTTATGTTGTTTTTATGGTGATTTGACAAGATTTCGTCTCATGAGTTTCAATTGATTGAGAATGCGAGAGGTTTGAGGACGCTCTGAATTCGATTTGAATTCATCCATGGAAAAATAAATTTTATAAGCAAAATCAAATATGTAATGAAGTAATTAAAGACGATTGCAGATTCAAATTCAGTTAAATAGGAATTAATAATTGGGTTTTGCTAATTTATCAAATTCAAGAATTTATTTGCTTATAAAAATAACGAAACATATTAATGAATATTTAATTCCGCCAAATAAATGCGCGTAACATTAATAATTTATTTTAAATCTAAATTTCACATGACTACTTTTGACGGAGAAAAAATATATTACACAAATTAGAAATTCACAACAGACGAGTATCTAATGATGTTTAATATTTATTAGGGAATTTAATCATGAATCAACAATCACAGATGCAGCAAAAAGAATTTTGAAATTTCTCAAGGAATTTCATTTCCAAGACAAATTCGTATACAGAGATCAACTCAAAGAAAATGTTGCCAATAATGAATTCATTTTGAGAGTTGAAATAAATGATATTGAAAACTCTGACAAAGAACTATACTCTTTTATTTTAGATCGTCCACAAGACATACAAGAAACTTTTGAAGATAAAATTAAGGAAGTAATCAATAATTTCTAAACCTAAGTTATATTGTTAAGAAAAGATGATAAATAAGAGTGATTGTCCAGATTTTCAATTGCAATTAATTTCATAATAAAATCCAGATTTGCTTCGAAATTTGACAGCATAATAAATAGGAAAGTTGGTTACAATCAAATGCATTATCTCAGCATCTAAATCAATAAAAGTGAAAGCAAAGAAATTATTAATAAGATGTAGAGAATGTCAAGATGAATAAAATATAAATCTTGGATATGGACCAAAGCCAGTCAATTTGCCAAGAATATGCTTAGGAAAGGCATAACAAAAAGGTGCTTAAACAGATGCATAATGCCCAACAGATCCATACGTGATAATCCCAGAAGAATGCCAATTTATTGATTAACAAACTCTCAGAATCCAAGAACTGTCTGAAGCAATTCCAACAGGAGAAGTTCCAAGAAACTTTATGGTATATTGTGACCGTTATTTGGTTAACAAATTAATCCCTGGACAAAGGGTGATAATCACAGGAGTTTATTAAGTACCTCCAAAAGGGTCAGCCTCTATTAAAAGTAATGCAATAGATGCTGAATTACTTCTCCCATATATTCATGTTTTTGGAGTATAAACCAATAAAGTGAATATCAAACAAGGATTATCTGAGGCTTAAAGACAAGAATTCAAATCCTTAAGCAGAAATAGAGATGTCTATAAAATCATTACTAATTCAATAGCACCAGCTATTTATGGGCATGAAGATATTAAATTGGCAATTGCCTGTTTGCTCTTTGGAGGTACATCAAAGAATCTTCCAGATAGTATGAAATTAAGAGGAGATATCAATGTGCTATTGATTGGTGATCCCAGTACAGCAAAGTCTCAATTATTGAAATTCGTTGAAAGAGCAGCAGATATTAGTGTTTACACAAGTGGTAAGGGAAGTAGTGCAGCTGGTCTTACTGCAACAATAACATATCAACACAATACATCATAATTTACTTTGGAAGCAGGTGCATTGGTATTAGCAAGTGGAGGAGTGTGTTGCATCGATGAGTTTGATAAAATGAGATCAGAAGATAGAGTTGCTATGCATGAAGCTATGGAATAGTAGACTATTTCTATTGCTAAAGCTGGTATTACTACTAGATTAAATGCTAAATGTTCAATATTGGCTGCTGCTAATCCTATCTTCGGTAGATATCAAGAGAACAAGTCGATCTAAGAATAAATTGAATTGCAAACTACTATCTTATCTCGTTTTGACAATATATTCATTATTAGAGATGTAAGATCCATTGAAAATGATTAAAGACTAGCTAATCATATCATTTCTCTTCACACAGGGTAATTTGCCGATCAAGAGGGAATGTAAATCGAATAGGATAGTAGTAATACCTTAGATCTTATGAAATTAATACAATATGTCAAATATGCAAAATCCACTGTTAAACCTTTACTCACAGAATAAGCAGCCTAAATGATTCAGAATCTATATGTTGATGACAGATAGAAAAGTTAACAACCTCACCATTCAAAAAGTGGAGGAAAATCACATATACCAATAACTGTTAGATAATTAGAGGCTATTATTAGAATTAGTGAATCATTGGCTAAAATGTAATTACTTGAGCATGTCAAGGAAGAGCATGTCAAAGAAGCCCATCGATTATTCTAAACTTCTACAATGACAGCTGTTTCATTAGGAACTAAGTATTTTCTTATTCTATCATTTTAGAGAGTTTGGCCTTGATTTATCTAATGACTTAAAATAATTAGTTGCTAAAATTGAGGAATCCATCCTTAGAAGGAATAAGCATAGGATCCAAAATTCCAGCAACCAGATTGATTTAAGAATTATCTGATAGATTCAATAATTAAAGGGCTGTGGAGTTTGCCATACACAATTTAATTTAGACTGAACAACTCTAATAAGTAGAAATGAAGAGAATGCTAATAAGGAAAAAATGATTTCTATAGATTTTTGTGTTATTATACGTTTTTATAAATGATAAATAATTTAAGATTATATATATATTAAAATAATAGACCCATTTAAATAAGTTTTAAATAGAAGAATAAGCAAATCTTGAAGTAATAAAAGTAGTTTGATGTTTATGGAGATATATTTTAAATAATCATATATTTAAGCATAGGATAAAATAAATACATCAATCAATTATGTTTTACTATTTTAAAGCTGCACTATAAGATGGATCAATCTGAGTTTAATCAGAGTAAATATACAACTTTAGAGTCGTATTTAGTGATTCAGAGGTTTACTCCTCAATGATAAATACCTTATTATAAGGACTAATTTATTTTAATAAATATGAATTGACCATTGATATTAAATCATCACTCTGTTCATACTCATTATTTTAATTTACAAAGCATCTTTCAAAATCTTTAATTTCATCATCTCTTGTAAATATAAAATTAAGGTTAACCAGAAGTTGAATATTTTCTGAAGAAGAGCATAGATAATCATATTTTGATGAGGATGAATTTTATAAGCATTTATGTGATTAATAAATTGATTATGGGTTTAAATCATATTCTTTCGATATTTTTAATAATATCCTGCTATTTGATTTTGAATAGATTAGAATTCTATTGAAGATATTTATTAATATTTGCGTTAATAATTTTGTGTTTATCTTCATTTAAACATTATCTTTCTCTAATTAAAATAGCAATTGAAATTCTCTTTTAGATTTTCGACTTTAGTAAAGAAAATAAGGTTTTAAAGCGATAATAACAGCAGATAATTAACAATGGTTTATTTCTTATCTTAGTTAATGGAGTTTTTTGTAAGAGTAAAACATGAATTAATTCTTAGTTTCGTTAAGTAAATATTACATGGTTCCTTATATTTTATTTAAATTTTGAAGTTCGTATTCATAAATTTCTAAATCAGATATTTACCTATATATAGATTATAATTGTTAGCCAACTAAAATAGAAAAATTTATTGCTATATTATTCATAATAGAAATCTTCTTTTCATAATTTTCGATTTAAATTTCGTTTTTATTTTCTTAAATAATTATTACAAATTATGTTTTTAATCCATTAATTAGTTAAATCTGAATTTCACTTTAACTTTTATTTTAATCTATCATTTAAAATTCACTAAATTCTTCAACTAGATCTGTTTAAGCTTTATATTTTTCGAATAACAAATCCTCTAACGTTATTTATTTATTAGCAAATTTTTGTACTTTTAAACTGCCAGACATTTAATGTGTAGGTAAATTAATAATAAAATGATTTCTTAGGAATTCTTTAAGGTTATCTAAATTATTTTCAATGTTATAGATTGATTCAAACTTTTTATTGACAAAATCCAATTTAAAAAATGACTTATTTTCGTTAAAACTTAAAATCAGAATTTTTTAAGTCGTAAATTTATACATAAAATTACTATAATATAATTTATATCTATTACTTTTGCTATTGTATAATAATTCCTTATGAAAAATTTAATCTTTAATTATATTCATAAAGATATGCAAAAAAGGTTTCGAAACAAATGGCTCCAAATGCCATAAAAATATAACTCAGATTTATTAAACAATATATTCTAAAAACTCCTAGCAGTATCCATATATAGGATAATAAAATAAATGCTTTTATTTTCACACTTAATTAATTTATCATAGAAGTTGAATAAACTCCACTTAAAAAACCATAAACAAAATGGGGTCTAAACTAATTTAATTAAATACTAGAATTGATTATCAAGTGCCCAAATTATCAAAAACATGTGTTACATAACAAATAAAAAGGGAAAAATGTATTTGAAAAGTGTAGAAATTTTTCTGCTAAATATTAATGTTAAAACATATAATATAACTTGCGCGACGACGATAATGACCAAGTGATTTTCTTCTTATTGAATTACTAATGTAAATAAAGATGCTAGTAAAATTATAATGGCATTTGACATCTACATTCTAAAGAAAGTAAGTTTTTGTTCAGAAATATATTCCTAGTATTTTTCTTCCAAAGAAGTATTGAAGAATTAAAGGGTTATCAGCGAAAACGGTAAAGCTTTCATTTTTGTTATTTTTATTATTTCATTTTTAATGAAGATTGCAATATGTATTAAAAATTAGAAAGATAAACAGAATTATATAAACAAATTTATAAGTCTCTACTCCAATTGAGAATTTATATTTATTTTATTTTTGTTTAAAATACATCCAAAAATCTAAGTGAATGAACTAATAATTATAATTATATTAAGATGATATCAATTTCTATTTATAATGATAAAACTTAAATTTGAAATAATTGACTAGATTTAAAGATATTTTCGACTTAATTACTAGTTTAAGAATATTATAATTATGATCAAAAAGTATACTTATCATGAATCCTAATCAGAGAATTGAATTTATTGATTTTAACTCTTATTAGATTAATTAAAAATTAATTTATGAATTTAAATACATAGATTATTATCATGACAGTTCAAATCTGTTACTAATATTAGATTTTTAAGTTCTTTATTATTCTATTTTTTAGTGTCTTTTTAATATCTTTGTCCCATGCTAATTTTATAGTGTATTATTTAATCTAACATCTAAATCATTCTTTTAATCATGATTTGGTTCATCTAGTTTAGGAAGTTTTATGAAATCTGATGTATTAATTTTTTCTATTTTTTATTGCTGTGTTTCTTCAATTAATTATTTCTACTACTAACTTTATTCCTTCATAGATTGGAAGATTTAAGATCCTAGACCCTCATAAAAAACATTTAATAATTTAAAAGGCGATTCACAATAAAATTGGGATTTTATTAATTCAACATTTTCATTTTTTAAATTATTTTCCACAATACATTTATTTTGATTTTTTAATTTCTTAATATTAACTTAAAACTGGACAATTTTTAATGGTTCAACTTAGAAATTAGGTTGTACCTCATCATTCTATATTTATGTTGTGTTCTATTATTCTTCCTGAATAATATTTACAGTTGGGATTTTCTCATCAAATTCCAGTAGCACTTTTAGGAATTACCAGAGATTGTCTTTTACAACCTCATGAATATTTTTATCACCTCCTAATTGACTTTTGAGTTCTTAAATTGTTGTAGGTTTAGATTCAACTATTTTAAATAAAAATGGATTTGGTAAAAAATATCTAGGATTTTGATCATGTTTAATTCCTAATTCTTCTCTTAACTCTAATAATCGAACCATTAATTCAAAACTTTTTGCTTCCATTCGCCTATCTTACTTATTAAGAATTGTTTGCAAAGATTAATCTTAATCTTACAAAGGTTTCTTGTAAATTTTGAGAGCTGTCTCTTTACTTCTTTTTAATACAGCTTCGAGATAGTAATTTGGAATATTGCTTATATTATCATTTGGTTTATTTAATTTTTTAAGATCCTACCTCATTCTATCATAAATATAAAGTAGATAATGAGTATCTATCTAAGCATACTTGATCATTTCATCAGGCAATGGTCTTTAAGTCCAATCAGCAGTTTAATAAGTTTTATCTGTAGACTTCTTACAATATTCTGATAGCAAAAACTAAAACGAGTTTTACATAAGTTGTAACTCTTTGGATGCGTGGAAAGTATCGAATAGATTTACTATATATAAACCAAAGTCTCTTTATAGCCATTATACATCGTTTTCAGCCCCATGGAAAACCTTTACTATTTTAGGATTTGCAAAAATAACACTCAACATGTCTCCTAGCTATTTCCATAAAGGAAAAGGATCTATTATATAATCTTGTGATCTAGTGCTTAATTAAATCAAGCAAGTGATTCCCAAATATGAAATTTAATGATTATGCTCTAAATCTACAGCTATTTCGCTAAATCCATTTTAATCTACTTCTTGTTGTATTTTAAGGACGAGTTCTCCTAAGTGATCTGCATTAGTAATCATCATTGGTGGTTCTAAATCTCTATATCTATTAATTTTTGATGGTACATCAAGAACAAAATCTTGGGGTGTCAATCTCAATATTTCTTCATAGTAAGGATGAGCAAATTCATCTATCTCATATTTCTCAAAAAATTAATATGGGTTATTTTAGGCTTCTACTATTTTTTAATCTAATTCTGTCTAAGCATACTGCTTGTATTTTAAGACAGGAATAAAAGGTAATTTATTAAGCTAAATTGCATCAGCAAATCCATAAATATCCTTTGGTTTGAGTTAGTTTGTTTTTTATATTTGGGGTTGTTTTGGAGCTAAACTTAATTTATTCATTCTATCATATTAAATGGCTGCATTTTCTAAGAATTAATCTAATGTTTCTTCTATTTACTACATACTTAAGAGAGAATACTTTAAATGGGATAGTGGTTGAATTTGCTTAAACATCTCCAACCAAAGATCTTAGTCCATTAATGACTGAGATAAATACTTTATTGGTTTCAGAAATAAATTTTTTGTTTCCTGGTTGTTTCTCTAAGAATCTCAGTTCATCTTTTTTGGGGAGTTGATTGATTAATGCAACCACTTATTTTGCATGACTTTACATAATATAATTAAATTGTGATTATAATAATTTTACAATGCTAAAAAAAATTTTATTATAATATGAAGGACAAATTATTTAGTTAATTATCGTAGGCTATTAAATTACATCAAAATACTTCCCTTTAAATTTTTTATTGTTAAATAATCTTTACGCAAATCACTTTTATGTATTTAACGAAATTTGTTTAGGAGTTAAGTTTAAATCTAAAATTTCATTGATTTTATATTTAGATAAAGATGAAGATTTCCTTACGATTTATTATTGAATAAAGCATTCTTAAAATATATATATTGTAGATCACATTTAGTTTGAAAAAATAATTATTGATAGTATACTCTTCTCACTTACATACTATTCTAATCTGATTAATCCTCCAATGCTTAAGTATATATAATTTTGATAATTAACTACATTAAATTGATTTTTTGCTTCTTTAGGTTTAGTTAATATTCCTTATAAAATAAACAAATATTCAACTTTAATTAAAAAGAGATAAAAAAATTAATTTATTCTAATTAATTTATAAGTTATTTAAAGAATATCAACCAATTAAACTTTATGTTAGGTGTACAGGATTTTAGTATTTGTCTCTAATATCTTGTTCTCTCGAAAAGACAGTTCTGTGAGGATTAGCCTTATTTTTAGAATTTTCTCCAAATATTCTACTTTTAGTATCAATATTTTATTCTATCATTTTTTTCATCTTCCATTTATCATGCAACTCAAAGTTTTGAGAAGGGAAGTTTATTTTTGTAAATAAGGGATCTGATTATTTAGAGCTTAATGGTTTATGAGCTATATTCTAAAATTCAATGGAGGGATTGCTTGAATTAAATTTTTCAAGTGCTTTGTTATTGATTTATATTTACATTTATATCTCTCCAATTATTTCCTCAGACTTTGCTTTTCTTATCCTCTTAATTTAGCATTTTCTTCCTTATAGAGCTCTGTGTTATCATTTAAAGGATTATCTAAAGCATACAATCCACTTTTAAAACATTGTTTAGCCTTTTTGAATGCTCGATTAACATCTTGAAATTCTGATCTCCATTGGTGAAATTTCCTTTGATTTTCCTTAGCAACCAACATGTCCTAAAATTATTCTTTTGGTTTTTTCAATTTTGACTCTGTTTCGTAATTTAGTTTAGACTCATCAAATGTTTTATCAGGCACAGATAGGAGTTTCTTTTGCAAAAATTAGGTTCCATTTTTTAGGGTTGGATGATCACTTATTAAATGATTGATTGTATGTTAATGTAAATAATCCACATAATCTTCTGAATTTCGAGGTTTTTAATTTCTGAAAAAAAAACTTTAGTTTTTAGTGGTATTTTAGACTACTACTGGTTCAGTAATTAGGAGAGAGCTTTCACTAGTTGAAGCATATTAAATTTTTTAAAGAAAAATTCCTAAATGTTTGGCATCCCATGTATTACCCAACCTGATCAATTAACCATCTAAGGCGTATGGAGCAGAACTTAGGAATGATGGTTGATATACCTTAATTAAGATTTTACTTAATCATTTGGAACAGTTTTATGGATAAATGTTGAGAGTTTCATTTAAGTCTGTTAGCAAGAATCTTTTTCTCTTTTCATGAACTCACGAAAGCTATCCTTTCCTTTTTTGGGAACTTTTTCATTTTGTCTAAAGAGCATTAGAGATATAATATCTAAATATATGTATATTAATATTTATTAATATTTTAATATTTCTCAATAGATATCAGCAGCCTCTTCTTGATTATTAGCTTCTTCTTATTATTAATTATCTTATTGTCCTTCATTTTATTAATCATTTTATTGTTCGGATTATTCAACCAATTCATTTTAATTATTTGATTCTTCTTATTCTTATTGTTATAATATAACTTCTTATTATTATTCTTATGATTCTTCTTATTATTCTTATTATTATTCCTATTATTATTCTTATTATTCTACTTATTATTCTTATTATTATTCTACTTATTATTCTTCTTATTATTATTCCTCCACTTAATGTTAATATTATTAATCTTAATTATTTTCAAATTATTATTCCTATTATTAATTTTCCTGAGAGCCTTCTTAATTATTCTCTTGGAATTGATTTTAATTCTGAATGAGCTATTCTTGTTATTCTTGAGCATTGTCTTATGATGTAATGTATTACGATTCTGCCTTTCTAATTCCTTCAGAGTTCTATTATTCTCTAATTTGTTAAGTGGATTACTCTATGGTTTTTCTGACTCTCTATTTGTCAAAAACACTCTTTTTATCAGATACAGTAGTGAAGACTTATTCTGTGACTATTTCTGCTTATCCAAGAACCTTCTCTTTAACTTCTTCCTTTTTAATGCTAGGTCTGAATTGAGGCTCGTTGGTGCCTTGATTTTTCTTATTCATTTAATTGATCCTGTCTTTTACGGATTAAACCATCATAGTTTCTTAGACAACTTCTACATAACAATATTAGAATGAGTGATACCAGCAACTGCAGTGAGTTTTGTTTGTTGTTGAGTCTATTAGACAGGTTTGGTTTGTTGTGATTTTGGTTGATAGGCGATTTGTCCAGCTGTGTCAAGTTTATGATATTTTTTCTCTATTTTGCAATTGCCACATTATTGAAATTATCCAACAAGGGCCAATGTGAAGTTGGAACAGGCTTTGGCTCTGAATTCATCCTCTTCCAGTTACTTTTGTGAAGCTATCTATTAAAGTTTGTCCTATTAGAATTTTGCTTTTGATAATATAGATGACAATTTACCAGCATTGTTGTTACTAGCCTTTTGGAAGTACTCGATGTTGTTACTTTCGAAGTCAAGACGATGAAACTTTTTTTCTTTTCCGCAATTTCGACACTCTTAGAAACCTCCTGTCAAGGACAATGTGAAATTGGAACATACATTCATTTTATGAAATATATATGTAATAATGATTTAGATATTAATATTAGATAAAAAGAATCGTTCTTAATTTAGATAATGAATTTAAGGAAAGAATGTATTTTTGTAGAAGTTCCTGAGCGTGTGTGAGAAGAGTAATTGAGATTCTTATAAAGTTGATTTAAATTGATATCTGAACAAGAGAATTAGATAATTTATATAATATAAAAACGGATTTTATGAAGATAGCAGTTCTGATAGCGATACTATCACTTGCGTTCTGTTATAGAACACCACAATTTGAGGCAGCGCAATAGGTCATAGTGCAATATGCCGCCGGTCACATATTGGAAGCTCAAGCAGGAGTTCCAAGATAAGTGGTTGTGGATGTAAAGTTCAAGAAAGCTTTTGAAATTCCTCCCCAGGTGTTTATTTCAGCATAATTACTCGATTGGAGTGTTGGCTTGCCTCATGGTTTTATGGAAAGAGTTAGCGATATCACAACAACTGGTAAGAATGTGACATTATTAATCCAAAGGATTCAAATTGAGTGGTGTTGCTGTAGGTCCCTCTCCTCTTTATTCCTTATTTGTTGATTGGTATGCAATTTACGATCCCAGAATTTAAGTGGTCACATTCGAATCCACAGATGTCAAAGAATTGAAAACTGGGTAAGGGGAAAGAAAAGTATCATACACAATTGAACACAATCTCAAAGATGCAACAAATGCAATTGTGGGTTTGATTGGTTGTAAACACTTGTTAACAAATCCAATAGTGGAAGTCAAAGTAATCTATGTTTTGCATTTTAGGTTGAATAAGTAACACCAAAATCTGTCACTGCTTCAGCCAGAACATACTGGTAAGCCTAATTGGAATTCGTCAGATTCAACGTACTTTTGGGTACTGATCAATCTTTGTGGGTCTCACCTGCATATGTATTCTACAATGATCCCGCTTCAAGTCATCCCTTCGTCAAAAGAGCACCAAGTGCAGCTGAAGTCTAACAAACCATCGAATTACCAAAAGTATGGTAGAGTGGTCCCAGAGTTCCTATTGTTACCCTCAGAGGTTATGATGTTGAAAGAGCCAGAAACATGAGATTGTAATACAATAAAGTGGTACTTGAATCAAAATTGTAATACAATCTTGTGACATGTACTTATTTCAGCTATTTCCTTAGGGTGGGATACCTAAATGTATGGAGTTTTCCATTAAGCTGCTATTTTTGTTGCAGATACCACCTACAAAATCTTTGACCCTGATTGTGCAGAGCTCTTCTCTGAATGCAATTTCAAGGGAGACTCAATCACAGTTTGTGACAGAATCCCAGATTTACCAGGATATGGATGGTCTAAACCAATCAGATCTTTAACAGTACCAGTATCCAGGAGATTATATCTTTTTAATAAGGAAAAGTATGAAGGTCAGAGAACTTCTTTCATTGCAAACTAATAATGCATGGAATCTATAACCTTTTCATTTGCACAACTCCAATCATTTGAAGAAGAAGAGCATCCAGTTCTTGCAAGTTAATGAATTTAATATTAAAACAATCAATGAATAACATATATTTATTAATTATTTTATTAATTAATGTTTGTGCCACATAAGCCTTGGTATTTTGAAAAATACACTGATTTCTTCGATCAAGATGGAACACTTTTGGGATTCGAAATTGACGATCAAGTCTATATTTTAGATGAGTATGGAGGATGGGTTGATTAATAAGGCTGCTACTATAATTCTAATTGTGAACCTGATGGTTGGTTATTGCCTGATGGAAAAGAGGAGATATTGCATTACGATAAAAATAAGAAGCTCATCAGATCATACAGACTTCAAGATTTAGATTGGTTGAATCAATAAGATCACTACAGAAAAAGAAGGCAATCCGCAGTAAAATAGATATAGATCTTAGAGAAATTGGGTTGGGATTTAACTAAAATTACAATATGATATAATTATATAATATTTTTCACCTTATTCATAAATTCAATAACAATTCTTTAATAAATTTTCAATAAGTTTTGTTAGAATTTCTCAATTTATTATTGAAATTGTTTTGACAATATAAAATTAATTTAGAACTATTGTTCAGGTAGAATGCTTGGATTCAAAACTCAACTCATCTCCTGTGAAGAAATAAATTCTCTTTATAGAAATCATAAAATTAAGACCATATAAAAGCTCAAAGAAGTAAATTATGTATCAAAAATGAATATCAGCTTCCTAAAATTTAGTTTAATGTAAAAAATTTCATTAATTAATAATTTAATAATTAAAGAAAACAAACTATAATGAAAGAACCACAAGAAAGACAGACCAGATTTTAATCAAAAGCAGAAGAATGTGGAATATGTTATAATACAATAGACTAATAAGTAAATTGAGTTCATTATTATAAGGGACAACTAGATAGTTGTAATCACTCATTTTGTTTAGCCTGTATTCAATAATGGTCCAATGTAAAGAATGTATTAAATGTAGATTGAGAACACCTGTCCCCTTTGTAAGTAGAAATTCAAATAGATTGAATAAAAGTGGAAAAGAGTATTTGCTTTATTTAATTAGGTACATTATAAAAGCCATAAGATTTCGAAGTAAAACTGTAAACAGAATAAGTAAAACATCAATATTATCACTAGAATTTTTGTGAAAGACAAAAGTCAATCTCAAAAAGAGGAGTATTTAAATGTGCTAATTGAAATCCTGAATGAATTTATTTTGGCTGATAGTATTTATAAATTCCCTACCTTAGTTAATGCATGACAATGATTAGATCTTTTAAATTTTCTATTTTATATTATAAATTTTAATAAATAAAACATCAAATGGGATAATCATCATCTGCTTCAGGATCAATTATTTTGGCACTCTCCCCCTTCATAATATGACTTATGACACTTTAATTATTGACAATCTTGTCTTCATATTACTTCTTAAAATCAGGAAAATGGTACAAAAGAATTTCCTCGTAAATCATATCTAAAATAATAGAATTTATTACCTTTGAGTTACTCATTAGTAAACTCATACATTTCAAATTCAAACTCCATATTGGATACTGGAGATCTTGTTGGCTATTAGATTGGAATGAATTTAATACCTCATCGTTTGGATTATGCAATTCCTTTAAGTAAGGATGCTTTAAGGCTTCAGCAGCTGTGATTCTTTTCTTGTAATCAATTTCTAATAATTTCTCAAGAAGGTCATATCCTTCAGGTGGTAATCCCTTAACAACTTTATCCCAAGGAACCTTTTCGAGAGTACCTAATTCTGATACTAATTCAATAAGTTTAGATGAGACGAAGGTATCTTATACTTGCATAATCTTAGTTTTTGAAGGAGTTCCTACGGTTTCAAAAATCATTTTAATTTGTTGCTTAGCTAAAATGACAGATTATCAATTACAATTTTATCCTCTCCATAATGTTTTGCCTCTTACTATTTCTGCAAATATGCATCCAACACTCCATATATCCACTGCCTAAGTGTAGGTTTTAAGTCCTAACAATAATTCTGGAGCTCTGTAATATCTGGTTTCAACATAATCTGTCATGATATTTGGGTTTTGTTATTATGTTTTTGTTGTCTATAACAGTGCTCTTGACAATCCAAAATCGCAGACTTTGAGCATGCAATCTTATTTATTTAGTAACAGATTTGTTGGTTTCTAAAATATATTTTATAGTATTACAAGATCTCGGTGCAATATATTGGCTGAATGCATGTATTTTAAGGCCCTGAGAATTTGATACAAAAACAATTTAAAGTGATCTTAATTCAATTTAGCATGTTCTTTATCAATTACCCGTTTTAAGTCAGTATCCAATAATTCTGTAACACAATAACTAATAATTCATTAAAGTCAAGTATTTACATATCGTAAAAGTGTTTTCTTGATTTTGGTAATTGAAGGGTGATTAGATTGACTATCTAAAGTCTTTTATTACAAATTTACATTTTCATGCCTTAGGTTTCTCAAGATCTTTAACTCTCGTAATGTTCTTTTAGCATAAAACCGATGTTCGAATGTCCTTTCAATCTTTTTTATTGCCACCATTTTTTATTCTGAACTAGCTGCTTTTGTATCTTCGCAGCCAATCACCACACCATATGCACCACTTCCAACTGAAATATAAGCATAATGTTACGCTATTATGTTGGCTTGTATCTCTTTTCTATAATAAATTCAGATTCATCCACTTTAAATACATTTGCAGAGTATGCCTTTTAAGCATATTAATCATAATTAGTGCTGGTGTCCATTTATAATTAATTTATAAATAAAATCTTAAATAACAACTCTAAGCAAAAACAGCGCATAAAATCTTTTACTTGTTTTGCTTACTCCCATTTTAAAAGATATTTTTAAACCTTCAATTGAAACCATTTGTTTATAATTTCAACTTTATTCTATGAATAAAGTCTTATAGAAATGTAATTTCAATTATTATTTATAATAAGAACATGGAGATTATCATATCTTTATATTCGTATAAGGTCGAATAATCCAATAATATTGTATCCATATGGAGCAATAGGTATTTTCAAGGAAATCAATTTAATTTAGAATCAACAGTTATTATTTGATTGAATTTTTCATTTACAAAAATGAAATTGATTATAAATACTATAAATTAACAAGGATAATTAAATTGAAAAGAAGTGCGTTTCATGTTTAAGATTTTAATAACCTGTTTTTATGAGAATCGTATTTATTAATCGATTGGGGTTAGCTAATGATACCATAATTTAATAATCATAAATCAATTTTAATGAGGAATCTATCTCATATGATGTGTTATAAAATAATAATTTGGATAAATTTAATGTTAGTTATGTTGCTATTATCTTGGATGTATAGTGACGACAAAACTACTTGCAATTTATATATTAAAGTAAGCTATTGATAAGATATATATCTAATATGCAAATACCATATATACTTAAAAGAATTCTATAATTGCATTTTGGTATTAAAGAGGAAAAATCTTAAACAAAAATGATAAAAAAATATAGTCTAGTAGGATTATTTATTATTTATTAAGAACTAAATGAAAGATTTGCATTATGATTTATAAATATAATGACATCTCAATATTACCTTATGTTTTAATAGAAAATAAACAGTAAAAAATTGTAAATAATGAGATTCAAAATAAAACAGACGATAAAATAAATAATTTTAAAAGATGCTTTATAATTAAATAGATCTGAATAGCTAAATACTATTCTATAATTGTATATAAATTATCTTTAAAACGCCTAAACATAATTTATTAAGTCAGATCAAGATAATTTAAATTAACATGTGATTAAATAATATTATTAAGATTATCATTTAAAAACTGAATATTTCCAATCTAATCAATTAAATTTCTTAAATTCTCACTCAAACAAGAGGTAGTATTCGAGATGTAAATCAGAATAAGTAGGCGAATATTTTGATGATGTCAATAAATTAATTTAATTAAATAAATTCACAATGCCAATTACGAGTAAAATTTGTACATAATATTTGTAGATGATATCTATCAGGAGTTGCTTGACTTTGAAGAAAGATACCACAAAGGATCAGAGAAATATGATGTTATATAAAAATTGATTGATTTGTATGCTTTGTTAATCGAACATTATGACAGCATCCAAGTAAAAAATTGAATGATTGTAGGATCCAGTTGGATATTATTTTAATGAGAAACTGTAATCGTTGTTTGCTTGTCAAAGAGCCCTGAAGAGCATTCGTAAAACCAATTAAGACTTGCCTCCATCGATGCCTAGTCATACATAGAGTTTAATAATATAAGAGACTAGCAATATTCAGAACAGTTAAGAAAGTGCTAAAGCAAAGGTATGAAAAATTATCTAATATCAAGTAAACCATAGGTGTTGAACACAAAAAGAGAGAACGTTAGACAAAGGCAAAGATTGCAATGGAAATACAAGACAAGATTGAATGCAGCTAGAATGATTTGTAGCATCTAATAAGTGGATATTAAAAAGCATCTGATTAAACATAAAAAGTGATAGAGGAGGATCTTAAGCGATAAGATGAATCGTTTTTGTAGAGAAGACTCAAAAGAGAAAGTATAATTCCATATTGATAAAAGAAACAAATTTAATGAGAAAATCCAGTAGAATGTGTTCGACCAAATGCAGTACTGAAAGATTGGATCTATTTGAAAGTTGTATTGAATTTTCAAGCGGAGGAGTGGATTAGATTTAGGAGATTAATAATGCTCGATTGATGTTGCTTCTTAAAGAATAATCTGGCAAAATCAGTTCTGAAAAGACAAATCCCATAGCACCAGAATAAGTGGAGGAAGTGTAACCTTTTGAAGAGATACAAATAGAAGAGATGGATGAAACTGAAAATATCATCATACCACCTAGAAGATAAATAAGAGAATCATCTTCAGAAGATATTACGGATTCTCCACCTCAACCAAGACGAAAAATATAGTAATTTGGAATGATCGATAACAATGGTGATATGCTAATCGAAGATGAATAGAACTTAATAAGTGATTTAAATATCGAGTTAAATTGAACTTGATGTCTTGAATTAATATATTTGCATTTGCATTATGATTATTATCAATTACATTTTACATAATAGTAGCAATTATGATAATGAGGAAGTCTGTTAATAGTCCTAATTAATCGTATGATAAATAAATTATTGCTTAGTAATGTCATTCTTAATGTAATTGATAATAATAAATAAGATTTTCCATAATTTATTTTTAGGAACATTACAATTCAGAAATACTAAATATAGATTCATTATTTGAATTTTTATAAATGGTTAGTTTTTGCAAAGTCTTAATTAATCATAACAATCTTGAACAACAATTTTTAGAATAATTCATATTTTTATATATAAAAATGTATTCCTATTAAGTATCTTAGATGTTTGACTGAATCGGTAACTGTCTAATTACTTAATATTCTTTTATATTATTTATTAATTAAACATAATTCTGTATGTCAACAGAGGAACCTGAAGCGTAGGGATGTGAATTATTGGGAGGTTTTGGAATAATGGTGTAATCTATTTTGGGATTCCTTTGCTTCTTAGTCCTAGTCTGTAATTAATACAATTTTATCCTAATAGTTAAGAGGCACATTGAAAAACCAAAAAGAGTTTGGAAAATATTTTTAATGGTAATTTTAGAATACATAATATAGGATACTGCTAAATAGTTTGTTAGTGCTGTTGTGTAGCACTTCTTAAATATTGGATTGGCTTTATTGTTGAGTTCTGCAGATAGTGGCGATTAATGTCAATGGTACATAATATTCTTAAGGCAGGTATTTTATTACTTACATGTTGGATTGCACTCTGGGCATGCTAATTAATTGTTTATTGATCACTCTCTTCGAAGCTCTATTTCAAAAGTTAGGCTAGACGGTATGCATCCCAGCAATATTTGTAGCAATTTCAAACTGGCAATTATTACACTATATCCTACCCACATATCACGACCTACTCGATAAGTTCTGGCGATTTGACCGAAACCAAAAAGGCCAAGCCTAAAGTTGAGGTTGCTTATGGAGTGTACATGTTTTAATTAACACTGTGGATTTTAATCGTTGTTGTAGTAAGTTATCACTCAATAAACAAGAGCAAAATTATCCTCTACTTCTTCTAATTACTCTTGGGTGAATATTTATTGACAGCTGTATCATGGATGTTTTAACCTATAAACTAATATCCAGAACTCGAGCTTATTATTGTACTAGTCATCATACCTTTAATATTTAATGCTCTTTGCGTATCAAAACCGGTTATTATAGTTTTGGGTGCAAGATTCATTTCTCAAGAAAAGCAAATTTAAGAAGAAGGAAAAAACAGCAGTCTTGGATGCTCTATATGAGAAAACTGATGAGCCTGTGGAAGTGGAAATAGTAGACGGAGATGAGAGCTGTAGACCTTCAATAACAGGAATTGAGTTACAGCCCTAGTAGATAAAAAATGAATTAGTGTCTAGTGTTCAAGTAAACGAATAGCAAACTAATTCATCAATTGAAGTTTGATGAACAGCGCAACTTTTTCTATATATTTTTTAATCACACTCTTATAGATTCAAAAGTTTTGTTTTTTTAATATTTGAAATCACTTACTTTCTGAATGAGCATTAATTCTAATTAATATTTGATTTCATTTGAACTTAAATAAAATTGATAAAATTCATCAAGTGAAATTAATTGCCACGTTTCAGGCAAAAATTAAATATTTCAAAACAAAAATATTTCTATTATATTTTATAAAAATATAATTTTCATAAATTCTATTTTAATTTTTTAATTAATAATGCAAGAGAATAAATTTAATTGCATTATGATTAAAAGCAGTCTTAATCATTCTCATAATAATGATAATGAATTAAATCCTATAGACACAAACTATTATTATATCAACTACCTTTAACTTTAAATTGAATGTAAGAACAATTTATTTTTAGATTGAATCTATGAATTAGTCATTTAAAGCTATAATTTTTATAAAAGACGATTTAAATTATAAATATATTTCAACTTCTGTTTTTTTCATCATTCCAAGCTTAATTAAGTTCATAAAATACTCTTTCAGCAATATATCTTTAGACAGGAGGAGTTGAATTATGTTTATCAGGATGCACAATTAATAAAGCTTGACGATACTTCAACTAATAATTTAAATTTATTAAATACTTTGACTTTGCCTTCAGTCATCAAATCTCCTATTGAACATTGCCAATTTGTTCCTTCCCATAAAACATCAGTTAATGTAGTCAGAAGCAACCTTAGATTGTTTCTTACATTATTCTTTTAGGCCCATTTTAATATTTTTGGTTCTACCTCATCTTTAGCTTGTTATCTCAAGACATTATAATCTTACTCTTCTTACCAAATCTTTTATAGACCCTCAGCTGCTTATTCTACTCTCAAATCAACAATTTATTTATCTGTTAGTCCTTCGTATTAATCATTAGACTATTATTACGATTGGGATGGAGCATCGAATTAAAATAGATCCCCATCTTTTCCTTGAAATTGCTCATTTAAAACAGTAGTTTATTTATTAGTAAGCGTATCAAATTCAAATAAATCTTAGCCTTTTTTGGCTTATTGCTACTATGGTTTTTGTTAGAATTACGTAAATTGATCATCATTAGAATCTGATTGAGCATTCAACCCTTTGAATTGTGAGGAATCTTTATCATTTTTCAGTCTTTTGGTTTAATTTTGAGTAAAATTGGGGAAATTCTAATTGTTAATATCCAAATCTGCTTGACTGATTGGTTGTGATTAGGTATGATGATTTGGTTTAAAATCTAGTTTCTCAAATGCTTCTAAAAGATCGCCACTTTGACTAGTCCCATTTGATTAATTACTCAAATGCCTATTGCTTAGTCTTTCACTACCTTGCTGCAGAGTTTACTTTTAATTTTATTACTATTGCAATTTAGGTGATGAATTGGATTGGGATTGCTATCCTTTATTTTAAGTTGACTGTAATTGTTAAATGGGATTTTATTGGACCCTTAGATCTCCTACTTTATAATCTTAGGATACACTTTCAACCATTTTCTTGGCGATTCTACTATATGAAAGATCTGAAAGAATTAAGATTTTAGCAAAAACAGTATCATTAACAACTGGCACTTTGGCATTGGGATTAGAGATATCAAACCAAGCATATCTTTAATAAAATTAATCGATTTACGTCTTCGGTTCAATGTCTTAAACAAATATCTTGAATCGAATGTGATGAGTAGTAATCTTAAATGGGAATTGCTGTAATATATTTTTCACTATCAGCTACAATAAAGTTAGATAATTGTTGTACTTCCTCTCCTTAGAAAAAGAACATAAATTGTGCCTTTGGTTCATTTTGAAAAAAATATACAATAGGAACCTATTTCATTAATTTATATAATAAAATTCTTAGTCACAAATATTCTACATATGATCCATCTACTTCTAGATACAAGGCAAAAACAAAGTAAATTTTAATTGATCTTCCATTATTTTTCAAGACAACAGGGAATCTCTCAAACTTTTATTTAGATATATCTAACTATACGATTTTCCCATTCAATTAGTAAATAGACAAAAATAATAATATTTAACATCCATTTTAATGTTATATGAATTAAATTGAATAAATCAACCACTGGTGTATTTGGTGACTGCTTTTGTTCCTTCTGAGATGGCATGTCTGGCCAATTCTCCTGGAAGAAGCAACTTGACTGCTGTTTAGATTTCCCTTGAACTGAGTGTTCTTCTCTTGTTGAATCTAACCAATTTGCTGGCTTCAAGAGCAATTCTATCAAAGATATCATTGATGAATGAGTTCATAATGTTCATAGCTTTTCTTGAAACACCAATTTCTGGGTGAACTTATCTTAAAACCTTGTAAATATAAAGAGCGAATGTCTCTTATCGTCTTCTTGCCTTTTTTTTATCATCTGATCCCTTCTTTGTCTTGACTGTTTTGACTGTCTTTTTAGCTGCGTCAGCCTTTGGTGATTTTGATGGTGCCATTTTAATTAATTTGAAAATAATATTTATAAGCCAATACTTAATGTACTTTTCTCGCAATTTGATTGGCTAATTAGGAATATTTGAAATATAGGCTCTAAAATACTCAACAGGTACCTAATGCAGTACTATATCTAATACTTAACTAAAAAGAATGGCTTTGCGTTGGAGTATAATAATACAAACAAAAATTATAATAGTTAGAGATGATGTCAACATTAATCAAAAAATCAAACAAACCAAATAATCAAAGCATTTCCCACCATATTGTAATCCATCCTAAGATAGAATCTAAATTTATTATTTAAACATATAATTTCTTAATATCTCTAAAAAGATAAAGTTTTTATAATTTCAGACATTCATATTTAACGAGATTTTAAATCAATTTTATCACACAGAAAAGATTAACTAATTGAAAGTTTAATTATCAATTATTTTATAAGACATTTTTACATTATAATTATAAAATAAACTCAAAAAGTAGTCCAATATTGTGTTATAACAAGTAATTAACCTCAGAGAGAACATTCTTTGGGATAACAAGGAATTGATAGAGTGAATATAAAATTATACACTTAAATGAATGACCAATATAAAATGCAATATTATTTATTCATAATGCTCTAGATGATTCCAAAGCTTTCTTAATTAATTTATTCATTGCAAAAACATCTAGACCTCCGAATTAGGCAATATATTTCCCTTTCTCAAATAAGTATACATATGGTAATGTAGTTGGAGCAAATTATTTGACTATTTGATAGCATCCCTCTTTTTCATGATCTACAACAAAGATGTTGATGGCACCTGTTTATTGGCTCAGTCTTTTTCGTTATTAATCCAATTCTTTTTTCATTTAGGTTACTAGGTTCAGACTTGGTTGACACCTTGAGATAATGATGATATAAAACCATTCTGCTGTAAATATTAAGATGGCCACTCTTTCTTCAATGAGAATGGATGTCTTGAATTCATCAATATTTTGAAGTGGAATAATTTTTGAGTCCATTTAATAAATTAATTATTTACATACAATTTCATAATACACTTTTTTTACCAGCTGTGTTAATAAAGGTTCTTAATTACCATTCGACAATGGCTTCCTTCTATCCAATAGTACCCAAGGTAATTTTGTATGGTTTTAATTCAAATCTTGGACCTTATTCATTTAGATCAACTTGATTGAATGATTTCTAATAAGTGTGATGTCTGAATGAAATGACTCCATTTTCATTGTGAAAAGTAAGGACTCTTTTGCTATCTATTTTAGGGACTGGGAATAGATGCTTTAGAATGGTGGTGACTCTTTCTCCCAACTTGGTTGAGAAGTTATCAAAAATCAAATGAGGATACTGCTCAGACAGGGGATCTAAGATAACCATGATAGATAACCTGCTCGCACATCCAAATCATGACGCAAGACAGCATTTTTTACTCCAAAATAGATGGTTGGACCCAAGGGCATATGGGATATAATCAATCCATCGGGTTCTCCTCGATGCTCATGAACAATTATAAGATCTGAGAAATTTTTTTGTTAACAATGAATGACGAGATCCTTGACCACCAAGGCACCTCGATTAACTCTAGTGCAATTGGGGAATATTAATCCCATCTCTTTCATTAAAGTAATCAACCTCTAGGATGGAGATCTACTTGTAGTCAATACTATTTGAGGTTCTCTATAAAAACTCATAGCATATTCATCATCTAAATGAGTTCTTGGCACTAACGAATAAGGATACTGATCAACCTATGGTGTTATCATCTTATGCATTGATTTCTTTTCTGAGATTCTCCTCCTCTCTGTAAAGGTCAGTTGGGACATTCTTCCTTTCAATTTCAGCATTGAGCAATCTCATTTTGTTATCATACTTCTGCTTTGCTCTTTTTTCGTCTTCTATCCTCATGAGATACTCCTTTCTAAGTCTTACGTTCTTTCTGAGCATTAATTAAAATTATGAATAATGATAATTAGAATGCTTAGGTGATTCTAAAAGCAAATCTCGCAAAGACCAGAATTACCAAGATTCTACAAAAAAAACCACACTTCCAACTAAAGCTCAAGCTAAATGCACTTGAATCAATACTGTCCAATTTTCCTACGCAAGATGAGTCTCCCCCTCAAAAATCATTGCAACCACTTTAATCATCCTCAATTCTAAATAAAGCCAAAGAAGCTTTAACCTCTCGAAGGCAAAGGATCAATTTCGATTCAGTCTACTTGGATCTTAAGAAGGAGACCTTTGAGGATGATTCCTATAATTAATTGATTTTTGATAATCTTGATAAATACATCTCTCACGATGAGGCAGTCTAATAGAAAGCACCTGCAATCAACAAGCATAAATCTGAACAACAAATAATTCATGGATACCAGATGCTACCAAAAATAGCTGTTAGTAATCAGATCAAGCGAAAAAAGGAAACTATGAAGCTACTTAATTAACAATTGAAGATGGATTAACAGTTAGTCAAGCAGTAAACCTTGAGGGAACTGTAATAAATGAAGTTGCCTGATATATTTAAAGGTGTTACGATTAATGACTTAAAATATCAAGAAAATATCCAAAAGTTTATGTTACAAGGAGAGTTCTATTAACAGTGGAAAAAGTCATTTAAATTAAACAAACCACCCTCTTTGGTTCAATCATTTATGAGCATGAACTAATATTTATTAGACTCAGCTGATTACTTAGATAAAGTGAATAAGATTGAGAAAAAACAGTTAACAGATCAGATGGAGTCTTTGAATGAATTTTTAGGAAATCAATATTAAAAATTGAAGATCAAAACTGATCCATACTGATTACAATATTTATTCTACTTATTTTTGTTAGATTATCAAATTATATAAAATAAAGACATAAATCATAAATCACTATTCGCATATCCATCAAAATATATTTAATCGTTATTTAGATATTAATAAAGTTTAATCACTATTGGATTGCAAATACTATTGAATTAATTAAAATCTTACTTTTGTACTTCTTCCAGCTTTTAGTCATAAATCTCTTTATAGCTGTTTTAGCTTTTCTACAGCCAATCGAATGTCTCTTACAGAACTTGCTGGATGGTCTCTTTTTCATCGTCTGATAATAAGTTTGCAAGCCATTCAGGGTCCTTAAGTAATGAGATAAATCTTACTTCAATTTAATTTTTTATCATAAAGATGTAATTCTCTAAAGAATTCCTTGCCTCTACCATTTCTTTTACTTTTTTATCATAAAGTACTAATATTTCTGCTTCTTCAATCATTTTATCTATTTCTTCTTATGAAAATCTATCAGAATAATTTTGTATGATAAGTGTATTAGCTATTCCTGACGACTACTCCACAGCTGAAACTTTGAGTATGCCATCAATATCAATATCAAATGTAACTTCAATTTAATGAGTTCCTCGGGGACTTTGGGGAATATCAGTTAATTCAAAAGTGCCTAATTTATGATTATCTCTGACAAAAGGTCTTTCACCTAAGTAGACATTAATCGTTACTGTTTCTTGTTCTTATTGATTTGTTGTGAATGTTAAAGATTTCCTATTTGGAATAATGGAACCTCTTGGAATAACCTTTGTGAATACTCCTTCAGAAGTTTCAACACCTAAACTTAACTGCGTAACATCCAACTGAAAACAACCCCTAGGTTTATTAAACTCTTCACATAGAATGCCTCCCTATATGGCAGCTCCATAACAGACTGCTTCCTCTGGATTTAATCCAGTTTTGACTTCTTTTCCATTAAAGAAGTCTTTGACAATTTCTCTAATCTTTGGGATTTTAGTAGAACCACCAGTTAAGACTATTTCGTGTATATCTTCCTTATTTAAATTTGAATCTTCCAAAGCCAATTTGATTGGTTAAATTATTTTTTAGAATAAATCTTTATTCAATTCTTCAAATTAGGATCTTGTAAGAGTTTCTTAAAAACTCAGTCCATCAACTAAATCTTCAATCTCAAGTGTTGTCTCATAAGTATATGATAGTGCTATTTTTGCCTTTTCCACCTCTCTCTTCAACTTTTGAATAATTCTCTAATTTCCACTAATATCTATTTTGAGTTTCTTCTTGATAATTTTTAAGAAATGATCTATCACTCTGTAATTAAAGTCTTCTCCTCCTAATTAAGTATCTCCAAAAGTAGCTATTACTTCAAAGACTCCATATTCTATCTACAGAACAGATACATCGAATGTTGCACCTCCTAAATGAAAAACTAAAACGTTCTTCTCTCCTGCTAACCTATCAAGATTATAAGCGATCGCTGCTGCTGTTGGTTCATTTAAAATTCTCAATACATTTAAATCTGCTATTATTCCGGCAACCTTAGTGGCTTATCTTTGAGCATCATTGAAATAGGCTGGAACAGTTATTACAGCGTTCTCTACTTTCTTTCCTATAAAGGTTTCTGATATTTCTTTCATTTTCTTTAAGACTATTGCTGAGATCTCTTCTGGAGCAAATATCTTGGAGGGCAATCCCATAAAATTCCTAACCATGATTTAAGCTTTATTGTCTTTTTGGACTATTTAGTAGAACATCAACTTTTTATCTTATTGGACAGTTGGATCTGTGTATCTAGATTTAAATTCTCAATTTACTTTCTTCCTATCAATCTTTTAACATCATAAAGTGTTCGTAAAGGATTGAATGTGGCCTGATTCTTGGCTGCTTCTCCTATCAATCGTTCTTCATCCGTGAATGCCACAACCGACGGAGTTATTCTGTTTCCTCTCTCATTTGGAATAATTTCAACAGTTCCTTAAAGAAAGATACCAACACAAGAATTTGTGGTTCCCAAATCAATGCCTATAACTGGACACACTATCTCATTTGCATATTACGATGCCCATATCCCTAGTACAAGAACAAGTATAAAAATGGTCTTCATCACTTATGACGTGTGAATAAAATTAATTTCTAATTTCCAAAGATTTAAAATTTTCTTATATATTACATCTCCCACATTATGTGTTCACACACAGTTTAATTCGAATTTATAATAAGTTGCTGTAAGATTTTAAACTACCTTTAATGAAACTATATTCCTATTGAATATTACCATCTCAAAAAAGCACTTGGAAATTTAAAAATCTAAATTTAAATGCATAATCTTACAATAAATCCTTACAAATAAGAACTATTTTAATTGATTCACTCTTCTGAATATTAAAATGATTTCGATTAGACTTCTTTTTTAATTACACACCATTGTAGTATCTGTTATCACTGAGCGATATTACTTAGCATTATTTTATAGAATAAATACAGGAAATTAAATATTATTAGAAATCAAAAAAATGTTATTAAAATAAGAATCTTTTTTTTCATTAATTAATACATGTTGTTCCTTCTTATACTTATTTCCTAAGCATTTGCAGACTAATTAGTATTATCGTAAATTTTATGGAGACACGGTGCTCGTACTCCACTTCATTGTAATTGGAAATGCGAAGAATTTAAGTAATAGGGGATGTTGAATGGGTACTTGACAGCCACCGGAATGAGACAACATTTTGTTTTGGGATAATGGTTGAGAAAGAGATACATTGAGGACTAGAAATTTTTGAGTTAGAATTACAATGAGGCAGAAATCTACATTGAGAGCACAGATGTAAATCGAACGATAATGAGTGCATTGAGCAATCTTTAAGGCATGTATCCATTAGGAACAGGTCCAAAAGTAAATCCGAATCTTGATCACTCCTATCTACTTCCTCCCAACGAAATTACTTTCGAAGATTTGGGAAATGAAGCCATTCCTGGGTTATTGCAAGTAGTTCCCGTTCACGTAAGAGAGAAGAAGGCAGACATCTATTTAAGAGGATATGATCCCGTGGCTTGTCCAAGAAATGAAGAAATAATTAACAGCAATGTCAATTCTAAATTGTACCATGAAATCAATCTCAAGTCCTAATCCTTAATATTGGATTTAGCAGAACAACTTGGAATCGATGCATCCCTATTAGTATAAATAGGAATATCATTTAGAATATCACAGATTTATACGAATATCAAGACACATTCGATTCTTGTGAATTCAATGGGTACTCGCTCCCCAAACTCAAAGAAAGCACTAAGGCTTAGATGAAACTCCTCCAGTATTTGTACTTCTCTCTTGAGCATAATATAGACTTTGAGTAAAAATGATTGATATATTTCAGTTAAGCTCGTCTTTTGGCCACTCCATTCTTTACCAAAGTCTTGGACAATATGGAGAATGTGTTAAACAAACTAACAAAGCACAAGTTCAGAATTTTCTCTGCTCATGATACAACTGTTGAACTGATTTTGAATGCTCTTAATTTAACAACTGTTGAGTGTCTAAAACAAGTGTATTTCAAATAGGAAGTATCGAATAAGAACTGCATCTACACCTTCCCAGGCTATGCTAGCAATATTATATTTGAATTGTATAAGAAGCAGGGATTAGAGGATCAGTATTATGTTTAAGTCTTATATAATGGCACTGTGATGCCAATTTGCAATAATAAATACAAGTGTGATTATGAAGAATTCACTTCCATTATTCAATTACAAAATGTAAAGAACTATGAGGAGGAATGCTGGTTAGTAATATTATCTTTTGTATTCTATAGACTCCCAAAATTCAAAAAGAAATAGCCACTTGGTTAGTTGTAGTCATTAGTGTTGCATTAACTTTGTTGTTTGTGTTCTCCATATGCATTATTTATTTATCGGTAAGACAGAAAAGATTGGACTAATATGTAAAAGGAGTTTAATAATTTGAAGCTTGAAATTATTAATAAAAATTTATACTAATATAATCAATTTCTTAGTGAAAAATTCACAAATGAGGTGCAAAATAGTGATATTATTAAAATTATGAGTTCTCATTTGAAATCAGAAACCCAGATCAAAATACTGTCACCCCAAAACAATTTTATCTCAAGTTCATAGAATTTCAAATAGGATTCTCAAAGAAATACTGAATTCGATAATGTCCAAATTGCTCATAGTATGAGTAATTCTGTAAATAATCTCACTCCTATGAAATTGCAATAACAACCCAGGAAGATATCTGGCAATCAACTTTCTGTTTCCAGAACAGAAAATATGATAATCTAATGTCAAATATGCGAAAATTTAGATGATATGAATTTAATATAGCCTTGTCAATGCGAAGTATTAAAACTTGATTTCTAATTAGAACTTCTACCATTCAAGCTGTTTTAAAAAGAAACTGCTAGCAACAACTGGACCATTTACAAATGATGTTACTACATGTTCTAATTGTGGAATTGCGTATAAGATTAGGAAAATAGAGGCTTATCAATAAAAGAATTTTGTATCCTTTTAAATCTTAGCATTTTTAGAGTAAAATAACAGAACTCGTCTCCTTCTTAATCAGACTCATCATCACTCTGGGTGGCTTGAGTGGTCTCTCCTATTGGTTTTATAAGGAAGTTTAGCACCCCGAAGAGATGTCTTCGTTAGTTGCAATTATAGTGTTGCTGATACTATTGTTGGTTCTTTATTTGGTTTACATGATATTGGAATTGGTTAGAGGCAATGTCGGAGTTGATTGGGAGATTCTTGATTAGAGACAGGATATTGATCACATCATCAATCCAGATGAGTTGAATTTGATAGAGAATAGAGGGAGAGATCTTAGCAATAGTCAAAGGCCATAGGTCATATAACATATTGCAAATGTTTAATATCCTCAAATTTCAACATCGGAAATAATCTAATGATTAATAATTAATATTATGAATAATAATATTGAGTAAAAGTCTTAAATTTAAATTCTCTAGTTTTTTGAGTATTAAAATTCAGTCCAAAGCGAGATCGAAAAATCTAAAAAGATCTTGTAAACTTTATTAGATTAAAAAAAGAAATTGTATAATGATAAAATCCTCCAACATAAAGAAGTTCAAATGTAACAATAACAATAAATTGATTAATATAAGAAGCTAATCGAAGAACAGCAATTCAAGTTGAAATCAAAAGGGAATAAGGAGAATATTTAAATCCAACTTGGTTAATTAATCTCGTTTCAATAAGAGTAAAACCAGAAGATCGAATCCCTCATCGAATAATCTTGCAATGAGAATTCAAATTACATAAAGTTATAAGAGAAACTCATTAGTATATATTGTTCATTGAATCTTAGAGTGTTAGAATGATATTAATTAACTTAAGGAAGACAGAGAGATGAAAGAGAAATTAATAATTTAATTATAGCAAATAACAGGAGTGTATTTGGAATATGATTATCATCAGAAGATCCTTGACATTCAATTGGAATACAACTAGAATATTCACATTCAAATAAAATTCGAAGACAAATTAAGAAGTAAATAATTTAATTAACTATAAATTTAGTTCATACCATAAATCCTAAGAATGAGCATTTCTATTAATTAATTAAAGAATTCAATCAAGATAACTAATTGGATAAACTTATATAAAGGATTTAATCATTTAATTGACAATCTTATATGTGTATATATAAGTAATCAAAACAAGTCCATGCCTTCTCCTTTCTTCCTCCAATAATTACCTCTGTATTTATAAACCATCTCGTTTGTGCATGGTTCCTTAATCAATTCAAAAAATTATGGCATATGCTTTTAACCAGCAATTTGCATTTCCTTTCTTCTCTATCTTTGTTTCTATTCCAATCGATTCTTTTCATCGGCTGCCAAATCAATGAACCCATATTCCAAAGCTAGCTAATCAGGTCTTAATCTACAATCAGTGCATGGGAGTGATTTAATTAGATCTATATTGAGTAGATTCAAATTCATAGCAAATTTAGTAAAGTAGAAGTAATTTTTATAATCTTAAGGTAATTCATATCTCTTCCATACAACAGTTTCTTATCCTGTTTAAACATTAAGAGCAATCAGCTAATCATTCCATTATCCTTTCAATTTATACTTTTCTTTTCCATGACTATCACAAACAGTGCCAACCATTTTAAAATTTTCAGAAAGAGTCAACACTCCTTTGTCATTAGTAGTATGATTATGAAAAACCATTTCACCAATATGTTCAATGTACATGTTTCCAAAAATGATATTGTGAACTTTTGTAGTGCATTTATTATAAGAGATTTGATCATTACATTGTTTTAGTTTAATGTAGACATTTCCTATAGGTTACACCTCCATGGATCTGGGGGACATCTTAGTCTATAGATCTGTTTACATCTACATTTCAAAATCATTCGATTCTGCAAAGCCAGCAGATATAGGAGGATGATGAGAAACTTATTCACTTACAAATCTGAATTACTTATTTTAGATTTCGAAAGTCTCACCTAAAATAGGATTAAATGGTTTCTTATGTCTATCTATATTACTAGAATAAGCACTGACTCCAAATCCCATAACATAGCACATCCTGAGCCACTAGTCTTATTCTTGATTGGCTTCAATTAATGTTTGATAGTATTCTAGATTCTCAGCCAATCTTTAAAGCATAGACAAAGGCTCATTAAAATATACAGGAACAGCAAACTTTGAAAGATCTTTACCAATCAAGTCCTTAATTAAACTCCAAACTTTCAGCTTCTCATTTGGGTCTTAAGTTCTAGGTAAAGCAGTTCTAAATTGTTGACTTGTGAATTAGATTTTTTAGAACACAGAATTGTTTATAAGATTTTTCTAAGATCAATAATATATTTACATATTTAATTGGTTAGTCGTATCTAAGAGGCTCTAAGATGTCTTGGATTGACAAAGAACTACTAGAACTAATTGCTGAACTTTATCTATTGAAATCGTCAATCCTGCTGGAGATATTTCTAAATGATTAAAATAAAGTTTAATTATCTCCTAAAAATTATTTCAAAAATACCTGACTGTTGAGTTTCTAACTTCTCTTTTTCCACTTCCAACAATTAAGTGCATATTGTCACATTCATTTTAATCTTTTATCCTAATTCACTTAATTTCTCAGCCAATTCTACATACTTTGGTTATCTCTCCAATTTAGGTACAAGTATGTTTAGGGTTTCATCAACTAATTCTAGAAAGGCATTATGATACATGCTGCTTGTGTAACCCAAATGTCAGTTAGAATGTCATTCACTTCTTTGATATGATCTCGAGAAATAGTTTCCTAACAACTTTCTTAAGCTCTTTTTAAAGCATTCACCCATTCTATTTTTTCAGGTACACTCGAAGCTCTCAACTATATTTCGTTTGTCCCTGTGTTTAAGATGATTCTTAAAGGATCTTCAGGAACCAATATGATTGCGGCCACCTTTAAATGGACTTAACCTTTGGATTATCCTCCTTGATGCTCACAATAATGGAGAATGTGATCATTCAAAATAAAGTATCTGTCTTGCCACCTAGTAACTATGTTAGTCCACTTTTTAAGATATCCTTCCATAATAATATTATTATAAATCAAATCTTTTGTTATATACTTATATATTGAACTTATAATAAGTAATTAATACATTATTCATTCAAAAATATTACTAATAATATTGATCAATTCCTTTTAATTCATTTGTAGATGATCGAATGTTCACAGACAGATTATTCAATTATTTACACAACAACAAGAATTACACAGAAATTTAAGAATTTAATTCATTATTTGATTTTATGAAGAATGGTCCTTTTCAATATGATTAAACCATTTTTTATTACTGGGAATGTACTACTTCTTTATGGGAAACATCGGAGTAAGTATCATTACTGTTATCAACTGAATTTAGTGTTTACTCTATGATTATTGCATAATACTTTTTGGATGATAAGAAAATTTTGATGTGATATAATTTAAAAGTAAAGGAAATGAATTAAGTCACATTAATGAAAAATCAAATAAGATGTAAAAGAATGAAGTTTTTTTAAGAAGTAAAACAGAATACTGATATATTTATATTCGATTTATAGAAAATTGAAACACCCATATAATAAGGTTTAAATTTTACTAATCCGAAACAGTATAAAGTAGAATGACTTGTAGAAAATTACTATTATTATTAAAGGAACTCAACCATACAATTAATTTAGAAACCAAGTCTCAATAATTTTATATTTATATTAGGAAATACTGCGTTTATTAATGTAATAATTTTCATTAATTAAAAAATATATCTAATCTCTGTGATTAATATAAAATATCATATTAACTATAATATTATTAATTAAATATATCATTTTAAAATGAATCCCATTTTGAAATCAAATAGCAAGTCATTTTTCAAAAAGGCAAATTTCTATTATTTCAGAATATCACATCTGTCCTATGAAGAGACTTTCAGACTCTTATTCATCCTTTTAGCATGTAATTCTAATCGATAACTACTAGCTATACTTTCCTTCTTTGTATTTGATGCCTTACGTTTCAGATAGTACTTAATAATGACTGACATTCCTGTAATATCCTATTCCAGTTTCAGCATCATGCTATTGGGATTAATCATCGTTCATGTAAGTGAAATATTAAAATTATAGTACTCCAAATGGACTGTAAATTTCTTATTCCATGATTTTGTATATAGGACCATATCAGCGTAATATTCTGGAGAATTCAGAGACATCAGGGTTAAAAAAATTTTAAAATGGCTATTTGATGGAGTATACTATTCAACAACTTCTGTACATAATGAGATTGAATATATTTAGATACTCTGTTGGTATTTCTTTCGCGAAGAGCCTTGGTATCCAAATGGGTTGGGAGGTACCAATTACACAGGTATTTGGTAGGATTTTCCTAATATGATCAATGTAACAATTGATATAAGAATTTTAGAATAAATGGGTGATCCCCTTCTATATGATTCAAACAGCGAATCATTTATATGCCTTGATCCACTTGGCAATAAAGAGGAAGGAAGTAGAAACCAAGTATTGGGAGTATATGTTGCATCACACTCTTGCAACCTGTCTGCTCATCTTCTCATCCCTTTATAATCAATGTTAGCATATCTTATTTATTATTTAGTTCGATTCGGAATTGTTGTATTGGGAATTCATGATATTGCTGATATCATTTTATCTCTCTCAAGGGCTCAACATGACTTAAAATCAATCAAATCTCTCATGTATATCCAATACGTATTGCTTTTATTCACATGGATTTATACCAGAGTGATCATATTTCCTTAAATTATTTTGGAGGCAATATTGAATTACTCAGACTAGTAATGAAATTTTTATATAATTTTCAAGTCCTGAAGCTGCATGGGGTAACAAGTACCTCATTGTCCAGATGTGCATCTTGTTTGGTATGCACATATATTGGACCTACTTTATGATGCAGATAGGAATTAATGTGTTTAAGAAGGGCAAAAAATACGAGGAAATAAACACGTATGACAACAAAGAAATTCTGAAATAAGAAAGAAATTGATAACCATTGAAAATCAAACTATAAAAAAAAGTTAATTATATAAAATAATAAAAATATTAAAGTAATTAAAATTTCTTAATTACATCCCGCATTATTTTTGATTTATGCAATATTTATATAGAGATTGAGAATTCAAATTGAAAGAGTTATTAAATCAATATGCGCTAAATTGAGTTTCCTCTGCAATTATTGTATCTTGATTAAATTTAACTTTTTTCTTGATAATGTTAACATATTCTGTACAAGAATTGCTTTTGGGAGTTTGATCAAAAAATGTTTAAAATTTTCTAAGAATATTAGTATAAATTTATACTCTTAAAAGATTGTCTGTAATTCATCGATCATCTCTTGTTTCATATTAAAACAATTTTCTATATGCAACCAATATTGAAACTTGGTTTCAAATGATTGCATTCCTAATTTACAAATTTGACTCACGAAATCCTCCCCTACTATTTGTTATGAAAAATATTATTCAAAAAATATGGTACCATAAATGCTAAAATTATGTATATTAAGTACTTGTGTTAATTTTTATACGACCAAGTTGATAGATCAGGCTGTATCTCTTTTTTCGATTAAAAATATTCCAAATATATTTCCCTGGTCTTACATTAATAAGGAAAAGTCTTGTGTTTATTATCAAATGATAACAACAATGATGGATAGCATAAAACACCTCTCCTTTCTTGTGCCATTGAAGATTAAGGATTTTGAAGTGTTTACTTATTCCAATTGATTAATTAACCCCAGATAAACTAAGGAGTGTATTATTTAGACAAGGCCAATTTGGATTTATTTTTTGGTTAAGGAATATATTCGAATTCATTCTCCTCAAAAGGTTTCGAATCGAATCCTTAGTATTGGGTAGATGAAAAGTATGTGTGGGTAAATGACATAAAGTACAATATGGTAGCAAATGCTTTGTTATTGAATGAGCAAGATTCTATATTTAAAATAATCTCACTCAATAAAAGGAATAGCATTCTAGTCAATTCTAGAGCGTAAATACTATTTTGATCAATAATCTGCTTCATCTATTTTATTATTTCTAACCCTATACTGCACTAATGTTATTATGAGTGTCTTTTCAGGAATATCACAATTTCATTTATTATGGATGACTCCAACTGAATCTTCTGAGTGTTGGATCCATAATTCTTCCAGAATTAGTCGAAAATGTTAGTTACTAGAAAAATAGGCGGTTACACCGTCTTCAAATGTTATAATGCAAACTTAACTTTGTCAACACAGGAAAATATATTAATATAATTTTATTGATGGTTGAGTTTCTACCAATTCGCCAACCACTCAGGAATATCGCTCTGAGTGTTTTGGCAGCTCATTAGGGTAGATTAAAGCAAAATTACATTTCTTTATATATAATTTGGGTAAATGCTACTTTGATGGGCATTTTCCATTTCGAGATGCTATACTCTCTTGCAATGCAATGATCCGCATAGACACTAGTCCATACAAGTGAGAGGAAAAGGCAAAGTCAATTCTTCTAAGTAATTTATTTTCTTTGCTGTCATAACTGCCAATAAATTCTGCTAATTGACAATTACTGTGACTAATCTGCAATTTGGATCACACGAATATGAAATGTGCTAAGCCATATTCCCATACCGAGTGGGGTCAATAAACTAAAAATATTTTTTAAACATTACCAATAAATCATCATTTATGAAGAATTCGACGTAAGGACTTTACGAACATGTCTTTCGATTGCCATCTTGCATTCTCTTGTTGAATATTGTTTATTTTTCAAACCACCTTTAAGGCGAATAAACTTCTCCAAAGTAAAAACATATAAATTCATTTGTTGCGAAACCTTCACCCTGGCAACAAACCATTCCCTTTCCCTTCAAAGTAAAAGGATTCAACTGATCTGTCATTTTCAATTGTAAATCGTACAGATTGGACAAGCTCTGAGATAATGTATAATTTAAAATTTCTTACATGTTACAAATTGCCCTTGGTTATGTTAATTGTGGATAGGAGCTGAGGCAAAATAAGTTCATAATCTGGCAATAGCTAAAACAGAGCTCTTGCTACTTCTTGATTGATCCCATATGTGTCAATCAAAATAACATCGACATTCTATTTTTTGACCTAATATGATAAATCTTGTTAAGTTGTGCTCAGAAATTAGTAGGGAGGATAGTTCCAGAAATCCATGGAAAGTACATTATCTTGAATTCTAGTTTAATATAATTAGATTGTACTAGACTAATGATGTAAGAAGCTCATGAATCTCTTCCACTCTATCCTATTAATTCGGAATTAATTCTTGTACTTTGGTTATTGTTTATATATACCTTCAATATAAAGGCTCATCCTCTTTAATTACCTTTTCTCTGTAGAACATAGGCTTTTTAGTGTCTACAGACAGTGGGTACTTATTTAATTAAACTTGTTTTAGTATTATGCATCGAAACTGGAAATGATTAAATTGACTTAATTCAATACGATATAATCGTCTAAAAATATTAAAAATAGAAAGTGTTTGCATACGTGTCTAGGTCTCTAGTTGCTGCTCTAATTCCACAATTAAATCTTCATAATTCCATAAGGGTTTAAGCACCATTTTTTAACATATATTTTTTATTGTTTAAACAACCTACTGATATTATAGAACGTCTGTACATCATCTCCAATCTCTTGATTTTCATAAGTAAGGCAATCTACAATGTACTCTTGCATAAAAAGCACAAACTCTTATCGTTCCTAAAATAACTCCTTAAAATACTTGGTTGTACCGAGTTTTCAAGGATTATAATTGAGCTAAAGGGTGCTCAGAAGTATCAATACCTTGTAAATCCATTTCTTTGTTCTCTTATAATGTTTACTGAGAATAAATCATTTCAAAATTAATAAATGTGTAATTAAAATAAAGCATAAATTTTAGAATCCTATTAATTAATTAAATTGGAGAAGTTCCATGTCTAATTAATTACGCAATCTTTCCGATTTCGAGAGCTCTAACAAAATCAAACAACTGTCATTTTTCGTCACTTTATCGATTATGAGAATAAAAAAGAGTATTAAAATTTTTAATCATAATTAAATTAAAATGCATTTGCTAGCATTTAATTAAAATTTATATAAATATTATTAAAGTCGTGGTAACTTTTTAAAAATAAATTTCGTTATAATCTTCCATTTCAATATCTGAAGCATTTTCAAATTATTTAATGATAAATTTATAAATCTTATTTTTACCCATTCAATTGGAACTGATGAAAATGTAATTCATCATAATTTTTATATTTCCAAAATTATAAGAAATCAATCTAAAATAAATGAGTTGATATATCTTTGATTTCCAACTCATCTCAAAAATTACTCCCTTGGATTTGACATAAGCCCATAGTACTTTTTGTTATTTGAGCATTATTTAAACCTATAGACTCACATTGATGTCCAAGATTTAACCTATGGATATTATAAGTTTTCCAAAATTATTCTAAAATATGATTCAATTTTCATAATATTTCTAAAACATACTCAAATAACTTTACTTTCATTTTTAATATTATAATTGATTTATATTACGGTATGTTTTGTCCTCTTATGTTAAATAAGGAATAGTAAATGTTTAATGTTTAATAATATAAACAACTCATGTCAAAACGGCCTCCAGTCCCAAAGTTTGAAGAAAGAAGTCAAACTCCACCTAAACGAAATTCCTTATTTGATGAAATCACTCATTTGATCATCAAATTCAACCTTAATGCCCTAATTGAAAAACAATGTGTCCAAATAATGACAATCATTCAATTACCCAATACCAATTTCCATGCATAAGCTATAGTCTGCTGTGCCATGCTCTAATTGAATCTGGAATAATCAATGTTCCCGCAGAAAATACAATAATTTGCTTAACACATCAATTATCGACTAAACAACATGTTAACTTAATTGTGCGAAAAGCTTCAGATGGACAAAAAATAAAAAATGCTGTGCCAGTTAATGCATAAAATCATTCATAAATACGTAAACAAACTTTCTAAACCAATTTAACATGCATTGGCAGTCAAAATTGCCTGTGACATAATCTACTACCACAAAGGAGGAATAAGCTTAAGCTTATTAGCCCAGAGTTCTCAAGTAAAAATTGATCAACTGTAATCTTGTCTAAACAGGATAAAACCATTTGCACACACAATTATTTAAAATTATATCAACTACTGCAAACAACACAAGGAGTCGTAATGAAATTATACTTATTTATTTCTCTCATTTACTACATTTTATATATGTTTAAATTCAAGATTCTCTATATATATATTTAATAATCTGAGTGAAACTTTTAATTGGGTAAAATAATTAAATGTTAATTAAAATTAATCAAATTTGATTATTCAGAACAATAAAATGAGAGTGTCGTTTAGAATTTAAAAAATCTTTATTATAATTTATTTGAAGCTAATTGAACAATTTTCTATTAATATTTTATACTGTATATATACACATATACACAATGTGAATCATTTACTCGATGCTAATTAATGACTTATATTAAACAATGTCTTTTAAATTAAATTAAGAATGACTTCAAAATGTGATTAGAATATTAATTAGAATAAAATAAAAATTAATTAATTCAAATTTTTTGGCTTATTCTACATTCAAATATTAGTTTCTATTTTTTTTTCTTTCCATTTCCATCAGGATGGGTCGAAAGTGGTTTAAGTTAATATTGGAACAACACTAAATATATTAGAATAGGAAATATTATATTTCGTTTCTTTTTCAATCATCCTTATTATGAGTTTGTGAAATGAATGATTATATAACTTTTAACTGAATAATTCGGTTTATATGATCAGAGACATTATAAATACTGATAAGATTTGTGTGAAATTCAAAATAAAGATTTTAGATTAATGGTTAGCATAATTAGTTTTTAAGAAATTTTATGTATAATTTATGAAATTAAACCTATTTATTAGTGATCAATAATATAAATATAATAATATGAACAATAACAAGACCATGAAAATTAAAAAATCAACAGAAAAAGGATTTGATCTTGAATCCTGCTTCTTAAAAGGTGAGTCAGATCACTAAGACGGATACATTAAAGATGCTGATTATTATTTTGATTCATATTCTCATTTCAGCATCCACGAAGAAATGCTTAAAGATAGGATCAGAACAAAAGCTTATCAAAATGCCATTCTTAAGAACAAAGTAAATATATTATCTTACAAGTCTAGCAACTTTTCCAAAATAAAATAGTATTGGATGTAGGAGCTGGAACAGGCATTCTTTCAATTTTTGCAGCTTAAGCTGGAGCTAAACATGTCTATGCAGTTGAGAATGCTAACATAGCAATTCATGCAAAAAAGATCATTAGTGATAATGGGCTCAGTGAATAAATTACTGTTGTAAAAGGAAAGATAGAAGAGATTGAACTACCAGTTGAAAAAGTGGACATCATCATTTCTGAATGGATGGGGTAAATGAAATAAACTAAATTTTAGTTACTTTCTTCTTTATGAGTCAATGTTGGACTGTGTACTTTATGCAAGAGACAAATATTTGGCACCTGATGGACATATGTTCCCAGATAAAGCCATTATGTACTTGGCTACCATTGAGGATGATGAATACAGAAAGTCAAAAATTGATTTCTGGTAAAAATCATGTGTTATAATTTAATAGGGATAATGTTTATGGTGTGAATATGAGTTGCATTAAATAATGGGCACTCCGAGAACCTTTAGTTGATTGCTGCAATCCTGAACAAATTAACTCAAACTCCTGTCCTATTTTTGAAATAAATATAAAGACTGTTAAAGTTGATGAATTGGATTTTAGTCATCAATATCTTTTGAAAGTTCAAAAAGACGATTATGTTCATGCTTTGGTTGGATGGTAAATATTTATGACAATATTTAAAGGTTTGATGTCTCTTTTTCAAGTTGTCATGTTCCTGTCAGATTGACTACTTCTCCTTATGCAGAAAGTACTCACTGGAAATAAACCGTATTTTACATTGAAGAGCCTATGGCTGTAAAAAATAATGATATCATCTCTGGAAGTATTGCAGTGAAAAAGAATGCATAAAATCCAAGACATTTAGATATTAAGATTTCTTATAATTTGGAAAATGTATATGGAAAAAACGAGCAAGTTGTGTTGTATAGACTTAGTTGATTATTATCGTATTTTATGCATTATTGATTATTTCATAATTTGATTTAATTACAAATAAGGAAATACCAAAAAGTCACAAATTAATTTAAAAATAAAAAATTTATAAATAAAATTTATAAACTATTTTTATTAATTAACTTAGAATGGAATATCTCATACTATTAACATAAAATAGATATTTCATCTCAATAAATATTTAATTTAAATATTTCCAAATTAAGAAAAAAGAAGTCATAGTGATATTTCATAAGGTTATAGGTAAATGTAGGGATCGATGATTAAATAAAGATGAAAAGTTTAGTAAGTTTATGTAAATAACATCATAATTTAAAATATTGATATTAATTTAAATTTATTTAACAAATTATCATTCGTATCGATCGATTTATAGATTATTAATATTTTATAATCTTTCATTATTAGATATCATAAATATTATGATGGCTCTACAACAAAGTAATTACTTATTCTTAGTAATTAGCTCTGAAGAAATTTGATTTTTTTGGATAATTCATAACTCTAAATATGAACAAGCAAAATTGTTACACCACCTCATTGGGAGGAGTATCCTCCATTATGATAATCATATTTCTTGGAATATTCTTTTACAGTAACATAGTGGGTTTTGTGACAAAGTAAAAGGCTAATGCAAAATTGTAAACTCTTTTCAACATTGATCCTGATATGGTTATATTGAACAATACCAATTTTATGACAGCCTTTTCTATCGATTAAGTGAACTTTACAAGTCAACCCCTCTTCAATATTACTATAGAATAAAAGTAGTAGTAGTCATTAATTTTAGGTATTACCATAGACAAGCAAATGGAACGATGAGCAAAACAAGTTCTTTTTTAGAACTTTAACCTTGCACAATGGATCAATTTACCACAAAAGTTTAGAATGGAAATTCAAAAGCAATCGAACAATAATTTTAGTCTTTAGGAATGAATAATTGGCTTTGTCCAAAGTAAATATCATAGTAAATTTCTAGAGACGATTTTAAATTTAAATTATAAGGCTCTTACGGAAGTGAGGATTTCTATTTCGTTAAGATAACGGTTAAGGATTGTGTGAACACCACAAATCCTTCAATCGATTAATGGAATCCAATTTGTGCAAGTCAGGAGCAATTTGAAAATGCCCTTTCCAGAGACGGCTTTTTTAAACTCCAGGTTTATCAAATAAACACTGTTGTGAATCCTGCATCTCCATCTAATTATCTTGAAATCTATCTAGATAGCGATTTATATTTCAATTTTGTACCTAAATCATTTAGTAATATGGCAAACATCTATTACAGGCAATATGAAATTAACAACGACAACAGTATCGTACCATTTTAAGAGGTAGAAAAGCAAAAGATCATTTTGAGAACTTCTGAAGACTTTCGAGATTTATCAGTGACATCTACCCTACCTAATTAAAATTATGCGGAAATCTTCCTACGAAGAAGTTAAATGAATGCTTAAATTGATAGAAGTTATTAGCAAATAGGTGAATTATTGTCGTATCTTGGGGGATTTATGCAAATAACTAAGCTTATTTTTGGACTTTTCATAGCTTTCTACAATAGGACATCGTGTACAAAATATTTCTTAACTTTAGTATTGATTGAATTATCCAATAAATTGTATGATTTCAAAGAAGGATAAGATAGATTATAGAGTAATCCTTCATTTAGTTCCAGAACACCAAGATTCATTTAGGATGCTTTTAAGTTGAAAGGGTTGCTGGATACTAAAAATTCTGAGGGAGATGGTATGATTTGACTTAAATTGGTAGTGAAAAAAAGATCGAATACTGTGATTAGATAGAATGTACTGAGGAAATTAATTAAAAAGTCAGAACCGATTAGGTTCAGTGTTAAGTTATTCTTAAATTAAATTACATGCGGAATATGTTTCAACGAGAGAAACTCGAAGTTTTTGAAGAAAGCAATGTAAATTTTAAATTACAATTATAATAGTGATAAAATGAATGAAGATTTGGATTTACACAGTATCCTCTTTAAGATAAATGAGATTAATAAATTAAAGGAGGTGCTATTTAATTAGTCTCAAATAATTCTATTTAACTTTACGCCAAAACCAATAATTGCTTTGAATGACGATTAAGCAATACCAACAAGAATGAACTTTGAAGATGACGAATAGCCAATTCAACCCTTCAAGCAATAACTTAGTTATTATGATAAAAATTTACATAACATAGTGTATTAGGTAAATAATAGTTATAACTTACAGGCTTACACTGATATGTTGGAAGAGATCGAAGACGAGTATGTTCCAAAATGTTAGTTGGAAGTGGATTTAAAGCTAATCCACTTATTGGGACATGACATAACAAAAATCTTTAGTGAATAGCTACAATTAGATTAGCCATAGAATTATATGGATTTTAAGGTGGATAGTGGGAAAAATAGTTTAAGAACTCTGCACTAAATTGTTACCAAGAAAGAAATTGATAAAGTGGTAGAAACAGAAAGAAATGATGGAAAACTTATTTAATGATTTTGTATTGTGGTTAAATTTATAATGTCATTTTGTATTTAATAATTTTAATAAAAATAAAATACCATATAATATATTATATTATACATATATATGATGTCAGAAAAACAAATCCTTTATAACATTATGTATAGCATAAGGCTAAATCACAAGCTCCTATTCTTAAAATTGTATCGAGGAACAAAATTAGAAAAAGTTTTTTAGGGTGTATCTTGAAGAACATCAACTAGGAGTGTATAAAAGGGAGAATGTCTCTGTGACAATCCTTCGTTCTCTATTAAAATGGACTAAATGGTCAAAAACATCTTAGCATATTTGGTATTTTAGTTCATTAATTTTTTATAATTATAGAAAGATTACACTGCTTTATTTAGAAGGTACAAAATTATGCTACCCAAAATGTGTTCATTTTACTTCAGGAAGATTTAAAATCACTTCCAAATCAATGATTATTTGTTTTTCTTTTAATAATTTTGTAATTTTGATAAAATTCATTTGTATTCTTTGAAATGTCAAACAACAGCAAACCTAAGTCATGGGAATTAAGAAAAAAGGATGCCTCTAAATATAGGTTTTATGACAAACAAGATGAAATATTAATAAAAAAGCCAGGCGAAGTTGATGGCGAGTCCTTTGTATTAAGAAATTGTGTCCGTTGTAAGATCTTCATAGCAGACTTTTCAGCATAAATTCTAATTGATGATTGTTTTGATTGTTAAATGTTTTTTGCTGCTGTTGAATCTAGTATGTTTATAAGAGGATGTAAAAGATGTAAAGTGATTACTGCTTGCGGATAATTTCGGTCTAAGAAATGCGAAGATATTCAAACCTTGCTCTTTACCTAAAGTTAACCAATTATTGAATTATCAGTTAGAATGGGATTTGGCTGTTTTCGTGGTTATTATCCATAATTAAGATAACATATACAGAAGGCAAAACTCAATATTTGGAATAATACATGGAGCGATTTGCATGACTTTGATCCTGAAAAATAGGCTGAAATTACTCATTTCTATATGGTTTTGGAAGATACTCGGTATGAAGATATGTTGAAGCCTTTAAATGAAGTGCTCTCAATACCTAACTTTACTTGGGCAGAGGAATGCAAGACTGAAAACTAGGTTATTCCTTTCACAAGTGAATAAAGAAAGAAACCATTTCATGAAGAAGTACTCTTGATTTTTTATCCTGAAGAATCTTCACGTCTTAATGTGGATGTCTTGAGTTCAAGTTTCCAGCCATTACTCAAAGAAGTACCACAAATGATCTTTGCTGAAGAAGACAATTAAGTTAACGATTAAGTAGAAATAGAGGCACCTGAATAATTGTATTGCTATTTAGTAAAATCAAAATTCCAACCATTATTTGCTGATAATTGGCCACTTTTCAAAACAGCAGTTGAAACTCATCTATCAGCAGACAAAGCAGCCAAACTTTTGGATTAAGTTGTGGTTAATAGCAGACTGCAACCAATATTTTCGTTGCATATTCGTACTGATAATCCAGACATTAAATTGCTATCTTATTTATATTCACTTTTGGATATGAAGTTGAAATGTGATATTAATAAAGCATGTGTAGTTGTTCAAAATTCAAAGGCCATTGAAGAATTGACAGTATTATTATTTGCAAACTAAAAAGATGAAAGGGCAGGACAATAATGAATAAATGATAATATAATTAAAAATGATTACTTAAAGTTTAATATTTTATAAAAAATGAGTAAAATCCCTGTTCAAGAGATGAAATAATATCTGGATTAAAGGATAGATTATAATTCTCATATCACTTAAGTGGCAATGAAGAAACTGGGATTGACTCAACGAGCCTTGCAAAGAATGAATTATTTAGAATACATGACATCAAATACGAGTTAGCAAGACTATTTTTTATATTTGCATGCTGTTGCAATGAACATTAAAAAACTTCAATAAGAAATCGTCAAAATGAGTTTGAAAGATAAATCGATCGATTGCACTGATACAGGAAATGTTGAAGAAATAATTGCTCTACTTGATAAAAGAATGAAGCACAAAAATCACACTAGTAGTCAACCTTGCGTAACTTCTAATAGAGATAGGACATGTGAAAGGGATGACTCAATAGGTTGTGAAATTAAGGCTAAATAAAAAATTATCCGATTAACTAATTAAGGAATCAAATCTATCACAGAAAGGGATACTCTAAAACACAATTCAACAGCAAGTTAGAATTCTATTTGTGATTCCTCAAGTCCTGAAAAATTCATTTTGAAAAGTAATTTCCTATTTAATTAAATTAGAATTGGTGATTTCAAATAATCAAAGCATTGCTGACCTATTTTAGAAATAATAGGCTTCGATTGATGTAAGCACAATGGAAAAATTAAATGAATCAATGCGAAAACTATTACCTGATAAAAACTTAGTAATAATGACAGGAATCAAGCATAGAATAAAAGACAGCTAAAATCACAAAAAGTCAATGGATGAGTTTATGTAGAAAATAACAAAGCTTAGGAGTCTTTCTCAACAATCCATAGATTCTGAGAGGAAATTACCCAGCTTAAATATCAAACAAACTTAGCAAAAGCAACCAAACTTGATTTCAACAAAATTAGAAATGATGTTAAGAAAAGAAAAAATGATTAGAGAGGAACCTTTGAAGATACATCAAGTAAAGTTAGGTAATATTATGGGTGTGATATCAAAAATACGGAATCAACAAACTAAATGGAGAATGTTTCATCAACTAAATAATGATCAATCATGATATTTTCATTTAATTACTATAGTAGATCAAATACTTTAATTAAAGTTACATATATATATGCATACTATTATATATAATCACATGCTGAAACTAGTCTTTTTACGTTGTGGTTACTCAATTTCTGGTTTATAATCTGGATTCTTCTTTAAAATAACAAAGTTTTCTAAGATCATGTCTTAGACTGGCATATATTCATCATTGGCTAATTCAGCTCTATTATAGAATATATTTAGGATTACCTTTCACCAGCACTAACAATGACTGGACTTGTATGAGTCTGAAATCCTGTAATTCTTTTAGGTTTACCAGCCTATCCAACTGCATCTACAGCCTATCCTACACGTACCTAAACAGGGAGATTTTCAAGATTTTCATTTAACTAAATTAAGCGAGATAATTACTGTAAAGAACATTCTTGGATACATGGCAATACCTAAATAGTAGAGTAACGTATGATGCTTTTCCAAAATCAAATTCTTAATGTCCAAACATCCATGTAAGAATGAAATAATTCCTGCAATAGCCACCTTATTCATTAAGAACTTATCAGAATAGTATGGTTGAAGTGTCAATAATCCTTTGCCCATATGTAATAATCCCTAGGCAATTCTCACAAGGAATAATCCATTTGAATCATTCATAAAGTAAACTGCCAATCCTCTTAACTTATCAGCAATTCTTGAATTGTTAGTACCTGCTCCCAACAAACCCATTGACAAGGTTGCTCTATAGGACAATTCTTAATCTCTGTCGTGAGCCAACTTAAGAAGAAGGTCCATAGGTTGAATCTTGGGATTGGATATCTAAATAATTAATATACTGTATTAATACATTGATCAAAGCTACAGCCAAAGGAATGGCTCTCTTGACCTCCACATCTGAAAATTACAATATATGTTAGAAAATTCTATAGACCATTTCACTACCAATATCTTCGCTGCTGGCAATTAAGGCAATTCCCAAAATGGCTACTTATTAGAGTTCATAATTCTTTTCTATCTTAGTGCCCTTGTCATCAGATGTCACTTCTGAACAATAACCAAGTAGTTCTTGAACTTTTAACACATTTCCTGTTGATGCATATGCAAGAGAAGTCAAGGTGACTTTTGCATATTTATTGATCTTGTGAGGAATTACAGCAAGTGTATCAATTACAATGTCTGCTGCTTCTGCTTATCCTAAATAGAGTAATCCTAATCCTACTGCAAAATATCTTGATATAGAGATATCTAATTATGATTCTTGTCTCTCCCCCATTGTTTAAACAATGGCATTAGCAACTTCATCATTGCATTTACCAACGAATATCAGACCTAAAGATAATGCAGCCATAGAAGCCAATTCAACACTATCTGCCTCAACAATTAAACTTATCAATTGGTCTTATAATTCTACTCTTGCTGAACCTGCATATGCTAATCCCAATCCCATCACAGCTCCGATCTTAACCTACACTTCAGGACTCTCCAACTAAGCCAATAATATGGCTTAAGCTGGTTAATTTTCATCTACAATTCCACTACAAAATAATCCTAATCCTATGCAAGCTCCTGCTTTTGTGAAGATATCACTTAATTCAAAGTATTCAGATATTTATTCTGTTCCATTATCAATATTCCATAAATTGACTAACCCAATACTTGCAACGGCTGCAATTGCTGTATGATCATTTTTCACACTATTCAACCATGGATTTTCTTTATTGCTCATCAATGCATCCTTCTTGAATCCTGCATTCACGAATCCATTGCAATATGTTGCTGCTAAATTCTTTTGGATTTATTCAAAATTAGCTTCTTTGTTCTTTTCTTCTAAATGAGCCTTGTAAACCTGATCTGGAGTCTTAGGTTCAAGAACTTCTAAATCTTTAGCCAAATTTATGTAGAATTAACTCAAGTATTGATTTGCTGCTATCTTTTTTAAAGTCTCGTCATTAATAATTTCTTCTCCAACTTGATATCTATGTCTAGCCAATTAGAAGGCCAATTGCTTTTTTATTGTTTCATCTTAGCAAGCTTAAAATACTTGTTCAACCTTTCCTGGCTTGTCAATACGTAATGCAATTTTCAAAGCATTAGTGAATTCATTCACCTTCAAACAAATATTAAAGGCAGTAGCAAGTAAAACATCTAATTCATCCTAATCTGAACAAAATGGAACGAGACTCAATAAATAAACCAAAATTCTTTATATGTTCGCTTGATTCACATACTAATGATAAGATATAGACTCTTTACTTGTTCTATTTTTTACAATTGATCTACTTCACTTAATAAATCAATTGCATCATGTTCTGAATTATGATCCATAAAATATGGAACTATTTCATCAACTAAAAACAGTAAATCATCGGCGCCGTCTACCTTTTGTAGCCTTATCTAGAATTCTGATCCAATATTGGCAGCTAGATGACTTAGATACTCATGTCCCCAAAATTTGAATTCTTCTAATGTTCCCTCTTATAGATAAAGCAATGAATCTCTATCCCCTCCATAAGTCATTGCCAACACAGATAGAAAATCTGCCAATTATTTCTATATTTTATATACTACACTCCTACTTTAAATCTAGATGCCTCCAACTCATTGTAAAACTCAACCAATTTTCCGTAAGATTCCTTTAAGAATTTGAATGGCTTTGGCACTGAAGTCATTGAAGTAGTAGCTGAACGTACTTCAGTCTTCAACTTCTCTAAACTCTCTGTATTATTTTAAATGATCTCCTATGCATATTATTCAAGTCTGTTTTTCAACTCAAGATCTTATTCAGACTAAAATGATGCTTTATTTTCATGATTACCAACTGGCACAACCTACTTTCCTGGCTTTTTTTAGGCCTATTTCTCTACTGGCACTTTCTTCTCTTCCATGTTTTGAATTCTAAAAAAATTAAATTAAATTTAATTAGCCAACACCAGTATGCTTGAGATTTTATATAATATATGTATTATTTTCAATAATAGAATGTATTCTTCATCTTAGAACTGATCTCTTCTTCCTCTTTCAGGTGAGTCCTAATATTAATTAGCATTTTAATTACTTAAACACTTGCAATTTCTTATTTAACAAATTATAGATTTTAAGTTTCTTCCTAATAAATGATTCCAAGTTTCCCACATACGTATCCACATCGTAATCGACGATACCAACCCCCTGAATAGATTGAATCAACTCGCTTTCTTATTGCAACAACTTTGCATCTTCCTATTAAAGTATAAGAGAATATTCATACTTTTATGGCTGCCATGTGTATATTCAAGATTTCATCTTATTCTTCTAGGATCGTATTTACTTTCTCATGAAAGTCAAAAAATTCATTCCCGTTTCCATTAGCATTATTTTACTCATTTTTCATCATGGTTTCTTTCATGCATCTGACATCTTCTTTCACTTACCCATTTTTCTTATTAACTAATTCTTCAGCAGCTACTTCATCATCCGAATCTTCTTGCACTGAATTTATTCTTTTAGATTATTTAGGTGGTACAGGTTGAGACTTTGGCTTTTCCTTATCGGGTCCTTGAGACTAGTTTTTCTTTAAATTAACAGCATTTTAATTATTTTAATTTCGAGCATCATTAATTTTAGGTAATTATAAAGGAGTATTTTATTTATCTAATTATTATAATTTATTATTATTGTTATTGTTGTTATTATTGTTGTTATTATTGTTATTATTATTATTATTGTTATTATTATTATTATTATAATTATTGTTGTTATTTTCTTAAGATTTATTATCATATGCATTTTGTTATTATTATCGATATAATAATTCTTCATTTGAAACTTCCCTTTCCTCTAATTACACTTTTGCTTAATTTGATTTGTCTTTCAACCTATCAGCATATCTAAGTGTATTTAATGAATGATCTGCCGAAGAACTGCCAGGGCTAATACATGCGATCATTATAATTCTAGACTTATTTGATTTTGCTGTGAATGAGTCTCTCAAAACTAAAGTTAATTTTGAAGCCCTAAAAGGTACATGACCTTAACCTGAATCCATTGCTCTTATACACTCCTTTAATGCTAATAGACTCTTATTGATTTCAGCTCCTTCCAGCCTTCTCTATCGATTATTTGATTGAGTATCCTAAGCTCTTTCTGATCCTGCTAAATCTACCAAGATAAGTTTTCCCATATCAGTATAGCCTTATCTTATCATAATCTAACAAATAGAGTGAGATCTTGATGATGTATCATTTGCAACAGTTGCATGAGTAGTTCTTACAGAATTTGCAAGTTCCATGAGTTAGAATAACTCATTTTCAGATTCACAGGGTCTTTCTATAAGTCCTTGAACTTGTATATTATTATTTTTATCTTCTAGAATTTGCAATGGTGCCTTATTATTCAACAAGTCATAACATTTTCCTCCATAGATTTCAAAGAAAGACACAACAATTTTGAAGGATGGTGAAGCATTGATCAATTTGTATAGATCTATAGCTAATAGTTCTTGAATACTCTTCATAGTATATGTCTTACCAGAACCTGTTTATCCATAAGCAAAACATGTAACTACACCCTAGTTGACCAACATTTCCATTAAAGGTGCCAAACTTACATCATATATATCTTTTCCTTGTTCTACTTCGCTGAAAGTATTGTCGAATTAAAAATCATGATTTTCAACATATTTTGTAATACCATCTACTTTTAATTTTGATTCATGTACTCGAATCATTGGATTGGCACAACTGATTGCATCTATTTCTCCAGCCACTTCTTCCTTCTTGAAAATTGGTCTCTTTCTAACACAGACACATAATTTTATATTTTATGTTGTTTAATGCTCTTATATCAATCCTCCTTTGAGTCTGCTCTTATCTATCATCAATTCGAATTCTACATCCACATTTTTCCCTAATATTTAATTATACTCTTCTCTTTCAGCCTTTTCCCTCTTCATTTCTTGCATATTTTTTCTACGTTCTTCCCTTTATTATTCCATCTTTTTTATGTTATCAACCACAGAGCCCTTTGGAGGTTACGGCGGTTATGGTATAGGCGCTTACTGTTGTTATGGTGCCTATTCGCATTTGCTTACTTCAATCCCTTTCATATTACTCTAATTTCAATACCATTTGCCTTCTTCAACCTATCTAATTTTTCTTGCTTAGTTCCGTACACTCCCAACCCTTTAGCCTTAAGTTGGACAACTACTTCTTCATCACTTAATTTATTCAAAGCCTATTCTTTTTTATTTAATTATCCTTCACGTTAAGCCTTTAAGCGATCTAAGATGTATTACAATCCTACCTCTTTCCTTTTGCGCCTATACTGATAACTATTATTATTTTGGCTACTGCATCGCTTTGAAATTTGAATTATTTATAAATAAATATAAAACAGTTTATCAAATATACTAATATATTTTTAGAAAAAAATATTACATGGCTTTGGTCAAATCCATAAATTTAATGATGGTTAAAATTATGGTAATTTAACACCATTTTTAATGTGGAAAAAATGCATAAGTTAAATAAAAGTATACTTCAGCTCCATAGACAATAATACATTTCTATAAAGAAAAAAATAAAAAATTTCTTTAATTAAGAATAAATTTTTATTTTGAATTATAAAATACTGGTTCTATGTCAATAACTTTTCTTAATTTACTTTTTGCTGTTTATTGTTTAATAATATTAAGTTCTGAATTCAAAATCTTTCTGAGCTGGTTTAAATTAATAATATAAGATTTTTTATTTTTATATTAAACTATTGAATTCTACCTTTTATTACTAACATCCGAAGGGACTAGATATTTTGATTGGTATTTTAAACAAATAAGTTGCAGACACATGATCTTGATAAAAAAATTAAACTATCTAAATTAAGTTTCTAATAAATAATTTCATTATATTTGCTGTATGCTTATTAATTTTTTGTAATTAAAGCAATTAATGTATCTATTATTTATTAATTATTTTTTCTTATGTTAAATAAGTATACTTTGACATTTAAAGACAAAATCTTAGAATAGAAATACTAGGACTTTTAAACGCAGCAGAAGAGGAAGCCATTACTGTAAAAAATCATTTTTACCACATTTATTGTAATTATAACAAAACTAATTTCCTCTATAATAAACTTTAGTTACAAAGAGATATACTTTACAATTGGATACTTAGCAGGCAATATAGGGCTGATTGTGATTTTTAAATTTTAACCACAATGGATTAGATGGGTGCTGATGATGATTAACTATATACTTTTATTTGTTTATTCTGAACCTGATGATGGGAAAGCGCAATTCCAATATTAACTTGCCTCAGCTTTGATTATTTCCTTCTAGTTTATAGTTATGAGGACTGGAGAATTTATTGATACTTTGATCCAAGTAGTTTCATTCTACTCATTTTATTTTATTTATTTACTGCTTTACCAACCAAATTTTTCTATTTCAGTAGCATTAGCAACATTTTTAGTTGTATTTTTACTGATAATTACATTTTATGAAAATGTTTCTGCTGAAAGATCGAAGTTCTAGCTTACAATAGTAGATGACAAATGGGAGGAAGTACTTTAAAATATATTAGTTGAACCTTGTGTGATGTTCAGTTTTAATTACTTAAACAGCTCATTTATTTTTAAGAGGTCTATTGAATTTATGTTTACAATAGAAACAACTGATTAATTAAAATAGTTCTTAAGAAAATCAAAAGTGAACTAGGATAAAAAAATAAATTTAGAAGATTTTATATATAAAAAGGTGAAAGAATTGGAAAGTGATCATATGTAACTTTGGAACCAGAAGGTGACTATTTATTATGAAAAAAAAGTTCAGGATGTCTATTTCTCAATATTATAGGGAACATCTCCTATAATATTAATCAAAGTGAAGCAATTCAAGTTCTAAAGCAATGAGAAAGTTTCAGATATAGAAAATTAGTATTAATACAAATACAAAATGCTGATAAAGAGTATTTTACTCCAATTAAGACTGGTTGGTTAATTTTAATTTCCTGCTCTAACTGCCATATTTAAGATTATAATGTATCATTATTTACTTGAGAAACTTGAATACAAATAAATTACAAAGATAAAAATAGATAAAATTATCAATTAATTGAGATTAGTCTATCCTTAGAAGCAAATATCTGTTGAAATACTTTAACTGGGATCTCCAATCTTTGGGTAAAGAGACTCATTATGCTTGATTTTGATGGAAGTTTTCGAAACAATACTATCAAACTAAATTCATTTAAAAGTAATCAATTAACATGGCTCAACCTAATTGCAAATTTATGGAGTCCTCAATGAAAGAGCGAAAGAAAAATTAAAATCCAGACTTCTTAATTACTAAAGTATATTGGAGAATGTTGATATTACTGATTTATGTATTAACAAATATAATCATTTAGGTGTTAATTTGGGAATTACTAACGAAATGCAATCTTTGGACTGGGTGATAAAGCAATGAATTATATTTCTTTATAATTATTTATTATTTAATTGCATGAAATGTTTGAAATTAATAATAATAATAAGTTATTTGTTTTTTAAATTCAAATGGCAGATTATAACGAGAGTTAGTAACTTTAATTAGAAGATGATTATTGCAAGATTTTCAATGTGGTAGGTAAATAATAACCAAATAACATAAACGTGAATGAATTGGAGACATTGAATATGAGGAATGTAAAATATTTACAAATTTCATTAAAATCATTGAATTTGAATTCGAAATAATTTCAGGACAAGTCGATTAAATTGAATGTGAAATTGCCAATGATACGAAATAACATCATTGAGTACCAAATACATTAAACATACGATATCGGAAAAAATGGGAAATCGCTTATGTTTAATGCATAATTCAGATCTAATTTCTAATTGACTGAAAATAGCTTAGGATAAATAAACCAAGCAGTTATCTATTTTCAAGTATTTTCATTGGATGTAGAAATCGGAAAAGCCGAATTCGTGCTTTCGACTATGATTATAGACAGACTGAGATGTTTTACCTACTAGGTTCCAATCTAATAATTGGGTTAGGTGTAAACCAAGAACAACAAGAAGGGGAAGGTTGACAAATTAATAGAGACAGGAATATTAGAGTTTGAAGTGTAATTGTAGGATATTGATGCAAGGAGTCAGTAAGTTGAATAATCTCCAAAAAAGGAAATAGATATTGAAGAACAAGTCTAGAAGATATACGAAAAGGTCAATGAATAGAATCAGAAAGAAAAGGAGAAAAAAAGATTACTTAAATAATAATAGGAAGAAGAAATGAATCAGCAATTGATTTAATAACTGCAATCATTCCAATTATATTTAAATATAGGAAAGCTCATACACTTAAATTAAGTCCTCTGTTAAGAGAAAATCGAAGATGAGTAAATCAACTTATATTTAAAATTTAAATCATATGGAACTCAAGAAATAAATCAGACCCCAACTAATTGGAACACTTCTAAATGGTTTATCAATTATACTGCAAGATGTCAAATAACGGTAACATCCTTGAGTAAGATGGAGAACATACCATGGATTCTTGAATTATGGGCTAAGCACACTTAAACCAATCAAGATGTTTTAGTTGGAATAGCAAGATTATCATTAGTATCGATAAGTGCCCTTATACTTAATTAAAATCCATTAGTTGTTATTTAAACTCTCAGAAGCAATCTCTCACCATAAATACTAATTGATGAAGACATCCCATTTGAGGATTTAAGAACTAAGCAAATTATGGCAATCATTAAATTAAAGTTAGCATTCGGAACAAATCCTCAAATCAATAAATTAGTTAATTCTGAGATCACTTATGTTGATGAATCCATTGATGAAGAGCCTGAAGAAGCTCCTATTGACAATGTCAATGAGCCTGAGAAACAACCTGAACCCCCATAAATAGACTAGCCAGTAGTTTATGAAAAGATCCCTTTGTAAGAATGTCTCATTACAACTCTGAATAAAATTACTTAAACTATTCGTATTTTGCCCAAAGAACAATTCATATTAATTGATGAATTTGTAGATATAGTTTTGCAACTTTGTGGATTAAATTTTAATAAGAGAATAATAACTTCGCTTTCTCAATACTTATAATTTGATTAATCGACTTTGGACTGGCATATCTTTTTGCAGAGTTGGTAAGCATTTACCAATTATAAGAAACAATTGAAATTGAACTATACAAAAATATATGCCAATTTTTATTAATAAACTTTGAAAATATTTCCAAGCATCAATGCTTTAGAAAGGGATATGCCCCATGGAGCATTTGGATTGGTCCATAGATAATAACTGAAAGAATATTTATTAAGTTGCAAAGGAGGAAACATACCTTCTGGGCCTTCTTTCTCAGCCATAACCATCAACTCTGTATTTGAGACCTTGGAAGTTAATAGTGATGATTAAATACAAATCTCGGATTTAGTGGATTATTTAAGATAGTTTGAGGTGCAGGGTGAAATATCGAAGATCTATGCTCCAATCTTGTAATTAGCTTAGATTATTGAAAAGAATATGCAAATTTGGATTCGTAACAATAAATAACAAATGGATGACTATATAAATAACAGAGAGTTCTAATAGGGATTGATGGCTTCGAATATAATGGAAATATTTTAAGATTTGGGATTGAATTGCACATTGCTTGATGCAGTGGCCATTATGAATTAGATTGGTGATTACAACAATGTTGAAAATCAAGATGGGCAAAAAGTATGCACAGAGATCGCTTTTTGGAAATATATCGATTGGTTATATTAGAATGAAATTGAAGTGAAGGAACCTTCAAGTCCAATAGCTGTGCCACAACCAAAAGTGAATGGAATAAAAAAGCCATAGCCAATAGATTTTTAATTTCTAGAAACTTAATTGATAATAGATTTTATCTAATTGACCTACATTGATGGAGAAAAATATCAATTGTAAATTTAATTGGAAAACACAGGCTTGAGTGTAACTACACCTAAGACATCTATATTGAAAGCTAATTTTTATGAAAATGGTCAAATCCCACTTAATATGAGGGCTATTTGCACTTTAAGTGATAAATTCTCACATGATTTTAGAAAGACTCTGCATGACAGAATGGAATTTTCAGGATTGAGCATTGTGCTGTTCAAAGATAATCATGTTTTCAGAGGGAGTCTGGCAAGTGAAGAGATTCTTACGATAGAAAATGAAAAGGAGACCTTTTTTGTTTAATTGTTTGATGAGGTGAAAGGAACGGATGCAACTCTGATTGAATTTAAGATGAGTATCAAATAGTAAGTGAAAGATGAAAAACCAAAGGAGGGCTTTCAATTATTCAATCCTGAAGGTCAAATTCAATAGGAAGCTCAAATCAGTCAGGAGGAGATCTTAAACATTCTGAAACCAGAAATAGTGCACACCTTCAGGATTAATATAAAGCAAATTAATTGGTATAAGAATTTAAAGTTTACTTCACTGAAGGTGAAACTCTCTTTGGCTACAGATAAGAAGATATTAAAAGAAGCTATTCCGTGTTTTACGAGTGATGATTTCAAAGACGATTTTGACATAGTAGTCGAATATCAAGTGAAGTGTGATCAAGTGTTAGCAACTTAGTTATCGAAATGCCATCTATAAATATAACTTCTTTTGAATTGCAATTCATAAACCAAATCACTTATTGGTTATCTACCCATAAAACCCTTATTTGAAGAAAGCAAAGTCACTGGAGAAATTCCTTTAGATGATAGTGTGACAGGTGCCTTTATCTGCACATTGAATCTAGATACTGTATACACAACTGATCAAATAGTGGAGTAGGTTGTTCAGGTAGAAGAGAAACTCAAATTTTAGAAAAAGGTTATCATTCGTGTTATGGAATTGATTTTACTTGATTACAAAAATGAATTGGGAGAGATCTATTTTATGTTAGTTGATCCATTGAATATGTCTGAATCCTATGAAGTCAGACCCAATACTCCTTCTATTTTGAATACGTAGGATTGCATTTTCATTTTATCTGAAACTGAATTGTAAAGTGACGTTGTAGAATTATAAGTGAGATCGGTCATGTTGGGCGAAGACAAGATCATAGGGAATGTGTCAATTCAATTAAAGTAGTTGAACAACGAAGGTATATTTGGGGAAAGCAATTACTTGAGAGTTGACACAAAGGCATCATCATTGGAAATAGCTGCAAGAGTAGGTGTCAAGGTAATTTATGTTTGTGCCAAAGAGACCAGCAACGATAATTATTTGAATGCTTTTAGATATCCAGCAATTAAGGAATTGGAGAACTAATAGAATGTTGAATAATACTTGAGAAGTAAGTTGTAGTTCTCATTTTCTGAGATTAACTTCCTGATGTCTTTGATAAAAAACGATGTGTTCTCAACTACCATTTTGAAACCACTAGAACTTTAAGCTGAAAAATCAATAATCGTTGATTTGTTGAAGGAGTTCACTTTTTATGATTCAGATTAATTGAGATATGTCAATCCCAATATTCTGGCAACGATATTTGGTTACTTCAATTTGCCAGATCATAGAGATTAGTTTATTTAGCAAATCCACAAGCGAATGCCAAATGATTTTCAATGTCCTTCCAATCAATTCGATTACTTGACATTTTTGGCTCATCTTCAAAAGTGTATGCCTAATGCCACTCCTTTGTTTAAGCTTGATATGCAGGGACCAATTCAACATGAAGTTTTACAAGTCATTAAGAAAAGTCCTGTAAAACAACATGAAGAAACACTGCCCAAATTGAATTATAAGTAAATGCACTTCCATTTTGAATGTGGAAGAAACTTAAATGCTTTAACAAAGAGAATTCCTAATTCAATCCTCAAATTCCCATAATTGGATCAGGAATCAAAAGTTTTTCATTGTTAGGCAAATCCACAATATGATGCATTGGTAAGTGTGGATGTTCTAAAATTCAAAAACTTGCAAGTACAAATATTTGATAAGAAATATTCAGTGGATGAGAAAGAGTTCTATAAGTACAACCTAATTGGTTAAGCCACTATTCATTTTGATCAAATCAATCAGTAATTTCCCTAGGTGATCTAATTACAATTAGAAAATCAAGAACACAGTTTCAATTAAACAAATACGATTCCTTATCTTAATATTAAGATCTGGACTGACAATGAGGAGATAATGCCTCAAATAGTTAAAAAGTCACCAGTCAAACCTGTAGTGTAAACATCAAAAGAAACAGTACGCAGATTAGTGTTTGATTTAGAGAATAATGAGAATGATTCTGGGAAGGATAATGCAACAATAAAGAATTTGGAGAAAGAATTGGAGGAGCAATTGAGATCCCTCAAAAAAAAGAGATAAGAATAACCAGATACCACTATCCAGAAAAAGGAGGATGAAAAGCCTAAAGAACAGCCTAAGGAACAGCCCAAATAACCATAAGATAATGATGGAACCAGCAATCAGGGGAAGAAACAATAGCCTAAGAAAATCGAGAAGATGAAACCTCAGGCATATTCTTCATCTGGTTCCTCTTCTCATTAGAACCCAGCTAAGAGTTCTAGTTCAGGCAATAGATTGGAGAAGATAGATGAAAAACTACCAATTAATGGAGCTGAGTTGAAGAGGATAGAGAAGATACTAAGATTGAATAATCTACCAGTTGACAAGTATGATTCACTCTAGGATGATTCAGATTATGAATGATTTTTTTAATTGTATAAATTAATATTTGATTATTAATCTAACACAATTTTGTGTTTATAAATTAAAATAATGTAATAGCGGGAAGAATAATTTACGCTGTATAAGTTACTGAATGTGGAACCAAAAGCAACTCAAAGTGAAATTGTATTTGTATTAGTTCTAAATTGTAGAAAAAATCATATAGACAATTGGCCTTGCAATTACATCCAGATAAAAACCAAGAAGATGCTAATGCTAAGGAGAAGTTTTAAAAAATATCTGAGGCCTATTAGATTCTTTCGAATGAGGAGAAACGAAAAATGTATGATGAAACTGGGATGATTGAAGGGATGGATGAATTTAAAAATGCCTATGAATTCTATCGAAATTTATATCCAAAGATCAGCAGGGAGGATATTGATAAATACGAATTGAAGTATAGGTTCAGTAAGGAGGAGGAAAAAGACTTGATTGAGTTTTATAATAAGTAAGGTTTGTGAACAATATATCTTGTTAGAAATTCTGGGAATGTGAAATGCATACTTGAGAACATAATACTGAGCAAAAACGAAGACATCCCACGCTTTTTGGAATTCTACGATAGAATGATCAAACAAAAGAAGATCACGGATTATAAAATATATTAGACCAGCAGAAACAAGATCAAAACCTTGAGAGAAGATCCAGAGGCACAATAGATTGACATGGATTAATTGACGAAATAGATTAGACAGAGACCCAAGAATACGTTTGATTAGTTTATCTAATAGATGGAGTAGAAGTATCAAAAACCAAAGAAGGTTAAGACTTAATAAAAATGATTAATATATTTAATTAATGATATTTGCCTTAATATTGGCGCTAGGAATTTTAAACCCAATTAGTGGCTCAAAAATCAGCAATAAAAACATCTTATTGCCCTTGGCTGACAACGATGTTGAATACGAAATCACTGCCGAAGGGGATGCTTCGATTGGAGTGCTTCAAATAGTGCTATTGTAGTCACAGGACAAGATTAATAGGGATGTTCGAAGTCAATAGGAAAAGTCAGAGTTGTGACTAAAATGCCAAGCTAATCATTTATATATGTAAATTCGAAGTCCCAAGATGCATCTCAATTTATAGTGGAAGTAGTAGTACAGGAAATAAGCAAATTGAGCATAATTACTAAATAAAAATAATTGGATTTGGATACTCAAGAAGAATTGCATGTTTAAGCATATGATGACAAAGGAAATACATTCACAACATTGGAAGGCCTTAAATTTGAATGGAGAGTCGGTGCATTGGAAATGGTTAAGTTTTCTGAATCCGGACTAAAAGTATCAGAGAAAAGAGCAAGATTAGAGTTTAATAGTGATATCATTGTGGTGAAGGGAAAGAAAGAAGGGAAAGAAACAGTATTTACTAGAGTGGTAGAGAAGAAATATTATGAAACCAAAATAGAAACTAATGTAGATTTAGTTGTAATTTAAAAATTTTAATTTTCCCCTGATTATCCAGTATATTACTTACCAACACATTCTGTTATCTAATTCCATCTATTGAGAGCAGATGGAAAAACAAGAATAAAATTACCAAGTCAAACTCATTTATGGAGTACAACATCCAAAGTATCAACCATTGATCAGAATGGTGTTTTGACAACATAGAATATTGAGAGGAATTTGAATCTAAAGGTAATCAATTCTGAGTACAATTAAATCCAAGCAATCTATCATGTAGTGAATCCTAAGTACATTGATATTGATATTTGGGAAGATGGCAAAGAGAAGAGAGAAGGAAAGGTGACTCATTTAATAGTAGGAAAATTGTACAGATTCTAAGCCTATCTCAAGGATGAATCACATTAAAGAATATATTCGACAGATGTATTCTCCTATGATTCTAAAGATATAACATTGAACGAGTAGACCGTCATATCAGATAGAGAGAGACAAAATGTTAAATTAACATTCCAAAGAGGAACATTGGAATCCTCTGTTACTATTCACTTTGTTAAGCCTATATAAATTTCAACAATCTTTAAAACCTACATCCACCTCCCAATCTACGAACAATATAACTTAGTTGTCACTGGAGGATCAGGATCTTATAAATATTAGTAAAGATATCAATCACCTACTATTTTTGAAATTAAAAGTTCTCACATACTTGCAGCTATAGAACTTGGAGAGAACACCTTAACAATCTATGATGAATTTAATGTCTATAACAGTTTAGAAGTGACTGTCTATGTGACTGATGTCAGCTAAATACTTCCATTTGAGAGGAGAAAAGAATTGATAGTGAATGAATCCGATGACACATTTTATCAAGCCATTGGAGATCCTAAAGTTGGAAACTATACTTAGTGCAGAGCAGTTAAGTTTACTATTGATAATTTTGATATATTCACCACATCATAAATAGCTGGAGATCTCTCTAACTATTTAGTTTGCAATGGTTTGAAAATGCAATCAGCAACACCAGGTCAATATAATCTTCAAATTAACACTCAAAAGATCTCTGTAACACAATAAGTCAGAGTCTATGACTACTTGCATTTCGATAAGCCATTTTATTATGTGACTCCTCATTCTACTATTACAACTAAGGTTTTGGGAGGACCAACAACTTGGGATTAAACACCATACAATGAGAAGCTGTCAGAAGGTATTATCAAAATAGACATGGAAAAATATCATTTCAATTGTTTCTAGAGCAAAGCTGAATTCAGAATTACAAGAATCAATAAACAATCAGATTTATTGCCTAATCCAAAATTAGTGAGCAATAGTCTACCTGTAAAATGCTTATTACCAGAAGCATTCAAAATTTATAATGAAAAGAATCAAGAAGTAAATTGGTTATTCAAAGAAGAAACTGTTTAAATTAGTGTGGTGGCTCTCTATTAGAATTTCTTATTCTACAATTCCAGCAGTTTGCATTTAGACCATTCAACTAGAGGATTAAAATATTAAAATAGATATTTATCATATGATATTTAATCAGGAATCTCTGATTGTAAATTCATTGTGGCTTCAAATTCTTACAACAATCATAAAGACACATTCCTTACCATAAGGAGTGAATTAGACTTAATCATCCATCACACTTTAAAACTGATACCAAGTGGAGAACAATATGTCCTGATTGATTAAAGTGTTTTATTCAGAATAGAATCATCAACCAACAATATACAATGCTAATATGATAGCAATATTATTGGGTGCGAGAAGGATTAAGTTACTATTACTCCAAAAAAATTAGGTTAATTCTAATTAGTAGTTTACGATTTATCCTTAAATTACAGTGTCTCAGCCACCCTTAATGTAATCGACCCATCTCAATTGAATTTGGAATTAAGTTAATAGATCACTGTAGTCGGAAATTCAATCAATGCAACCTCTGCATTCAATTATTATAAGAGATAAGTACATGTGACAACTTGGTCATCACTAAGATTGATTGATACCTATGGATTCAACAATATTAACTAAGTCAATAATCAGTTTTTGATCACTCCCAATAGAGAAGGCTTATTCAAATTATAAACACAATACGATTCAATCAATTCTAATCAAGTCGATTTGAAAGTAATACCCAAGCTGTAAGCTGATACTGTCTACATGCCAACCGAATGTGAGACTCATGTGTTGTTCCCCTCCTATTCTTAGTTCACTTATTCAGCCATTTCCAATGAGAATATTGAGACTTCAGTTAGTCAAAACATAGTTACTATTAAATCCAAAAAGATAAATGGAAATTACATAGTCACAGTATTTTTAAGATAATCTAACATACTAATTGACTCAGTCGATATACCTGTAGTAGTGAATAAACCAAATAGAGCAATTTTATACTATGGCAGAAAAATTGAATTAGGTTCATCGGTTAGAATAGTGGCTGACTTCCTTATACAAGATCATTAGATGAATCTTTGTTTGTGTCCAACACATAAAATACATTGGTACCAAGATGAAAAGTTGGTTTAGACAGCTCCAAATTCTTTGGGATTTTCTGTTTCAACAGTTGTAGTTGGAAAAATTAATATCAAAATCAAAGCCTATGATTTAGAGGCTTAGACTTTACTTGAAGTAGAAAGATTAAACTCTTACACCAGGAACCTATTTATTAACACCAAAGCCTTGTATCATATTCCACTTCTAGTTCCTACAAACAGCAGGTTGGCTTTGGGATAAGAAATCAAGAGTGTTGAACAATTGAACATGAACCTCCCAAATATTATTGAAAGTGATAGCATCACCTTGCAACCTCAATTACTATTAGCCACGACTCCAATGTTAATACAAGTAGAAGAAATCTATCAAATGTATCCTATGTCGGAATTTGTTAATTTGAAAGTGGATGAGAAAATAGAAATTCCAATTGCCTACTTGAATTAAGAAGGATATCAATTTGAAGATATAGAAGACAACAAACTCGAGGTCTTGGGATATACTAGACACATAGTGTAAATTAAGGTGAATAATAATGGAATTGAAATTTAAGGTTTGGATCAAGGATTTGCATTGATCAAATTAAGTTGTGGAAATAACAAAATTGATTATATCCTTGTAAAGGTAGGAGCCACTCTATTGTAAATGAAGGCTTATCTTGGATCCACAATCACATATTAAATGGATAATTCCGAGAAACCAATATGGAATTCCAATTGTGGTAACTTCAAGGGAAGTTAATTGACAATTGAAAAGGAGTTGAATGAATGCTACGTTGAGGTTAATGATTAAGGCAACAAGTTCAAAGCTGGACTCGAAGTCATTAGACCCTCTCATATAATCATTGATTCAAATAAAGTGGATAACTATTTGAACATCAAATTGAATGTCAATCCTAAAATACCCTAATCCAATAAGGTCAATCCTAACTTTGATATTAAAATTGAAGTCGATCAACCTCAATGGTTTGAATTGGTAAAGACTGACAACCTCTTTGAATATAATATCAAACCTATTATTGCTCAAGATAATACTCCTATGCCAAAGAAGGTGAAGGTTAACGCATTCATCTCCAATCAATTCATATAATTGGATGGCAGCAAGGAAATAGTCTATGAGAGAGAATTCTATCTTCCAAACAACGAAGTGATCATTTAAAATAGTCAACCAATCCAAACCTTGAGAATTCCTTATTATAGAAACATTGAAAAAACTCATCAAGACAATCATTTACTAGGATTGATAACCACATCATTTTCTCAAGGCCGAGTTGAGATTTAGTTTGATTTTAGCCAATGTCACGAACCAACAGAAGGAGATGCTTATTTTGAGAATGGGTAAAAAATAAGAGTCAAATTTGTCTAAGAGTCTAGTTATGAATTCATCATATTTTTAGCAGCACTAGGTATTTAATATCATTTATAATCTAGTCTTCTTTATCTTAGTATTAATGAATTATTTCAGATGAAAATGTGTGAAATTTTATATCAATATATATATATTCTATATTTATAAATAAGGTAATGTTTTAAGGCAATTTCCTAAGAAAAACTTTTAAAGTAATAAATATTAATTTATAACTTATATTTCATATTTTCCAATTATTTTCTTTGCCCCATTTTTTAATTATTTTTAAAATATATTCTACTTAAGGATTATCACCTGTGTTTGTTAAGATGTTTATCACCTCAACCAAGTGATCCAGTGTCTCCTTTGATGTAATGACCATTTGGAATACTCCGACCACTGATCCTCTCAAAGCGTCTTCATACTCATGTTCCCCATTATCTGAATCTAATCTTTGTAAAATATCAAAAGCCTTCGCTGCATAGTAAAAATGCCCCATTTTATAACAATCATTGGCAATCAAAACTAAAATTTAAAAGGATTCGCTTGAAGTCTCCATATTAATATACAATTCCCATGCTTCCCTAAATTTAATGCAATATATTACTTTGCCTTGCCATTCATTATATATGTTCTAGTCATCCACTTGATATAGATATCATCAGACTAAATAGAATTAAAAGATTACTCTGTATTTTTCTGATTGAATCTAAGCTAAGGCCTCCTCAGCTTCTTTGTAATCTCCAGTACCAGCACATGCAATTCCATAATTCCAATTGAAATCATCATCATTTTAGAAAAATTGCTTAATGGATTTTAAGTAAACCAGAACATCTTCATATTGTTTCAAAATAAAGAAGCAAGATGACATACATTACCTTCCAGGTATGGTATCACATTCACTAGCTGAAGATCCTACTAGTTAAAAGAGTTATTGTGCAGTTTTCAAAGCTTCCTTTTGATCAGGACTGGATTATCCTTTCATAGCATAAACAACAGCTTTCAAGATGTATTCTTTTGGGTTTGTTGGTTAAAGATCTTAAACCAAATTAAATGCTTCTCCAATATCTTCATTTTTTAAATAATAGACAATAAGATTTAGTTTAGCTTCAGGGAAAATTTCTACCAAGGGAGGTAATACCTTTAAGGCATTTTCTCCTTATCTGAAAACAACTAAATTATGTTTTAATAAATCATTATCTGCACAAACATTAATCCCTTCGTATTATTATTACAAAGGTTTGAATACTTCCTCGGCTAATTTGCCACTATATAACTAAAATTGGTTGCAAGCCTTGAGATTGATTGCTGTTACACTTTATGGAAATTGATTTAAATAAGAAGATAGTATTTCAATAGAGACATCGAAATATTCTAATTTATAGTAACACAATGCTATGTAAACATTGATTGCTGAGTATTCTCGATTTTCAAGCAGTAATTTTTTGTATGCATCGGTTGCCTATCGAATTTGAAATATCAGTTACTTCTTCATAATGTCCTCTTAAATAATGAATTGCTGCCAAACATAACTAATCGTGGACAGTCTCTTGTATCTTGTGATGATAGGTCATGAGATTCTTCTCATCATTTTTCTTGTGAGCAATATGAAATTGTCTATGACTTAGAATAAATTGAATTACAATCTCACAGACAAGGGTGTCTCTGGGCCTTTAGAACACTCTCTTTTGGCATCCTCGTATTGACACAGGGCATAAAAACAGCAAGCTTTGTAGATGTGGATCTCCTTGTTGTAATCAGACTTGGTCATCATCTAATCATAAACTTGGATGGCCCTTCTATTTTGAAATGTATGATGGCATTTTACTTATATTCTCCATTGTGAAAACATGCATAGGCTAACCACAATTTGGGCTCAGCTCTTGAATCATTAAAACTAGCCTTTAAATTCTCAATAGTACTTTTATTCATTTTCTAAGAGGGAAATCGCTCCTACCCAATCTCTGTTTTTCACATATTCTTCCAAGGTAGGCATTTTCTCTTGAACAACTCTGGCAGCCATTCCACCGGAGGCTGGGATTGCTGCCTTTGTTTGCTTGGCTTTACTCATTGAGGAACCTGGACGAAGCATTTTGTGATTTATGAAATAAATTAAATTTCAAATTATTATTCCTCGAATCAAAGGTTCTTATTTAAAAGTAATTCATTTTCTTTATTAATAATTTATTTAATTTTTATGATTGCCATCAAGATAAAGCAACAACAATAAACTCAACAGAATGCCTAAAATAATCAAGACATAAGTAATTTTGTCGATTATATTTATTAGCCTAAACCGGTGCTTGGAAAAGAGCTTTGAGTGATCAACAAGAATTCAATGATGCCTTTCCCCCTGATTTAAAAAACCTTAAGATTACTTTTCCAGACAATAAAAATATCCTCTATTTCGAAGTTGAAGTAAGACCAGATCACAGCTTCTGGGCTGGCGGAGTGATTGTATTCACTGTTTCAATTTCTCTAGAATATCCTATGGTCCCTCCCAAAGTTTTGTGCAAGAAGGTATTTTTAAATGATTATCTATTAGAAAATATTCCATCCCAATATTGATTTGGAAGGCAAAGTCTGTTTGAATATCTTGAGAGAAGATTGGAGACCTGTTAGCAGTTTGAAGGATGTGATTTTCGGATTACAGATGTTGTTTACATAATTAACAAATCCAACTGATCCACTCAATAAAGAAGCAGCAGAATTGATGTTGAAGGATCAATAATAATTTGCTCAAGTTGTGAAATCCACAATGAAGGGAGGTTCATACAATAGCATATTGTATGAGAAAATCGCATGATTTTTTAATATATAAATAAATAGTCACATATTTTATTTTCTATCATCAGTAGTGTAATTATTGATTCAGGTCCTGAAACAAAAATTAAGTTTCTTACTGAGTTTTCATAAATTGGGTTGCGTTATCAAACACCCTATTGTTTTTAAATGCCTTGTTTATTTTCTTCAAAGGATCATGAAGCGGATCAAATGGATCAGACATCGAATATAACAATCCCTAATCCTTTAGTTCCTTTAAATTTATTGAGATCTTATAAGGCTGATTAAATCCCTATCCGTTCTAAGAATAGTAGCAAAAAAATTCTTGCAATAGAGTTTACAAAGAAACTTATGAAATTTTTGCTTAAAATTCTAATTTTAATTTCTCATAAGTTTCGCCCTCATACACCTAAAAATTACACCAAATTCATTACAAAAAATGTTTTGATTTTAGTTACATTCTCTTTATCATAAAGTGTTCTTTTTATAGTTAAATCGGAATCAATGTTTTTAAAATTATATTTTTGATTCTATAAATTGGGTAGGCCATAATTAGCTTGTAAGAAATGCAACCAAAGTATTATTATTGAATAGGATGAAAACAGAACATTAGTCACAATCTTTGCCCCTTTTGCCCATACTTTTAACAACACACCACCCTTTTTGTTATTATAATAACATTACTTACTTAACTTTGAGATTCAATAATGAATAAGCTTTCAGTAGCCGTGTATTGATTGCTCCCAATAAATTATTATAACACAAGTCTATATGGACGAGATTTTATTGATCTAATATTTTTATAACCGGAACTCGAGATTTGAGAAAACTCTAGTCTAACTTAAATCTAGTTTGGTATCCTAACTAAGCAATCCAATAGCTCAAGGCTGTCACTTCAGGAATATATGAGTTCGTAGTTATTGAAATATCGACATCTGACTTTTTCGTTTTGAATCCATTATAAAGTGATCCAAACATTAAAATTATTGTTTTTCTTTGGGCTAGTTCATTTTGATGCAAAAATTTTTTAAATGCTTAGGTAGTATCGTTAATCAAGTCTTCCTGGGCCTAATCTCCTAAGCTATTTTGGTAAATCAATTCTAAACATCTTTCTATTTCCTTTGGTTTTTCAGGATGAAACATTAAATATTAAACCAGAAATGAATTCAAAGTATATTTTTCTGTTATAAAATAATTTCATATTTTCCATCAATAGTTTTTTTATATCTATAACCTTGTATTACACGTTTTGAGCTAAGTTGTTGTGAGCAATAGAATCCCGTTTTTTTATCAAAAAATATTTAAAAGATAATCGATCATATGTATTTAGTTAAGTAAATTAAAAAGATTGAATCTCATTAATTATTTTAATGGGCTGTTCTCATCCTTAAAAGAAAAACAAATTCAAGCTTTAATCTCTCTAATTGACTCAAAACCTATCACCAATTCAACAAGAGGAATCAGATGAAATCGCTATTTTACAACAACTCTAGATAGAAAAATATCAAATAAAAAAGAATCCAATTGTGCTAAGAAGAGCCCATTCTGCTACTTAAAGCATATATAAATTCGATTAACGTTCATAAATATCAGTCCAACAATAAAATTCATGATGTACAAACATTTCTTATGAGAAACATCCAAATGGAGTCTAAATGAATTAGAAATAAAAAAATTACTGATGTATAGTTTTCTTTTTCTAAAACAATAATATATTAATGGTCTATAAAAATCTTTTAAATTCCTACAAATAAATTCGTTTTCCATCGATGTTCTCATGTGATGATTCTTAGAATTTATATCAATATTATGAATCGTTATTTGATTTGAAATAAATATTCAATCAGATAGTCATTTGTTCTTGAAATGCTAATCTTACAAACCAGAGAATAATAACAATTAAAAAAATTTATCAATTAATGATGTATAAAAATTAAAAAGGATTCCAAAAATAAGACACTGTTTCATCCGACAGAATTTAGTGATTAAAATAACTTGAGCTCAATTATATATAGATAATCATTAAATCGAAGTTGGAGTACAAGCTGTAGTGTTAGGTAATTTATTTTTTCTTTCAGTTCTTCTTCTTATAATAGGATTCTTCAGAATATTATATTTAACATTGTCCTTCTCGAAATTTTATTAAGTCTTAGCCTCATTCTGGATAGATTACAAATAATTTTGATTGGCCAATATTGATTATTTTGTCTTAGTTTATGAACAACCCATTTATTTTAATATTAATGTGAGATAATAATTTAGATTTTTGAATGGTATGACCATAGCCTCAGTGAATTAATAAAATCAAGTTAATTAATATTATATGCGAATTCATTTTTGATATTATTCATATTAAAATGTATCTTAAAATTAGATAGATTAATACTAATTAATTATAGTTGTTAAATATTTTAAAAATTCATATAAAAATATCAATAAATTGCACATTGCTATTATTGCAATGCAGGGTCTCTATTAGAAGATTTAGTTTATCTATGATCATTGTCATCTATAACCATGGTCTCATCTTAGAATTTGATCCCATTTTACTCTACAATTTTAGGCTATTCAATTTGTTTGATGGTAGGGATGGGATAATTAGGTGCAGTGTATAGATTGTTACTGCTTGGAGTGGGACTTACATGCTGTTTTGGATTGTACGGAGAATAGTCAAAATGTTATGGAATTGTTGATAAAGGAATAATTTGAGGATGGGAAGGTTAGTAATTTAATTGTAAATTATTTACCATCTACGGTGTCTAACTTTAATATTTTGGTTGAATGTAATTGATAGTTGTGATTGGAGTGTCAATAGAGCTGCGATCAGGAATGAAGGGTTTATCATAGGTAATTTAGGAGTTCGTAAAGGAATGCTCTGATGGTCTATTAGGAATTGGACCAAAATCATATTTCTTTTCGATTAAATGATGAATGGGAGGATAGGAATTTATTTTCTAATACGGTTGATAGGGCTATTGATCAATTCCTATTCCTTAATTATATTAATTAAATGGGGTCACTGGATCAATAGGTGGGTCAATCTTGGTGTATTTACTTGGTGGTTCTAGTAAATGATCATAATGTGTAAAGCTAGGATGCTCTGAAATTAAAGGGAAATGATCTTTATTGTTTAAAATAGGATCTTAGAAATGATTATTATTATTATAGGTTGAATAGATGTCAGGATTAAAATTGAAGTCATTTTTTTAAATTGTTTATTGTGTTCCTTAAATTGTAGGAATTAACGATGTATGTTATTGAAGAGATGAGGAAATGTGCATAGTTACATCATGAATGATTTTATCAGGCTCAACGGATGGTAATTATTGAGTTACTCCATATTTATTCCAATTATATTAGTCAATTATGTCGTCATATTTAGTTCGACTAAGAGTATAAATGAATAATAATTTACAATAGATGATCTGGATTGGAATAACCACTTTGGTATTATTGACAGTTGTTCTAAGTGTTTAAATTGTTAGGGAAATGATGAGAATAGTTATTTTAATTGCTATTTATTAAATGATGATGAGGATCCACTTGAGTTGCAGGTTGTATTGAAATTTCTTTTTTGTGATATTCTGGTACATATGGTTATGGTAAGGCAGAGGCATACACAATCATAGGATAGAGTGGTCCAACTAATTCTGTCTCATTTGATAATTTTTGTGGGTGACCATAAAAAGTTGGTTCTGGTTAATTAAGAATTAATCGTACTGGTTGCTGTGCTATTTGATGTGGTTAATTATGTATCACTTGATTTGGAGAGGATGGAAGTAGAAAAGAAGGTTATGATGGTTATTATTAAAAAATGGAAAATTAATTCTATTGGTTTTGCTATATGCTCTGATTTGGTAAATGATCACTTTCAAATAAATGAATTTATTCTGGGGATAAAAATTATATTTTCTCCTTTTCAAACTTTGCTTTGTCCATAATAGTTATTTTATCAGCAAAATTCAATTTTTTTATTTCATGTAGTTTTAAAACATTTTCACCAATTTATTTCAATATCAAATTTACTTCTAAAAAATAGATTTGCTCTAAAGACATAGGAAAATTAGTGACAAAGTGCTTGATGGCTTATCAATTTATTCAGGTTTAATGTTTTGGCTAGTTTAACTTAAATGAACTATTATAATCCAACTCTCCACTTTACCAGGAACAAACATATAATCTTCCATAATGATAAGTTTATTTGAGATTGCTTTAACAAATAAGTCATCGAGAGGGAGATTTAAGCAAATGTGAAGCACAGGTCGTAGCATTTCATCTCTCCCAATAACTTAAACTAATTTAGAATATTATGGGATATCTTCCAAATTCATGGTTTCTGGATTGTTTAACCAATTTAAGTGATCCACAAAATAATTAACTGTGTCTGCTTTTACAAATTGATGAGTATACAAGAACCGCAATAGCACAGAATCATTTTGAACTCTCAAATATTATAAGATTATCAATACTCTTTTAGATATTCAACAGGAATTGAATCAAGATATATCTTGAAATCTTATAATTGTTGATTCTCATAAGTGTCATATTGTACATTCTTAAAGATTCTACGAAGACTGCCACTCTTGATGTAAATTGGCTTGGAAATAACAATATAGTAATTACAATCGATGGATAAGGCAGCAATTTAATTGGATGATGCAAATAGATTTTGATATGTATCCTCAAACATATTAAAATTATATTATATTAAATAAAATAAAATATAATATATCAACTAGCATATTTAATTTTAACTGAATTGGCTTCTCCATATAAGAGGTAATTGTCAATGATGCAAATCCCTTCAGGAACAAAGTCGACTTCATCAGTCTTCGTAATGTAATCAATTTGCCTATATTCCTGTATGCGAATGATGTAATTGTCTCTATTTTTGCAGGATAAGAACAGATAGTTGGGATTAGAAAACACCATGATACTCTTAATATAATTAGGAGCGACTCTGACCCTCTGCATCTCACTATAATTAGACGTACTAATAATTCTAACATCTCCAGAGCCAGTGCCTGCAGCAAACGCTTTCTCTGTAATGTTTTGTAACTGCAATTAATAACAAGATTATACACAATAAATCCAATCCTCGCATTGGATGGCATAGTTGATTCGGTCTGATTTCAGATCATAGATTTGGATGGTCTCATCGAAGGATCCAGATACGAGTTGATTACTATTAATTAGAATGACATCCCTGACTGCCATCTTATGATTGTTGATAGTCTTTGCCTTAATGCTTTCCAATAATCCACTAGAGGATGTATCCCAGATCTTGACACTATGATCCCCAGAACAACTGACCAGATATTCTGGTTTTATCAGTTGTTTTATCATCAAAATGGGATCAGAGTGTCCTTGTAATTGCCCTTAAAATTAAACGGTCTTCTCGAAAGTGATGATTCCAATGATCTATTCTTCGAAATTACCAATGCTACATGCTTAGAGAATTAGGATTACCATGCAGCCACAGCCAATTTGCCTTAATATACGAATCCACAGATGCTAGTGCATTTGCCTTCAAATTAGTATTCTCCAATCTTATTCTCTCCAATACCTGAATAAATAACGATCAGTCCATCCACAGTTGAGACTATCAGGTAATTTTAATAGAAGATGATGTCACTCACATAGTTGTCTTGATCTTCTCCAAAATCTTAAAGCACTTTGATTACAGGACAACTATCTAATTTATTCTCAAAAGATTAATCTGTTTTGAAATTTAAATTAGCTGATGGTTACCTCTATAATGACTGGTTCATCCCCAAGGGAGATATGGTAGCACCATAATTAGCCACAATGTTGGTTGTGTATATTTGTGAGGATTCTAGATTTTAGCTTGGTTTCTTTTCAAAAGTCGCGACTATATTTAATAATACATCATACTGTCTTCAACTTGGGATACATTCTATAAGAACCTCTTCGAGACATCTTCTAATTACACAACTAATTTATTCAAGAATTAAACTGCATTGCTGGATGCATCAAAGGCAACCAATTAGTTTTTTATTTCTGGATGTTGAATCAAGTAAGCAATGATTGCCACACCTCTTTAGTCTAAACTCACCATGCTCCGATTGGCAAATACCACTAATAAAATATCAATATGTACTAGTTTTAATTTGTTCACATAAGCTGGCAATTCCTACTTGATCTATGAGTCGATTCCATCCAACTGAGACTCGAGCATCATTCGTTTAGAATTCTATCCCAACATTTCGATTTCCTTGATGGTCTATCTCATAAAGTCTTCAAAAATGGCCTTTACCTTAGATTTAGCATCCTATATCTCTTATTTCTACAAGTTTAATCAAGATACAAGATTACCTTCTTTTGATATTTCATAGCAGCCTCAATTATTGCAGCTTGATCCTAACCGAAAGATTTCAATTTGATTCTTTACCCCGCATTGCATTTATGAGTTATCAGACATTGACCACACAATCTTATGTCTTTATTGGGACATCTATCACAACAGATCACCTATATTTTTTGATTGTGATCACTGCAATTCAATGAGATCAATGATCCACTCATTCTATTTGTATCTACAGTTGTCAAGTATGCTGAGAATTCATATGAATAAGTTTTTGGGTCAATACTCAAAATGGAACCATTAAATGATTTGGCAGTATTATATGGCAATGAGAGAAGTTCCTTGAAGAATGAGTCTTATAACCTCCGCATTTTCTATTCCACCTAACTCTAATAAATTGAGATCTTCTTTGAGGCTTAGTCCAAATTTCCGACTATCTACTTGATCAATGATTGATTGTTGTATGTGTTGAGCAATATCTAGCATCCTTATTTTTAGATGTAACCTAAATCATTTTTTTCAAATGCCTCCACAATTTAACTAGCAGCTTCTCCAAATAGTTCTGCATCAGGCATTCCTTAAAGTAGGTACTGATTCAAATAGATATCATAATATCCTTGATATGATTTAAAGCTCTCAAAGAAATTATTTTTAAAATTTGCTAATGATTAAGTTAATCCACCAGTTGCATTAGGTGAATTTTAATCTCTATCGAACTTCTCCACTATTTCCTAAATGCCGTAACTATCGTGCTTGATTGCTTTTCAATAGAATATAATTGCATACCTTCATCTATCGTGATACGATCATTGCACATATGGTCAACCAGACATTCTTCACACAGTCTTCTGTCTCCTTCGTCTCTTGTGCATGCTTTGCCCAGACATATTGCAATGTGAGGTCGATTGTGATTACATGACACATCCACAGTGTTGGAGGACTGACAACTTCCCATTTTAATTAATTATACAAAATTACAAATATTTGAGAAACACTAAAAGTACAAATATTTCATTTTTAGTTTTGTAATAAATTACTTAATACGATACACACGCTTTTAATAATACCAAATAATAATTCACTTCCTCATTTTATTAAAATTAAGAAGTGATATTTGGTTATTTCAATCATTCTTATAATTTAATTATAGGATTTTATAAACCCAAACAGGAATTAGATTCTCGAATATATGAATTATTGGCTTATTTATTATTTCCCCATTTAATCTCTTCTATAAACATAACTAAATTAAATTCTGCTTCTCTTTCTAATAATAAATTTATGCTCTAAATTTAAATAGGGGACATTATCGACAATCAATACGAAATAATAAAGAAACTGTCACAAGGTTCATTTGGAATAGTTTTTTACGGGAAAAGCATTAAAACAAACAAAGGAGTCGCAATTAAGGTGGAGAGAAAGGAGATGGCAAGTTTTGGCACTCTTGTGCGTGAAGTAACACATCTTCTAACTCAAGATCGAAATGTTGGGTAAATTGAAGGGAGTTCCATCAATTCCTGAATTGTTGTGGCATGGCGAGTATAAGAAATGCAACATCATGGTAATGAAAATGCTGGGACACGATCTCATCTACTATCAGAAACAGTCAGGCCAATTGTCGTCGTAATGCATTAATAGTATTGCTTACCAATTGCTGTGGATTTTGGAATAGATGCACAAAAAGTATAATAAAATCATTTATGTCAGGAATATAATTCATAGGGACATCAAACCAGAAAATATTTTGAGTAAAAATGGCTCAGACAAGATTTATTTGATTGATTTCGGAATTTCAAAAGACACCGATTCAAATTTCACACACAAAAAGAAATAATTCTCATTTATCGGCACAAGCAGATACGCCAGTCTCGCAGCCCATCAAGGAATAGAACAAACACTCAAGGACGACCTCGAATCCCTTGGGTATGTACTGATCTACTTAACCACACAACACTTGCCTTGGATGAAAATCGAAAAAGCAGACGATCAAAGATTAGACAAAATTGGTAGGCTGAAAGAAAATGTCTTATTGGAAGATTTGTGTTTCGGGTGTCCCAATTCAATGCTTAAGTACATTCCCAATTATATAATTTAGGTATATGAAATATGTTAAGGAACTAAAGCCAAGTGCTAAACCCAAGTACGCTATGCTGAGAGGTTTGTTCCTATCCAAGTTACAAAACACAGTTGAATTGGGATTGGATTGGACCAATTAAGCAATCAAATAAGAAAAGAAGAAACACCACAAAAAACAGAGGAACTCCTGTGAACTGAATTTCTAGAGCTGCGTGACTATTAGGAAGTATATCATCTATTAATATCTTTCTTAGACCATTTATGGGCGAAACCTAAATCAACTTAAATGTCAAAACTATTGCTGCTCAAGAGGAATAAGTGATATCATCTGATAATCTAACTAGCCAAGTGCAGTTTAGTATTGTGGAGACGCAAGGAAGCAAAAATAGTGTTAAGGTTGGGTTTTCATCTTCGGACATTATGGAATGCTTGGCTGTTTAATAAAACAATAATATGGCTCGTATATCTACTTTTGAAGGCATCGCTGAAGCAAACCCGCTGTTGCCTTAAAATTTCGAAAAGCAATTAATGGAAAAAGAAAGCTAGGATTTAGAAATTAAATATAACCTACTTCACTTTACATCAGTATATTTTAATTTTAAGAACCCTATTCAGCAAAATACTATCAAGTAAAACTATTAAGTTAATGTGATCAAATCTATTAATTGAGTTTTTATACCTTTTATATTTTCCTTTTTTATATTAATCATTCTGGATAAATTTTTCTTGTATTTACATATATTTTCACTCAATAGTAAATTATTAATTAATAATAAAAAATAGATATGGGATGTATTAATGCCAGTGGTCATTAAAAAAGGAAGAAAGATTTAGACATTAATAATGTCCCTATCCTGTTAAGTGATATAAAATCATCAAACATTGAAAAAATTCAGGACAATTGGCTAGAAATGAAAAACAACTCTATCCTAGTCAGACGAGTTCAGCAAAGCAAACTGTCACTGAGAGTGGCTACTAATTCAAAATCTCCTTTGTCTTGCTAAAGTCGGAATTGAAAAAATCTATTGATTAAATCAGTCTTTATATTTTATTAACAACACATAATAGTTAAATTACGAAATGGTTCTATGAGAAGCATCGTTTTGCATAGACTGGAGGAAGGAATTTTTAAATGGTAATTTAAAATTTGAATCCATTCCTTTAAGGATTAAATAATATAAATAATAGTATATATGAATTTTAATTGGCTTGAGAATTTCTCAATTAAATTAAATAAATGAATAAGAATGCTAAATTTATATGGTACGTATATAATGGAAATCAAAGATCCAAAAACAAGCACTAGGTTTTCTTCAAAGAATAATCAAATTTAAAATAGGCAGCTGTAGCCATCATATTTTGGACACCAAATACAATTAGTTCAAAATTGCCAACCTTAGGATAAGCTCACATGAAGAGCATTTGCAGTTAAAGTCACTTATTGGAATTGTTGAGACAGGAAAGTTTTGAATGTAAATTGATGGTTTGTTAACGCTAATTCAATTTACGAGACATCCATTCAAATGAGATTTGTTTTCCTGGTGGAAAGTTGGACAATGAGGAGAGTGACTTTGAGGCTGTAATAAGAGAAGTAATGGAGGAAGTGGATGTAGATTTGAGGAAACACCAAACATTTTATTTGGGTCGTCTTCCAAACAATATTGAGATCAAGGATGCTCCTAAAGGTTTAAAAGTTTGTTGCCATATTTTTATGGTCTCAGGTGAGTAACCCCAAGTTACATTAAATTAATAGGAGTTGCAAGATTGCAAGTGGATTCCAATCTCTTACTTCTACGACTTGAGTGATAAAATTAGATTGGGAAAATGCACATAATCATTCACATTTTTTATGGTCAAATCGTTTTTTCAAAAATTCCCAAAAATGATTGATGAAATAGTGAGAAACTTTGACCATGGTTTGTTTGGATAGGTAGATTTGGGAATGAAAAATCACTTATTTGGATTTAGTTTAATGATATTTACACAAATGTGCAATTTGGTTTTGTCTGAACAAAAGGAAGGCAGAGAGTATTTTGGAGACATTAGATTGATGAATTCGATCGTCCACTTAATGGATTTGAACTTTGCAGAAAATACATTCATAGGTATATAATATATGGATTCTAGGCAAATTGTGTGATTGGTATTTCTCCAAAATGTACAAGACCTACAGAATTGAGAATAGAGTGGAGGTGAGAAGACATCTAGGAAAATTATGATATAATATATTTATATTGGTTTGATTTCATAAAAAGATTTAAAATAAATGTTCAATCGAATTGCACGGTTGGCTGCATTATAACATAAGGTTGTAAAATGCTTTGATCTTCACGAGTATCAAAGTAAGGATTTGATGAGAAGATTCAATGTACAAGTGTAGAAAGGAGAAATTGCCTTGAATGCAGAAGAAGCAGCCAAAGTAGCTAAGAAACTTGATCCTAGTGGTGGATTGATCTTGAAGTCATAAGTTCATGCAGGAGGAAGAGGCAAAGGTATACGAATCATTTAAAATTCAAGGAACTCTATCAAGTGGATTGAAAGGAGGAGTCAAGATCTGCAAAACTCCAGAAGAAGTAGCCAATTATACCAAATAAATGATCGGATATAAATTGGTCACTCATTAAACACCCAAAGAAGTATGCACACTTATCTATTAATTAGGGATTATAAGTAAATGCAGTACTCGTTCATGAAGGTGTGGATATCGTACGTCAATTATATATAGCATTTATTTTGGATAGAAATTCCTAAAAACCAGCCATTGTTGCCTCAATCAATGGAGGAATGGAAATCGAAGAAGTTGCTAAGACTGATCCAAACAGTATCATCGTATTACCAATTGATGTCAATACTGGATTGACAGATCAAATTGCTAATAAAGTGATCGACACTTTGTAATTATAAGCAGTCAGATAATAAGCTATTGAATAATTGAAGAATCTATACAAGATGTTCATTACTCTTGATGCTACTCAAGTTGAAATTAATCCATGGGCAACAGATCCAAAGAATAAATTATTTTGCATTGATGCTAAGATCAATGTTGATGACAATGCTAAATTCAGATAAAAGGAATTGATTGAATTAAGAAAGACATCTGTTGCCTCTGAATAAGTAGATCCTCATGAGGAGTTGGCATTGGCAGCTGGATTGAATTATGTTGCCTTAGATGGAAATATTGGCTGCATGGTTAATGGAGCAGGATTAGCTATGGCTACTATGGACATCATCAAATTATATGGAGGAGACCCTGCCAATTTCTTAGATGTTGGAGGTGGTGCCAATGTTGAATAAGTCAAAACTGCATTCGAAATCTTGAATTCTCATCCCAAGGTTGAGACCATCCTCATCAATATCTTCGGTGGTATCATGAAATGCAACATCATTGCTGAAGGTATCATCAAAGCTGCTTAATTGGTTGATCTTAAAACACCTTTGGTTGTTAGATTAACTGGAACCAACTCTCAACAAGGTAACTATTTTGTTCATTTTTAGGAGCTAAAATGTTAGATGAATTTGCTAAGTCATAAACCAAAGTATCCATTACAACAGCCACAGATTTGGATGATGCAGCTCAAAAATCTGTTAAAATTGCTAAAGTATCCAAAAAGAAATGATATATTCATTAATTATTATCCTTTAAACAATTAATAATTATAATGATTATTAGCCAAAACCTTATTAATAAATATTCGTATTTCAAATAATTAGATAAATTATACTAGATTTAAGATGTTAAAAGTGATTTCACAATTGAATCAAGAAAACTGCATATAATATTTATGACTTTATCCTACCATCAAGGACATCCACATGATATCATTTCAAGGATTTAAGATGTTCAACAATTTCCTTATTAATTATTGTTATTACTTCATCTAGACATTAAGGATGAATTTAACTATCTTATGGATCTCCAGATGACTCTGATACCATATAAATGCAAATTGATTATATTATGGACTCAAAATGAAGTTATAGATTTTTTTAAAAGAACAGCTGAATTGAAATGATTCTATACACAAATATCAACATTAATTATCTGATAATCTGCTAACATCTAACGATTAGTTGACGTCCTAAAGGAACTAATTGTAATGCTATTTCTCATTCTATGGAATTATCACTATCATTTATTATTCTTATTATTTCTCCTTTTATTTTAACTTCTCCTGTCGAATCAATCTAAATCCTCCTTGATGTAGACATGCCAGTATGATAAAGATCAAAATGCAAAAAGAAATCAAACTCACTCTTAATAATTATTCATAATTACCAAACACTGTAAGTACAATAAACAAGACCTTCTCATTCAAATACTCATACTGTTTCTGTTTGGATTTCTTAGATGCAGAAACAGTAAAAACAATCATCTGCAATAAGCACATTAAGATTGTCATTAATTTTAACTAATTATTAATTAATATGTGAACTGATTATAAATAATATGATTAATTTACATAGATTCAGAAAGTGTAAATAAAGTATTTTGATGTCTTAAAAAAAAGATTACTTAATCTGGAAAGACTGTTTGAAATGAAATTGGAATCCATTTATCAATTCATACCCATTCTGGTTGAAAAGAGAAATTTATAAAAATAATTATTTGTTGAAATTTGAATTATTAAAAGTAAATAGTCATTAGATAAAATTAAAGTTCTGTTTTGTTTTTAAGAAAGTCTAATTTTATTTAATTATAAACTCAATTTTAAAGAAGGAAAATAGGTTTTTATAAAAATATTTAAATTTTTATAACAATTATATATATTATTCTAATAATTACAAATTACGTATTTTGAATCCTATAATACGAAATATCTTGTTTGCTAATATATCCCCCATTTTTGGATTTAAAGAAAAATTAATAATTTAGGTATTTTGCAATGAGTAAAATTGTAAGGCAACGTGTTAGCATGCACGATGAGTCGACTAGTATCTCGTTATAATCCAAAAGTGTAAATAAAAAGAGTAATTATATATCAATAATCGATAGAAAATGCTTATCATAAGCGCTAGCCTATCAAATAATTGATTTGTATCGTATCAGTGCCAAAATCCGTTGGAGAATACGTCTTTGTTAAAGCGGATGTGGAACTAAAGTTAGCTCTCTCTTACATACCTGACCACTGTTTGGGAAGTTTGAAAGAGACTCCTTGTACCTACAACCACAGAGTTACTCGCACTGATTAACTTGGTGATGTCTATTTCTACACTCTCGAACTTCTCGACCAAGACAACTATTCAATTGAATAAATTATTAATATTCTGTCTCATAAGGACGACCCATGCGCTTAACTGGCGATCCAACTTGTAAACTAAAGATTTAACATACTTAATGAATACACACAACATTACTATATATCAAATGAAGAATTGTTGGAAGTTGAATAAATAGCTAAAGACTACCCATATCAATGTATAATTTAAAAAGTGAACAAGGACAATAGTTCACTTTCACAAAGAATAGTCAACGATCAATTTTACACTCTGATGGGAGTGACTTCTGATATGATGTTTAACCATCTCCATGAAACTAAAACACTCCCCTCAATATTTGATATAGGTGCCTCATTAAAGATGTGGTGTGATCTCACTATTGGATCCATCTCTAGTGTTTAATATTTTGATCAATATATAAACACATACGAGGGAGCTCAATACAAGTGCCGAATTGAGCAAAGATAGATGTTCAAAAGAACACAAGTCAATCCGAATTAAATTGTCTTCATAGAGTTCTGGATATTCAAATTAGACGAACCGTTGAAATCCCATCTATTAAATCCCCAAAGACTCTATCTGAACTAGATAGACTACTTTAATAAGAAGAACACAGAGGAGGAATATCAACTTTTTTAAAAATCACTGAAATATATTGAAACTCCCCACTATAAAAATTCCCAACCTTGCGGTTATAAATTACTCCCTTGGATTTGAATTTTTATATATATTATCTAATGCCATTATTTAATTATTTTAAAAAATTATGAGTCCGTTACTTAACAATCATAGAGCCTTAAACTTAAATTATTTTGGAATTCATAAAAAGTTGCAGATTGAGAGTGTTCCTAATGTTTGAGTATTAAATTCCCAAATTATATTAGATTGATTATAATTAAATTGAGAACATTTTATTTTATTAATATTGTTACACAATTAATTATGCTGAAATCTGATAAAAATTATTATCTTAATAATCATTAGAAATTAAAGCTTCGTTTGGTTTATAACGACATAAATTGTTGAATTTGACATATTTCACATATATATTCGTATATAATCAAAAGATATGCTCTATTAATTAGATTCACCAACTTTAAGGGAATTTAATAATATACATACTTATAATCTATTATATAGTTCTATTCAATTATTATTGATTCACTCACAATAATTATGAGAATATGTTAACTGAATATTTTGAATTTTTGTATTATATTAATAAATTGAATTATTATTTTTTATTTTTCTTAAATACATCAAAATCCATTAATAATTATTAATATCATTTTGAGTGGTGATGAAATAAGATAGTATATTTAAAAACATTTCTGTTGGAATTACGCTGTTCTTGAAGGGATTCAAGCCAAAAGAAGTTACAGTTTCTCTGGCATACAAAGAATCAAGTGAACAGATATTTAAGATTGTGAATTAGGCACTTATAATGGAATAGGAAAATGATTTTTGGAAATCCTCATTTTAGGCTAACTTTGATTTTAAAAAGTTTCAAAGCTATAGGATAGATGTATGCCTTGACAAAAAAGCTTCCATTGGATCAATATATGTAACATACTATGGAATATTTAGTTTTCACTGGGGGAATTATTGTAGAAAGAAACCCAAGTCAAAGAAAATAGTTATTATTCAATATAATTATAATCATAATTGCTATAGCAAGGGAACTTAGTATACCAGCATTGGGCAGGAGTCAAGCTGCTAAACACAGATGGATTATTTGGTCGTTCAGATCCATTCCTGTAATTTCATTAATGGGATGGAGAATAGTGGAATCAAATCCATTAGACAGAATATATTGAAAGTAATTTAAATCCAACTTGGATGCCATTCTAATTAGAAATGGGCTTGATGAATTTTTAAGATGAATCCAAGAATTTTAAAATAGAATGTTGGGATCATTCCAAAAAGAATCCCCCAAAACATAAATTTATAGGAAGCTTAGAAATTTCTATATCTGACATAATGGCATCTCAGTCCAAAACTTTTGAATTATACAACCACAATCATGTAAATGACTATATTGAAATAATAGGCCTCCTGTGGTTCATTGAAATTGCTATCATTTAAAATAAATCAAAATCGAAATTTTTTAAGTTAGATTGCAAAAACTCAAATATAAACCAATATTTTTTTTGAATTCACTTAGAACTCAATCAAATTACATCACATGTCTCACTAATAATTAAACATTTTTTAACAAGTCCTGACCCTGATTGGATCATAACTATTTTAGTATAATTAAACAAATTCAGGGAAGCTCTTTGGTTTTGGTGGCACCTATCAATAAACCCTAAAAGACTAGTAAAAATGTTGTATATATTAAAGTTTTGAGATTTCCAAAGATTCAAATGGAATTCAAGAAATTTGTGCTGATTACACTAAAACTAAAAAGGAAATTGAATTTGGAACTAAGGTTTAATTAACTCCTGCGTTATTTGAAATAGTTAAATAATCTGAACTATTCAAACCTAATTTCACAGTTGGATTATTACTAATCTTAGAGGAGATCGCAGACGCTGAAAAGTTAAAGCTATTTTTAAGTCATTGTAAATATCTAAAAATTAGATTAGAACTTATTTTACCAACAATTATGATAATTATTACGCTGAAAGAAAATGCCTATCAATTATCTTCAATCATTAAAAACTAGAACAATATGAATAAGGTGAGACTCTGTTCCATGAAAGAGGATGATAAAAACAGCATTCAAATATTAAGAGAGGAAATATTTACAATAATAGAATAGGAAATTAGAGAGTTTTACAATGTAAATATATGATGATATTTAATTTCATAATTTGTAATATTTGAGATTAATTTATTATGATAAAATTTAGTATTTCAACGCTAATCTTGATTCTCTATATCTATTTAGATTATAGTTTTGGATATTTATCATTTGAAATGAGCAACCGCTTCACTATATTTCTATAAGGATAATTTGAATTTGGAAGCTTTAGGGGATTCATTGGTAATTATTAATGCAAATAAAAGAACTAACATTTTATGTATTTTCTACCTTGGGGGATAGGAGTATAATGTATTATACTTTGATCTTCTTCTGGTTGAAGTAGGCAAATAAGTTGTAAACTTTATAGTTAATAATAATGTATTCTATTTCGTCATTCTTTGGGGACTTTGTGAAAATGATACTTTAATAGCCAAGGCCTTTTTACATTGATAATACAATTTAATTGGATTTTTGCTAATATGGTTTTGGAGGTCCTAGTGGACATGCTTGCAGGGCATTAGTATTTTATGTCATTTTATTTAACATGTTGTAAACTCAAGATAGTCAACAATCAGAAAACTCTCATTAAGTTTAATCAGAAGAATTATATTTAATGATTCAACCTGAGTAAAGCTAATCAAATGAGATTAGTTGGAAGAATCGCATAATAAAATACTCAATGTTAATTTTTTTTATTTTATTTACAGGAATAGCCAGAGTCTATTTTGGGGTTCATTTTTTGAATTAAGTTATGCTTGGATGGATTATGGGATTATACTTGTTATTTATTTTCTATAGTTGTGGAATGCAAAATAAAATAATAGAGCTGTTGATTTAAGCAATATAGAAAGAGCCTTTTAAGAGGCAATAAATAGTTCTGATAATTTATTTGATTTTGACTATCACAGCATCATTTATGATATATTACGGCTGCATTAATTCGTAGATTCTTGTTCAACTCAAGTAGAATTGGAAGGAAGTGGCTGACTTTCAATAAAAGTGTAACGATAAGTATTATAATAATTCTTTTGAAAAACATGATATAATTGGAATATCAATAATTTCATTTCCATATTTTATCTTAATTAGTTTACTATATAAAAAAGGGATTTATGAACCTTAACTTTACAGTCATAAATTCTTTACTAAAAAAGGAATAATAAGAACAATCATATTAGTAATAGGTTTGATGATACCATACTATTGTAGAAAGCAAACAAAACAATATTTACTCTCCATTGATAGTAATATTTTTGTTCAGTTTTTTTGTATTGGTTTATTTTACTTTTTGGAATTGACTCTCCTTCTTATATACTTGATCCCTTTTATTAATAAAATATTGAAAGTGGATGATCCAGGAGATTTGCTAAATTATTAACCAAAAAAAATTGAAGAATAATATGAATTCGAGTTATGAATTTTAATTCTTAAATTAATATTTGATCTTTATATGTCATTATTGATCCAAATTAGCCTTAGTGGCTATCTCAATAACAGAATCCCATTCAAAAGCTGTTAGAATGCTGACGATTGACTTTTGATTTCCTCTCATCAATGTCAACCAATCAATGATAACTTATCCTCTTGCCTGTCCATCAGACACAATAGATATATTCTTTTATAAAGAATAAATTATCAAACTTGGCACTAATGCTACCATTACAGCCAATTCTACAATAGGATTTTTAAATTAATATACCATCACAAAGAATGTAATTTCCATCATGACTAACAGCTTTGAAGGTGCTTTCAACAAATTGAGATTTCTTTGTATTAGCTCCATTCTCAAAGATGACTTTGCCATTCTGTTTATCTAAAGTGTAAGCTAAAACGACATCAAATGGCAATAAGATCTTTTATTTAAACTTTGCCATAGCCACTGCTGCTGTTGCTTCAACATCAGTTTGCACATTAAACTCCGCTACTGAATTTGCTGCATTGCCTACTCCCATATATGTTCCTCCCATGGCAAATAAACATCCAAGCTTATCGACAATGTCTGGATACATTTACAGTGTTAAATAAATGTTAGTCATTGGACCAATACAAATTATACATAAGTCCTCTCCGTATTTGTAAACTGAATCTTTTATGAAATCACAAGCATGTTGTTTTTCATGGAAATATTCCAATGGTTTATCTTACAATCCTAATTCAGTTAATAATCTCTATTGTTATCCGCCTAATCCATCTTCCAAAAAGTAATTATCTCTGTAAAACCTCCTCAATGTATCTGTTCTGCATCCCTTGTATATTTTAGGAGGATTATCGCCAAAATGTCCAATTCTAGTTGTAATATACACCTTGAGTATTAAATTAGATAGATTACATTTTTTATCACATTTTCAAGTGCAGCATTACCTGCCACTGCTGTAATTCCAATCAATTCTGCATCCGTTCTAATATATTTAAGAATGTAAGAGGCAATGAGAATTGCATGAGCATCATCAGATCCAGCATCTGTATCTATAATATATTTCGAGTATTTTTTAAATTGAATGTGACTGTCATCAAATAGCAATTTAGGGAAGGGATGTGTGAATTTTGATTGTTCTGCCATTATTTTATTATTAATATATCATTATTTTAAAATTACACACATAATTATTAAATATATTTATATATAAAATATAAATCTCAATTATGAAGAAAATCTTCTTGAAAGTTATATAATACAATTATGTAAACATCTATATAGGTCCTAAGATAACTCTTTATGTAATAGCTAATCTATGGTGTTTTTAAATTTAAATAAAACAAGTGATTTATTAGATAGAAAAGCTCAATTCTCTCTTCTAGCTAATATTTAATAGATCAATAATAAATATTAAATTTAATAATTATGTTTATAGAAATAGACTGTACAATAATATTTGATGAGAAAGATGACATTCCTTTTCAAATAGAATTAGAAGATTAAAAAAGTAAATAATATCATGCTTTCCCACTATCACTTGATAAGTTTGGAATCCTCCAATTTATATCGCAAACTCAATAGCTTCAGCTCTAGAAAAAAATAGAATATATGAAAAAATATATCGATTTTGTTTAACAACCACTAGAAAATACACAAAGAATAACACAAAAAATATAAAAAAACATAGAAGATGTTTTACCTACCGATATTTTTGGTCCGAAATCTCTCTAACCTAATGCAGGTTAATATGGCTTTTAAAAAGAATTTTGCACTAAGATAATATAGCCAAAACAAGAATAGAGTAGTTTATTACCTGGATCAAATGTTGCGATACTAATTTATTAAAATGAAGATTTTGAAAGTTTAAATCATCAGATGGAGGTATATAACAATCAATACAAAGTAAAACCAATCGTATTAATAAATGGTAAATCTGCATTTAAGAAACTAATGAGGTCCAAAGAGGACTTTTTTCTAAATTTTTATTAAACAAAATACCTTCCTTTTCATTAAAAGTTTATGACATCGACCCATCATTGCATCTATTTTTAAATTAAAGGTTAAATAGGCTATTATTTTGTTTTCGCAAGAGAACTAAACAAATTAGATCTGATTAAGTGGGTTTATTAAGGGATTCTAAAATTGATTTAACCAAAGTTTGTTGCGATTGCATCTAGTAACGAAATTTTTAGTCAAGAAATAAATATCATATAGTTGTTTGAAATTTTGGCAAAGGAACCTAAATATTTTGGAATTTAATGTTTTAAAAAATTAAGTTATAAAGGGAGATTTTGGAACACTTCATAAGGAAATTTTGCAGACATCGCTTTTAAAATAGACTCCATGTTTAAAATTAAATAATTTCATAATCCCCTTTCTTGCATTTATTAATGGGAGCGAATAGAACCTACAGTTGATGATTATATACGTATGCTTGATAATGAATAGATCGATAATTCATGGGCTTTAGGATATAATTCAATATTACCTAGACTTATGAATGAACATTCAGGTAAAGAATTAAAATTTATTACATAATGCATTGTTGAATAAAAATTTAATGAAAACTAATTTGAGAATGTATTCAATTAATTTTGCCAATACAAAAGGAATATCAATGATTAACTGAGGAAATGCAGATTCCATTTATTTAGAAATGTGTTCCAATGGTTTATTGCAAAAATCTAAGTTTTCCATAATTACTTTGCGATTTCAATATGTAATTATATGCTTCAATTGAATTAGGTCTTTTCTTTTCATTTTAATGTCCGTATCAATTAATTTATAACTTGCTTGATGAATCCGTTGGATATACTGCTTTAGCTGTTGCATTGCCGATTCTCTATTCCATTAACATTTTGTTATTCCTCCTACTAACCCAGCTCTATCATTTTAATGACAAAATCATTGAGAAAGGTTATTAATAAGAAGTTGCCTTGATGGGTTAAAAGAATGAAAAACAGGAATTTAGTTTTAAAACAGTAAATTCCTCTAATATTGATATTATGCTTATGTAAGAATAGAATGAATACAATATAATTAATTTTGAAATCCAAGAGGATGAATATATTGAAAAGGGAACTAAGGAAATAAAGAAGGAATAGATGAAAGAAAATGAACTTTTTTATTTGTATAAATTTCCTTAATTGAAATACATAAGTTTATACATGGGCTACATAATTGAAACTTAAAATTATTTAGATTTTGGAGTAGTACTATTTATTTACGCAAATTTGATACTGGTCCATGGAAGAAAAATTATAAACGAATAATCAGAATTTGAAATCGCTTTATGGATTATGGCGTTTATTACGTTTTTGTATCAGTTAATTACAAAAAGATTGGGAATAGTTTGGCTTTTTGTTAGATTTTCTATGATATCATATTTTTGGCAGTTCTTCTAACTACCTAGATAGATAACATCAGCTAGGTAGAGGAGTAATGAGAAAAGAAAACTAGGTTCACAACTGTTGTTGAATTTTATTCTCTTTTACACTTTCATTGCTATTGAGTCTTACTACAATTATTGTGGTTATATTTTGATTGGACTCTTTGGATATTTGGCAATAGTTGATATTATTATTGGCTTTTTTTAGTTTACTTAATACCTTTGTTACAGTTCATCTATTCCAAAAAGTGAAAACTAAATTTGGGAAGGGAAGTTACTTGATGGCATTCCTCAAATCTTAGATAATAAAATACACTAATAAGCAAATACCTAACTTTTTGAAATGACAAGAAGATTAGTGGCAGAGACAACTGAAAGCAAAAAATAGCAGTAATTGATGATGTAAACTCAACTTATGAATGATAAAGATTATGTCAATTTAACAAATACAATAAAATTATCACTTAAAGACGAAATATTAAAAAAGTATAATTTAAATTAGATTGATTTCAGTTAAATCAGCAAGTTAACAGACACAGTCATTATGAAATAAATTTAAATTCATTTATAAGAATAATAATAAAATTAACTTAGATTGACATAAGAAATTAATCAATAAAAGGTATAATAAAATTAGAATGAAAAATAATAATAATAGTAATAATAGTAATAGTAATAATACCAATTCTAGCCATAATAGAATTCTTATGTCAACTAAAATTTATTAAATTCAGTTAAAAAATCCGATATTAAAAAGGGTGACTCCGATAATATAAAAATAAGTGATATCAATAAGGGTAGTTTGTTGGAAAGTAATCCACACGTTGGTAGTTTGTTGGAAAGTAATAAAAATGTTGGTAGTTAATTTGGATAGGCTAAAAAATGATTATATAAAAAAATTTAATATGCATAATAGAATTTTTTTTTAATTTAATTAGACTAACAAATAGAAAAAATATATATTTTAAATCCTTTATTATGAATGTAAATGAAATTCTATCATTTTTTTGATGATTTTGTTCCTGATTTGACTGATTTAGCATTTTGATTTGATTTTTATGATTAAGCATCTTTAGCCACTGATTATTATAATTGTTATTATTAAGATTATTATTGAATATCATTTTGTTTTTTTACACTTTAAACAGTAGGTAATTCTTATTATGCTTTAGAATTAATAACAGATTCAGGCATCTTCCAAATAAAGATGGCTCCTTCTGCCCCAACTGATATAATAGTCTTCTAATCAGGACTTATAGTAATCTAATTTAAAATAGATAATTACTCGTGTTATAGTACCTGAATGGCCTTGACCTTTAAAATAGCAGATTCCTTCATCATATCCCCATAATTTGACTTCCTTGTCTTCTCCTCCTGATACAAAATGCTCTCCTTCTTTAGTAATTGCCAAAGCATTAACTTCTCCTTCCTCAGATCCATCTAACATCCTGATAGCTTATCCATCGAAGGTTTCCCAATAAGTGATCTTTTATAAAATGATTAGATACTTTTCTATCACTTCCTGTAGTCAATAACTAACTCTCTTCTGGATGATACAAAACCATTTTGAATAAAGTACTTTCAAACAAACACATGACTCTGGTGAATGATTTAAGGTCCCAAATAATACAAGACCCATCTGCACTTGCACTAACTGCTTGCTCATTGTTTCTTCTGACTTAAATGGACCATACTCTTCCTCTATGTTCTTTCATGGAAGATTTCATAACTTAAGTTTATTTTCCAATTTCCCATACTCTTACTTCTCCTTCAGACCCTCCTGAAATGATTCTTTAGCAATCCGATGTACAAGTCAATGATGTACAGCCATGGATGTGTGCATCATTAATTACATAGAGCAATCTACCTGATTGTGGTAAAAAGGCTCTGATCTTTCCATCACTCCAACCACTAACAATACTTTTACCGTCATTCATAAAAGCAACAGCCCAGCACTCAAGATTTGGCACTTAAATTCTAAGTAACTCTTGTCTATTCTTAGCATTCCAAACTCTGATATCATTCAAAGAACTTGTGGCAAATACGTCTGAATAATTATGAGGGAAAGCAACATCATTAATTCTTTCGTAATGGCAGGTATTTCTTAATTCTGGTATCAATTTTTCTGTGTCCAACCAATAAATATTGCTTTGAAGTGTTCCTGCGAAAAAATGAGTCTAATCATTTGTGAAGGAAATAGATGTCACTCCTCCGAGCAATTCACTGCTTGCCACTATTTGCATTGTTTGAAATGACACTTTGGCTATCATACCATCTCCAGCTCCAACTATTATGTCGCCATTCTGTAATAAACCCAAGCAATTAACTCCTTAAGAAAACAACTTCTTGACTGGGGCCAATCTCTTATAAATGGCCATATCCATTTAAATCTCAAAGACATCTCCAGTTTTTGTTCCGCAATAACAAAATTTATCGTTTTTATCTATTGCAACACAAGTAAAGGTTCTCTTGACATTACCAAAACTCACGTCGACGGATTGAATCTTTAAATTATATTCCATAGTACCTTTTTATTTTATCTGTCTATTGTTAGGATCTAAACTCCAGTATTCAAAACTGCTATCATTTTTTCATCGGATTAGTTGTAAAATTAGACTTAATTGACTGGATCACGATTTGGAGTTCCATACAATGCCTTTCCAGCCTTGATATCCCAGACAATCAACATGTTTTTATCATCAATTCCTCCCAATGATGCCAAGTATAATTCATTATAAGAAAAGCTGAGTGATTAAATCAGCACTTTATGTAATTTCAATCTATGAATCATGCTTCTATCTTTGAAATCCCATATTATAATGTCTGCTTAGAATCCCATATAAGTTTTTTATCCAGATGCAACATAATCTCCAGTTCGAGAAACTGTTATCACAGAGATCTAATTATCATGTCCTCTAATTTAATATAACACTTTTCCATACCTTAAAAATGTTTATTGTCTAGTAATTATATGTCTAACTACGATGGTTGAGCCTAATGGATAAATAACATGCTTTGAGTTAATATATTAAATCATACTTCGTTATCTGGATGCAAAACTAGCCCCTAAATTATTTTTCCTTTGATTATAAACATTTTATATACCTGTGAACCCTATCACTGCCTGAATCTCAAGTTCTGATTGCATTATTTTTTATTTATTTTCAAATATATTTTATTACTTAAAATTAAAACAACGTTTTTCATATATAAATATGAAAAGTTCTTTCATATATACATATAATTTCAAAATCATCAATTTTCAAAACTCTAAATCTATTTTCTCTCTGAAATAATAAAAAAAACATTGTTAATTTCCCAGGCAGATTAATTAAACTCATAATTTATAGTATTTAATTATTATGAACACAGAAGAAAATAAGAAAATGTAACAAAGCGATGGGGATGAGATCTTCATTCACATCTAAAGTCACGCAGACTAATATAAAATTTAATAAACAGATGATAGAAGCTAGAACTAAATCATGATACCTAATCAAGCAATCGAACCTCAAAAAAATAAGCTAACACCTTTCACTTTAGAATAAATAAAATTGGTTTCATCAACTTAAGTTAGTGGAGATGGCCATGTTAAATCGGTAAAAGTTTAATGTCCATAATGTAAGAAAAAGGTAAATAAAGCCAGTAATTAAGGTTGATACTGTTGTTGTGCGCAAACCTGGGTCTCAAACCTACGTTGCTTCTTGTTTACTTTTGTTGTGTTCATTTGGTCTGGTTTGTGTTTCTTGTCTTCCTTGCATAATTGACGACTGCAAGGATGCTTTACACTCGTGCCCCTAATGCAAAATTTCACTTGGAAAAACCGAATTTAAAATTTTGGATTGATAACTCTTATGGTTTACTTTCATTATTCTTAAGTAAACAATTATTTCTTAACACTATATATACTTCGTTTTCAGTTTTGCTTCTTGCTAGTTCCAATACTTTATCCTCCTAATTTACTATTTATCATGGCAATCTAAAATTATTACTTTCTATTAATTATAAATAATTCAAACTTACATAATTATTTAAAATTCATTAATCTAAAAATACTTACATCCTACATTCAGATAGAATTCCTTATCAATAATTGCAGATTTCGGATTATTAGACAGACATAATCCTAATAAGTGAATGCATAAAAGTTGTAATTCAAATATAATTTTAATAAGATTAATCCTAAAGAATATATCTTTACAAACATTTTTACATTATTTGATTTTTTATTTTAAAATTTCTAAAATAATTTCCTAAAACATTATACCAAAATATTTATAATGAATTTTAAGAATTCTGCTCATTATATTATTATCAATTATCTTAATTACTTTACCTAAATATATATCAATATTACTTTAAATTTAATCATGCAATGTTATCATCAAATGATATTCAACTACCTACAGGTAGTTAAGAGTTAAATAATGAAAAATCATAATAAAAGTTGGTTTGTGTTCTTCGGGAATATTAGTAAAATGATATTTCTTAGAATTTCGAAAAATAGCACTGAAATAATTTTGGATATAGTTTAGTTTTATGGTAAGGAAATAGTTAAAACCCAAAATAGATTATTGTTTTAATTTACCCAAATTTGCTCAAATAAACCAGAAAAATTCAGAATTCTATAATTCAATTGATTCAATCGGAAATCGTTTTATTAGAATAAGTGATATGTAATTGGATGAATTGCAAATAAAATAATTTGCATTTTTATATAATAAAAATTTGCTTGCTAAATTTTACAATGTAAGACTTAATTATTAATTTGATAATACTTCTAATGATTATTAAAAATTGATGAAATAAGTTGTGAAATATTATGAAAGAAATTATAAAATCGATGATATTTATACAGTATGTTTAAATACTCAGCATTATCAAATTGTTTATTAATATTTGATAAATTATAGAAGATTGAAAAGGAGGATCTCAATTTAAAATTTTTGTAAAACAAATAATGAAACTAATGATTACTTTTTGAAATTATTTTTTTTTATCAAATTAAATTGATAATTATATTTTATAAATTCATTCTGAAAAGAATTATCCTCCCAGTTCAAGGACTTACCAGTTTATTCATATCTGCATCGGTTATTGTTACAGTTTAACGATATCTCACTGTTGATTATGAGGTCATCATAGTAATCATATGCCTACTTATTAATAATCAGTACTTTTGATGTCCTATTTAAAGCTTTGATATTTATATTAAATGGCATCTTAATTTAGAAAAATTAGCTCTTCGACGCTGCTCTTGATAATTTAACTTTCTTAATTGATTATTCAAATATCTAGTAAGAAAAAAATCTGATTTTATTGATCTAAGTATACTGTGTAATAAATCTATTGAAGCTAGTTTGTATTTCTTAAAATAGACTCTAAAAATATTGATAATAAATGGATAACATAATCTGATGCATAGAATAATTATAAAAATTTGAAGTAGAACTGATAAGGGCGTAACATTTTCCTTTTCTGATACATATTTTGCTGCGCTAATAAATATGGAGATCGAACAAATTTATCCAGTTTGTATGTCTAAAAAGTTCAAACTTTGAATAATATATGGCTTCTATTTTACTGCTAAGAGTTAGTAGAAAAGCAAGCATAACCCAAGCAGAGAGGCTGTTAATAATACATTATTTTCAAAATATGTCAAGATAATGATGATGATTATTTTTTTTGATAGTTTAATTTATTCCCAATAATAGCTTTCTGAATTATATTCGTTAAATAGATAACAAATATGCCTTCTTAACTTAATTTAATCTAATTGATCCCTATTAACATACATTAAAAAAAATAGAGAAAAGGGAATTAAGATCCCAATAACTCCGAGACCTGGAATTGCAAACATCATCATCCATTATATATGAGTTTCGGTTCCATAAATAAGGGAAACGTCTCCTTAAACATAGGAAATATTTGAAATGTCTCTTTTTGAAATGATTGAACAAAATCTATGATTATTAAATAATTTACTATTTGACTAAGGCAGCATAATTTGATACATATAAATATAACACTGTATTTGAAATAATACTTTTGTTAAAAATCCAATTTTTACATAAAGAATAACAACTAAACCCAATCCAAATAATTAATAGTTGGATGGCTATCAAAATCAACATGGTGATAATTCTGATATAGATAATCTCAACGTTTTGCATTGAAGATAGATAGCAATCTAAATTATTCGCCATAAAATATGAAGAATTGCTTGTCAATTCAATAAAATTTAACGAAAATGAAAAATTAGTGTTGAAAGTGAATATTACCGAAAATATCCACAAGTAGTTCAACAACATTTTGATAAGAATACTTTCATGATCTTTAATAATTAGTATAAATTACCTTAATCTAACTTAAAAATAATTTTACTAAATCTTTATCTAATTTTTAGGGATGAGAATAACCTATTTGATTTTTCAATACTTCTTAAAGTTATTAAAATAGAGATTATAGCCCTACAAAAATATATATATATTTTTACCATATGGAAGTTAATAAAAATGGTATAATACTGTCTTACATTCTTTAACATCCAAAACATTGAGCATTCTATAAGTTTCTATAAAACATCCCATCTCCTCTAACATCAAAATTATCACATTCTTCACATAAGCCTCCTAAATGACCTTCAAGACATAGATTATTTCCAACATCCCAACCACCAGTACAAAACTTATTGTTTTTATACATTTTTCTGCTTAATCAGAAAGATAATTAGGTCTCCAAAATCCCTCCAAAAGATTGATTTTATTTGATGTAATATTTTCAAATTTTTCTTTGTCAAAAATTGAACATTTAGTAGCATTGTATGTTACAGAGTAAAATCCTTAACTAGATTAGCAAACCTAACAACCCTTATCAACATAAAATTCTCCTTATTAACATTTTAATGTTTTAGCATAAATGATGTATTGCAATGGTTATTCGTCATTATCAGCCTTACAATTTAATTAAATTGATAAAATTTTATTATCTTGAAAATAAGGATCAAACTTGAAGGAGAGTGAACTTAAATCAATAACTTTAACATCATTATCATAAAAAAGGCTTTAGACTGTTCTCTCATTAGAGGCTACGCTTTTGTTTTCAAATGTTATTGTTGCCTCTATTAAGCAAGAAGAATTATATAAATTCTCCATTTTTTCATTAAATCGATTGTTAAAATGTATAGATATTATTTAAATATAGCTCCTAAATATTGAGAATTTTGGAATGTAGATCTTATAATTCTTGATCTACTAATCGCTAGGAATCATTAGCTGTTTGGCCCTTAATACTGAACCTTATTCAACAATATTATACGGTTTTATTACTGAAGCTGAAATGGGTTTATCTCCTAAATATTATTATACTGATGGGATTTCCATTTGATTAATTTAAATACTTAAATGGGTTGGAGCTTCAACTAGATTATTTGCATATACTTCTGCATAATTAAAAAGCAAAAAAGAATTTAAAAAATTTTCTGCATTTAAATTATTTTATTATTGTAAAAAGTTACCACCTCCAGCTTTAGCCTTATTCAACATGAAGATGGATTATTAAATATGGAATTCGTTGTCATTGATATCTAATTGCATTCCTCCTCCTGTTTTGAGTGCATAATTTTCAAGTATTTTACAATATCTTATTACAAGCTTAATATTCTCAACCTATATTCCACTCCCTTAACTTCCGTTGTTTCTAATGAATACAGAATTCTATATCACTGCCAATTAACTACTATTCTATTTATCTGCTTTTAGATATAAGCATCCATATTCTTGAACTTCATTTTGATAACACTAAAACTCATCAATTCTAACAAGCTTAAAGTCAGAAAGACTAAAATAAAACACTCCCTAAGTGCAATTTAAACAATTGTTTTAATGTACTTTCACTTAATTAAATATTAATTTCGATTAACTATTTGAGCTTACAACTTTAATAAGCGAATAACTCATTTTTTAGGTTGACTTTGTCAATTATTTAATGTTTTCATTTATAATTACTTTAGAATTTAAATAAGTTAATTAAGACAATTATTAGAGCTAACATCCTACGACTCTAAACAACGGGGACTTTTAAATTTAATATTATTCCATGTTTAATTGGTAGATTGAATATCTTTAAATTTCTATTTTTTCCATTAAAACCGTAGAATTTGATTATTAATTTATAATAATAAGTTATTAAGGATAGAAGGATTACAGATCATTTATATAACAATACCTTATTTTTAATTTCAAGGCGTTTAGTATTTTAAAAATTGGTGATATGATAATACCTTGTATAAAAAAATGATCGATTTAAATCTAACCTCCAACTATATTAAATATTGAATTATCATCAGTAATTTATGCAATATCAGTTTGACTTAGCTCTTAAAATTTTGATAAATAAATAATCCATTCTTCTTCATCAAAGATAACAGTCATGTTTATAATTGATAATTAATTTAATTTTTAATTGTTGTAAGTTGAAAATTCTATTTAAAAGATTTAGTTTAAGAATGAAAAACAATTTATAATTTATATTTGCCGAAGTTATATAATGGTTTTTCTTTGTGATGGTTTAACAGTTAATATTACTGTGCTCATTCCATTCTATACATTTCTAAAGCTTGAATTGATTAATTCTAAATCTAGATTACTGTTTTAAGAATTAATGTTAATACAACCAGAATTATCATTGCTGTCTCTTTTAATATTAAATATTAGATTACTAGAAATGTTGTTAAATTTGACAACACCTAAACCTAATGTTCGAATTTCAAAGATTGAGCTAGTTTGAGCCATAATATTTTGAAAAGTTGAATTTGTACACACTAATTGCTCAGTAATTATTTTAGCAGCACCACCTTTAACATTTATTGGATAAATCTATGATATGATTTGGTTAATTTGATCTTGATTATATTACTGATCAAGCTCTAGTTTGTAGAATTCACTCCATAATTATTAATTGATTATATTATGATTATTAATTATATAGTTTTTAAGGCTGATGGACTTTGAAATAATATAGATAAAGGAAGTTGATGAGTTTGTAATAGCATTTTCCTGACAAAATATATTCGATAACTATAATTCACCTTAAGTAGAATGAATGTTAATTAAACCAGCCGAATTTTCATTTGGGTCATCTTCATATTAATGGAAGAAATTGTTAACAAATGACAAATTTTAGATGATTATTAACTACTTGTTTTCTGAGTATATTCCTAATAACGATAGCATGCTCTATTAATTCTATTATATGATATTCCTTTTAAAAAATATATCTTTTATTTCAATAGTTTCTTTACTATTAATTTAATCTTACAAAGTTGATGTAATTTCAATTACTTTTGAATCGATTAATTACGAGTCAATTATTTCCCCATTCTATAATTTAAATTAACTAAACCCTTGTATATAGATAAGTTATTTTTATAAAAGCTAATATTATCTACATAATTAGGAATAATGTACTTAATTCTTTTTAACATCTTAGTAAAATTTAAAATTTTCTATTAAAATGATATTGCTTTCAAGAAAAAAGAACGTTGTAATATTGTTGATATTTTTAATTTCAATTTAATTTACATGACAGTGAAAACAATGTCTGATGTAAAATATAAAGTTCTAATAATTGAGATTATCTTGTCTTTAAAGATTAGAAATAGCTAAATTGGTCATTTCAATAATCAAATTAAAAAAAAGTGCGTTGGTCGATATTTGAAATAAGTTTGAATTTTCTGAAATTAAGTTTTCAATTTTAAGTTAATCCATACTAAATAAAACATAACCTGGAACATTTTTTCCATTTATAATTACTAAACTTGACTGGCTTAAGGTGTTTTCCACAATTATGGCATCAATTATTGAAGTATTATAATTTTTCATAAAAAAAGTAGAATTTTATAAAGAATTCCCATAAACAGAGAGGTTTGCAATTTCCAGCTTGGCTAACCCAAAAAAATATAATAAGTAGGATTAGTATTTTAATAGACAATTCTTGATAACTACTGTTGATATTTAATGAAGAATAGATTCGATTATAAATTAATGATTGATGAATTAATTAGAGTGCAGTTTTCAATTTGTGGTTCTTAAATTTGAATAGACAATTACGTGTTTATCATCAAAAATAAATTGGAGTTAACAAATGTTGAATTTTAGATTAATAGCCTTTGAATGCGTAATTAACTACTAAACTATAAGGAATCTAAGTGGATAAATGAATATGAAGAAAACACTACATTCCTAATTGTAATGTTTACTAACTCTACCTCACTAAATTAATTTGAATTAAGAAACAGAGAACTTTAATCTATATTGCTTCCAATAAATAAAATATCCTTCATTTTAAGCTTCAACTTAGTATCTCCAAAGTTTAATGAAAAGTCAGTAAAATCCATAGTTGAGTTAAAAATCTCAAACATATCAAAATTTAGAAAATAATAGAGATTTCCAAATCCCAGGTTAAAATATCCATTATTGTTATTAATAATGAGTTTAGTTTCTTATAAAGAAAATAATTGTTATCTAAGAAATTAGGCATCTATATCAAATCCAATATTGCAGTCAAATTTAGTGTTAGGAAGATCTAGTTGAATAATAAATTTTTGAACACCAACTTAGTTTAAGTATTTTATATTGGCTTAATTTAATACATTTTCGGTGAGAAACCACCTTTAAACGCAAGATATAGCGTAGTATTAATACAAGAAATTATTCTTGCAACTCTTATCCAAACAATATTGAGGACTTAATTATTTAGGTTAAATTTTAATATTGGGATCTTAAGCAGGTAAGTAACATTTTTTTGTAAATACTTCATTATCCTATGTGGAAATAAAATAGGGGGAAGCTTACTAAATACAATTGATAAATAAATTACAGTAATTTCAGTAATATTTCTAGATTAACAGAAGGAACAAAGAAGAGAGCATGTTTAACATATTCCATTAATTTACACTCGTTGATTCTGCTTAAAATAATTTAATGGACATTTATTACAAGAAAATTTACTCCAGTATTTAGGCAGTTAGCACTCTTAACAATTTGAATCGCAATATTGAGAGCAAAAACTGAATTTAATTATAGAATATCCTTCCTTGCATTAGATTGGAATTTCAGTATTTAAATATGTTGATACTGGAAATGGATAAAAATATGAATTAGGTAAATATGATCCCATAAAACTCTAAATCCTTTCCACCCACACATCCTTATCAACCGAATTCCCTTCTATGCTTATTACTTAATAAGGTAATTTGCTTAAGGTACATTAACCATTGACTTCAGAGGTTGAAGATGTGTAACCTTCTTTGCATATAATGCATCTTAAAATTGATTGCATAGTAAGAAAACATTAGATGCAGTTAGAGATAAATTTTTCACAATTAACTATTTCTCTCGCTACTGAGAAATCTTATTTTGAGGATAAAGTACATTTTTCTGTTCCCTCTTCACTAATGTAACTTCTAAGACAAAATTCAATATTTGGAGTTTATTTTAGACATAATCCTACTCTAAAATCAAAAATATATCCATCTTAACACATCGCACATCCCACTTAAATATTATCATCTCCATTGAACAATTTGAACTTCCTGTAAAGGGTTGTTAGTTCCAAGTTATCTAAAACGTATTCGAAACAATATATGCAATGATCAATAGAGCATTTTTTACATTCTTTTGTGGAAGAAATATAATAAGGCGATAAACAATTATTGTTTTCTTTCAATACACCTATAGTCCAGATGTTACAGTGACCATCTACTAATTCATAGTATTCTTCACATATAAAACAAACTTATTCTGTTATTAATTAACCACATTTCTTGCAATTAGAAAAGCTGCATTTATAACATTGCTACTATGATCTTTCAGAAGTGCATAATGATTTAAATGATTGCTATTTTGCAGCCATATTTTAATCTATATTCTCTAAATTTGTTAAGCTAGATTATTCACATTCCAAGCATAATTCAAGATCTTCACCATTAAAAGTGAAAAAATACTTGGGTTCAATTTACAGAAATGATTCCTTGATTTCAGATGTACTTCCATCCTGATTTAGGTATATATATGTCGCACACTATGGATCACTGAACCAATCTTTTGGATTCAAAACGCATTCTAAACAAGTTATTGCTTGTGAATTTATTTAACCTGGACTTGTATTATAATTAATCAAAATTACCATTAATAACAAGAGCCATTAAGTTCGAATTGTCCATATAAACATCCTTCATTTTATTCTTCATTTGAAATTACCTAAAAGCCTAATTCTGAATAACTTAAACATTCATCATTGTAATCAATAGTATTATAAGGACATAAACATTATTTAAATTATGGAAAATATACTCTTTTTGATTCTAAGGAACAAGATAAACAATCTTGATTAGTAGGACCATCACATTCACCACAACTTAGATGGCAGTTTTGTATTTAGAAATTTTGATTGCAATTAAAAAAATAGATATTCCTACCCATTATATTTAAATAATTAGTAGTTGATTCTTATAAATTTCCTAAAAACAGCTTGAAGTATATTTAATGAAATTGCTTAACTATTATTTGTGTCTTGTACTCATAAGCTTACCGATTCTCAAAAAAATTGATACTAATATCCAAAGTATCTTCTATCATCTTTACATACAGTAGATGCCATAATTATATATTGTTCGAAATCTGGAATTCTGTGATTATTAAAAAAGGATCGTTTGTAAAATCTAAGCTAACTGATGGAATTGTATAACTATAAGTTGTAATAATTATTTTATTGAGATTTTATTAAAGTTTGTAAAATAATTATAAAGGAGAGAGATTTTAATTTTACAATTAATTATTCTACATATTTGAAGTCAATTTAATAAATTAAAATGTCATTTCTTAATCGCTTTGAATTATTTCTTTAATCTTAAACCATCCCGCAAATAAAAATTAATTGCAGTTCTAAAATTTTGAGGTATATATTGATTGATAGAGATAAAAATAATCCTAATCCATTAAATTACTTACTGGATTCCTTTAACAGTTACATGCTTTTTTAG